TACAAAACACTCACTCAGGGAACCAGATGTCATCATCACAGACTTCGACAAGGCTATGAAAGCTGCCGTTAATGATCAGTTTCCAAATGCACAGCAACAGCTTTGTATTCATCATATCCTTTCAAACGTTTTGCTTAAATCGAAGACTAGGTGGACGGGCCAACGTGAGGACAGTACTACTAGCCCTAGCGCTAGTGACAGTGAAGACATTCCCTCACAGGCGGATGGCGGGTTGAGCACTACAGATAAGCATCTGATCGAAGATCGGTCGAGTAGTGATAAGATTCCTCATACTTACCAAGGCGTTGTTTTAATGTGGAAAAAGGTTCTCTATGCCGAGACTGAGGAAGCGTTTGAGCAGGCATGGAGAGATCTTTGTAAAGAGTTCGACGACCAACGAGCGATCTTACAATACCTCTACTCGACTTATATGCCTGTTAGTGCTCAATGGGCACGTTGCTTTATCCGTCGTTATCGTAACTTCGGAATCCGAGTTACGTCCGGCACAGAAGCAAGCAACAATAATATCAAAAGCTATCTATTAAATGGCATGAGCCACCTCTACCGACTCGTCGAGGCAATGCAGGATATGATACATGACCAAGAACGTGCCTTTAAGGATGCCTGTGGACAGGATGATGTCCTGACTGCTCCACAATACCTAGGTTCGATGGGAAACTATCTTGGTGAACTACGAACAACCATGTCATCGAAAGGACTTGGGTTAATCAACAAGCAATACTGTATTGCTCGCAAATTTCTGCCGACGGGGAAGAATCCCTTCCCCGACTCTATTGGACTTTGCGACGACGACTGTACGGTCTCTATTGAGCTGGGAATCCCATGCTATCATAAAGTCTACGCAAAGCTAGATTCTGACACACGTTTCACTAAATGGGAGGTCCACCCACGCTGGCGACTACGGGAATCGGCATCTCAAGATCCATACCGACGAATTCTTGACCCGAAAGTTGCCACTGCACTACGTGGAAGGCCAAAGAATACAGCGCAGGTTATCCCAGAAAGCCTAGCTATTACATCAAGTAGCCGATCTGATAATCAACCAAGTGGGCGACGAGGTCGACCGCCAGGAAGTCTCAATAAGCCAACTCTTGCTAGGAGAGTGCATAAAGCTACTCGAGAAACCATCACACAAACTGGTGGCCAAATTGGCATCTCAGCCCAGCAAGGGCCAGGTAGACCTTCTAAAGTCCTAAATGCTGGGAATACGACAGGCGTGCGGTACAGTGGACGGAGGACGCAACGAAACATTCGCAGGACAAGGAGTCAATGGGAACTGGCTAAGAGTGATGACGAAGATCCAGATTGTATCGTTGTGAGGCAATAAATTAAGTAGACCACATCACGTCTTTTGCCAGTATTTGACAGTTACTGGCTAACAGTACAAGGACGGTAGTTTAATCCGAAATGCAGGCTTGCAAGATAGCAGAAGACCAATCGCGCCCACAACGATAAGTGACTGCAATTCATGGTGATGTAGGAGCTTGTTAGTGAAGTTGGCTACACCGCCTTTCCGAGGAAGTATCTGTGGGGCCAAGAAAGTATGCGACCAATCAGAAGTGGTAAAAGTCATGCCCGTGTAAGAGTCATGCCCGTGTAGCCAAAGTGTCATGCCCGTGTAGCAATTCCCTTATCATGTTGTGGTAGTTTTCTCGGGCACGAGATAACAAGCACCACGATTCTGCTAGTAAAACTTGGTGAATTTCTAGTCGGTTCATTTAATTGACGCTTTTCCGAGGGCTATTACTTTCACTGGCCCCCGGAGAGCGTCCTCAATCGTTGCTGTTGCGCAAGCTGCTCAAAGATCTCACGAAGTCTCAATACATTTGAAACTTGGAGTCACGTCGTTCTCTGAGATGAATTCGGTAACTTGATTGCTCTGTTGTAGCTCCGTCAGGATGCTTTACGAGGCTTTGATTAACGAGTGCTTGTTGCCATGCGATGGATGAATTTCCTCGTTGTCATTGCGGGCTACGATCTGTCCCTGTTCCTTGGCATACTGTGCTTCTCTCGGGGTTGATCATTACGCCAGTTGCCTGTCTGCTTGCAGTTTGTCCTGTCCGTGTCTGCAGCCTGCAGAGGGGGAGACGTTTGGGCTCGACGGCGTCTTCATTTCACCGTAGAAACACCAGAGTCGCGGACTGCATGAGAGTGCTAATAGTGTCCCAGGCGTCGGGAAGAGCAACATCAGTTCAAGTGTTCTACGTGCTAAACTCGTTCCATATTGTTCATTGCTACAAATATGCGAACATGTTATTTCAAATAGCATTTCATTGCGCTACGGTTCTCTTCACAGACAGAAAGAAGTCGAATGGTTGACAAGAAACAAAAACGACATCAGTGGCCTTTGCTAAGAAGGCAACTGGGTGTCCCTGTCTTGCGAACTCCCAGGACTGCTTCAAATGATGAGCCTTATACTTGAGCCGCCTCTTTCTTTTAGATCAACGGAACCTTCCGTATCGTCGCCGCTAGCACTATGCACTTCTACTCTTCGCCTAGCAAACTGTCGGATGAGCAATATGTAAAGGTAAGCTACGTGGTCGCAGGGTTGCTCAAGTTAGGCGACATTTAGCTGCGTTTTTAACTTGTAAACGTATACGAGGTCGTGTACTGTGTGCTGCAACACATTATGTCATTGGATAATAGGTTATGCACAAGATAACTGCGCACATAGGAGCAACAGACAACGAGGGAGATGACAGATGTCTGCATCTTCCCAAGTTGTTGGCAAGAATTACGCAGTGTTGATACGAAAGTGCGAGTATTTCTAGCTGGTAGGATGCGTTTGACAAGGCAAGCGATTGCGTGTCGATGCAAACTACTTCTTCAGACGCTCAAGACAGAATGCCAGACTCTAAGCGTGACAAGGCCTCAGTATTATCAAGAGGGCCTGGACTCTGGAGCAGCAACGACTCTATTTAGAGATAATCTCGTATGGTGTAGAATGTCCTTGGCAGGCCCAATCTGAGGACTCAAACCACAAGTTCTCTAGCAGTACAACTTTTTTGCGTGTAACCTGACCCAGATGGCTGAAGTATCTGGGCCTTAATGACTTGGGCTTCCAAACCCTCATGCCTTGAGCCTTCCTGAAGCTCGTGATGCCGCAGCCCTCGTGCACATGGAGCTGGTCTCGGCATCGATGGGTAACATTTGCCGTAATCGGATATGAGCCGCCTGCCATGTGAAACGTTATCGACGGAAGATGCCTTGCGTGTTAGCTGGCAGAGTCGTAATTGACGAGCAGAGAGTATAGCACTTGGGGGTCTTCGACAAGTCGGCAACCACGCCGTGCAGTAACAATTTCTCGAGGGCGTTTGCATGCACAGTTCACTCCTGTATATTGCATTGTTGGTTAAATCCTTCTTCACGATTTGTGAGCTTGCGTGACGAGGGCTCGTCTGAGAGGTGGGAGCGATATATGGCTCAATTAAACATGCAACACACGTTGGTATCCAAGGCCCTCGGTTTTCCAAATATCTACAAGACCAAAGGTCTTCTATTCTTACAGAAACACGGCTTCTGGCCTTGCGCCCTAGGTCTCGTGATCATATCCCTTCCGTCACCAACATCCGTGTGACAGCTTACGTGGCTAGAAAGCCATTCCTTGAGAAGCCTATGGAATAAACCGTGTCATCAAGGATGTATTGTGGCTCTGGGGGCAGTACTTGGCCGACGTTTTGTTTGAGCGTCCATTCACTGTCTTGACCAATGATCACACAGCATGACTATCTGAACCTCCCAGCCACCCCTTACAGGTAGTGTTCCTTGCCTTGATTGATACCTGCAACGAGACTAGGCATGTACTTGCCCAGACGAGACAAGGTCCACAGTATTGCTACAGTAAGCCAGGCGAATAGCTCTCGCTTTCCTTTCCAACAGCACAAGTAAGCTTTCTCTGACGATCAAAAGGCCGGGATTGTTAAATATAACATGGTGGTCACTCGCAATCACACAGCTGCTTAGCCCATCATAACAAGGCCCCTGCCACGAGACTTGATTGGCGGAGTGGCCGAGTGGTTAAGGCGACGAACTAGAAATTCGTTTGGGTTCGCCCGCGCAGGTTCGAGTCCTGTCGACGACGATGATTTTGGTGGTTCTTTTTGCAAAGTTGGTTGCAGCCTCAGGTGGCCGACGGGCCCCACTTTTACACAGGCGAGCGGGAGCGGCACCACTGAGCCGACCTGACTTGACCGGCACTTAAAGCTGTTCACAGCAGTTTTTCCGAAGCCATGTCTTGGAGCGGCGTTGATCACGGCACTACGGTGGCTGTTTCGCAATGCAGATTTACAGACTTTCGACATGTGTCGACGGCGCCGTTTCTGACGACGGGCGTCAGACACAGGTTCAACTCATGTGTGCCGTAGTCCATTGCCTCTTGAGCGCGGGCTCATCGGATTCTGGACCGACGTGGTCGTGGCTGCGCTACAAGCGGGGGCCGCGCTGTCGAGGAGGATGGGCGACGGCATCAAAGCAACTTGCCCCGTTGCGACGGGTGCTTTTTCTCATTCCGTCACTGACTCATCTTGGCAATGGGTGACAGTTTGCCGGGCGGGAAATATCCTCGCAAACTCAGCCGAATGTGAACAAGACGCGTTGGGCCCCCTTTAGCGCCGCGGGCGGAGGCCGTGGACTCGGCGGGGGGAATCCAGATTCCCATTCAGTCAATGATTCGAGCGGACGACCCCTGGCGTTGGAGAAAAGGGATGGAGAGCCGGCATCTTATGTCCTTTCCACCGGCGGGCTGCAAGCCTCTCACCCTGAGGCGTCGAGGCGTTGCGGGCGCGTCCCTTGGTATACCAACCCAGGGAGCTTGCTCGCACCGGACGGCTTGAAAAGGGGATGCCTCCCCGTCCTCCGACGTCCATTTGTCCATCTCGACACCGACAGCGACGCCGTGCGTGAATGGCGGTTTGCCGCTTCATCTTGTCGGCCAAGACGGGCGTGCTCTGTCGCCTCTCCACCGCGCGCGTGTGAACATGATGGCGTGCGATCTGGACCGGATTGACCACGTACACGCCGGGATACAATATTCCTATGACGATATCGCGTTTCCGCCCATCTCCACCGCTCACGGGACGTACTACGACGGCGAGCAAGACGACGTAGAGAACCTGGAGGAGTACCAGGAAGGCGGCTATCACCCCATCGACATCGACAGCTATCTAGACACGCAGAGGTACCGCGTCGTGCACAAGCTCGGCCATGGCGCATTCGGCACCGTGTGGCTGTGTCGCGACCACGAGCTGCATCGGTACGTTGCCGTCAAGGTCATGACGGCCGACGTGTCGCTGGAGAGCGTGACGGAGATTTCCCTCCTCAAGCACCTCGACCAGACCAACCCCGGAGCGCGGCACATTGCCCTGCCGCTGGACAACTTCCAGGTGCGCGGGCCCAACGGCACGCATCAGTGCATCGTCTTCCCGCTGCTGGGCCAGTCCGTGTCGCCGGTCCTGTGGCAACGACTCGAGCATCCCGGCCTCGTCCTCAGGAACCTGTGCCGCCAGGCCGTGCTGGCACTGAACTGCTTGCACGAGAGCAGCGTCGGCCACGGAGGTCAGGTCTCCCCCTCCCTCCCCCCCACCTTTGTCGACTCGACGCCAAACGCAACGTTGCGCAAAACAACTAACCACGTGGCCAAGGCATAGACTTCCGCCCCTCCAACATCCTGATCAAAGTGTCCGGGCTGGACGACCTTAGCGAGGACGAGCTCCTCTCGCAGATAGGGTACCCGGAGCCAGGCGCCGTCGTCGCCCAGGACGGCGGGCCGCTGCCGCCCTTCTCCCCCAGATATCTCGTCCCCGCGGCCGACATGTCGCGGCTGGACTCCAAGTATCTACGGGAAGAGATCTGCCTGATCCGCTTCGGGCAGGCGTACCTCAAGTCGAGCCCGCCGCCCGACCTGGGCACGCCGGAGAACTACCTCCCGCCAGAGCGGCTGGTCGACGACCAAAAGGACAAGGTCGGGCTGAGCTGCGACATCTGGGCCCTGGGCTGCACGCTGTTCGAGATCCGGCTGCAGACGCCGCTGTTCCACATGCTCTACGGGCCAGACGAGGTGCTCGACGAAATGGTCAGCTTCTTCGGCAAGTTCCCGGAGCCGTGGTGGTCGCGGTGGCAGCAGCACGCCGACTACCGCGACGACGAGGGCAACACGCTGCGCCGCCGCGTCGACGTGGACGGCGAGCCGTACAGCATCGACAGCGTCCTGCGCGGCGACAAGTCCACCATGAGCACCGTCGACGGCGTCCTGCAGGTCGTCAAGACCATGGAGGTGCCGCGCGACGAGATGCTCGTGCTCAAGGAGCTCCTGCTCAGGATCTGCGCCTACGCGCCCGAAAACCGGCCCTGTACCGGCGACATCCTGCGCGACGAGTGGTTCAGCAGGTGCGCCTAGGCCCTCACCTCACGTGTCGGCCAATCACCACCTGATGCTCGGGCTTTGCTGCGTGCCTCTGGCTCTGAGGAGGAGGAGGAGAAGGAGGAGGAGGAGAAGGAGGAGGAGGAGAAGGCGACTGTTTCATCCTGCGGCCGCCCGCGGGCCGACGTCGCCAAGGTGCTCGTCTCGTGCCCGACGGGTCTCTGGCAGCCGTGCAAATGTCGTCACGCTGCGCTCATGACGCGGCCATGGTCGCAAATTTCTTGGCTGCCCCCGCGTTTGGTTTCCCGTCCCCTCCCTCTCGCGGCAGTCCTCGTCCAAGCCGTATCACGGCAGCAGTAAGGTAGTCACGTAAAGTGGTGGCGTGAAGTCGACGGCTCGAGACCAATGAGGAAGCTTCCCTTGTCGCTCCTGCCTCCCCAGCGTCCACGCTCTCGAATCTCGGTCAAAAGTGTGGGGATGCGCCACCGAGATCGATCCATGTTTATAAGTTAGTAACTATTTATTAGTGTGGGCCGAGTCGTCGGTGCCTGACGGCGAGTCATCCGTGTTGACGCACGCAACTCACAGGTGGCGAGCGGGATGTACCAGTATGAAATGTAATCAATTTCTTCATGTCCATGCTCTACCTAGTATCGTCGCTGAAGAAAAAAAATAGCGCCCCGAATCAGGTGGGTTTTTGCGCCACCGCCCCAATTTCAACTTCAGTCCTCCGTCTCATAGACGGACCTTGGACTTCGACTTCAGGCTTCAGGCTCCCTCCCAAGTTAAGGTCGTTTCTCCATCGACACGACAGCGCCCGTCGGCTCAACTGTTTAGGGGAGCTGCTGGAGAGGAAAGGCCCGGTCGGGCTTGACGAGCTTGGCCTCGTCGACCTCCTCGTCCGTGTAGGCAGGGTAGGCAATGAGGCGCCGCTTGTTGTCGACGACGGCAAAGGTGGTGAAGCCCTTGCCGGGGCCGAACTGGCCGCTCCAGCCCGAGGTGATGGTGTAGTTGCCAAACGTCTGGGCGGCGCCGTTGCTCTGGGTGGCGGGCTTGCCGCCGGACGCGCGCACGACAAAGTAGACGGGGGTCCTCGTCTTGCAGGCCTCCTGGCAGTCGACGTCGGTGTTGATCTTGAATGTCCACTTGCACTCGGTGTCGGGCTTGTTGCACACGCGGCGCACCGACTCGATGGTCAGTGGCTTGTCCGCCGCCGCCATGGACTTGACCGTCGAGGCGCGGGGAGCCGGGGCCGCGGCCGCGGTCACGGAACAGGCGGCCAGCAGGGCGGCGACGATGGTCTGGGCGAGTTGCATATTGTGTGGGATGTGGGTGGTGCGGAAGAGTCACTCTGGTGGTGGTTGCAGGGAGAGGTTTGACGGATATGTATAGATGTGATTTGGCTGTGAGGACAGGCAGCATGGGAGGATGTTGGACGGCAGAGAATGAGACCTTTATATAGCTTTTCCCTGGCGTGTCTGGGGCTCGTCGCGCTTCGTTGCGGCCGTTTCTTGACGGCCGGCAAAAGGCTCACTTGCATGATATTAGCTTCGTCAAACTTGACATCACCGAGGGACGTTGCTCCACTTGCCGACCCTCCAGCGGCCGGCCTCGCTCGGGCTTGATATAGGTCCAGACAGACTGCCAAGGACGCGACACGACATGATCGGCGGTCGGCCCACCTGGTCAAGTCGTAACACTTCATCACTACGCCGACGTACCGCTCTCTGCGACATACAAGCTACAGCACGGCCTCTTTGGCTCGTCTCCTCGTGCCGGCAGGACGAGAATTCTCTCCCTGCCGGGGCTGTCGCCGGCGCCTCGTTGGTCTACTTTTGTCTGGGGCAGGCAGTTCGTTTCTCGTTCCGGACCATGCGCGAAACAGAGTGAGGTTGGGACAGACAGACGGGCAGATGCAACGACCGAGACATGGGCTCACCTACGCCAGAGAGAGAAGACACCCAGCTCCCCTGGACCCTTCACTCTGGCTACATGACATCAGCGGGCGGAGGCCAAATGGTTCAAAAGAGCTTGGCGGTGTCTATCACGGCAGAAAGGATGAGGAAGCTGCAACGCTCCGTCGGCGGTTGCGTTGCGTTGTGTCCGGTGCACAACGCAGTCCGATGCGCAGTGTTCCGTAGTTGTCGAAGAGCAACTTGTGGTATGATTGGGATAGAAGCCATTACGCAGCATAGGTCAACACGTGTTCCTACTGGCTCGGTAACATGTTGGACCCCGTCGAACCCCTTCTTTGTCTCTTGGCAACTCAGGCCGGCAGGGGAACGACCGGGGCGAAGCGGCCTAGGGCTTAGCGGCCGCAACCTCGTATTTCATGACTTTCTGGAGTATGCCGGCACGCCTCGCCAGGAAGGGGGACACAGGGTCTCGTCGACGCACGTCACATTCGGTGACGGGGACGGGGACGGCGCCACCGATGTGCCCAAACTCGAACGGGGCGTGTAGGTGCATTCCTGAGCGCAGGTCTGCAAGATCAGGGCCTAGAGTCCGAGACGGGCGCCCGCCTCCTCAGAGACGTCGAGACATGTCGAAATGGGGTTTCCATTTGTCATGACAACAACAAGGGAGCCACCTGTCGTGCCCAAACCCCAAAGGCCTCTCGAGGCTCGAGCCGGATCTCGGAACCGAACGGCCTTGGTGTGGGAGGGAGGAAGGAAGGGGAAAAAAAAAAGGAAAGAGGAAAAAAAAAAAAAAAAAAAAAGACGATGCCACCGGGTCCTTCGACTCGACGACGAGGCGAATGTCAAGAGGGTCATGGACTCATGATCATCTTTTGCCGAGGGCCCCTCCATGCAGCGTTACTTTCCGGAACCAGGGACAAGCAAGTGACGGACGATATGCGCGGCGAAATAGACGTCTGGTTTTGGCGAATCTTGACCATACTCCGCAGTGCTTGTTAAAAGGCCAAGGACGGACACGGGAGCCGGGACTTGTTCACCCAGGGGCCAGCACAACAGATGGCAGCTCTGGGCAAGGACCGTATCGACGCCCGACGGTGGCTTGCGAGTGGTGGAAGTTTGGAGCTGCACACGCCGTCTTGCGCATCGGCATTACGTCATCCCTCGCAGTCGGCACTCGAGGTCGCCCAGACACCGGCATCGGACGATGGTGCGGGGGGGGAGTTTTTTGCCCAGCCGCACTGCTTCGACGGCACAGACGACGCCGGCACGCAGTCTTGTGGCTTCTGGTCACTGCAGCGGCGGTGGTTGCTCAACACGGCCAGGCCATGTTCCTGCTGCCGCCTTCCCCGCACCAGGCATCATTGACTGATACATGCTCCCGTTCGCCGTTGCATCCGGTAGCCCCAAGTTCTGACCTCGCCCTCTCGGCCGAAGCGCTCAACCTGTGGAGGACCAGAATCCGGCGCTGAGCAGTGAGCAGAATCCCCCGCCGGTCAGTGTGCAGGGAGCGAGCGGGTGGGTGCCGGTACCTCAAAGCTAAAAATAAAACAAACAAAACAAGGTTGAAATAAAAATAAAAAAAATCTAGAATTGCTGCCAGCCCACTGTGCTCGGAACCAGGCCGCCTTGCTGCACGCTTCAGTCCATGCCGGAGCCATTCATTTCATTATTGTTCTGTTTCGCCCATCCTCCAGTCGCCGCTCGATCAGGCTAGCCCGGACAACCACGTGATGCAAGCTGTAGTCCAACATCTACGCTTTAGACCTCCCTGGACGGCTTTCAGGAGCAAAACCTGGCCTCTGCTGGCCCCATGCACTTATCAATATCCCCCGTTGGAATGCCTCTCCGTGGACCACGGCAGAATGACGTGCGGCATCCCCATTACACGACTCGGCGGGACACAGCCGAAGCGTTTCTGCAGCGTGTGGACTTCTCTTTTGCCGTGCCGCACGAGGCCGTGAAGCCCCGAGTCCGTTCGGCAGGCGCAAAGCACTGGAATGGCCTCGATACGGTTGGAGATGCTGTCCCTACCATTACGACCTCTACAGAAGGGTCAAGGCTGTGCTTGGAAAAAGGGGAATCAGGGCGTGGCCCCTGATGTTTGGCGGCGACGAGTGGAGGCGAATAGAGACAAGGAGAAAGCTCGAAGACAGTCATTGTCCAAAATTGTGACTCGGTGTCGCAGACTCGTATCTATTCTGCCCCCCCGAATGGGGGACAGCTTCTCTCCTCTCCGGCGCCGCCGTGCATCACGGCAGCTGCTCTTCTCTGTGCTAGAAACCAGCGAACCATCTTCAGGGACTCGGGACTCGGGACTCGACGCAAGGCGGTTGAGCAGTCTCACTATTTGCCCAGAACGTCCGCCCGCTGTACCTGTGCAGCTTCCCGGCCCTTGTTCGTCAGCGGCCTCACACGCTCCATTATGCTCTCCGCATGTTCCGTCACGGGCGCATCATAGTCTGTGATGTAGACTGAAACAGAAACCCGCCCGTTCTTCACGACGTTCGTCTCTCCGGGAAGCGCGCAATCGCCATTCACGCATGTGTTCAGAGCCACCGCGTAGGGCTTAATGTTGACCCAGTCAAACACTCCCGTGGCCGGGTCGAAAACGGCCTCGTATATGTCTGCGTCTCCCGTCATGCGCGTCTGGACAATCTCGGGATCGGAGCTGTTTGCAGTGAGGACGGGAATGTTGACGGACAAGCCGTATCCGAGAGGGAGCAGAGGGCCGCCGGCGGGAGCGCTGCGGATGACTTGCTCGATGATTTTGACGGATACTTTGGCCGCCCATGTGGCTTCGTTGTTCTCGTCCTTGATGTCGAAGTACGCGACATCTTTGTTCCTTGCAGAAATGGCGATGCTGGCCACGGACCGCTCTGTTGCGACGTAGCTGCCATGACGGTCAGCAATCGCCGCCAGAGAGAGGACTGCGAAGAGGGGAGGGAGCTCACGATGCGCCGGCGGTCCCTGCCGCGGTCCAGTAAAACGGACCAAGATTGGGTCCGAAGTTCGGCCCCGACACCACGAGGTCGGGGACCTTGAAAGGAGCATGTCTCGGTAGGACGTAGTCCAGGGCGACAAGGGTACAGGCGACCGGTGTGCCGTTGTAGTACCAGATGTGAGAATCGTGAGGGTCAGTGCCGATCTGGGGCGTCAGTACCGGTGAAAGCAGCGTCTACCAAGAGGTACACATGTCATACCGAGGGAGCGCCTTCCGGGACGATGTCGTGTTGCGACGGCCCGCTGAGATTGCCGAGTTTCGTAAAGTATGAACGACCGCCCCGGCCGGACTGGTCCACGGCGGGTGCTACAATCCAGACTGCTTCCATCAGCTGCAAATGCCGGTTCCCGGTAGCTCTTGAGGACTGACCATTGTGGCCGGCGTTCTTCAGCAGGCGGTAAACCTCGCGCAGGTTCCCGGACCCGAACCCATCGTCATTGTTGAGCAGGATGTTGATTGCGCGTGACGAGGAGGCAAAGCCCAGCGTCGAGCCGGCCAGCAAAACTGACGGCCGCATATCTACCGCGTCTGGGGAGCTGATGAGAAGTGGCGGGTTCAAGGGGCGAGAAGTTCGGCCGGCACAAGTCGTGTGGTAGGTGGGATGATTGTCAAGGCTAAAGGCGTGTAACAGATGCTGATGGCTTGAAGATTGACGACTGCCCTGGAGCCTCAACCACAAGCAAACAGTTGCTCCTCTGGGCTGAACAGGCGAGAACCCCCTTTCAGGTGAATCAAATGGCAAGCCGGCTCTTTAAACAATCACTTCCGCTCTTCTCTTGAGCCCTGCCGTCCAGCACTGCCGTGGCGGCATCAAGGCGGCGAGGCATGGACTTGAAGCTCAAAAACAGGTTATAAGCACCACCAGCATCATGTGTTGGATTGGCGAGGCAACTCAACGTGGTGGGGGATACTTGGCCGACGACACAGAAGCTGGCTGCCGAGCTGGAAGCTGTGGATATCTCGGCGAAAAACCGATTCGCCATCTGATCAGGTCGCAGGAGATGGATGCCCGTGGCAAAACCCTGGACAATGGCATCGGCAATTCTGGCGTGCCGTCTGCTGTTTTGCTTGAAGCTCGCTCCGTCCTTGGAGTTCCTGCGACATGACGCCCTCCTGGATGATGCAGATGGGCATCATCATCCAGGCTCTTGGGCACATCACGCCGGGCACGTACATGGCATCCAACATTGGCTTGTCATCCGTGCGCGGGCAGGTTTTCGTCGCCCGCTCATACTGAAAATTGCTAAACAAGGCCGCCTCCCGGGGCCTCTCGGGATGTATGCCTCCTCGGCACCGACGAGGCCGAACCTTTTGAGGAGTGCTAAGGAGGGTGGCCTTGGAAAGTCAGCTACATGATGCGAAGCCTGTCAATTCAAGTTTAGAAATATGATATATCATGTATATCATGCAGTTCAAGGAAATATTCATCATCTGCGCCGATGGAATCAGACGATGCTTGGTCCCTCGCTCGGACATCATATCATGCTTCAGCAAAGGGCACTGCCCTGTCTACCAACACGGATCCGGCGCCCGAGGTAGAGTCACAGGAAGAATACATGTGAACGGGATGGTGGTGATCCTCTAATTAGGCGAGCAACAGGAAAAAGGTGCTTGGCGTCACCTCATGCTGCAAATGCAGCGTACTTGACCCACGCTCAATCTGCCGACTGAAAGCCGCGGCATTCGCCACAGTGGGCAGCTACTTATCGAAAGGAGAACCTCTGCGGCCTTCTGGTCTCAAGTCTGAATCTCAAAGTACATGTGACTGCGTCGTGTGCGGACGCAGCGGGCACGGCACGGGGATGCCAGCAACGCCGCGCATTCTTCAACGGCCATCTGGACCAGCTGAAGCACGTTTGGAATGTCTCCTATTCTATTATCAACAACAGAGATGGCTTAAGACTAGGATTGCTGTTGGAAGTCGGCAGACTTGGCTATGGCAAATGAGGGTCGGACCCGGCCTGGCGATGCAAGTAAGTAGGGTTAGGGTCGGCACGATGGGCGAGTCACCACCACTTACACGTCTCTGACGAGTTGCTCGTCGGCAACTTGAACTTGTCCCACGGCCCAACACTCAACGAACTGGTCACGGCCAACGCCACAACTGCCCAGGTCTGCCTGGTTTTAAAAATCGCCGTCCTCCATGGTAATCCTACGCGTTGAACATCAATCGCTACTACAACAGCTTGCCTCGCCTCGGCAACTTGCTCCACAACATCGGCAACCATATAACCGAAGATGTCAACGTCGACTCACCTCAACCGTGGCAACACCGTTGACAACACGACCACCCCAAGTCAACAGCAACAGACCATATGCCATACACATCTCTCCAGAAAACAACTGCCAACATGAACCCCTCGGCGCTCCGGCGCCTCACACACTCGCATCGAGCATACTCAACATCAACACCAGCATCAGCGTCAGCGTCGGCGTCAGCATCCACCGCCGCAGCCCGCCTCCTCGAGAGCTTCCGCAACAAGACCCTCACGCAGCACCAGATCCTCGACGCAACCCAGCTCCGAAAGCTCTCCCTGACACTCAACCGCCCAACAATGCAGCACCAAGACATGCTCACCCCCGCCCCGTCCCCCGGCACGCCCGTCCCCCCAGGCCACCACCTCATCTGCTTCACGGCCGCGAGCCCCGAGAGCGCCCTCGGCCCCGACGGCACAGACACGGTTTTCAACGCCGGCCCCCCTTCACGCGACGCACGTGGGCTGGCGGCCGCATGTCGTGGACCAGCACGCCCCTGAGGGTAGGCGACGCCGTCAGCGAGCACACGCGCCTGCTCAGCGCCGTCGCCAGAAGAAGCGCATCCACCGGCCGCGAGATGGTGCTCGTCGAGGTGGAGAGGCAGCTCGAGGGCCCGCGCGGCGCCGCCGTCACCGACAGACGCTCGTGGATCTTCAGGACCGGCATCGACGCCCACGCCGCCGGCACGAGCCCGCGCCCGCGTCCGCAGCAGACGCAGACGCGGACATCTCGTCCGACCACCATCACAGACATCCCCGGCCGCAAAGGTACAAGAGGCCCCGCCCCCACGAGGACGCCAGCAGTCAGTCCGGTGCTAAGATTACGACACGGCGGCAGGCTCCTTCCCCTCGCGCCAGCTCACCTGGTCGCCGGTCGGGCTGTTCCGCTCCTCGGCGCTCACCTTTAACGGGCACAGGATTCACTACGGCGCGGCTCCAGCCGCGCCGTCGAGGGACACGCCGGGCTCGTGGTCCACGGACCCCTGAATCTCATCAGCATCCTCGACTACTGGGGCGACGTGCACGGCGCGGGCGGCGCCTCGCCCGGGAGCGTTGCCTACCGCGCCGTGGCTCCCCTCTACGCGGGCGACACGTGTACCATCCGGACGGGGGCCGTGGCCGACACCGCGTGCGACATTGTTGCCGAAAAGGACGGCGCGGCGTGTATGACGGCACGGGTTGTAGGGGCGTCACGCGGTCGATGAAGGAGGTGCCGGGCGCCGCGGCGCTCGCAGTCATACGATAGTATCGGGCGTCGTGTGCGCTAAACTGAGACGCCGTTGCATTAATTCGGAAAAACAAGACATTCGTGCTGATCCATCCCGTGAGGCCACCTTTCCATTTCGCCCGGCTTTTCTATACAATGTTCTGAATCCAATCATCTCCCTCCCCCTCCGCCGCCCCTTCACTCCGTCTTGGCCACGGCCGACGTGCTGGTCACTACGGAGAACTGGCCGCCGGCGGCGGCGCCCACGAGCCTTCTGCCCTTGATGTCCTTGCCCCGGATGCGCTGGGCGGTGTCGCAGTCGTCCTCGTTACCGAGGCCTAGCTGCCCGACGGACCCGAAACCCGTGGCATAGCCCACGCCCTCGTCGTTGATGAAGATGGTGTGGTCGGTTCCGCAGGCAACGTGGACGACGTGACCAATCTCGGGCACGGCAGTGGGCCGCAGGCAAATACGGGGCTTGTTGTACTCGTCGCGGCGGACGAGATGCTCGTCGTCGAGCTGGCTTTGCGAGAATTCGATGCCGAGCTGGCCGCCATCCAGCCGTCCCCACATGTAGACCTTGCCGTCGTCGGTGACGGCTCCCGAGTGATGGGTGCCGCCGGCCATGGTCGTGACGCCCTTGCCGCAGAGGTCGCGAATCTTCATGGGGTACGGAAGGATGGCCTCGTCACCACCGGCTTCCTTGGCGTAGCCCGCCTCGCCAAAACTGTTCAGTCCCCATGCCCAGACGTTATCGTTGCGGTCGACTGCGAAGGAGTGGTATTCCCCAGACGCGATGTACTTGATGGGACGGGTGCACACTCGGACCTGGCGAGGCAGAAGCGTCTCCTGCTGGTATCGGCCAAACGGCTGGCGGCCGAGCTGGTTCTGCTCGTACGATCCCCATCCCCAAACTTGACCAGACTTGTCGAGGGCCAGCGCGTGATTGGCTCCGCAAGCGATCTGTGTCACATTTTCAAGCTCAGGAATCTCAAGGGGATCCTTCTGGATCTCGACGACGTCGCCGTTTTTGGTTTTCGTAAATCGCCTGTCTCCTTTGTTGTCCTGATGCGGATAGTTAGCAAGCCATACCGTTGAATGTGATGATGAAACACGCTGCGATGGAGCATACTCGAAAAGACCCCCATCCGTAGACGGTCCCCGTCCGAGTCAGAACGAAGCTGCAGCTGTCGCCGGCGGCGACCTGAGTAAAGACTGTGCCCTTGGGGAATTTCTCGGCAGGAACCTCGGTCGGCGTGCTCTCGTACGGATTCAGCTCGCCGTCTTCGTCGCCACTGTCGGACCCGGCATCCATGTCCTTGAGGCCACCCTCCCAAGTAGTGTCTCTTCCTAGAGCACCCTCGTCGTTGACGCCCCAGGTCAGGATCTTGTTGTCGGCGGTTAGAGCAATGGTGTGCATGCCGCCGCAGGCAAGCTGGACAATGTGGTGCTTGGAAGGCTCATTAGGGTCAAGAGCCGGGTTGAACTTGGGGACGAGTGCGCTCGTGCGTTTGGGGCCGAGACCGAGCTCGCCGCACTCGCCGCTGCCGAAGGAAAAGACGGCAACGAGCTCATCGGGCGCTTTGTTGAGAATGGCGGGCTCTTCGACAGCGCGCTTCGCCTTCTTGACAGGTTTCCTGGCTACAGGCTTGGCCCGTTTTCGCTCTGCGGGAGCTTCGGTCTTGGTGGTTTTTGTGCGACGCGAAGCATCGTCCTCGTCCACATCAGCGACGCGCTTCCGCTTGGTAGACCTTGGCTCTGGTTCTTTGTGTGTCTTTCCATTGGAAACTTTTGATCCGAGTGTCAGACTTTGGCCGGTACGTCGCTGTTTGAGGCGCTGGGACGCGTCGAGGTGGACTCTGGGTACTGACCTGGTTTTGGCTTGCTCGTAGTCTGTTTTGCGACAGCAGCCCGTTTAGCGGGCTTGGCGGCTTCTTTTTTTGTGTCGACAGCCGCTGCAGGTTTTGCCGATCGAGCGGTTCCGCTAAGCTTTTTTGAAGCCATGAGGACGGCTTGTGAGGGTTGTTTCGTGGGAAGATGGACATGGCATTTCAGCGCACGTCGCGTCTGCATGAGCTCGAAGCTAGGGAAAGAAAAAAATGGCTTACTCATCAAGCCGCCCGCCAGGCTCAGGCACGAACGCGGAGAATCGGGGCCTGGTGTCGTTGATTGGTGGACTCTCGGGTTTACTGTTGCCTGGCCCACCGCGATTTAGTTATGTCGAATCAGTCTCATCGACGCCAACAACCGCGTGTTTGTTTTGTTTCTCGTTCACCGAGCCATTGCTCTTTTGAATCCCTTCCAACACATGTAAAACAGTGACGCAAATGATGGTTTATTTCATCAGTCGTCTATTCCAGGTGCCGCCCGGCTTTGCGAATAAAGGAACCTAGTGGCGAAAATAGTTGGCCGCACCTTTGTTGTGTTCCGCCCAAGCCTGACCTTTTTAGCATGATGTCCTTGGACTTGGAACATGGTGGTGTCATGGTGGCTCGCAAGCACAATAAGCGGCTGAGGGTCAAGGGGCTTTTTTTTCCCGAACAAAGAAAAGGCATTACCGGTCCGGCTACCACGGACAAATGGTCCAATCAAATGCGCGCAGTCGCTTATTCAGTCGCATTACCGTATCCCAACACTGCCTCCAGCAAGAAAAGCGATACAAAGCCTCGGCAATAAGCAGCGCCAGCCTCAGCCCCTCCACCCAAGTAGCCGACCTCCACAAACCACCAGTTGATAGTTGACGTGGATAGATCATGAAATGCCACTTGGACCTGCACATCGCCCCGCTGAGAGAAATAGCTGAATAATACTCTCACAGCCCTCACTTCCTCTCGGTCTTCAATTTCTGCGGTTCATTAGACGGGAGGAAGCATGTCTAGCCCGAAACTCTCACAGCGACTCTGGAAGATTGCTCCGAGAGCAAGTCAAGTCACTCGTTCTTGAATCCGTATTAACACTGACGTTCCGCAGCTCACCCGTAAGGAGCAGATCCGGCAACTGAGCTTGCACGAGTACCAGTCCCAAGATATCCTGAGACATGTGTGAACCTCGAATTGATAGCTTGTTCCGAATGTGAACTGACGGGTGTAGTATGGCGTTCCTGTTCCTCGCGGCCGCACAGTCAACACAGCCAAAGAGGCTCGGCTTGCAGCGCAAGAGCTCGGTACGCCGTGGCCCCAGACCACAGCTAGTAGTCCCTTTAGAGTCCTGACAATGCCACAGGCCCAGAATGCATGGTCAAAGCCCAGGTCTTGGGTCGTGGCCGCGCCGCCGGCCGGTTCGACAACGGGCTCCGAAGCGGCGTCCAAGCCGTTTCGACCCCAGACCAAGCCGAGCACGTCGCGTCCAGAATGCTCAAGCAGAATCTTGTCACAAAATACAACAGCCCCCACGGCCATTTCGTCGACAAGCTGTACGTCACCGAGGCGGCAACCTGCGACGCGCACTGGTACCTCGCCATGACGATTGATCGGGAAAACTACCGGCCTGCCATCATCGTCTCCAAAGTGGGCGGGGTTGAGCTCCATGATGTCGTTGAACAACGTCCCGAAAGTCTGTTTACCTTTAACTTTGGCCTATCGGAGGGCATTACCGATGCCTTGGTGCAGGATATCCAGAGGCGTCTGGGCACGACGGGCCAAGAAACCGAGAGCCTGACCCATATTCTTACCCAAATGCACAGCATCTTCCGAGACCGAGAAGCCACCCATCTCGAAATCAACCCGCTGGGGCGATGCCCCGACGGTTCTTTCACCAGCCTGAGCGCCAATTTCGCCTTCGACAAGGCCGCCGAACAAAGGCAAGCGGACATGTTTGCACTTCGCGACAAGACGCAGGAAGTCCCCGACGAAGTGGAAGCCGAGAAGCACGGCCTAGTGTACGTCCGAATGGACGGCAACATAGGCAACGTCGTCAACGGCGCGGGCCTGTCCATGGCCACCAACGACGCCATCGGGTTCCACGGCGGCTCGAGTGCCAATTTCCTCGACGCAGGCGGAAAGGCGACCAAAGATACCATGATGCAGGCGTTTCGAATCATTACGCGCGACAAGAGGGTCAGGGCTATTCTGGTCAACATTTATGGCGGTACGTTTGCACGCGAATGAATGTTGGCGATCCGTCAGAACTGACAGCGGCAGGCATCACGCACTGTGACATGATTGCCGAGTCGATTGTTGGCGCCGCAAGCGAACTGGACATCCGAGTGCCCATGGTCGTGAGACTGCAGGGCACGAATTCTGAAAAGGGAGTGAAGATGGTACGTCTCGACGGTGAAATGAAGATGCAGGCAGGGATAGCGCTGACAAAGCCGTAGCTCAAAGACGCAAATCTAGGCTTGGTGGTTGAGTCTGATTTCGGGCAGGCGGCGAAGCGAGCGGTCGAACTTGCACAGTCTGTTGGGGGCAATGTAGATGGGCACAGTATCTGAGGAACTTATTCTACGTTGTGGCAGTCGGTCGGATACGAGAAGTTTGCGCACGGGAGCTGGGACTTGCTGGTCAAGAGGGTGAATGCATGACTTGATTGATGCCGTTGTCGTGCAAGTCAAGTGATGGTCGTGAAGTCGTGACTGCACTCGGTCCGGCAGCCACTTCAGCCGCGTCAGCCACGTCAGCCACGTCAGCCACGTCAGCCACGTCGGCCACGTCGGCCGTCGCTCGCCCCGCCTCAGCACCAATCTGGACCGGTCAATCGGCCACTGATTGGCCCTTGCGACCAGCGGGAAGAGACCCACTTGGCAATTCAGCAGGCGGATGCAACTTCAAACCGGCAGCGTGAATCTGCGGTTCGTCTGACCCGTCATCGGCGTCCATTGTGCAATCTCGAATGCTGCGTTTATTCTCGTTTGTTGTCCATTTATCCATCAATTCAACTCCCAGTGTCGCCGCCTAGCGCGCTCATAGTCTCTCCACAGCCATGGCCACGGCTGAAAAAGACGTCAACACCATTGCCTTTGCCCGGACGCTCTCCAATGTCCCCTGGTGCGAAGACTACGAAAAGATGATATCGGGAGTCCTGTATGGCCAACACCACCAGACGCTGTCTGCAACCTCATGTCTTGCAAATTTCCGGCCTCACTGATGCCCGCCTAGGTACGACGCCCAAGCAAAAGAACTTGTACATGGTCGCTTCCGCGCACGACGCCTCATGCACAAGTACAACAATCACTTCCCCGACGACGCCACCCCGGACTCCCTCCTTGCAGATCGGAAGGCCATGCTGCAGGCAACGTTTGGAAAAGTCGGCAAGGGCGCCTTCATCGAGCCACCCATCAACATCGACTACGGGTGTAACATTACTATTGGGGAATATTTCTACTCCAACTTCAAGTACCTCGCTCCGTTCCCCCCGCCCCTCCGTCACCCACTTGTCCGCACCGCCCAAAACTTGATTGCTAACGTCTCCGCCGTAGCCTCGTCATTCTAGACTGTGGCATCGTCAAGATTGGAAACAGGGTGCAGTTTGGTCCCTTTGTGTCTATTTTCGCCGCCACCCATGAGACGGGCGTGCAGTCGCGCCGCCAAGGGGTGGAATACGCACAGGGCGTGACCATTGGCGATGACTGCTGGATCGGCGGGAATACCACCATCATGCCGGGCGTGACTATTGGTAAGGGATGCACGATTGGCGCGGGGAGCATTGTGACCAAGTCGATTCCCGACTTTTCCGTGGCCATGGGTTCGCCGGCTCGGGTCGTGAGAACGGTTGATGCTGTGCCCGACTTGTGAAGTTGGCTTCGAGCGTAGCGTGTAGACAGCGCCCGGTGGTGGCTTACCCGACCACGGCATGTAGACATTTGTCACATGGGCTCTCATCGCCCTCTGTGTCCCTTTTCTATTCTTGTCAACTACTCAGGGTGTCTCCGTACTTTTAGCAGCGCCATTACAAAGGCTACCGGGCCATTCAGATTGGGCATTTTGCGCTGCGAACAAGCCATATCCCGTATAGTTTCCCAAGGGTACCAACCCCTTGCGCTTCTTTTCCCCTTCCTCTTCTCATCACGGGGAAAGCAAAGCCAGATTCCCAACAGGATGGCCAACAACGACAGTACAATCGGCTGCAAAACCTGGGGACCCTTGGCCTGCGCAAGAATACCTGTCAAAAACGGCAAGACTGCCGCGCCACAGCCACCAAAAGCAGAGGCGAAGCCAAGAACTACAACGTGATGCTGACGAGGCAGCAGCTTGCTAGCCACGAGAATCGCGTTGGGAAACAATGGCCCCAGGAAGAAGCCCTGGAAGGCGACCGCAACCACGGATACGTAAAACTTTGGCACGAGCCAGAAGACGAGTTCAAGAGCGCCCGCAACACCGATGTAGAGCTGATACAAGGGCAAAAAGAGAGAGAGAGAGAGAGACATTAGAGAGGACGTCTATGTGCAAACGGGGAGCACGGCGCCGAGACTTACAGCAGTGGACGACTTGACGCCGACTCGGGGCGTGACGAAACCAAGAAGGGCGCGCCCAGCAGTGATGCCTAGCCAGAAACCGACAGCAGACATGCCACTGGAAAAGGCCTCTCCCTGCCGAACGCGGAGCATGAAGACGACGATCCATCCACCAAGAGCTACCTCGACACCTACGTAGCACAAGAGAAAGGCGGCCGTCACCCACGTCACGCGCGCGGATGGCATGCGGAAAAGCGCCTCGGCGAGGCCCATGGACTTTTTTGATCCACTCACCTGGTGAATGCGGCGGTATTCCGGTCCGGAGGATGACCAAAAGGCAGAGGCCAGGACCACGATCTCGGCGGCAGCCAAGCCAATCTGCGCAGCATGGTCAGCCGCTTCTTGTCAGCAAACGCCGGCACGTGCGTCCCAACTCACCATGATGTAGTAGAAGGAGTACCACGGCTGACTGGCCTTGGCGATGAGGGTCGTGGCGATGGAAGGGCTTGCGGCGCCGCCAACGCCATAAAAAGCATGCAGGAATCCCAGCAGCTCGCTCGAGTTGGCGAGGCTGCCGATCCAGGCATTCCACGCGGCGTCGGCCACGCCGTTGCCGAAACCAGCGAGGACAAAGGCCAGCACGAGCACGGCGTACGGCGGGTGCAGCGCGGTGATGGTGAACGCAGCGGCGTGGCAGCCGCCGCAGATGAAGGCGACGCCGCGCTGGCCGAGTCTGTGGTGCAGATGGTTGTTGAGGATGGCCGAGCAGACGTACCCCACGAAGGGGGACAGGAAGATGAGCGACACGACAGTATATGTCAGGTCGTAGTGCTTCTCGAGCTACCGGGCGTCAGCTGCGTCTTTGCGACGCGCGGGAAAGCACAGGCGGCACGTACGTAGGGAATGACGGGCTGCCCACCGTCAGCAAACGGCACATTTACATTTGGGAGCACGGGGCGGCTACTCACACCGTAAGCCGAGTCGTTGGCCCCCATGACCAGGAAACTGAGGAAACACGCCGCCACGCGATGGACATTTGTGCGCGACCCGTTCCACCGCTCTGCGGCTGCGGCTGCGGCTGCGGCGGCCGGGCTCGGGCTCGGATTCGGCTCGCTGCCCGGCAGCCGTGCCGCGCCCGCAGCCGCATCGGGACGGGATGCTACGTTACTCGGGGGAGCAGGATTCCGCTCCAGCTCGGCTGCTGAGGTCGTCGTCGTCGACATTGCTGCGTCTATGCCACTCACTCCACTTATCATGTGCACTTTGCGACGCTGGAGACGGAAGGAACTGAAAAAAACTCGACAAGCCTAATCTCGTAACAAAGTGGATCGGCGCACGAGTCAATCCCGACGTCGGAAATCTTCCGATGCATCTCTCTTGCGCCCGCCCCAGCGCAGGGGAACCTATCATGCCTTGTCGCCTGTCGCAGGGCATACAGCAGACGTTGACACGCATTGTATCGAATAGTATCCCAGGTACCGGCGTCCCGGGCCGTCCATTCCGCCCCGAGCCTCGGGCCCACGGCAATGCGGCTCCGAACCGCCGCATGAAGTCGGTCGCTGCAAATTTGGTGCCGTTCTCCACCGACTCGTTACCCAGGGCTACTTTTCTTCACCTGCTGTTTCGGAGATTAAAAGACTCACTAGAACTTTGCCCTTTCTCCCTGCTTTTTTTTCACCTTTTTTTTTTATTTGCACTTGTTGTATGCAGAACCGTGACGGGCGTGACCAACGGACTTGTAGTTTTTATGAGTAGTAATTGGTTTCAACTAATTTCTGTCTCTGGGTTTAAATGGCCTTGGGGATTCGCCCCGTCTCGCTCGCCTGACCCCTCTGCCATCCGCAGCAGGATCTGTTCACCGGATTCGGAAGTCTCGGCCCCTTATCCGTGGGACAAGAACATTCTAAATATAGCGCATATAGTACAGTAATTTATGTCTATAACGATCCTGTGTTATAGCGATTTTTGCGTTTTTACAATAATTTACAGTTATCTTAAGTTTTTCCCTAGTAAATTATTAATAGTTATATTACTAATAATATTACTAAACTTTTTGCTTAGTTACTATATATTTTATTTGGGGAATTGCTACACGGGCATGACACTTTGGCTACACGGGCATGACTCTTACACGGGCATGACTTTTACCACTTCTGATTGGTCGCATTGTCTCTGTTAACGACGCTGGATTCTGCCACCTCAGCCGCAAGTACCTGGGCCATTTTAACCTTGCTTCTGTGTAAATTACTTCATTTCGGCTAAGCTACTACGCAGCAACCCAGTGGTCGCGCAGTCGGGGCGACCCCCTCGAGCTTGCTTTCTTCATTTTCGTAGCTTTTAATAAACCATAATACGGCACCCTATGCTGTAGAGATAGCGACCAATTCTTTCACTACAATCTTGTTCTCTTCTCAAGACGTCAATGTCTTTGCCTCGCACACCTCCTCGCAGGTCGCGGAGCCCTAGTCCCAGTGATCAATCACAAAGAGGAAAGCGACACAAATCCAGTCGGCGACGCAGATCTAGTCCTTCCACAGTTGAAGACCGACCACAATCCGCGAGTAGCTCTGCTACGAGTATCGGTCAGTTCTACGGCCTCGGGGACGAAAATGCACTCGATAACCTGTTCGCCTCTTTCCCGCAAACACTTTCAAGTCTCCCACACCCCCATGGTTCACAGGGCCGCCATGAGCCTGCATGGGGCCTTCGATCTGACTATGAGATATATCTTCAAAATGACTTCTTCCGTGGAAAAAGATGGAGCCAGCGAGTCAGAGCGCTTATACCAGGCCCAGAATTTGATCCATTCGCCTCTGAACCTCCCGAATCACCCCCATCCGCCCAGCATCTCCCAACAAGGACAAGAGCCGAGTTCGAGTCCGCAATGCGCATAGTACGAGAGGTTACCGGCGAAGGTCGAAGGCTAACTGTAGACCTTGCTCGATCATACGAACGTGTACAAGCTTGGCGAGAGAGATGGGGATGGTCACCATTAAGTTTCGAAGCATATGACTCTCCTCCACCGTACTCTCCACCTCGTAGGTCACCCACACAACCTCCTCGAATATCACCGACGCCCGAAAATATTAGTTCCTCGCCTATGCGACAGTCTCTATCTCCCGCCCCGGAGCCAATTCCGAACCCAATAATCCCTGGCGACCCAGCGCCCTCGGCCGAAGTTCTTTTTAAAACAACCAACGCATTTGCAAAGGAGAACGGATTTGGTATTATTCGGCGGAATAAATATTCCTATAAGGGACGGTTGATTAGGTACTCCATTCAATGCGACCGGTTTGGACAATCTCGGGCCTCGGGGGGTTCTGGTCTTCGAACCCGAAGGTCTCGGAAGTGTGATTGCAAATGGATGATAATTGCTGAAGCCCTAGAGGAAGGCAAGTGGCTTCTTCGACAACATAGAGACCCGAAACATCACCAGCATAACCATGAACGGAGTATTACGCCATCTGCGCATGTTTCCCACCGCCGCCTTACTACACCAGTTAAAGCAACCATCGAGTCAGCAAGCCGTCGCGCGGGTATTCGAGCCAGTGATGTAGCTGCTATGGTTGAGGAGCAATTCCCCGATACAACACTCCTGCGGAAGGATATCTATAATGCCCGTTCGTTCATTAACCGAGAGAAGCTAAATGGCTATACACCTACTGCGGCATTGATCAAACTCTTTGATGAGAAGAAGATCCCATACATCGCGAAATGGGCCGATGATGATCCAGATAGACTGCTTGGTCTTGTCTGGACCTTTCCGTACTGTCTACAGATGTGGAAGCGCTTCCCCGAGGTTATTAGCTTTGATAACACATATAACACTAATCGCTTCAAGCTTCCTTTATTCCAGGCTACTGGCCAAACCTGTCTTGGAACTGTGTTCAATGCTGCATTTGGCTTAATAGATAACGAGAGGAGGGAGGGGTTCCAATTCCTTGCAGAGAGTGTTCGCAAGCTCATTACAAAACACTCACTCAGGGAACCAGATGTCATCATCACAGACTTCGACAAGGCTATGAAAGCTGCCGTTAATGATCAGTTTCCAAATGCACAGCAACAGCTTTGTATTCATCATATCCTTTCAAACGTTTTGCTTAAATCGAAGACTAGGTGGACGGGCCAACGTGAGGACAGTACTACTAGCCCTAGCGCTAGTGACAGTGAAGACATTCCCTCACAGGCGGATGGCGGGTTGAGCACTACAGATAAGCATCTGATCGAAGATCGGTCGAGTAGTGATAAGATTCCTCATACTTACCAAGGCGTTGTTTTAATGTGGAAAAAGGTTCTCTATGCCGAGACTGAGGAAGCGTTTGAGCAGGCATGGAGAGATCTTTGTAAAGAGTTCGACGACCAACGAGCGATCTTACAATACCTCTACTCGACTTATATGCCTGTTAGTGCTCAATGGGCACGTTGCTTTATCCGTCGTTATCGTAACTTCGGAATCCGAGTTACGTCCGGCACAGAAGCAAGCAACAATAATATCAAAAGCTATCTATTAAATGGCATGAGCCACCTCTACCGACTCGTCGAGGCAATGCAGGATATGATACATGACCAAGAACGTGCCTTTAAGGATGCCTGTGGACAGGATGATGTCCTGACTGCTCCACAATACCTAGGTTCGATGGGAAACTATCTTGGTGAACTACGAACAACCATGTCATCGAAAGGACTTGGGTTAATCAACAAGCAATACTGTATTGCTCGCAAATTTCTGCCGACGGGGAAGAATCCCTTCCCCGACTCTATTGGACTTTGCGACGACGACTGTACGGTCTCTATTGAGCTGGGAATCCCATGCTATCATAAAGTCTACGCAAAGCTAGATTCTGACACACGTTTCACTAAATGGGAGGTCCACCCACGCTGGCGACTACGGGAATCGGCATCTCAAGATCCATACCGACGAATTCTTGACCCGAAAGTTGCCACTGCACTACGTGGAAGGCCAAAGAATACAGCGCAGGTTATCCCAGAAAGCCTAGCTATTACATCAAGTAGCCGATCTGATAATCAACCAAGTGGGCGACGAGGTCGACCGCCAGGAAGTCTCAATAAGCCAACTCTTGCTAGGAGAGTGCATAAAGCTACTCGAGAAACCATCACACAAACTGGTGGCCAAATTGGCATCTCAGCCCAGCAAGGGCCAGGTAGACCTTCTAAAGTCCTAAATGCTGGGAATACGACAGGCGTGCGGTACAGTGGACGGAGGACGCAACGAAACATTCGCAGGACAAGGAGTCAATGGGAACTGGCTAAGAGTGATGACGAAGATCCAGATTGTATCGTTGTGAGGCAATAAATTAAGTAGACCACATCACGTCTTTTGCCAGTATTTGACAGTTACTGGCTAACAGTACAAGGACGGTAGTTTAATCCGAAATGCAGGCTTGCAAGATAGCAGAAGACCAATCGCGCCCACAACGATAAGTGACTGCAATTCATGGTGATGTAGGAGCTTGTTAGTGAAGTTGGCTACACCGCCTTTCCGAGGAAGTATCTGTGGGGCCAAGAAAGTATGCGACCAATCAGAAGTGGTAAAAGTCATGCCCGTGTAAGAGTCATGCCCGTGTAGCCAAAGTGTCATGCCCGTGTAGCAATTCCCTTTATTTGTCAGCCGAAAAATAGGGGTGCATGCGCTGTGTGTAATTGCGCAGTAATATAAGGTCAATTTGCGTCTCCAATTGCTGGAGCGCGTTCCACTTTTGCGTGGTGCAGTTGACCTTGCGATTTTCCGCCACCATTATTATTATTAAGCTCTACTATAAGAGCTAAATTTCCTTATAGTAGAGCTAGATTTCCTTATAGTAGAGCTAAATCTCGCTAGGTGTAATTTTCCTAGTAAATTTAGGCCCTATAATAGTTGCATCTTAACGATAGTTGCTATATAACGATAAAAAAAGCCTCACAAAGGATATTATTATAGACCTAGTTTACTGTATATTACACTTAAACACTGTATAAATACAGTGCTATACAATACAATGCAACACGTGAGCTTATTCTCAAACAGAAAACACAATAGTCTGGGCCGCCGCCATGTCGTGAGCAAGTCAGGCTGGATCGCTGTCACACCGGTAGTGACACAAGGGCTATCTATGCTCACGAACCACGGCAGAAGGCTGTTGCGTAAAACGAAGCCTGTGCCCACGAGGACCTTGTGTACCAAAGTGTGTCATATGATGAATTGAGCCAAGGTGCTCCAAGCCCTCATCCCACACTCCTCCTGTTAGACGAGCCCTTGTCGAACACGACAACACGATTCTCCGCAACCCGGAGCAAGAGAACGAAGCGCAGAGTACAAATAAACACCACGGCCGGTGTTCCCTCGTGCGGGACCCAAGCACGAATCCGTCCCTTGCTCGCTGCTTCTGGGAGACTAGACGACGGGAAGCACTTACAAAGCCATGGTTGACGAGTTGAATTGATTCTTGGAGGAACGAAGACCCTAGTGATGTCGGCAAAAGAAGTCATCACTACTATCAATGGCCTGCACGGTCCTCTCGTACAAGTCTAGAAGTGGCCGGTGCTCCACGGAACTCACGGCCAACCACATGACTAGCTGCAATGCATAAAGGTTGCAGCTATCACGGTGGCACCGTAAGCCACTCATGGACCCGGAAATCTAGGGACGAAAACCCAACGCGTCTTGGCCCCTTAATGCCTCAGTTATCTACTCACTCAGGGTATACACACAGGGACCTATCTTGTATATGTAGCCCTTGTTAGCCGGGTCTGTCAGATCGGGGAGCCAATGACCTTCAAGGCCATGCGACATCACATGTGATGGGTTTATGCTCTGAGCCCTAATCCTCGTGGCTAGCCCTTGTTACCCCTGGGCTTCGTCCCTGCTACACAGGGCTATCATACTGAATCTTAGGCCGGCATGTTCCGCTAATCGTTTACAGGGCGTCCATGTCCATGTTTCGGCCGTTGAGGATGTAGTCGTACGCCACATGGTCTAATACCTATCATGGAAGAAGGACGGTGTGCGCCGCTTGGGACGTGGTTGAAGATGACGCCGACCTTTTGTGTCTGTCAACTAGAGCAGCGACTTGAACCAGGGCTGAGCAATGGGAGCGGCAGGGGAAACGTTTTCCGGCAGAAGACCTTTCCAGGACAACGCGCTTACATTGTCTGTCTGTTGCGGGGGCTGGTAAAATAGACGGAGACTCGTTGGTGCCGGCATGCGACGTCCAGCACGAAGAGTAGCTCATTTGCCGCCGAAGAATCTGGAAGGCGTGCCGTCATGCGTCGCCTAGTCGAGCTCGTAGAGATCCACAGCACTATTCGAGTATTGTAGGGTGATGTATCGTACAGCCAGCTCGAACTGTTCGGTTGAAATGGGCCGGATCATGGCTGATGTTGCATGCTTGACGTTTCTTCTGTGAAGAGCTGGCCATAACTCCTTTGTGCCGCGCCCCCTCCGATGTAGCCCCGACATAGGACCGGAAGACTAGCTCGAGTCCGTAACAATGGCCTCGATTCTGGAAGCAGGGTCCTTCCGTGACGTGTACCCAGCCCAGCGGGTCGTCGTCATCCTATTCGAGATACATTGCCCGTGGAAACTGCCCCGTATTTGCCGGTTTTGCAGCTGGTCCGAGTCATTCTTTGAGGTCAAGGTTGTCCTGGAGGCGCTGAACAGTCAGTCATCCTGTTGCACGGAACCTGCGGCCTCGCACAACACAGCCTGAACTGCATGACTGGCAATGCACAAGGTTGCAGCTATCACTATTCCCTCATAGGCACCCGCGAGCCCGGGCATTTAGGCACAAGGCCCAAGATGTGTCGGCCCCTTGATGCTTCAGTCACTTGGTCGGGCTACACACACAGGCACCTTCTTGTACATGTAGTCCTCGTTGGTCAGGTCCTTCAGACAATCATGCGTCAATTGAGTTCTTCTGCTCTAGGCCCTGATGTCACCGTGATCCAGCGCTTGTTACATACCCATTGCCGAAACTGCTCTTTGTCACGGCCCCAGGCGGCAAATTCGGCTTGTCGTAGGGCACTAGGATGAACTTGCACAGCATGCGTCTAGGAGCAGCTTAATGTCAACACGTACGAGTCACGACAATAGACAGGGAAGCCACAGTTCGGGTTTGTGGGAGAAAGGCTTTCAGCGTACGTCACCCGCCAGGTTCTTGATTATAGCCATGGTTTTCCTCACAGAGTAAGAATTGCCATCCCCTTAAATGACAGCAGATGGCTCGGCTCTGATTTATCAGCTTGATGAAATTCACAATCAAGACGGTAGTCGAGTACCGACTTTTGCGTCATGCCACGTCCGCCGACGGTGATGGCATCGTACCGTGTCAAAGTACAAACGCAATTCGGGAAGCGGATAGGCACTAGACAACTCGGTAATATGCAATGTAGTATCACCAGTCAACCAGACAGACGTGGGCGATTGCCGTCACGCAGCATGACGTTCACAGCCCACGTCGAGTCAAGCTTGGTGCTAAGCTGCAGAGAAGTCTCCGCCGTATTCTATCCTGAAGGACGAGCTGCGAGCTGCGGATCAGAGGGCACTTGAGGTTGCCGGGGGATCACTTGAACGAAATGGAGAGCGTGTGGAAAGTGAATGCCAGCTGCCACGAGAGAATTCATGTCGTTCCCCAGAGCGTTTGAACAAGTCTCACTTTACCAGATATTCGCATCCCAGGAGCGGTCGCCATATCACTCGCGCGACTAGCCTCACGGGACCGCAGAGAAGTGTCAAACGTACGCATATAGGGCTTGGCACGAGTGGAAGTGGGCTGATGCCGTTTCATGTGGCCGACTTGACCCGCACGCCTTACACGCGCAACTCATCGTCGGATTCCGGCATAGCTGTCACGACTGCCGGCGCGGCCGCTAGAATGACTCGAATTCAACGAGACTTCATGCACGTCAAGTCCAGGTTACCAACACAAGACTAGTACTAGATGGCGTATCCAGATTCAGGCACTACGACGTCGAGCTCCTTCACCATGACCCATGACCGGCCACGCGTGAGTAAGGCCGACTCTCCATGCCGCCTCAAGATACGCACGCCGACTCATGTGCTCAACGCTAGCTGCGCAACATGACGGGACCTCCTCGCGGCTCGAGATCCTGGGACGATATTCTCGCGCGGTTCTCGGCGGGCGACACAGAGCCCGTCTTGTCAACATAAAAGGCTTCAGTTTCCCCCCTCTCGCATCTCTACACTGACCTCAACTCATCTCCCAAAATCAAACAAACGTTCCTTCTCTCCTGCCCCAAATACTCAATCATGAAGTCCACCATCATTTTCATCTCCGCCGTGGGATTGACCCTGGCAGCACCACAGTCGTCCTGTGCCAATGGGGTTCAACACCCGAAAACCGGCACCGCCGGCAAGCTCCCATGGAAACCACAGCCTTGGAACAGCAATCTCTTCGAGGAGAATGAGGGCAAGACCTTGGATCCGGCCGTGGTCCAAGAAAATCAGGATCGCTTAGACAAGTGCGCTCGTGCGAAAAGACTCGACGAAGATCTCTGCGGCACAAAACTCTACTGTGAGGTGTTCGACCGTATTAACGGCATCATCGAGAATCTTGATCAGTCATTCAAGGACTACAAATTCGAGTACACCTCTCAGAAAGAATGCCTTGAGGCCCGCGAGGAACCAACCGCCCAGTCCAGCACGTCAGCGGCGCCCAAGCCTCCTGGCATGCCGCAGCAGCCTCCCGCAAAGACAAAGACGCAGCAGTCCTCGGACGAGCGGCTCCAAGCCCACTGTGGCCGTTTCGGAGATGAAAAGGCGCAAAAGTCGTGTATGTTCGCCGCCAGACGGTGCACGGCGCAGGTCCCTCGTGGTGCACCCGTCGACCAGTTCCTAGCCTGCGTTGACAGGATGCAGTTCTGTGCCGACAGTTTTAATGACATTAATACGTCACTTGACGAGTGCTTGGACAAGACGAAGAGGTGCAGCGAGGAGAAGAAGTTGCCTCTGGGAGATTTGACGAAGCTTGCCGAATGTACGAAGTAGGCCATGTAGGCTGTTGGCCTCCCGCGTCGAGATGTGTCCTGGGCTGCCCGTACACGCGGCAGCCTCTCTGTCGTTTAGGTATTCGATTTAGCTCAACTTTAGTCATTAGAAATAGAATGTCACGTTTTGTCTGATTGCAAGGCGCACGAGCACGAGCACGAGCACGATAGAACAGGCTGACGAATGGGCCGAGTTGTGCAAATGTTAATCTTGACATGTGGAAAGACCTCGCGGGGTCGTCGTCTGCACTCGAGCTGCTGCTCTGCTACGGTTCCATAGGAGCCCGGTCAAAGACCAGGGCAGCAGTATTCGGCCTGCGGGCCTACTTGTGCATGTCGAGTTGATTGAGGCCCGGGCTGTTGCCATTATACCTCTTCGTGTCTTGGCGGTGATGCTCGCTTTTCAATCAAGAGCCGAGAGCATGTAGAGGTACCTCCACCATTGTAAAGAGCACTCGTAGGAAAGAAGACGAATGTGCAGCTACAAGCTGAGAGCGTGGTCACTGTGTTGTAACGAACTGGGTGAGTTTGTCTAGATTATTTCCGAGCCAAGTGTACTTGAAACCACTTGCCTTTTCGGCTCAATGAACATGTAGAAACTGTACAATAACTCGCTTGGATGTCTCTCTCTAAATTCCCAGCACTTGGACGCCTTTGCAAACCATCTTGGTTATTGTCTGTTGCGTGCACAGTGCAGATGTGTTTGTTGACACTGTATTGTCCGTTGGCAAGTCGAGACCCCTCTGACTCAAGACTACTCATGTACCTGATTGTCAAGCAAGGACTCAGGCCGCCTCAGTCTTTCCAGTCATGCCCTCCCGCGACACGTCAGAGCGGTCTGGCCGCAGCGAATACGAGCGTTTTCAACGAGATGGCCGAGAAAGCGGGCGATGCCGAGTGGGACAAATAGAGGGATAAAGTTCTTGGGGCTCATGCCGAGATTGCGTCCTTTGTTGGACGTCGAGTTGGCCGTGAAGCTCCCAAGGTCATTGACCGGCTAGGGGGCTCCTTTTATTTCTGCCCTCAAGTTGTCTTCGACGATGGGGCCGGCGACGCCGTCGTTTGATTTCTCAGACCTGGACACACGATTTTCAGAGACGAAAAGGTCACCAATAAGCTTCACATCACCAACTTCCTCTAAGAGCAGACGAGTAACCCTGTACCACAAATGCTGAGCTGGGGTCTAGCTAAGGATAGACTGTACAGCTTTAGAGTCTTTATTATTTCAGAGTTTCTCTAAGGAGTCTGTTTATCTAATGTTCTAAAAACCCTACTGTTTCTATGCAGCTCTATCCCAATCCGAACATTGATAGCAGGATACCAGATAGTGTTTTTGGCAAATAGCTGACATCTTACTCTAGCTGTTTCAGTTTAACTTTTCTTGCATCAAGGCAGTCTCCCAAGGCTCGACTTTGCACACATGGTCTGTCCACCCAATGGCCTCTTACTTGCAGCATGAACGAATGGGCAACTACAGCCTTTATCCTGTTGACAAGTCTGCCGCTGGCCCATCTGAAAGCGTAAAGAGGTACTCCAGGCACCTCTATGACCAGAATTCAACTCACCTCCTCACTCAGCGCAACCTCAGTTCCACCGCCATCGAGGCCAAGGAACAACAGGATGACGACGTCTGCGCGGCCCTTGGACCTTTCGTTGAGATGAAGATGGAGCAGTTGACGGCATATGACGAAGACTGTAGAGCTTTGCTGTAACACGTAGCATGTGAATGGAGTTGTCACCGGGTTTTCAGTTTATAGCTGGCGCCTTGGAACTGCAACGCCCAACGGCCAAGCAGGGCGACAGACGGAGAAAATCTATTGCAGAGCTGGGTGGCTTCCTTCATTGGTAGACGCTAGAGACAATAACAGCTCCGCCTGATGATAGCTTCCTCCTGCGTGACGTGCGAGCCTGTTCCGGCACCACGACGCTCCCAAGACTTCCGCCCTGCTGCGATAGCTTCGCGTGCCGTTCTAGCTGCCTCGCGTCTCTCCCCGAGACTCACCGCTTCGTCTATGCGCTCCTGCTCTTTATAGGGTGGGACTCAGACTCACCCATCGACTTCAGTTCCAAAATGACTGGCGTTTCGCCTCGGCAAAGCGGTGGACGGTTGCGAAGCCAGCACAGTCGTTCAAGAAGCGACTGCGCCGAGCAGGGGGCCCAGTATTGGCCGTCAGTTGGCCTTGTTGGCCGTGAGGCGAACCGCAAGCTCTAGAAAGCAACAGTGTCGAGTGGCGGACAAGAACAGGCAAGGCGGAGGGGGTGAGTGAACAAGCGAGTTTGAGATTTGAGAACATCAAGGACATTGCGTGCCTCGACTACTCCGTACTGTGATTACACCCACGCACACTGCAGAGTCCGCCACGTAACGCAACAGCAGTTCGTCGGTCACATCTCAGCTAGCCCCGACAGACTTACCATCAGTCTAGCATCACGGCCAATCTCAACGCTTCTCTCCAACGGGTCTACCCGCAACATCAGGCGCAGCCCAGCCCGTCACATTTCAAAAAGGCGCTCGACGCCTTCCCAGCCCTTCAGGCCTGGTGTGTCGCAAGTCAGAAACAGCAAACGTAGCCAGTATGGATCTTGACTTGCCATGTCGTGCGTTCAAGGGGGTACGTTGCCGCCCTGGCTGGAGATACGTAAGATGGGCGAGTACAGAATACTTTCGACTTGAACCAAAGGTAGCCAAAGTGGACACAGTCCAGCAAACGTCACCATCAGAAGACGGGAAAAGTTGAAATCACATGAATGACCGCGGAAACATGGTCTCATTTAATCTCTCCACGCGCCATGGCCGAGCTCAAACTCACGCGCAAAGTCCACGCAACGACCGCACGTGCGCTAAATCATTTCAAGGGCTGCCACTAGAGCCGCGGCTTCTGCTCGATTGCTGTGCCGCCGTACCATTAGCCCTTGAATCTGAGCCGAGACCCTTTCCGGCCCGGGTAAGCAGAGAAACTGACGCAAGTACCGTGACCGGAGGAACGAGTGACGCATTCCCCATCGCAGCATCTGCCGAGCGGGCCGTAGAATGAGCTGCACATCCTTCCGGGCGCGAGGCAGAGCCGGCCTCCTGACTTTGCGCCCCTTAGAATGGCTGCCACTGCCAGGGGCACGAGGCCGGCGAGAATGACGACGGAAATTTTCATGCTGTCTGGTGACGGTGAGGGGCTCGACGTGTAACAAGGCGGGTTGCCGGGACGGAAAGCAGACTCTGAACTGCTCAAGGTCTGCCGCTGCAATATATACTTTGCCGGCCGTAGCATGGAGTGGACAGCGGAAGACTTTCCTTTCGACATCAGCGTACTGGGGGTTGGACGGGCTGGACACTTGCCGAGTCCTCATCGTGGTGTGTTGGTGTGCCGACTCCTCATGCTCGTGTTGGTGTGCCGATGTTCTATTCAAAGGTCTATCGCTGATCCTTCTATGGAGACGGTGGTGTTCCGATTCGCCGGGGACTCGAGTTTCGCAACAAGATACGCCTGAGAATGGTTTCGAATGCAGCAAGACGTTGTTTGGTCATCAGACTGTCCACACCTGATTTACAAATCGGGTAACCAACATTGACGCCTTGTACGCATTGGGAACTTTATTGGCTCTGTATCTATTGACGAAAGGGGCGTTCCGACGCGTCCTGCTCCGTCCAGAACCATCATGTCACCTTGTCCGCACGCGGACATGCGTCAAAATTCAAAAGTCTAGGCCATCCTTTCTTCCGCCAGAGTGCCTCGAGTTGACGGGATTTCCTTTACTGATTTCCCGCGCCTAGGTTCAAAAGACGCATGTCTCGACCTGCCGGTCATGAGTCACGATGGTTGCTTTTAAAAGGTTTTATAGACGCCCTAGACCAAGATGGCACAAGCCCAGGCAGGACACGAGACGGCCGCGGCTTAGATGCTCTGCTCCGTCAGCGGCCGAGGAGCGCCTTCATCGTAGAGCCCATGAGCCCGGGGTGAGGGACGACAACCGCACCCGCGTCCTCCAACGCCCTCGCCTTCTCCGCCGCCGTCACGTCCCTGGCGGTCAGGACGGCGCCGGCGTGGCCCATGACCTTGCCCCTGGGCGCCGTCTGCCCGGCCACCATGGCCACGACCGGCTTCGGGTCGGGCGTCGCATGCCGATACGCCTTGATTGCCTCGGCCGCGCGCAGCTCCTGCTCGCCGCCAATCTCGCCAATCACGATGATGCCCTCTGTTTCCGGGTCGTCGAAGAACAGCTCGAGGGAATCGGCAATGGTCGTGCCTGGAACCCCATGCCGGTCAGGTCAGCGTGAAGACGGGGGAGACAAAAAGGAGGCAGAGGCAGATGAGGAAGGAAACCATGGCCGCAAGGTCAAAGTAGGCATGTACCTGGCATGGGGTCGCCGCCCACAGCGATGACAAGACTCTGCCCCAGGCCAGCGGCGGTCGTCGACCCGACGGCCTCGTAGCTCAGGGTGCCGCTCTTGGACACGATGCCCACGCAGCCGCGCGCGTACTGGCGGAAGGGCATGATTCCCACGCGGCACCGCCCCGGGGCCATGATGCCGGTGCAGTTGGGCCCTACCAGCCTCGTCTTGCTCTGCGTGCGGAGAACCTCGTGCACGCGCAGCAGGTCGTGGACGGGCATGTGCTCGGCGACGGAGACGACGACGGGCACCTCGGCCTCGATTGCCTCGATGACGGCGCTGGCCGCCAACAGCGCGGGCACAAAGACGCCGCTGACGTGGGGATTCACCTGCTCCATGGCCTGTGGTGCGTGCCGCGTCATTCGATGCCTCGCTCTCACGGCTGGCGGGAAATCGTACCTCTCTGACGGTTCCAAAGACGGGGAGGTCGAGGTGCGTCCTGCCCCCTTTGCCCGGCGACACTCCGCCCACGACCCTCGTGCCGTAGGCAATGGTGTCTTTGGCGTTGGACGTGGCCTTGGGTCAGTCGTTATTAATGAATACCCGGTGGTGTGGTCATCCGCCGAGTGGTGCAAGACTCTTCAGTCTGGGCGTCTCTCCGGCGTCTGGAGTACATACCACCTGGCCGGTGAAGCCTGCATCGCATCATCAGTCCGTGTCTTGTCCACAACAAAGACGGGGTCGTGAGGCTTGTTGGGGGCCAGCCGCACCTTGATAAATGATGCGCGTGCTGGCATTGATGTTCCGCAGGCCGTCCATGGTCCTGTCATAGTCTGTCCACCGTCTGCGCCGTGTGGAAGACCATCTTTCTCCGCCCTCTCGGCATTTGCCAAGAAACATTGCGAGCGTGGTCCTCGACAGCATGGTTGTCCGATGCGAGCCTGCGTGTGTTCTTGGTGCCTCCAGGCGAGCAAGTCGTTGACCGCGCCGCGTCTGGTGTCCAGGTCAAGATGGCCTACTAACTTCCGAGTAGTCTGGTCGGTTATAAGACTTCAAGTGCTCGGTAATAAGCCAGTCGTGGCTCAGGTCCATCCAGTCGGCTATCTGGCAAGTTCCAGCCGCAGGTGCCCCAGATAGCCGCAGGTGCCGTGCCAGAGTCTGGCTTCGCTTCGCACTGCCGCCAATATTGAGACCCAAGCGGCTCTCGGTCTTGGCGAATCTTTATTGCCAAGCCGACAAAGGTCAGGTTGGAGTTGAGCGAGCCATTTTACGCTTGACACGAGAACAGCTGGTGCAATTGAACTAGGTTTTCCCCAAGTCGCTCCCACATGACCAAACAACGATGCGCAACGGCAAGAGGGCGCGGCGTATTTTCCACAGCCATCGGTTGCTAGTAATGGAGGACAAGACTTGTCTACAAGGGCTCAGTGATGCCTTTACCATGGTAAACCTACATGTGCCACGACAGATTGGTCCGTAGCGTCACACATCTGTTTGAAATCTACCTTTCGGCGTGCATCCTCTCCCTCCATGACTTCTTGGCCTTGTCCAACAACTCCTTCGAGCTCAAAACGTCCACCGCCACACCGGCCAAACCCTTTGCAACTCTGATGGCCTTCTCATAGGCGTCCTTGGTCCTTGCTGCCTCCGCAAACTCCGGGCTATGCGGCCCTTGCCCCCCCGGACCGGGTCTTATAAAAAAACCCGGGCTCAGACTGGGCATCGCATGGCTCACGTCGCCCTGGTCTGTACTCGCCAGCGATGTCCCCTCCAGTCGGTCCAGTTCGGCGTTTTCTAGAATCCGGTGTTCCGGATGGAGCGCGTTAAAATACCGCGTGAATGACTGCGCAAGCTCCTCGTTTGGGACGTGGTCCTTGTACGCCATGCCCTTGGTGATAACCATTCTAGCACCAGTTGCCTTGGCCCCTGCCTCAAAGCAAGCAAAGACTTTTTCCCTGACCTCTTCGAGACGGGCCTGTGTTCCGGCCCTCACGACGAATCGACCAGAGGCATACGCGGGGATGATGTTGGCTGCGACGCCGCCCTGCGTGATGTACCCCTGGACAATGTCCCCGGGCATGCTTTGCTGACGGAGCATTGAGACGTTATTGTATGCTGAGATGAGTGCGTCGAGGGCGTTGACGCCAAGCCACGGATTTGCAGCCGCATGCGCCGCGCGGCCGTAGTACTCGACTTCGAATTGCTCCAAGGCCGTCGTGCGCATGCGCGCAACGTTGGGGACGATCCCAGGGTGCGATATGAGACTGATGTCGACTTTATGGTCTGAGAAGGCGCCTGCGTTAAGTAGACGGATTTTGCCGCCCCCGCCTGAAGGAGTTGAAATGTGTGAGGCATGCCAAACATTGTCCACCTGGCGAGCATGTACATACCTGCTTCCGCTGGAGTTCCGAAAAGAACAATCTTGCCTGGCAATCCCTCGTCCTTCATGACCCATGCCGCTGCAATTGCTCCAATTACTGAAGCACTGGCAATCAGATTGTGCCCGCATGCGTGCCCGATTGCGGGCAGGGAGTCTGAAATCTCACGGTCAGCAAAGTGTGTTCACCACCTCTGACCGAGACTTGTGGCAGGGAAAATCCGGCTCAGTAACTCAACGTGCCCATTTCTGCGTTGAATGACACAACAGCACCCTTCACTCCACTGTCATACACCGCGACCCAAGCCGTCTCCATGCCGTAGGCTGAAGGCGTTACCTTCCATCCTGGTTGTCGGGTCATAAATGACGTCAGGGCCTCGTGCGCAATGACCTCGTTGAATCCAAGCTCGGGGTTGTCGTGAATCTTGATGTTTGTCGGCCAGAATTCTTTGCCGACTTTAGCAGCAACCTGACTGATAGCCTGCAGGTGCCTCGGTTCCGCCGCCTGTGCAGACACGCATTCAGTGGAGATGACGACGAATCCGTCATCCTCGTGCTCGAAAAAGTCCATCATGCTGATGCGCGCCAGCCGCCATTGAGTGAGGAGAAATTGCAGCTGTTCTCACCGTCTCACCAACCGTTCAAGAGCGAACCAAAACGAAGTGTCAGCGGGACCTCGCGTGTGTATGGTACACGACCCGGATATGGCGCGGGGTTTCCAATGCTGGCATCACCATGAAGCCGCTTTCGGACTAGCGATCCTTTTGAATTTTGGCGGAGCGGGAGGGTGTTGAGATGATCAACCCATCCTTGGAACAACGGCCTGCTTGGCACTGAGAGAGCTCAGCTTGCGATTGTCGCCGGCCGACGGATTTCCCGTCTCTTTCAGGCCAGCAACGGGCTACTCGCTGCGGTTCGAGGTTGGCCGCAGTCAAAAGGCAAAACCGCCACATTGTGACGCATTGCATCTCGCTGTGCATACGCGACGTTTGTGCCCCGTGGTTGAGCATCCTTGTCGGGCGATCGATGCTCCATATGAAAGAGGTTGTTGATTGAAAGTCGATGCTTTTGTCGAACTCGATTGTTGAAAGCTCGCTTGTTCGTGTGCAAATCTTGTCGATGGCGGTGGCGCATCGTTGCTGTGAAAAGGAAGGAGCGGCCATGATAACGGCAACGGCAACGGCAGGCACCAGCACTCCTATCACATGTCCTGTCGTTGATGACTGCAGTCTGCACTCTGCAGGTGCGGATGAATTGAATGGCATCCGTCACACTAAAAAATGGACTTTTGTGTGTGGTAGACCACCTTATATGCTATGCGACAGCATCGTCGACCTTGGTCTACGTCTGCGTCGTCCACCTCGCCGCCGTCATCGGATCCCAAGCCAAGGGATTCGCAACAGCTGCCGACGCCTTCTCCATGGCTCAGAAGGCAATCACGCCCCCGGACAGCTCCCTGGCGTCTTGCGAGTCTCACAGCTCATCGCTAGACGTCAAACCCGCTTCCAAGGCTGCATCTAGTGCACATGCTCCGCCGCCTCGCCACTTCTTCACGCAGTCTTCCTTAATGTCAGACAACGTGGCCGACTACTTGACCATGACGAGGGGAGGCAATCTGGTTGCCACGACCATTAATCTGATTTTCATCTGTCAACTTTCAAAACGTTTAGCCCCTAGGGCCATGTCAAGTCGTTGACTGAGATGGTAAAACGTAAAAGAGCAGCCAAAAGATTGGGCGTTGGTTGAAGCTTTCAGGACTTCTTTGCTGAGCATGGAGCCCACATGCCAAACCCGGAACGAAGTAAAGTATCTCGAGGCTTTGGTCGCCTGCATCGATGCGCTGGAAATATCATCGCTCTCCGGTAAGAATGGTCTCCATCAAGTCTCGTCGGCGATGCTAATGCGGGTGTTAAGCTTGGATGCATTTCGTCCCTCTCTTCATAGTAGCAGTGATTTGATGAATCAGAACAATTGCCATCCCAGCCATACTCCAAAGACAGTATCGCACAAAACCCTTGTTTCAACTGGAAACGAGCATTAGATACGGGTCGTACAAATAGTAACTTGATAAAATGAACAAACACCACAGAATGAAGCCCAGCTCTATTCCAGCACCTCAAACCAGCGGGCCTGGATCTAACGCATGAGGAATATTTTTGCAAGTGTTTCTTCATCAACTCATCACGTGATGAGTACGTTCTCCTATCCGGTCTGGTGGTCTAGTGGTATGATTCTCGCTTAGGGAAAACCCTAATGCCGCAGCTTGCGAGAGGTCCCGGGTTCAATCCCCGGCCAGACCCTCGGTACGCACAGTGATATGCGCGTGCCTTTTTTTTTTATCCCCTGCGGAAAGGGGAAGGATTTTCTCCGTTTTTGCAAGCGAAGGCGAAGGCGAAGGCGAAGAACCTACATTCTTAGTGCTCTATCGGCCGGTGTTTCACATGGGCGACAGGGCAATGATCAATGAGTAGGCTAGTAAAGGAACTTGTATCACAAAACAACGTGCTCTATCTAATTGCTGTGCCATTCGATTGCCCCTTGATGTTCGGTCACATTCCGCGATGAAAATTCAGTTCCAATATCGATCGAAGTAGACATAGCGCAAAGTAACAGTGATATGTACAACTTGGCGCTTGATGTCTTCTACTGTTACACTGAACTTGCGGTCAACAAAGCCTCAACCACATGACTTCTGCAACGCACAAGAGACGCAGCCCTCGTGATGCCCTCACTGGCATCACGAGGAGCGGGCGGCTACGCACAAAGGCCCAACATGTCTCAACCGCTCGATGTCTCAGACTCTCAGTCACCTAGATCAGGTTACACACAGGCATCTTCTTGCATATTTAGCCCTCATTGGCCGGGTCCTTTAGATGGAGCAACTAAGGACCTCGAAACGATACGTTGTTAACGACATGCCTGTGAATCGAGTCTTTTGCTCCAAGCCCGAATCATCGTGATCCAGCCCTTGGTTTGACGATTGAAACCAACCCATGGCCGTTGAAAGAGTTCGGTCCAGGCAGAGGAAGGCTTCTTATACAGGCGAGAGACTCAGCCGAAGTGAGATAGTGAGATCGGTCCTTGCTGGTCTGCGAGGAATTCGCGCTAAGCTTGCCGCTTCTCTTGAGACTCCAGAGGCTCAACATCTAGGTTGTTAAGCCACTCTTTTGTAGCAACAGGGTGTGTTTAACACGACTACTGCGATGATACACAAGGCACATTACACACAGCACAGTAGAGACTAACCCTCGACCCATATGACTGGAGCCCTACAACCCCAACCCTAAACAGCACGTCAGATGTCTGACGGTGACACATAAGCAGAAAGACCACGAGCTGGGCCTGACTGGTTTCTCGTAAGTAGACGACATTTCTTCATCTAGGCCTTTGGGGAAGCAAGGGCCTTTGAATACTAAAACGTGTTATTACAGTTGAATCAACGAGCTACTACTCCAACCTCTGAGAGTTTGTGGCTACGCCCTTGTTAGAGCTGGACACTGTCAATAAGTCGGGTCTCGTTTACTTTTGTCAGGGAAACTTCAATGACGCCGTAACGGCACGAAGGGAATCAACAGTCCGACTTTGCGTGTCGCGGCCGGCAATCTGCGCAGCATGCCCGACAGTTGAGTGAGGTTGAGTTTTGAACGGGAGCAGTTTGAAATAGATGATTCATATGATTGACGGCGGAGTAGTTATATCGTTGGTACGAGTCAAGTTGGAAGCGTTTTACCAACATGTGTATGCAGGCAACCAACCAGAACTCGATTCCACAGTGAAAACAAGGAGCGACGTCCAAGCGTCACGTGAGGTCGCATTGTCGGTGGCGTTTCATCTCCACCGCCGTCCTTCTCGAAGATGGGAATAAACAACACGCATGGTTGGCTGGCGCAAACATGGCGATTACGTCCCTTTTTGTGCTTTGTTGAGCGCCAAGTCTCAGAAGATCCAACAGAATATCTTGTTCCCTGCAGGTCGGAAACCGTCGCCATGAATACCATCCTCGCCTCCATATTCTCTCCACGCAAGACGTCCGAGAGCCAAGAGGCAGCTTCATCGGCGGTGGCGCCCAAATCAGCACTCTCTAGCAAGAAACTGGGGAGGAAGTCGGCCGCGGGACAAAAGATGGAGAGATCCGTAAGATTCGTAGGTTCCGTAACCGTGCACACTGTCCTGTCGCCGCCATTTCGAATGCTAATCTCCTCTTCCCTTTCTTTTCTTTGTCTTTTTTTTGGGGGGGCCATGTAGCAGAATATCTTGAACGACACAGATATCTCTCCCATATCCACAAAGTCACCCGGTTCGAAGTCGCCGGACAAGAAAACAAGTCCGGAGAGGAGCCGCGCGGAAAGCCCAGCCCGTGCCGGCAACTCCTCGGATCGGGGTGCTGAAGATACAGAGTACACATTTCACCACTTTGCTGGGTACCGCTGGAGCGGCGACTCGATCGAGATCGAAGTAGAGTGGGCAGGGGGCGATACGACGTGGGAACGCGAAGACCAGCTGCACCAAGATGCGCCCGACGCGCTTCTAGAATTTTGGGAGAGCCAGGGCGGGCGCCCGGCGAACCCGAATAACCCAGACTTTTTTGACATTCATGCCATTCGAAAGCACAGCAAGGACCGCAAAAGGCTGCTTGTAGAATGGGTGGGCTATGGCCCAAAGGACGCGACGTGGGTTCCCACGGCCGTGGTGGAAGAAACCGCACCGGAGGTTGTGACCGAGTACTGGAAGACGGTGCAACCTGCTCGGCCGAAGCAGCGACGTCGACGCGGAGCGTGAGGCGCCGTTTGTGGTTTATTTTTGCGTCGAGTCTTTCGGCGCCCGCTCATCACAGTGCCATTTCGTGGCGGCGGAGACGATTTCTTGTACGTGGCATTTTTAAACGGCTGATGTTCTCCGAGGGCGTATGCAGCGGTCGGTCGGCTGGGATGCGTCGACGGTGTCTTGGTCTTTTTTCCACATGGTGGATGGGGCCGGAATGATGTGACGAGTCACGACACAGCGAAACACAGGCATTGTGAACGTGTTTCGACGTGATGAATTTTGCGGAGCGACGATTATGTCTGACGTGAGACGTGACCGGGCGTGTTCTTCGTCGACAAGTCTCGCGGTCGTACCAAAGCCAGGTGTGAATGCGGTGCTGACGGTCGACGCATCAATTACGGCGTGCGACCGCACGACTGGCCATCCTTGGCCGATTCCGGCAAAACCAACGCCAACCCGGCCCAAGACGACGACTTGGATTTCCTCGTCAATCGCGAGCGGCCAATCCAAATTCTCTCGGCACACCTCGGAATTCGCCGCTCGTCAGCGCTTCCCTCATCGGGGTCCGAGCTCCGTCCGGAACAGGAGTCTCGTGTCATCCTGGCATATTATATCGCTTTGCGCTTTGCGCTTGCGCTTCGTCATCTTCCTTTTGTCTTTGCGATCCCCTTCCCGCGAGTTCGCGCGTGCTTGCAGTTCGTACGTCACCGTGACGGTCACTATGGCGTCCAAACCGCCGAAGCGGCCAATTCGGATCGCGAATTGTTCTGGATCGATAAGGTTCGTTTGTGCCCTCACAGTCGAATGCGCTCGTGTTGGATACCCTACAAGCCAAGGCGCGCGACTTGTCTGATGCCCTCGCGAGGTGACTGTGAGGCACGTACTGACGGTACAAGCGATCCCGGCGTTTACATGTACAACCAGGCCAAGGGCGGCCCGGTCGATGTCATTACCGGCGATTACTTGGCGGGTACGTACGCTTTGCCGCCGTCAATGTGTCCCTACTTCCCCAAGCATGTACCAGAGGTGGTTTCTGAAGCCAGGCGACAGAAGCAAACATGGCGACAGAAGCCCAGAAGCTCGCCGGCGAGCCTGATTCACTCGAGACGGGGTGGGCTCGGACTGCCCTCGAGGGTCTGCGGTTGACGCTGCCTCTGGCAAACGAAAAACGCATCAAGATCATCATCAACGGGGGCGGGCTTAACCCGCGAGGCTTGGCTGAGAAGACACACGGGATGGTGCGATATTCATCCGACTCTGCCACGCTGCCGCTCATGGTTTCAGCCCCTGACAACTTCCTAGATCAAAGACGAGCGACTAAGCCTGCGTGTTGCCTACATAGACGGGGACGATCTCATGCACAAGGTTCACAGAATACTGCCGGACGCAGCAACGGCTTCTAAAAATCACCTGGATTCAGCCAACCAAGAAGTGCAGCTTGCGGCGGACGCCCTGTCTTTCCTCCAGGACCCCGAAAACATGCCCATACTAGCGGCCAGGGCCTACCTCGGATACCGCGGCATAAAGCGCGCTTTGGAGGGAGGCGCCGACATCGTCATATGCGGCCGGGTGGCTGATGCGTCGCCCGTCCTCGGAGCCGCCGCCTGGTGGCACGGCTGGGACGAAACAGACTACGATGCGCTTGCCGGAACGCTGGTCGCCGGCCATCTCATCGAGTGTTCGACGTATGTCACCGGCGGCAACTTCTCGGGAGCGCACAAGTATCCCGTGAGCGCCTTTGTCAATCTCGGCCTTCCGATTGCCGAGGTTGCCCACCAAGGGGAATGCGTCATCACCAAGCACGAGGACGCAGGTGGTTTTGTCACACCAGACACGGTTCGAAGTCAGCTGCTGTACGAGCTGCAAGGAAACGTGTACCTCAACAGCGACGTCAAGGCAGATTTGAGCGGCGTCAGGGTCCAGCCCCAAGTCACGGAAAATCGCGTCCACGTCTCGGGCGTCAAGGGCTATCCGCCGCCGCCCACCACCAAGCTGGCCGTGTTCTACCGAGGCGGCTACCAGCTGGAGATCCTGATGAACGCGTGCGGATACGCGACGGACCACAAGTGGGACGTGCAAGAGGCCCAGGTCAGGGGCAAGCTGGACGAATGGGGCCTCCTGGACAAGCTCGACGTGCTGGACTTTCAGAGAATCGGCACGCCGCAGGAGAACCCGGTCTCGCAGCTCGCCTCCACGACGTACATGAGGATCTTTGCGCAGGCCAGGGAGAAGAGCGTGTGCCGAGCCGTGGCCGGCGCCTGGAACGTCGTCTTCATGAGCCACTTCCCAGGTACGTGACGCCACGCCGTGGACGAGGGCACACAGACGACAATGGCAGAACCAGTTTTAACTTTGCGCGGCATGTGTGCCTCGCGAATGAACTCTAGGCGCGCACTGCTCCTGGGACCTGCGCACGCTTGCGCCGAAACCCTTCCTCGGCTACTGCCCGGTTCTCGTGGACCAGGGAGAAATCTGCGAATCGGCCGTCATCCTCACAGACAGGGACGAGCCCGGGAGGCGAGACGCAATCCCCGTCGGTCCGCCTCGGATCACGGAGCCGCTCCTCCCGCGGCTCAACTACGAGACCGACAGCCCGGTGGCGCTCGACTCCTTCGGGCCCAAGACGATGCGGCCCCTTGGCGACGTCGTCCTCGGCCGCTCGGGCGACAAGGGCGGCAACGTCAACCTCGGCCTCTTCGTGCAGACCAAAGACCAGTTCGACTGGCTGCGCTCCTTCATGACGAGAGACAAGCTCAAGGAGCTGATGCGCAAAGACTGGCGCGACTGGTACGCCGTCGAGCGCGTCGAGTTTCCCGACATCTACGCCGTGCATTTCGTCGTCTACGGCGCGCTGGGCAGGGGCGTCAGCAGCTCCAAGTTGCTGGACAACTTGGGCAAGGGCTTCGGCGAGTTCATCCGCGCCGGCTGGGTGCCGATCCCGACGAGGTTTCTGCACGAGAACCCGGCGCACCCGTGAGTGCTCCCGGAGACGGCGAGCTTGTACGCGCTGGTTTGATTTCGCCATGGCCCATGTCGTGCGCCACCGCTGCGCAGTGCGGTGCAGTGCGGCGTTTGTTAAAAGCTGGCGCTGGATGCTTGTGCTCGTCCTTGACGAGGAAGATGACTCGCTCGTACGTACATCTGCGAAGCGTCGCTGCAATACGCCAGCTGCGTGCCTCGACGAGGTATCCCGGCGGGCGACTCTTGCAGCTGTGCCGAGCAGAATCACCGCTCCCAGCGCTTCTGTCAAGGAGCTGAACTACTAGTAGTAGCGTCGGAACGGGCTCGAGGAGATGCACGTCACACCAAAAAACCCACACCACATATTTTTGTGTGTTTAGTCTAATATATGTTATGCGACAATGCATGCTCTCACTCTATAGGACAAAGGCACACTTGGACCCGCCCCAGCTAAGATGCCGCCGATGAGTAAAAGAAGCCTTTGCAGTGGCATCCCGCAGACGAATCAGAAAGAGGCAAGAAATCAGGATAGATGGATCATTCCAAGGAATATCCGTCATGCATTTCACGCACTCTTCATTCTGGCCATATTTATCCGCGGACAGCATTTCGACGGACACGGCTGCCACATCTCATTGCGTCCCGCAACAGGCCTCGCGCAGCAGGACACCCCCCTCGCGTCACGGACGTACATGCACCAGTGCTGCCTGGGTCTTTTATGGGAGAGCAGCAGGGTCATGTCCCAAACGGGTACGTCTGCCAGTAAATGGACTGCAGAGTGCAGAATCATGTAATTTCGCATCCTGCGTGTCAGAGACCCTCGGTCTACATGGTCGCCGGTTCGCTGCCCGCACCAGCACCTGCTGGGTCGTAAAACCAACTGAGCAAAACTCCGTAACTATTCACTTTTCACTCCCTACCTGGCCAATCTATTGGCGTTTTCATGGGCACCAGGATCCAGCCGTTGCTGTGCCCCCCTGACCAGCCACAAGCACAGACATGGAAGGTGTTGGTCGTCTCTGTAGGAAGCACCTCCTGGCTCTGGCTCGGGTCCGCGGGCCCAGCTCCCGACAGCGAGGCGTGCTCCGTAATCTCCGGCCTGGCACACGACCGTGCTGCGCGCCTGTGAGCCGTGGCGGGAAGCTGCTCGACGAATCCGTCGGCGTTGTCATCCCGGCGTGTCCCGTCTTGGAGGACCGGCCGGACCCGTGCGTGCGGGGCGCGGGCCACGGGAACGGGGCCGAGACGTGTCCCGCGTGATGCTGTCGACTGCGGGGTGCGTCGGTGGCGTGCTCAGCCAGGGAGCCTGCAACGACACCGACTGGTCGAGCCTGGCGGCGCGGCGCGGGCCTAGTATGTTGATGCCGCTCGCAGACGGTGGCTTGGTGGCCGTGCACGCGGCCTGTCATTTCAATTATTCATCAGGGCACCGTGTTCTTTCGAAATTGTACAGAATTACTTGTTCTCCGGCATGTCGCGCCCGAGCGCGCCCGGTGCTTGGTAGAATATGTGTACATACAGACAGACACGACCGTCCATGGGACCACGCACCCGATCTGATGCCCCTTTTTCGCCTTCCCCCCGCGGCCTCTCTACACACCCAAGTCTCTCAGCAGCCTGGCCAGCCGAGCAGAGAGCCGACTGCCGTGTGACTGGCCCGAGGTGTCGGTCAGGACGCTGCGCCCCGTCTCGCTCGACCGCCGGCGCGACTGCATCTCGGAAACAAACTTGGGCCACGTGTTGGTCAGCACGAGGTACTTGATGTGGCTCTGGACGTTGTCGAAGACGGCGAGGCTGAAGCCGGCGGGCACCTGGCCGCGGTATCTCACGAGCGTCCCGAGGTCGGGGTGTGAGCCGTCGCGGGAGGGGGACGGCGGCGGCGGCGGCGCCTCGAGGTCGAACGGGACGGCGGGGCTGGCAGGGGGCTCGCCGCAGACGGCGCGGGCGGGCTTCTCGAAGACGTCCTCGAGCAGCTTGAGCTCCCGCGAGGCCAGGTTCAGCGGGAACTCGGCGTCGCGGGGGCTGATGAAGTCGGCGTAGATGGCGAGGGCCTCGTTGAAGACGTCGAGCTCCTCCCTGGCGCCGGCGGGCATGAGCGGCCACGAGGCCCTCCACCCCGCCACGCGCGTCAGGAAGGCCACGTTCTCGCCCGAGAAGTCGTTGAGGGCCGAGAACTCCTGCAGCGGCCCCGGGTTGTCCCTGAGCACGTGGTCGAGCGCCGCCATGGTCAGCAGCCGGTCCCCGAGCTCCTCGTCGAGGAAGTCCAGCGGCCGGCCCTTCTCGGACAGGCTCAGGCTGTGCGTCGTCGAGCCCTTGCCCGCCAGCGTCACCGTCTGCGACGTCACGCTCAGCTGGGACGCCGTGTCCCATTTCGCGTTGCTCCGGTCGACCCTCCGCCGGACGAACCACATGGAGACGAGCTCGCACGCGGGCACGAAGACGGTGAATATCTCGAAGAAGATGATGGACAGGTGGATCCTGTGCCGGGTGTCAGATCTGGTCTCGCCTGCGTCTGTGTGTCTTCCTCCTCAACTGCTGCGCGGGCGGGCGTACCATTGACTCGGGGCGAAGTACGGATTGACCCGTTGAAACGCCGGAACGTACGAGGCGACGAGGAACATGGGCGTCGCGTGAAGACTAGAGCGAGCGACGGCAATCAGTCAGCGGCCGGGCGACGACGATGACGACACCACTTCTCCGTGCCCCGGCGAGCGGGCTGCAGCTATACGTACTTGGCCAGGCAGCAGGCAATGGTCTGCGTCCGCCATCCCATGGTGTCGCGGATCCCCCAAGCGCGCCAAATCAGGTACGGCGCGACCTAGAGGCGCAAAAGTCAATAAGGGGGCTTCTTGGATGAGACGTCGACGTCGACCCGACCTACCATCCAGGCCCAGACGACCTGCCACACGAGAGAGGGCCACCATTCCCAGCCACGGCCCAGGTCGGCCAGCTGCTCCGGCAGGGTGTCGCCCTTGATCTGCGTGCCGGGCAGGCCGAACGTGGGATGGTACTTTTTGCACGCGAACCACATGCCGACGGTGAGGGCAATCTAGGAGCATCAATCGACTCGTCAGCGCAAAGTAACCCCCCGCCGCGGCGATCCGACTGCGCCGGCCGTGTACAGACCTGTGCCACCATGCCGGTGCCGATAAACACCATGGTTCGAGCGGTGTAGTCCATGTTGCGGATACGTCGGAGCAGAGACGTCTCGGCGCCGTGGCGCTTGTTGGCCGTGACCGGGGGTCGGGCCGTCGTAAACTGTTTCTGTAGCTTGGCCACCCGGAGGAAGCGGAGGTTGGAGGCGTGGAAGAGCGCAATGCCCAGCGGGAAGTAGATGCCCATGAAGAAGTACTGGATGTCGTATGCGAGGACGACGGGCATCGACCGCGCAATGGGATACGTGATCTGGGCCAGGATCCAATACGAGTGCAGGAGAAGGATGGAGCCAAAGGAGAGAGGCAGTCCGCGGACCTTGAGGACGGGGTTGTTTCGGTTCGCGACGCAGAAGGCCATGCCGGCGAGCAGGAGGAAGGTCCACGTGCAGGCGAAGGCCACGTAGAACCTGCCGACCTTGTCCCACAGGGGCGGCGAGGTCGGCATGTCGTATATCGACATGTGAAGCACGTCTGGGGTCGCCATTGTCGGTCGTTGGGTCGTGGCGGGCGGGCTTCGTTTTTGCCGGTGCCGAAGCTCTCCTGCCCGGAGCGTTGACCCAGGCCTGGGGCGGACAAAGGAAAGGATTGAAATAAAGACGGCCAGAGAAGGGAGCGAGGTGAAGAAGAAGACGAGAAAGAGAGTCGGCGTAGAGAAAAGGGCCTGGTCAGCCTTGGGGCGATGCGTCTTGCGGGCGTGGGAACTGTCGCCGTATTTAGTCGACACCGGCCGGTGCGGAGGGACCTTGGGCCACGGACCAGAAGCCGCGTGCACCTCTGCGTATCGGTTGCAGTGCAGCACGTTCCTCGTCTGTCGTCAGGCGATCGTCAACTTGGTCCGTTGGTGGATTTTAGGGCATGGACTATATCTCGGGCTCTTGCAACGCTGCGCGTAGCCAGGGTTGTATTTTGCAAGACGGAGCGACTGGTATTCATCACATCACATCACATTACATCACCAAGCGAGGAGGAGGTCAAAGCAGAGCAGAGCACGGCAGGTGAAGAAGTAGTTGTGTCGTGTGGTGAGCGTCCTGTTCGTCCGCGCTGTGCCCCTCGACGAGGAGAGGCCATGTGTAGAAAAAGAAAACACAACGATCCCGGGGTTGGCCGTGCTTGGTGAATTGCTTCTCGTCCCGCTTACACGGCCGCGGGCCCGCGCACCAATGGAACGAAGGTGTTGGCTCCTCTCTTTTGCCATGGACGCGACTGTGGTTCGAACGGACGTGGTGTTCGAGGGCCGCTTTGACGTTGGCTCCAGATCTGCTGGATGACGGGTCGTGAAGCCTCAGCTCAGCAGAGGCCGGGATCTGCCATCGACACCCCGGCACGGCAGTTGACTCACATGGGGCCACGGCCACCGATTGACAGATGCATCGCCGCCCACTTTTGGAGAGCACGAGCCATGGAGACGGGCCCGATGGACACGACCCGGATCTGAGAAGGCGGCCGGTGGACTCGTCGGACTGTGCTGGTTTAGAAGATGCGCGACGCCGACAATCGTCGGGCCCATCTGGTCCGGATGGGGACCGAACATGGCGCCGGCTGGCCGCAAAAGCGTCACTGTACCCTTGCGAAATCGCGGTGCTTGGTGCTGTCCAACTGGGTCGAGGCAATTCCCAGACTCGCCTCAGCTTCCGACTTCAAATCTTATTAGCCCGCCAGTGCCCTGGTGCGTCGCTGGTGAGTCCCCCAGTCCCTGACCTTGAGCCTCGCCAAATCTTCCTGTCGGCCGCAGCGGACACGTCCTGGGCTGTTCAAATTTCGCCCAGTATTTGTCATTGTGTTTAATTGACTTGATTTCATTAAACAAGGGCTGCCGTCCCCGACGTGCCCCGCGACGTGTGTGACCAACAGCGACTGCTTAGGCGAGGGAGAGTGTTCCGCAAGATTACCTCGTCTGGCGCGGTGCAAGACGCACGCTGTCGCTGAGCCGTGACAAGTGAGTTGGTGACGTGTCGTCCGTCAAGTTTACAAGGCATGGTTCCGTAGAGCCGCACACGACCATCTACGCTCAAGTTGATGGGGCAGCCCAACGTAATAGAGGCATCGTGCTTGTTGGCCACGGGAGTACCCATTTGTCATTCAGCCATTGCCTTGCGCGCGTGCTTCCCATTCGCTGGGGACGAAGGATGTCGACGTTACATGGTAGCAGATTTGAGTTTGGCCACGATGTCCAGTTGTGGTCGGTCTTCCAATCCGTCGCTCCATCGTAGTTACTTTCCGACCATCTAACCCCCAGCCCGCCCATTCCCGTTGCGCCATCGGCCACCTCCAGCAGTCATCCGCTCGCCCGTTTGCCGCTCGCCGGACCACCGTGGTTAGACGGGCGACTTCTTGGAGGCGTCCGGGGGCTCGTCGTAGCATCCGCTGTCAGCTGCGCACAGATGACCTCTTTGCCTCGACATGGGACGGACGCAACCGGGCGAAGACCCGAGCGCACGAAGAAACCCTCCCAAAGGCACCGTGGCCCGTGGTGTTTGCCGCCAAGCACCATCGCGTGCCTTGGGGCGGCGCCAAACTTTCCGTCTGGTCAACGGCTGCTTTGTCGACCCACGCAGCGGGCATGCCTTGGCCAGGTGTCATCATGGCGGCGAATCGGTTACGGGTCCTCGACCGTGTTGCGTGTGTGGCTGGTAAAGAGAGAGAAGCCGTCCGTTTATCGTTGGGAATTCAGGACAGGCACTCCGTCTTGCGATGCTCGTCGTTCTCACGGTACGTGTCGCCTTCGCTGGCGAGCCCAGCCCATCCATCGTAAGTGGCGTGGGTGGCCTTGCCGCCGTCAGAGCTGCCGTCGAGCTCGCTAACTTGAGCCCAGGAGGGCAAGATGAGCAGTCGATCGGTTCAGTAATCAAACGGCAGAATTAGCACCGGCTCCAACCTCAACGAGAACCCACCTCCGAGGAGGCGACCCTGTCCGGACTCGATGATGCAGTTGGTCTTGTTTTCGCCGGGACGGTCGTCTCGTGGCTGCCATGCACCGCTGCTTCCCGGGCCACCATTGTTGCGCCGGCCGCTCGAAAGGCTGCCCGCTCAGAGCCCGCGTGGTAATCTAATCTACAGAGTCTTGGGCGAGGCAGGGAACACGCTTGCCTGAGCCGTTTGCCCCTTGGTGGTCTGGATATCAGCATCCTGCGACGGAGATGGCCAAATGGTGGGACAAGACGTACCTCATGGGGTGTTAATCCGGATGCTGTCGTGGGTTTGTCGTCGTCAACTGCCTGTGCCCAGCTTTGCAGCCTCAAGCCCCTCGACTTTGTCTGGAAACAAGAGATCGCGGGATGACAAGACATTGTTTCTGCTTAGACAAGGAGACCTGCTGACTTTGATCGTTTTCGGGACGTGAGTCGCGGACCTGAGATGAATCCAGCGCCGTCGCACGGCTGCACGAGGGCTATGATCACGGGACCTAGGGCACAGGGTTTGCCGCCTAAAGAGTCTTTGAGCACACTAGGTCTTGTGGGAACACAACGACTTCTAATACCGGTGTGCTCTTGCAAATGAATTGAGAATTGAGTGCTTGCTCCGAGCGCCGTTACTACGGCCCTTGTCAGAGTCATGCGAGACCCAGAAGCGAGGCCGTCGAACAGTTCCATACCAGGCTTCTGGTTGCCGACGACGACCGTCACAGCACGGCCATTTCCGTCCTCGCTCAAGTCTGTCATGGGTCAAGATATCTTCGTCTCGCTTTGTGCGAGCCCTTCTCAAAGCTCCTAAATTTTGCTCGTGCCTGTGGAACCACGTGGGCGAAACTCGAAAGCCAAGTCATCAACTTCATCTCCAGAGCCCTGCGAGAAACGGCCCGCCGGCACGGTTTCGGTTCATGGCTGGAAATGACAACCAGACATCTTTTCCTGACAGGTTACGCGAGACGGCAGACTGGCGGGAAAAGACCCGCGGGCCCGCAAGCAGCTATGCGCCTCCTTGGATGATATACGATAGATAGACTGTTCCAACGCGCTCATCTCAGGTCGTGTTGCCCAGCGCCCACACGGGCGGCATAGATGCTGCGACACCACCAGACGACATGTTTGCTGAGGACACTGGGTGGAGCAGCCGGCGTGTGTCGTGCGTCGCGCTGCATGGATGAGATGTCTCCCTACTCTGTGTAGATGCGTGCAGTGCAGGCTCTGCCTCGTGAAACGAGAGGCCATAATCTGCCAAGTTGTCTGCCTGACTGTCATCCTCCGCCCCGGCGCCTGGACAGCCACTCCCAGATTCAGACGAAGGCAGACTTCTGGCCGTCTCGGTAGCCACGAAGGAGCTTGGTGAGAAGGCTGCTTCGGTGGACGTTGGTGCCGCGGGCGACGCGGTGGGTTTCAAGGATGAACAGATTGCTCCCCAGCCCGTCAGCAAGGCGTCATCGGTACTGATGGTCCTGGTTGGTGGTCTGGCCTTGTTTTCTGATGGCTACAATGCCCAAACTGTCGGCTACATGAACACTGTGCTGTCGCAGCTACACCCCGAGGAATACACCAAGGACGTGAAAACCAGAGTGTCCAACGCCTTTCCGATCGGGGAAGTGTTTGGGATGTTGTTCTCCGGCTGGGCAATCGACAGGCTCGGCAGACGCAACGGCATCTTCTGGGCCACCCTCTTCCTCGTCCTGGGCTTGGTTCTGTCCGCTGCGGCCCATGGTACCACACTGGGCGGCATGTTTTGGATGATGATTGTCGGACGCGGTGTAGCTGGGTTCGGGGCTGGAGGTGAGTGACCACGGCGAGCGGTCGGCCTGAAGCTGCCGTGTCCGAGGCCGAGGCCACTTCCTCCGTTGCGGCCGCCGTGGGCAAGGTCGGCGCGGCCATCGGCACCCAGGTCTTCATTCCTATTCAGAACTCGTTTGATGACCATCAACAAGGGAGTCCAGGGCGTTTTCCTGATTGGTGCTGCGTTTGCAATGGCCGGCGCCGTTGTTTCATGGTTCCTGATCCCCGACAGGGAGAGAGATCTCGAGAACGAGGATCTTCTTTTCAGGGAGTACCTTGCTCAGCATGGATATGCTGGTGTTTTCGGGGATTCCAGCACGGGTCATCACGGGCACTCAAATATGCCAAGTGGGCATCAAGTCTTGTTGCAGAACAAGTCCCTAGCTTTAGTTGGCCCATGTCTGCAGCACTGAGTCACCGATAAAGGAGGAACCGAATAGGATGGGGACGACGTGTAGGGCATGCGGACCTGGCCAGCCAGCCATTCCAACGCAGACCCTCGCTCGCTCACATGTGTTCCCGGGCGGGCAGAGTGAGGCAGGGATCATGTCCGGTACACAAGATATCGAGACTCGGGCCTAGCAACCTTCGGCCTTGCAGTATAGAAGTAGGCAGCCTTGTGAAACCACATGAAGAAACTGCGCGGCGCACATTCCACGGGCCCTGCGCTCGGAGCCCGTTGGGCAAAAGTGTCTGGTGCTGGCGACTCATCATGAGAGGTCAGAGGTCGCCCACTCGACTCGGTGAGTGAGCCGATTTTTGCCCAAACATCAAGTCAGATATGCACTAATGGCTTTCAAGCGTGCGCCTCATTGCGCAAGTTTTGCCCAATGTATTGCGGCCGTGGGCGCCAACGCTCTGTCACAAGTTTCAAACGACACACCCCAAGCCAGAGGACGGGCAAGATTGTTCAGGCAACACGGCGCGATGACAGCATCTTGTGCCAGTTTCTCATGTCAGGACCGGCAACTGACCTACATGTGTATCTGCTCGTAGTGCCTTGATGGCCCTCCGGATCAGGGGACGATGCAATGCGTTGGAACATGTGGCGCAGGGCCACGACGTCGGGCTGACAAGACGAATGGAACGGGTAGTTTGGGATCCCAAGGTCTTTGGGCTACGGTTGAGCTGGACAGTCGAGCGCACCAATAGTCGAGCGCGACGACACGAAGGGCATATTACCGCTCCATGTATTTGGGAAACGGCGAGGCCACTGGCTCGCTGCTCGCCCGGGACGCGAAGCTGACAGGGGCGACGGACGATGAGTTTTGTATCAAGACCCATCATGGCCCCATCATGGGGCTGTTTCTCTGCCCGAGTGAGGGTATGAGTATTGGCAAAGGGCGACGATGGACGATTCACAGGTATGCCCTCCTCCCCATGTACATCTGCTTTGGCTGGCTGGGGCTTACGATTTCGCCAGCGTGGATTTCATCAAGTCTTGACATTTTTCACGCGGCTTCTGTTTCTCCCTCCGTCGACGGCGTATACGTCCATCTGCCACGTTGGGCGACGAGGACACACACACACACATCACACATGGCTGTCGTTTTGACAACGCTGGAGATGCTTTACACTGTGGCATGACACAACGTGGCCGCCGGTCCGTCATCAGGCTCCGGCTCGGCATCTTGCCCTTGGCGAAACCTAACCCGACGTGCAAGGATGACGTGTGGTTGAGACGACTGGTGATGCGGATCGGGCCGTCGTCCAATTGTCCGACAAACGGGCTCAGTCCAAGTCTGCCTCAGACACCTCTTGGACACGGCGAGAAGAGGCAATCCCAACAAACACGGCCTTGGGAAATGGACTGTCCCCCGTACGTGCCCGTATATATGGATACACTGGTGGCCTCAACTACGAATACCGGCACACATGTCCCGGGCGACAGACATTGGTTTTGCACGCCTCCAACGCGATCCCGCGTCTCCGATCCGCAAGCGCAGCACCTGCAAAGATTCTACCGCTGCCACGTAAACCATGGCAAACGACCATTTTGACGTGGACGAGGTCGGCTTGGACTCGACGGCCGGCGAACACCGTGGATGGAGCCCAAGCAGCACCACCCGGAGGCAGGCCAAGATCGTCAAGAGCATCTTGGCCGGCCATCTGAGGATGGAGCTGATGACGGCCGGTGGCAGAGAGGCGTTCCTTGCAGAGCACGAGGCGTGCTTCGCGGGCGGCGACTACGGATCCATCCTCCACGCCGTGATACGGGAGTACTACGACACGTACGGGAGGAATGAAGACAAGCTGAAACGGCTCAAGCCTCTGCTGCGGCTGGTCCTAGGCAAGTACCCCTCGCTCCTCGACTCGCAAAACCCCATGGGCGAGACGACGCTTCAGTTCGCCATCCGGAAGCGGCTGAGCCAGATGACCAGGCTCCTGTGTAGCTGCGCACCGGCCCGCGCCGTCGCCGCACTGGAAGCTTGTGGTGTCGGAGGCAGGACGTGCCTGCACGCGGCTATACACCACGAGCTGGACTTGGATGCCATCCATCATGTCCTGTCCATCTGCAGGCCCGCGCTGCTCGTCTGTGCCGACGACGCCGGCGACACGCCGCTCCATCTGGCGGTGAGGTATCCGGACATGAGGCCACGAGCCAGAGCACGTCCCGTCGACGAGAGTCCCGGGGCCATCAAGGACGAGAGAACACCCGCGGCCTCTCAACACGCCCTGCGAGGGACGCCCCGGGCATGGCCGGGTGCGACTCGTCCCTCGGCGAGAGACTGCCAGGACGAGACGGGCAGCGGCGATGTGTTGCTGGGCTTCATGCAGCGGATTCTGCCCGCCATCATCTCCGACCAGCCTTACAGCTCGACGCACGTGCTCGACCTCGTCAAGGATCTCGTGCAGCGAAACGACGCGGCCCTGGGTGTGAAGAACCACCACGGTCGGACGCCGTATCTCGAGCGAGTCCACCAGACGAACAGGTTCGGCGTGCGGAAGACGCCCGAAGCCGCCCACGACAGGCCCAAGGAGATCTGGAGCGCGGCGGATTCACGGCCACCATCCGAGCCGGTCGACAGCACCGCCCGATACATGCTAGAGTACTGCGTACGCGAGTTTTCTCCAGAAAAAGCCTCTGCCTGTCTCTACGAGCCGGGGCAAGGTGAGCCTGACATGCTCCGTTTCCCAACTCACACACGTACACGATGGGCCACGGGAGCCCACGTCTAACAGGCCCCAGAACGGCACGTCACCTTTGACCTCAGCACACTGTCTCAACGTTCCATCACAACCGACTACCTCCGCCGGCTGTCCATGCACGTCCGGCTCGAGAGCGTTTTGAAATACGTGGCTCTGCCACGGCTGAGGGTCGACACGGCGCTGGACCCCGGCGACTCGAGAACCTCGTACGCCGCTTGCCCCCTTTTTCTCGCCGCGCAGGCCCCCCTGACACTCGGCAGGTCGTGTTTCGGCGACGAGGGCGCGGGCTCACGCGGCCGGTCCGACCTCCTCCTCGTCTTCGAGTGGCTGCGGCGCCAGGGCGTCGGGCGCATCTTCAAGGTGAGCGTCGAGGACGACCAGGACCCTCCCCATTCCGACGCCGCCATCGAGGCGGCCCTGCGAGGCTTCGACGTCGAGATCTGGGACTGGAAGCGGCCAGACCTGAGCGCCGACGTCATTTGCAACTCTACCGCCAAGGCCAGCGAGATCTTCCTCTACTCGAGCGGCAACAACGCCGTCCTGGCCGGCTGGGCGAGCCCGCACACGCTCTCGGACCGGTGCAAGTTTCCCGAGGTAGCGCAGTCCCCTTCCCCTGCGTCGCCCGCACGTGTGTCTCTGGTTTCGGTTTCTGACCGCGCTGCCTGCCACAGCTGCGCAGGATACACCTCTTTGTGCAAAAGGCACGGCGACAAGTGAGCTCGCTCTCGTCACCGGGCTTCCGCGGCTAATGACTCGCAGGGATGGGAAGACGCGGGCCGACTGGCGGCGTACACGGAGCACTTCAAGGCGAGCGTCGCGAGACAGACAAACAACCGCGTCCAGATAAGCCAGTATGCTTGGGACGCGCGCGTCTCGAGCGCAGGCGCAGCCGGGAGCACGAGCGACGTGGCCCCCCCGTAAGAGACTGGTGCCCGTTGAGTCCCCGAGTCCCTGACGAGTCTCGGAACCGCCCCGGCTGACGCACCTCGGTTTCCGCAGCAGCATTTCCTGGCACGACTGCGTGTCCAGCCTGGCCAAGCTGCTGAGAACAGTGGCGCGGTCCAGGAGGAAGGGCGCCGTCAAGATCGCCATCCTCGACGACGGCGTGGACCTGCTGTGCGAGGGCCTGAACGTGTCCATCGGCGACGGGGCGTCGTTCGACGGCCCCGAGGCGACGAGCAGCCCGTGGTTCATCTCGTCGAGCCCAGGCAGCCGCGGGACCTGCATGGCTGCCGTGGTGGGCAACCTGTGCCCCGAGTCGCAGCTGTACATTGCCAAGATCACCGCGGCGGGAGACGGGAACGGGGACAAGGTGGCCTCGGCCGCGTCGGCCGCGAGGGTAAGCAGACACGCGGCCGGTTGGCACGACGCGAATGCGAATGCTAACGATGGTGACAATGTCAACGCCAGGCCATCGAGTGGGCAATGAGCCGCCGCGTCGACGACGGCGGCGTCATCATGTTCACGGCGGCCCCCGACGCCGACGACCCCCGCGCCGAGCTTGCCTGTCCCATCCGCTCGCAGAGGTGCATCACCATCGGGGCCTGCGACGACGCCGGCGCGCCGCTGTGGCCGCAGGCGCGCGGCTCGGCCATGGCCAACTTTTTCGTGCCGGGCAAGGACGTCGCCGTCCCGGGCGCCGGTGCCGGGAGGCGGGCCACCGTCTCCGGGAGCGCCTTCGCCGCCGCCGCCGCCTGCGCGCTCGCGGGCGTCCTCATCCTGTGCCTGCGCTGCATCAACTGGCCCGTCGACGCGAGGCTCGTGCGTCGCGCCTTCAAGGCCCTCGCCGGCGACGGCAAGTTCGTCCGGGTGCACGACTTTCTGCACCGCCGCCTCGGCATGCACCTTGAGCGGGCGCGCAGGGGTGCCGTCGCGGCCCCGGGCCCGGACCCGCCGCGCCAGGCTGGCCGTCTTGATCTCTCTGCCTCGGCGTGGGACAGAGGCTGCGTCGAAGCCGCGCTGAGGGCCATGTTTGAGCACCTGCTCGTGTCGCGGCCTGATGCGGAACCGACCCCGTCGAGGCTCGACGGGCATGCAGGGTGACGGCATCTTGGGGACGACGTCTGGGAGGCCGATTCCGGGCATCGACGGGACTTGATTTGGCACGTCGAATGGACGCGGCCGCGGCGGAGATCGCGGAGCTCTACGCGACAGATTGCAGAATGGACGGGGTGGTGCTCGAGAAGCCGTCCGGATTTGAACGCCGCGAGAGCCCGGCTTTAGCGGCTACTCGTGTGTAGTTGTGTGTGTGAAGCTATACAACCCTTTGGCTAATCTATGCAAATGCAGCATTGTCATGTGCTTGTGTGATGCTCCCGCGCACGCCAACACGGCATGTCGAACAGCGCCGGCGTATGGCCCATCCAATAATCGCGTGTGTGTATGAAGCCGAAGGCATCCAGCCCGAATCAGGTCTGCTACAGAAAACGAGAGAGGTATCCCAGCCCGAAGCGCCACCGCCGCACCCTAACAGTGTAAATAAAGACGTAAACAAGCCTAGGTGCAGACGTGTTAGTCATGAATGAGGGTCCGTGACGAGCAGAGAGGCCACACTCACACCCAGTTGGAGACGCAGAAGGCTGCAAAGATGCCCAGGTCCCTCCATTTCTGGCCGGGCTCGATGCTCAGCGACCGCAGGTACTCGGCACCCCCAGCATACGGGCAGTAGCTGCAATTTTGCGTGTCCTCCGGGTTGCCGAGGTATCCGCGGCCGACGGTCCTCACGAAGCCGGCCGCGAAGCCGGCGCAGGTCCGGCCCGGCGGGGGTTCAAAGTACGCGGCCTCGTTGGCGGCGCACCGGACGGGCTGGTCGGCCAGGGTGGCGGCGAGGACGCCGCCGATCCAGTACGTGCTGGGGTTCAAGTAGTAAAGCTGGCGAAGGGGGGGGATCAGCCGAGGAAACTACAAACTACACGTGACGTGGTGGCCGGGACGTCAGACTTACCCAGTACTTCCAAAAGACGTTGAGCTGGGCGTAGGGCACGACGACGCCGTTGAACAGGGAGAAGATGACGAGAAAGAAGGGCAGGACGTTGCTGATGACGGTGAAGCTCGGCGCCCAGGCGCAGATCCACTGGCCCCAGCTGGACTGGAAGAGGAAGAAGAGGACCGTCATGAGGAACACGTAGCCCGAGGCCGGGGAGGCCGTGGGCAGCCCCGAGGGCCAGTACCACAGGGCCCAGTAGATGACGCCGGCGAGGAGGGAGCCCGGCACCTCGGAGAGGACCGAGGCGGAGCAGAATGCCACCCAGCCGTAGATGCGGCTGGGGTACTCGCGGGCCTCCCAGAGCGCGCGGTCCATGTAGAACTTGGGCAGGACGGCGTTGAGCACCGTCGGCGGGATGAGCAGGATGAGGAACGAGGTGAACATGCGGCTCTGCATGTCGTTGACCGTGTCGCCGAGCTGCCAGAAGGTGAAGCCGTTGAAGACGCCGACAATGACGGCCGTGAAGAGCTTGCCGTACACGTACGACGGCTGGCGCCACTGGTTGACGAACATGCGCTTGCACAGCTGCTTGGTCTGCTCCCACACCGGGGCGGCGAACTCGTGCGACAGGAGGACCTCGTGCGACGGGGCCGCCTGCCTCCTCTGCTGCTTGATCTGCTGGATCTCCTCCAGGAGGGCCTTGTTCTCCCCGGACCGGCGCCACTGCTCGTTCCAGTGCTGGCGGGCGTCCTCGCGGGCCCCGGTCTCGATGAGGAACTCGGCAATGTTCTTGCCCTCGGGGCAGTGGGCGCCGCGGGCGTCAAAGTAGTCGACGACCGCTTGGCCGTTGTGGCCCACGGGGCCCGAGTAGAAGACGTTGCCGCCGGGGTTGAGCGCGAGAATCTGGTCAAAGTGCTCGATGAGCTCGGACGAGGGCTGGTGGATCGTGCACACGACGGCCTGGCCCGCGGCACAGAGTTTCCGGAGGAAGCGGACGATGGAAAAGGCCGCTTGCGAGTCGAGGCCGCTGGTGGGCTCGTCGAGGAAGAGCAGAAGAGAGGGCTTGGCCGCCAGTTCCACGCCAATGGTCAGTCGCTTCTTGGGCTCGACCCCCAGGGAGGAGACCACGGCGTCCTGGATCTCGTGCAGCTCCAAGAGGTCGATGATCTGGTCGACGTACTCGAGCTTTTCCTGCCGCGGGACCCGGCGGCTCTGTCGGAGGAGGGCCGAGAACTCGAGGGCCTCGCGCACAGTCGCCGACCCTTCGTGCAAATCCATCTGCTCGACATAGCCGGTCCGTCGCTGGAAGTCGGACGAGAGAGCGGAGCCGTCGACGAGCATGTCCCCCTCGACGATGCCGACCGTCTGGCGTTGAGACAGCGTGTTGAGCAGCGTCGTCTTGCCGGCGCCGCTGGCGCCCATCAGGGCAACCAGCACGCCCGGCTTGGCGTAGCCGTTGATGTCGTTGAGCAGCCTCCTGGGGCCCTGCGCCGTCGGCACGGTGTAGCTGATGTTTTCCCACGTAAACACCTGCTCGCTGCGGTTGAAGGCCTCCAAGACGTCGTCGGGCGTTCGCTGGCGGGCCACCGCGGCGGCCGTCACATGGGCGGCTTCGGGATGCTCCTCGTCAGCCTTGTTCTGCGTCCGCGCCGCTTGCTTGGGCTTCTTGGACGACTTGAACACGAGGGCGCCGACACCCGAGCCGCCGAATGAAACCTTTTCCGTGGCGAGAACCGTCAGGGCGATGTATCCCGCCGTAAAGGCAATCAGGATGCCAAAGTTTCGCCACAGGTTTGACCGGCTGTATTCAAACTGCGACGACAAGTAGTCGGATCCCGCAACCCGGGGCGTTCCCGGATGCGACCCGGAAAGGGCACAGCCCTGGTTTTCGGGTCGGATGCCCGGGCCTTGGGGCACGAGCTGCGAGGGCGCGCAGTCCATGGTCCTTCCGGCAAACTCGTTGGTGAGGACGGCCTCGAAGGCGTAGCTGATGGGGTTGAGGTAGTACAGCCAGCCGAACCAGATCTTTTGGTTGAGCAGCACCGGCTTCCCGATCACGTAGCCAGTATAGACGATGAGAAGGTTGAGCGCAATGCCCGAAAAGCGCACCGCGTCGTCCATGGTCGGCGACACGGCGGCGAACATTCGGTACAGGGCCGTCAGGCAAATGGTGGTGATGTAGACGAAGAGCATGAAGATGAAGAACTTGCCGGCCGTCACGTCCAGCCCCGTCATGAAGTACATGATCAAGGCGAAGATGACAACCTCGACGACAAGGATGGGCAGGTCAGCCAGGACGCGGGCCAGACTGACAGCGCTGGGTCTGTAGAAGGCATACTCGCCGTGACGACGGATGACGGCTCGTCCAGACACGGCCTTCATGAGCTCCGACAGCTGGAGCCAGCCGAGGAACAGGATGGAGAAGAAGGCAGCGCCGCCGCGCAAGAAGGCGCCGCTCGTGTTGGCAGGCGTGTCGTAGAAGAGAGAGCCGACGATGAGGCCGTTGCTGACGATGACGAAGAACTTGGTGTAAAGCGACGTCTTGTCGCCCCAGATGAGCCAGAATTCTCGACGGGTGCACGCCAGGACTTGTTTCCAGAGACTGACGGTGTAGACGGACTGCCTCATGACCGTCTTGGACTTGGCGTCCCGGACAGAGTCGACAAACGTCTGGGCGTCGGACTGACCCGTGTCGTGGATGTGCGTCTCGAAACCGTCGACGTCGTCGAGCACGGCCTGGTACGCGCGGCTCTGGCGGAAAGCCCTTTCGAGCTCCTCGGCCGTCTTGGGGCAGCGGTCCTCGAAACCTTGGCGGAACTGGCGGGCGTTGACGTCGCAGACAGATGTGAGAAAGTCCGCCGTGGTCTGGCGCGGCGGGCAGTGGAACCCGAGATCAACAAAGTACTGCTTTGCCTCCTTGGCCGGGCCCTGGTAGAGCATGCGTCCCTGGTCGATGACGAGGACCTTGTCCATGAGGCCGTATATGCCTTCGCCAGCCTGGTACAGCGTCGTCAGGGTGGTGCGGTCGGAGACGTCCGTCATGATACGCAGCGACTTGGCGTAGTTGAAGGCCGTGGAAGCATCTAGGCCGCGCGTCGAGTTGTCCCAGCAGGTCACGGTGCTCTTGGTGGCCAGCGTTTCGGCGATGCTGACGCGCTTCCGCTCGCCCCCGGATATGCCACGGACGAAGGCGTCTCCAACCAGCGTGTGCTTGGTGTGGGACATGGCGAACATGTTGAGGAACGAGTCGACAATGACGTCGATGCTGCCGCGCTCGTGCTTCTTGGTCTTGTTCAGCAGCGAAAACTTGAGTGTCTGCCCTACGGTAAGGCTGGGCAAGTGCTCATCGTCCTCTGCGTTGTAGACGGCCTCGCCGCGGAACCTCCTGTCCATCCTCGACGACGGGATGCCCCCGTAAAGGACCTGTCCCTCCACGGACTGGTACGAGACGCGGTTATTGGCGATGACCTTGAGAAACGTGCTATACCCAGCGCCCGGCCGGCCCAGCACGAGCATCATCTCGCCCGGCCGAACCACGCCGGTGAAGTCGCGAATCAGCTCTCGCTCTTGGGCTCTCGCCGGGCGGCCGAAGTTGAGCGCGGGAACCCAGCTGCACACGAGGTTGTACAGGTCCGGGCCGAATGTGCCAGCAACGGCCCGGGGGAGAGTCCGGACCGCCGTTGAAGTAGCACCCACGCCCTTGACCGTCAAGTTCTTGAACAAGACGCCGACCTTCTTGGTCGACTCGCCGTTCTCGGGGTTCCGCTTCTCCAGGTGGCCGTCGCGGATGAACTGCTCGAGCTCGAACCCGTCTGCGTGTGCCGTGCGCTCACTGCCCGCCGAGTCTAGCTCTCGCTCGGGGGAAGCGTGCTTCTCTTGCTCGCCAGGGCCGCTCTTGGCAGAGAACATTCTCCCCAGGAGACCGCCTCCAGACCTCCCGCGGGCCGCCGAGGCATTGGTGCTTCGCCGGGTCAGCTCGTGCTGCAGCTCTCGGAAGTCTTCTCGGGCAGCACGTTGACTGACGGGGCCATCGGCGTACGTATCTCCCCAGTACCCGCCGTTGGACGTGTCATCTGACAGGTTCCCGTCTGTTTCGTTGACGGCATTCGCAGTCGTGCCGTCCCGGATTGTCGGACGACGACTGGCCTCGCTCAGTTCCCGCTTCCCGCTGTCCGACATGTTGCACCGTTGACCTCTTTTTTTTCCGCCCAAAAGGCCCAATGTGTGCCACGGAGCCGCTATACCAATGGGCAAAGTCGACTGGATTCCGGATTAGAGTTTGAACAAATTATGCGGGACCAGTCATGCGCAAGGCAAGGCGGAAACATGGGGTTATCAAGGATAGGTTGGCAGACAGCAACAAAGACTTTTATGAGTCTTGACGCCGTCTAAGACCACGACGCCGACGCCGACCACCCTTGGATGAGATGAGCACTAGGGCTGACGTGCTTGCCCTGCATACAAACGCGCTACTCATCTTGCATCATCACCATGAAACTGGAGATTAGGTTATCTCCGCAGCCCATCCTTGCCACGCCAGGTGGATTCGTCGACATGTCCAGCGCTTCCTAATGCCGGACCCGGTCGCTCGCACCGGCCGAACCGGCACTTGGCGGGTATTATTAATATTGCGTTCGACGCGGAGAATGGCAAACCGGTGCTCACGTCCATGGGAAGCGATGGAATGCGTCTGTCCAATCACCTTGCCGGAGACTGAGCGGATTGGATGGCAGTTGAGGAGCGCGAACGCGAACGCGGCGTGTTGTTACATTTGTTGAGCAAAAAACTTCAGACCAACTTGAGAAGGCTGTTGTTGCTGTTGCTTTGCCTCAGTCATCCAATCAAAACGCCAACCAAGATGTCCGACGGCTCCGCCCGTGCCGATGATCATTTCGACTCATGCTAGATCTAGTCCGTACCGTACGCAGTACCGAGTCAAGTTCCTTCCTTATTAATAAAGCTTTGGCCCTAGCGGCCTGGCCGTTTGACTCACTGCTCACTGCGCGCCGGGTTGCGATTGCGCCTTTTGCCGGGGAGTCATCTTCGCTCCCTTCCCATCTGGGAGCCAGAGTTGCCCGCAAAATAGTAAGCCGCTGTCAACAAAGGACACAGACCGCCGCCTGAAAAGCGATGCAGGCTGCTTGCTGACAGCCGCTTCTTCCGTGGGCAAGAGGCCAGCAAGTCTGCGCTTGGACGTGCAGTATTTGTATTGTCCAAGCTTTGCATCGACCGCGGTCCCGACTCCCGACTCCCGACTCCCGACAATAGCAGCAGATAACCGAACTGATAAGCCAGTATATTTGTCAGGCTTAGAAATCGATTGCAACGCCAGGTGCGCGCATGCCAGCCAGGATGAACTGCACTGAGAATGGGCGGTACGTCTCGATCTGAACCTTCGAGTTCGTGCTCATCATTGACGACCCGTGCCGGTGCACGTGTTCCCATCTTTCCCGCCATCGCAATCCCCGAGATGCTGTTCTCGCGTCCGCCCCTTGCTGGTTGACATCCGTTTTCTTGCTCTCTCGCGGGGCCATGTTGCCCAAGGAAAATAAACACGCGGCCGTGTCGTCCCGCACAAGGCAGAGGCTGTTCCATCGTGCCACTGCAAGGCTTGCTGTCATCTACATCCATAGGCGGAGACGAAGCGCCGACGAGGCGGTTTTGACCCGTCCGCGATCCGTGTGTGCTCTGGCGCCCGTGTACCAAAGCTGGCGGAAGGAAACGCTGCGCAGTCCTCCATCAGCGTGTCAAGGCAGACCGAAGGCGGTTGTGTAGATGCGTCCGGATCGTGCCATGCCAGAGATGGCGCCGATACGAGGTGAAGGGCAATATCCCAAACAGATGTACTTTCCCAGTTTCTAGAGTCGATCCCCATGTTGATGAGACCGACCATGATAGCTTGGCAACGAGGTGCTTGCTGCATTTCATCTGGGAACTGGCCCTGTCCTTGCTCTTGCTCTTGCTGACTGTTTTCTTCTATTTTACCTGACCTGTGTTGCATCTTTATCACTGTGTAGTGAAACACATCAGCACGGGAAATTCCCGAGTTACTCGCTTCTCATACAGCCCAAACAGTTGGAAACAGAACCGGCATCAATGAGGCTCCGTAAGTACCACCTCTTGCCGTGACAATTACTTTGTCCTTTCCGGACGGGTAAGGTGTGGAATGCGTGCAGTTTCCGGACCATTTAGTGATAGTAGCTGCAACGTACCATGCCTGAACTCTGAAACAAGCATCACATATCAACGCAAACCCACGTGCTAGGAGCAGCGGGATACACACATCAAGAGAAGAATGTGTCATGGCTCATAGGATTGAGTTTTCTAAGAAATCGTCATGGGGCCACTGATTCGATACCGAACGCCAAAGTTCCCCAGTGGCTTGGATAGCCGGGCCGATGAGTGGTGGCTGGCAATCATCACAAACGTATCAATGACGCCTCTGACGTTGGGGCGACGTTGGGGCGACGTTGGGGGCTGCGCAAAAGACAAGCACGGCAACAACTAGGCGTTGCAAAGTGACCAATGATTGGATTTGACCTTGACGACACAGTCTCCCTTGGGCGTGATTAGACGGACGTTTGAAAACTGGGAGAAAAAAAATGAGTAGACAGGTCGCCAAGTTACTCCAAAACATCGGACGTGAGGGCCGGATCATGTAACTGGCAAGTAACCTGGTGAAGAAGGAAGCAAAGACGGCGTGGGTGACGGGTGGTCGAACGGCACTTGTGGCAGCGCATGTCGGCAGTGTGCCGGCAATATCAAGTCTTTGTGTGTCCCTTGGATGCCACACGTCACCGAAGACTCGGGCTGTCGCACATGTGGCGCTTCGCGGCGAAGCTGTAGAGGACGGAGCGCGGTGCACTCCAACCCGCGGCGATTCTGCACCCTACACCGCCCACGCGGGCAGGCCGTGACTGTCCAGCCATGCTAGCCTTATCGTGGCGGTACCGCGGAGGCTCACGGCGTCGAAGAGCATGGGTTCGGTAACTGGCAATTGGATGCTTCTGCCCGTGGCGGTCACCGGCGGGCGCATCGGTGACGAGTTGAAAGTTGAGAGCGAGAACAGAGGCCCAGAGCGCCCAGGGATCTGGCGCAGGGGTGGTGCGAGTCGCAAGCCGATGACGACGTTGCAGCGTAGGGATTATGCTCCGAGACTTGCAAATTGCATCACGAAGGGGGAAAGGCAGCGGCCTTGGGAAATGGTTGCTACGCCAAAAGGCGCGGAGCAGTCGACGCATTCCAATCGCCACGACGCAAGCCAGAGACGAATTGCCAGAGGCGGAGACGGGGAAGGGAAGAGGAGAAGAAGAAGGAGGAGAGAGCCGATGGACGATGTGACTGGACAATGCATTGTGGATCCCATCCCACGCGGAAGGAGCCAGCCAGCTTGGCCCTTGCCTTGTAGGGACAGGGACTCGAGAAAGACGACACGAGATGGAGGAGAAGACGGTCAGACATGGGGACAATATGTACGATGCAAAAACGCGAAAATACTGACTGGACTGGACCATCTTGTCGGGACTCTGGATCCATCCTCATCAATCTGCATGTCCACAGACCGTGCGTCAAATGGACGTCTCACGACATGTCATTGTTGGCCTGGTGGCGCCCACCGTGCCCAAAGTAAACAAGGCTTGGCCGCTTGCACTTTCTTTCGAGTCACGACCCTCGACATGGTGACGAGACAACCAACCGGCCGGGCTCGAGCTGCCTTGCCTTGTTGTGTGTCATGCGGAACTGGCCCGGCTGGGAGCGTGGCCATGCGTGATCCGGATGCAGAATTTCTCCAGCAACCAACCTCTCCTCCAAACCGCTCCCGACGCAACCAACACCGGATCCTAATCCCATTCCCAAGTCCGTCTCACTTAGTGCTCCTATCCGCTAGCCCTAGACTATAGTCTTTCATCCTACTTCGTACTGACACTTCACTCGAGACCCAGACTTCGGCCCTTCTTGGACGCCTCGCCTCATCTGCTCGTCTCTCACTGCAGCAGCTATCCGGCCAACCGGGTGCCAAACTGCATGCTCGATGCATTTCACCCTCGGCTTGCCCGCGTGTTTCTGCCGATAGCTTCTTCTAGCCTCGAACCATAGGAAAACCACAGAGCATGTAAGTGCAGCCACAAGTCTCCTTGCAGGCGTGCCGGACCCCTGTTGTCATGCACCACCAAGACAAGACTGCCTGGCCTCCCTCCCACTTCATCACTCGCACCAAGCCACACACCACTTGGCCATGCATCCACACTTTGTCTTCGATTCGCGCGACGAGTTTCGCCCCGGCAAGCTTGGGGCCGCCCATTGCCACCACTGAACCTCGCCGTCCCCGAGATGAGCTGCTACCCCGTGGGGGACATGGATCTGCACGAGCCGCAGGTTTGGGGCAAAGCTAGCGATTCCGGTTTTTAGCTTCATGCCAACCAGCCTTGGCTTCCTGTCCGTCTCCACCGAGTTGGCCTGGCCTGAGCTTGTTCCGTCGAGCCGCCTCGCAGGATACTAAGTTACTGTCTGTGCCGTCGCCCAAGTCTATAAGTTTGCTTCCTCCCCCCTTGCCCAAACTCGTCCCCCGACTGCTTGTCCCCTGCATCGCCAATACTCTGTCATCTTCCTCACTGACGACTAGAATTGTTCCAGCATCTGGGGGAGAGCAATTATGGGTGCTCTGCGAAAGGTGTCCCTCTCCAAGCCTCCCGGCGAGGCAGGCAAGGCATGGCCCGGCATCGCCATCGGCTTCTTCGTCGCCTTTGGCGGCGTGTTGTTTGGCTATGATACTGGCACCATTTCCGGTATCCTGGCCATGCCCTACTGGCAGAACGAATTCAGCACTGGGTACATCAACCCCAAGGGCCATCTCGACGTCACAACTAGCCAAGAGTCGGCCATTGTCTCTATTCTTTCTGCCGGCACCTTCTTCGGCGCGCTGGCCTCGCCCTTCATGGGTGACTACATTGGCCGCCGACTCGCCCTCATCGTTTCCACCTGGGTCTTCAACCTTGGCGTCGCCTTGCAAACGGCCGCCACCGCCATCCCGCTGTTCCTCGCTGGCCGATTTTTCGCGGGCCTCGGCGTCGGCTTGATATCTGCCCTCGTTCCCCTGTACCAGTCGGAAACTGCCCCCAAGTGGATTCGCGGCGCCATTGTTGGCGCCTACCAGTTCGCAATCACCATCGGATTGCTCCTCGCCGCCATCGTCAACAATGCCACGTCTGGTCGAAACGACTCTGGTAGCTACCGCATTCCCATTGCCGTTCAGTTCGCCTGGTCTCTTATTCTGTTTGGGGGAATGCTCATACTCCCCGAGTCTCCCCGCTACTTGGTCCGAGCCGGAAAGGATGAAAAGGCGGCCAGGGCTCTTGCGACGCTTCGCCGGCTTCCGCCGGACCATCCTGCCGTGCGCTCGGAGCTCGAGGAGGTCAAGGCGCACCACGAGTACGAAATGACGCTGGGCGCTGCCACGTACCTGGACTGCTTCCGGCGGTTCAACATCAAGAAGCAGTTCACAGGCATGGCCCTGCAGGCTCTCCAGCAGCTCACCGGCATCAACTTCATCTTCTACTACGGCACCAAGTACTTCCAGAACTCTGGAGTGTCTTCTGGATTTGTCATTCAGATGATCACGTCGTCGATCAACGTGGCCTCTACCATCCCTGGAATGTACGCCATTGACAAGTGGGGACGGCGTCCGCTGCTCTTCTACGGGGCCATTGGCATGTGCGTGTCGCAGTTCATCGTGGCCATGTCTGGCACCTTCTCGTCCGGCCAGCGGCCGAATGGCGACATTTACGTCACAAACTTGGCGGGGCAAAAGGCCGCCGTCGCCTTCTCGTGCATTTACATCTTCTTCTTCGCCTCGACGTGGGGACCGCTCGCCTGGGTGGTGACGGGAGAGATCTTCCCGCTCAAGCTCCGTGCCAAGTCCCTCAGCCTTACCACCGCCACAAACTGGCTCTTCAACTGGGCCATTGCATACTCGACTCCGTATCTGGTCAACTTTGGTCCCGGCTTTGCCAACCTGCAGTCAAAGATTTTCTTCATTTGGTTTGGCTGCTGCTTCATCTGCATTGCGTTTGTCTACTTCTTCATCTACGAAACCAAGGGCCTCACCCTGGAGGAGATTGACTTGCTCTACACCGAGGTCAAGTCGGCGAGGAAGTCGACGAGGTGGAAGCCAAACGACACGTGGGTGCATCGACAGAGTCTGGCCAAGCAGGGCGGTGGTGTCGGAGACGAGGCGACGGCCGCGACTGGTGCGGATGATGGTCATGGCATGGCGGACACGTCGGGCTTGGAAAAGAGTGGAAACTCGGCATGAGGTTAGGGTTTGTTTTTTTTTTGTCATGTACGTGACGATGATTTGTGTGTTGAGGAAGTACACGAGGTAGTTTATATCAAGTACTGCGTTTGTTGTAGAAGCAAGCGTGTCCCCTGACCCCTGACCCCCGAGCATGTGAAGGAAATTTGACACTCCGTAACGCGACATGTTGGGCCGAGCGAGACGTTGGAGCCAGGTAGTAGCTTTCGAATATGTACACGAAGAAAAAGTTTGATGGAGGTTGACAGGATGCAAGGCCCGAGTGGCAGTCGGGACGGCCTCGAACTGTGCTGAATACAAGACGCTGGGACCGGAGCCTCATACCACAAAGACGACTTCGCCGGCAATCTGCAAAAGCGGCGAAAGATTGTCCTATTTTTTGTTGTTTTCACAGTCACAGTCAGTGCCGCCACTTTTGCAAACACGACGAACCAAAGACAGACGAGACGGGCCGGGAGACACTCACCCCCGTCAGCACGAAATGCGTGGCCAGCAGCTCGGCGGGCCCGACGGGAAACGACGCCGGCACGTCGACCTGGAACGCCTGCTCGGGGGGTCCGGCGGGGGCGCCGGGGGCTGCAGCCGGGGCAACGGGCCGGAAGGGCCCGGCGTAGAGGACGGTGCCCAGGCCGTCGCCGGCGTTGGGGCAGGCGCTCTCCGGGCAGGGCACGACGCTGAGCACGAGGGAGACCTCGCGGGCGGCGGTGGTGTCGTTGTTGGGCGTCTGCACCACCATCTCGCTGGGGCGCTGGCGGTGCAGCGTCGCCCCTGGCCGCGGGGACTTGATGGCGATTTGGACGGATGCGGATGCCACGGCCGCGAGGGGCGCGAGCAGGAGCAGGGCGAGGAGGCGCTTCATGGTGAACGGTGAGGTGAGGGTTGGCTGGAGCCCGGGGGCGGCGAGAGCTGCGTCGGCGAGGGAAGGGGGGGAGATGCGCGTACTTATGTCTTGTCTTGCTTGTCTTGTCTCGTCCTGCCGGGGCCTGGAGCGAACTAGACCGGACTGGACGGATCGACAATGGATGGACGCCCGGCAGGGTCGCAGTCGTCAGTCCGTGTCATGCAGGTCTGTACGAGCATCCTGGGCTGGTAAGTGCTACGGAGCAGATGTGATGGTATATTGGCCACCATGGTGTGCGGAGTGTTATTTATTATTCTCGGTTCCCCCTCCCGTCCCCTCGCCTCCCCTGGGTTGTTGTCTTCCTGCACCCTGTTCCGCGATGAGCGTGACCCGCTCTGCTCGGCTTGATTTCTCTGTCCGCTTGTCCGCTTGTCCGCTTGCGCTTCCCGTCTTGTCTGACACGACTCCGAGGCGCCCTGCGTCACTGGACCCTTTGGGGGCTTGCTCCGATTCTTGGTGCCGAGGCATCGATGCCCTGCCCTGCCTCGCGGTTCGACAGCATCCCTCGGCGGAGCCTTGACCAAGGCAAATCTAGGCTTCCCTCTGATGCGGCACCGAGGAGCTGGCATCTTCATCATGTCGCCATATTCCACTTGGTCAATCATGCCTTGTACATCGCATCTGCCCCTCTTTTGATCCTGCCAGTCTGGCGACGGCGAGTAGATGGGAACCAAACGCTTCGCACTGTGACGAGGTCGATCCTTGAACCTAGGCTGGCGATGTTTGTGGAACGAGTTGTCGCATTAGATAAATGACCGATGACTGATGGAACATGCGTCGTCAGAGGTGAAGATGTCCATGTCTGAAGCATACTCTGGCCGGCGAGCACCGATGCGCCGTGCATTGTTGCAAAAGTCCGAGTAAGCTGGGACAACAATGACTCCCCCCCAAGACACTCGGACAGAGATGGCAATCATATGCGGCTGTTGGTCGTGCCAGGGTGCCGCGTCTCCAGGGTCCTGCCTGTGCTGTCATTCTCCTATGCGGTAGAACGACCAGTGCATCTTCAACTATACTTTCTCGCCAGCCATCTGTACATGGTTATCAACGCGGGATAGAGCCGCAGGTTCGCGTGTTTGGGATCCTAAATTCACCGTCAAGCCTGGGATTCTAGCCGGGCGGTTTCCCGCAGCAGATACGATGCTACTACTCGGCATGCACAGGGCAAAGATGTCGCTCTCTGGCCCCGGGGAGGACCCGCGGAGGACGCCTGGTGTGCGACATACCATGGAGTTCCTCCACGCAGGGCCGATGGCGCAAGGAGGTTTCAAGGCCAGGCTCGAGGATTGAGCAACGGAAACCACGGAGTATATATAGAGTATATAAATGCCCCTGATTCCCAAGCGTCTTGCTATTCTGCTGGCCCTCTGTCTTTGAACGATGGTTGCCCCGACATGGCTGGGGTTTATGCTCCAGGGACCCCAGGTCTGTGAAAAGCCGTGTCTTCTAGGTTACCGTCCTTCGCGTTTGCCATACCCACCCCACGTTTTTTAAGTTCTGCTTCACGCAAGCAATTATTTCATCGGGCTGACGCTCATTCTCACGTTTCCTCGAAGGACGAGTGCAGTTCATGAAAATACGGCGGCATTGTTGGTCAGAAAGACCATGCTCTTTGCACGCTTCATCTGCCTCGGATGGGATCTTGGATTCGACTTCGATTTTGCAGTCCAAAAAACGCTAAATAAGGTTAGAAACTGCGCTATACGCGGATTTCAGGGAGTTCCTTACCCGTTGAGCTCCCTCGTCGCTCAAGGAGAACGCAGCACCGCTTACCTTACAACTTTTACACTGGAATTTTTCTTAGCTTTCCTGCACATATCAGGGCACATCTCATCTGACTTACGTTTCTGTTTCTGCAGATATTTTCAAGTTTCTCGTAGCTTGGATGGTCATCTCCCTACAGATCCCTGTTAGAATCTTGACTGTAGGAGAAGACGCTTATTTTACCAACGTCATAGAAGTCACAAGAGACCATATTCCCATCCTAACGAGACATTAGCGTACTCTGCTCCGATAATATAACTTGGGTGCCTCTTACAATGCCGCAACGTGCGGTACGCGCGTTGGGGAAGTGACGGCGCACCTCTTCCAACGGCTACAAAGTCTGATTAGTTTAGCGTCTCACGCGGATTCGCCTCGAGGCCCTCGTACCATTTCTTTGTCAAGGTGCATGTTAGGTTTGGGTCCCTTCTTGGGAGCTGCTTTGCAGCCCAGGAAGCCCTAGAAGAGGTTAGAACTTGCGCTGTGGGCGATTTCAGGGAGTTTCTTACGGGATTTTTATCACGGGTAACTTTACACCCGGAACACTTGGGAATTTTTTTAGCTTTCTTGAATATACTGGGAAACACATGGTCTTGCTTACATAAAAGCGCGAGCAGAAGTCGTCAAGAGACTTGTGGTCTGGTTGTTCATCACTCTACAAATGCCTATTAGAAGCTTGTGCGTAGGAGAACACACTTATTTCACTGACATTCTTCGGAGTGAGGTTACAAGACATGAATCCGCCGCTCCGCTAAGGGGACGTTAGCATACTCTCTGCTCTAGTAATATAACTCGGGTGCCTCCTACCGTATGGTCGCAGCCTTTGACATTGAAACGCTGCAAACGAGGTAGAACTTCACCCAATGGCTACACATTTTGTTAATTTAGTGTCACACGGATCCGCGGCAGGGCCCTCGTAGCTCTTACCTCTCCAGCCATGCGTTCGGAAAGAGCAACGCCACTTCCGAGGAGAATGATGCCAATCGACGCGCGGAGCTGCATGATGGTAGAGTAACAATAGTAGATGGAACACTGGGCGAGTGTGGTCTGAAGTGCTGTGTGTGGGCGAGTATTGTCGACTCTTGAGTAGATGTAGCCAGAGCCGCGCCGGATCGCGGAAGTGCAGGTTACTCGCGCCCTTTTGTAGCCGCGTGCGGTTGGTTTCGGGGAAGGAGAGGAATCGGCCGCAGGTGGGCAGGCCACGTCATCTTGGACAAGATGACTGAGTCGTCGCGTTGCATTTCAACATATATTGCAAGACCCGCAACCTTTGTCTGGACTCTGGACTCTGGAGTCGGACCAAGCGAGGTCGAGGCAGCAAGTACGCCGACCACCCGAACCCCGACCAGGGCTTTGCGGTGGGAGCATTCCTCGGATTTGCGTCATGGACAACCTCTCTTTTGGCCGCTTTTCTGCATGAAGCCCCCTTCGGCATGGCATGCGCGTGCGTAACTACATGCGTGATGCACGCGCGGCCCGGTCAGGCATGACTAGCATTCGAGTCGGTGCTTTGAGTTTCCAGCGAGGATGTGGCAAGAGGAAGAGCCAATGAGGGCTGGCGTTTATTAATTTGTTCTCAACAGCGTCGCGTGGGCTCCAAGCCACTTCAAATCTGTAGCCTTTCTCACTGCCATTGCAGGAGTCGGCGCCGTCGACTCGTCATGCAGTTATATTACTCTGTCACGAGTAGACAAGAGCTCGTGTTGCACGGACGCAGACCGCGTTCAAGGTTCAAGCAAATGGCGCCAAGGTCAACTCGCCAGACGGGGCAGAAGGACGGGACGAGACGGCTTCCACGATGGCCTCAGCAAATTTTTTTGATTGCGCCAAGCGTAAACAGCAAGCACATGCCTGCCCGTTGCCCGGTACCGGCAGATGACGCTCGAGTGCCAAGCACGCATCACTGCCACAAGGGTAGAACGCGTTACAAGGGCCGATACGTGTAATGGAGACATTCACGCCGGCAACAGATTCAGAAACAGAGGGACCGGGACCACGGCGGCTGTGCAGCCACGCTGCTCGGAACTCGGCCACGCACCCGTACCTGCACAATCTTGGCCGGGCCAAGCATGGGCAATGGCATCGACGCGTCAGACGAAACCAGGGACGCATCCGACCTGCATACTCCGGCATGCGATGGGTGACGCATCCCGGACGCGGCGCACGTGGCATCGGCCCGATTCGGCAAGTGTGCCGGCCAGCCCACACCTCATCCGGTGCATTCAGCACGTCGACCTCGATAACCAGATCGCCGTGTACCTCGGTATTAACATGTATTGTCTTATTTCCTCGCTCGGTGCCTACGCTAGCTAGTGAGCTTTGTTGTGCCGCGCGACAGGAGGCATCCGGCCTGATCTGGACTAGCGCCACGGGCAGAGCCGCATGCACATGCGCAGCCGTTGCATCTCCAAGCAGACGGCTTTCACGAGAAATGCCACACGCAAGCTGTGCCGAATGGACCGGACGAGACGCCCGGCGACGACGACTGCTGACGACTGCCGCCGACTTGCATCGTCAACGTCAATTTCCTCATCGGGAACCGCGGGGCACCACAGAACCCGAAGTGGTCCGGCGCATTCTTGCATCGTCTCCGGCCAACCATTGAAAAAAATAAAAAATAAAAAATAAAAAAAACACAAACGCACCGGCACATGTCTACCGTTGCGTCACTCCAGTACGTGCAACCGGTTTCATCCAGCTACGAGTGAACATGGGACAGGCCAATTCCAGCCCTCTCGAGTCGCATCTTATAGCTGCCAAGATGTATTGTTGGGCCTTGGCACGCCCTCTTTTCCGCCTGATTTGCGCCCTGTCGTGATGGAATGTAGGCTCTCCGGAGCAGACCTGCCTTTGTAGTGATTCGTGGTTTCTCGTGCCCATGGCCGACAGGGCGCAAACGGCGCCAAAGTCAGGCATGACGAGCTGGGCGTAGACTCGTGCTGTCACCATTGAGCAGCCTTTGGTCCAAGCCACCACAAGTCACCGAGTGAATGGCCTGGCGAGGGCAGAATATTCGTTGGTGGCATCAGATTCTCCTAAAATATAACCCTAACTAATTCGCACCATCAGTGGTCAAGTATACCGACCTAGACAAGTCAGCAATCCATGCAACTTGCCGCCATTCCCAACATTGAACTCCATCTACGCGAGCGTAACGCCTGCTTATGCGCCCGGTGGAATGTCGAATACCCCGAACTGATCCGTCTTCCCCTCGCATTAGCCTGTTCCGTCGCGCCAGGCACGGTGCACCAGACCAGCCGCGTCGGCCTCGCCTTCGGGGTAGGCCCGGAAAACGTGGCCGCGGCAGACCTAACGGCGAGCAGAGTTCTAAGCAGTGCCCTGAAAGCCTGACTGGCCGAGACCACCATCCTGGCCCGACTGGCCGAGACTAGGCGGCTGGCCCAACTGGCCTTGCTGACCCTGACTAACGTCAGGGGGCGGAGGGGGCGCCTGGCCTTGCTGTCCCTGAGTGTTCCCAAGGATCCCCTGCAAAGCAGAGCAGGGAATTTGACACATGGCAGGAGCCATTTGGTTGGTAGGATCACCGCCGAGACCAGCAGCGCCACCGTCGAGACCAGCGCCACCGTCGAGACCAGCGCCACCGGCATCACTGCCGGGACCAACGCCGAGACCAGGAGCGCCGGCATCACCGCCGGGACCAGCAGCGCCACCGTCGAGACCAGCGCCACCGCCGATACCAGCGCCACCGCCGATACCAGCGCCACCGCCGATACCAGCGCCACCGCCGATACCAGCGCCACCGCCGATACCAGCAGCGCCGGCTTCAGCTTGACGCCGCATCATGAGCCCATTTCTGTCAGCTCTTTTGGCAACTTGATCCTGTACGCGACATGTCAGCAGATGTTCCGAGCCTCAGTGCCCCCTCCACGGGAGACGTACCACAGGACCAGCCACGGCACCCAGAGCCATCAGGCTAGAGACGAAAACAGACAGCATCACCATGTTGACTGTCGTTGAAGCTGAGACGTCGTAAAAAAACTTGGTGCTTTGTGAAGAAAAAAATAGGAAAAAAAAAAGACGTGAACAGAGGATGTGTCCGACAACTGACTACTGCGAGTCCGGCACGTCAAAGCGGCAGGAAAACCGCGCCTCAAATACTCCAGACGGCGAGGCGACGGCGACGGCGACGAAGACCAACACGGGCATGGTACGAGGGCGAGGGCTCATAGTTTTCTCGACGGCCCACCGTCTCGTCGGATAGATGAAGCGTTTCCACAGCGCCGGGTCCCCAAGGGCGTCGTCTGCCTGGACGGCCGCCCTGCAACTTGACGTGGTGCGTGGTGCGTGGTGCTCGCGGCCCAAAGGGGGGAGGGGGGAGGGGGTTGCGGCAGGTAAAGTAGGCTGTCTGTCTACACGACACACGACCGGCGCGCGGAGGGAGGTCGGCGTCCGGCTCAGCGCGACTTCCGCCGACGCCGCGGCCCCGCGGCCCCGGGCTCGACGAATGACGAGGCGCCGCGTCCGGCTGCGCCGTCTGGGTCGACCGGGAGGGGGGCTGCTCGTCCGCCGTCTGACTCGGCCGCCGCGGCGGGGGTGCGCATCAGATAGAAAGGGTTCGAATTAAGCTTTGGTCTTGTCGCGTCTTGTGGTCTTTTCGCCCTGCCGGCGTGGCGCGTTCATCGGCAGGCACATGCGCCGTGCGACATCTGGCCTGAGGGCCGGGGGATCAGCATTGAACAATCCCTCTCCCTCTTCTGGCTGCTTTTCAGCTGTATTTGTTCCAGGTCCTGGCGCGGAGAGGCTCAAGTGCGCATCATACATCGAGCCAAATTTGCCGCTTTGCATGTACGCCTCCAGGGTTTCTGCGCATGTGCCGGCGACGGGACACGAGTCAGCGACGCGGGATGAGACGCGAGACGACGCGACGGACCCTGAATGGAATCGCTCGAGTCGGTCTTTTGGTTTCCAAAAGGTTCCACGATATGTAGCATGCTCCATGGAGCTGAAACAAAACTAGGATACCGCCACGGGAGACGGCCCCGTGGGCAGGATTCTGGACCAACGCCTCTGAACGGCAGAGACTGTGGTGGAAACCCGTCGCCGGTCGTAGAGTTCAAGGTTTTGCCGGACCGACTCCTCGTGGTGCAGACGCCATCCTTGACCATTTCTTTGAAATGACAGGTGCGTTTCGCCACAGCCGCTGATACGGAACGCATCAGTTTGATTCTTTTGGCTTTGCTTTGGGTCGCGGCTCCGAGCAACGCAACGGGCACGGAGCCGGGCCTGTTTGCAGAGGGAATCCAAACTCGATGCTACCATTCTGTCAGGATATGGACATCCATACCTGTGTGAGCCCGACTGTTCAACAGCCAATGCCAAAGTGCTACTCTGCCTATGCTCCCGCACGACCCGACTCGATCCCTCTGTTCTTTCGCTCTGGTGACAAGACGTGCTGCAACATTGGCGAGGACAAACCGGTAGACGACCCGCCCCCGACGCCAGTGTACACTTCCTGCAACCCAGTCCATATACATTTCGTCCAGCTTCGTAAGCTATGCGTGCACTCCCGACATGAAATCTGCCCAACCTGCCAGCCCTCGCACCCCGCAGCGGTGGTTGATCACCCCCCAGCTCAAGCCGAAGCAGTGGCCGTTCGCCTCTGCGCACCTCCCCGCCTGCTGGCGCCCGGCCTGGTGAGGGTGTACTTGGCAAAAGCACGAGAGAGGGCCTTCTTGCAGCTGAGCTTCTGGCTGCCGACAAAGCTTTCCACCGTGACGGCAATGGCGCGGTCAATGTCCTGCGAGGAGCAGTACTCCGACAGGCGCATCCTGCAGAATGCCTCGCTGGTGCGAATGATGGCTTCCAGATGACGGACCTACGCATGGGTGGTGGCATGTTAGCACAGTCAGACGGCAAGTCAGTGCCCGCCTACGCCGTGGTCACGTCGCAGCTTACCGTAATGGGGTATGCACCAGTTGCGAGCGACTCTCTTCGCATGTCGGCAAATAACCGAGCGACCTTGTCCTCGTCCATGTGGTACAGCTTGGGGTGGCATCGCTCGCGGGCATACAGGATGTACTTGCGAAGCAGCGCCTGCGGGATCGCACCCTCCTTCGTTGTCGACGAGGCCGACCACGTCCCTTGGGTGTCAGCCTGTACGGAGGACTGTTCAACCTGCATCGAGTCGTGAGACGGTTGGCTGAGAGGGTGGCTGCGGCTGTGGGATCCGACAATGAACCGGGCCAGTCGTTCGTCCTCTTCCGGCTCGACCGTATCCCTCACGACACACAAGACATCAAACCGCGACAGAATGGGCTCGGTGAGGTTGACGTTTTGAGAAAAGGGCAGCGTGGAGTTGTAACGGCCAGCCTGGGGATTCGCGGCCGCAATGATCCCACACCGCGCCTGGAGCGTCGTGACGATTCCAGCTTTGGAAATGGAAATGGTCTGCTGCTCCATGGCCTCGTGGATAGATGTTCGATCCTGGTCGTTCATCTTGTCAAACTCGTCAATCAAGCAGGTGCCGCGGTCGGCCAACACCAAGGCGCCGCCTTCCAGCGTCCACTCGCTGGTCAAGGGATCTCGACGCACACTCGCCGTCAGACCGACCGCGCTGGCACCCTGGCCGGTCGCAAACACAGCTCTGTGGGCCGTCTTCTCGACGTACTTGAGCACCTGTGACTTGGCGGTGCCGGGGTCTCCGAGCAAAAGGACGTTGATGTCACCGCGGACATGGTGTTGTCCCTTTGTCGTCTTGGCTACGCCACCAAACAGCGACAGCGCCACGGCAGTCTTGACGTCGGTGTGGCCATAGATGCTGGGCGCAATAGAGTTGATCACCTTATCCACGACGTCGGGGTCTCGGGACAGCTTGCGGATTTCGTGCTCGTCCTCCTCCGTCATCCGGAATCCTGCAAGCTGATCATGCGCTTTGATGACGTTGACCGCCTCCAGGATGGTGGCAAAGACGGGGAATCCATTTCTGTTGTTGAGCTGTGCGTCGTAGTTGTTGCGGTAGATGCCGGTGACTTCAATCTCCTCGCCAGGCTTGGCCCTGTCGATAAGATCCCACAGTAAGATGACCTCGCGCGTGCGCGGCAGGCGACCAGCCGGAATCGTGCCAGGAGACTCCTGCAGCGTCAGCTTCTGGTAGTTGCGATATACAGTCTTTTCAGAGTTGAGTGTGAAGGGGCCCCGAGACTGACAGCTCTGGCAGTAGGTGATTTTGACCTCGACATTGGATTCCTGCTGGAACGGCCCGAGGGTAATGCCGCACTTGGTGCAGTCAAACTTGACATATTTGAGCTGCGGGAAGACGCCGCTTCGTCGAGTCACAACGCCACCAACGCGAACAAGACAGTTGAGGTGTGACTGACGCAGTTGGCGGAGAGTGTAGTGGACGGGCAGGTCAAAGATGCGCACGTGGATCTCGGAGTGGATGCGCTCGTAATCTGGGTAGTGCAAGAGAACCACGTCCATGGCCACCTCGTCAAAGAGCCTCAGTATTTCCGACGGAGCATTCGCCAGGAAGTAAGCCAGGATGGCCTTGCTCTCGGACAAGTGTTCGTACGAGACCTCGAGTGACTCGGCGTTGATTTCGCCAAGGGTGCGAATGCGGTTGCCGTAGACAGACGAGCCGGAAGCATCGGTATAGGACGTGAGGAACGCCTTGAACTCGCGCTTGACGGTCCTCTGAACCGCAGGCTGCGAGACCCACTCCGTCAGATTGGCAGCCTTGACATCGCCAAGTGCCTCGAGTGACAGTTCCTCGTCCATAATGTCGGCATCCATGCCATCATCAGGGTCCTCGTCGTAGTGGTGGCGACGTCGACGAGGCTGCGCGGCAAGGTCAACTTCACCGTCGTCGTCGTCGTCACCCGGGAGGAAAGCCGCCGGGATCCGCTGCCGACGGGCAACCTCTCTGTCCCGTCGATTCAACTGTGCTTCAAGCCTCCGTCTGGCACCCAGATCCATGTCGTTGAATTCTCCCTGGTCGTCAAGTCCAATCGCTTCGTATGCATCATCTTCGCGTGATCTGTAATCCGCCTCAAAGCCCTCACGAAACAGGTCGACATCGTCATCGGCCATCTCGTCAAGATCGTCGATGTCGTCTTGGATTCCAGCCTCCTCTTCGACCTCGTCATCGTCTTCCATGCCGTGTTCAATGGCAAAGGGGGCAGGTGGAGATGAGGGCATGGGACTTGAGCCCGGCCCAACAGAGGACGTGGCATCGTCACCACCTGTTCGTGAGCGTTTGCGGCTCGGTCGCGGCCCGGCGCCACGGTTGCCCGAGGTTGAGCTGTTGTGAAGAGGGGAACTGTGACGCAAATTAGTCCAAATCCAGTGCGAATAGCCAGCGCATGGATCATGACATGCCTCATCGCCTCGGATATCTACTCGCAAAAGTCGGTTCGGTGGAATGTGTAGAGTGAACAGGCAGAAGAGTGCAGCCGGGTGCATGTCTTTGAACAAGAGAGTTGAGTGACGAGGTAAGATGTGCGACGCGTGCTTGGCTTCATCCTTCATCGCGTTTTCAAGACGCGTCTCACGCGTTAAGTGGCTCAGGCGCTAGCCGGATTCAGGCACACAGACCAGGGGTCCTGCAATAATAAATCCGTCACTGAGAGTCATGTTCTGGCGCAGCGCCGCATCGCGACTTTTTGTCACCTGACACCCGTCACCCGCTGTCCAAACTGTCGCAACCACCTTTGCCGTCGCAACCTCAGACCTCAGGCCGACGCCATCTCCTTCACGTTCATCAAAATCTAGTCTCAATGATCACGAGAATTAGCCATTTCTGCTCTCTGCATCAGCAAAAAACCCCCATATCCGCACATTTACTTGTATTTGTTTAATTTGCACGCGCACGCACGTCACAATGTCGACTGTTTCCCCGCAAGACGAGGCCGCACCAGCACGCAGCAATAGCTTTTCCCAGCAATCCCAAGCGTCGGACGATTCGCAGACAGCAGCAGAGTACGTCTCCACGCGCACGGCAAAAAGGCACCCACGTCTATCCCGTCTAATCCTCTCCACAGGTTCCTCCGCAACCAGGAGCTCCTCGAGGCCGATGCCCGCGAAGCGCTCCCCTATGTACGTCAGCGGCCGGTACCAATATCCACCCACGCCCCTGGCTCGTTGCTGACGATTGCAGAGTATCGAATGTTGCACCAAGATTCTCGGCCCGCTTCGACAGAACGTCTTTGCCTGTCTGACATGCAACCCCGCCACAGAAGACCCGTCCGCGTGGAAGCCGGCAGGCGTATGCTACGCCTGCTCCGTGCAATGCCACGGGGAACACAGGCTGGTGGAAATCTTCCAGAAGCGAAACTTCACATGCGACTGCGGCACCAAGAGAATCCCGGCGACAAGCCCATGCACACTGCGGACAAACGAAGAAACCAAGACCAAAGGCAACGTCCACTCGGAAGAGCCAGACGTCAACAACAAGTACAACCAGAACTTTCGCAACATCTTTTGCGGCTGCGAATGCGACTATGATCCGTTCCAGCAAAAGGGCACAATGTTCCAGTGCCTGGGGCTGGGCACCCACGAGTCCGGAGGCTGCGGCGAGGACTGGTACCACCCCGGCTGCCTCGTAGGCATGGGCCCCAGGTGGTTCGACAAGATGCCAGGTGTCAAGAGAAGACGGAACGGCGGCGCACTGGCCACCATTTCGGAGGGCAATGAAGAGCAACCGGAGGACGCCCCGGCCGACGATGCCGACGTCGCCGTGCTCGACGACGAGGACGAGCCGCCCATGCCGCCGGGATTCCCCGACGAAGACGAGTTCGAGGGCTTCCTGTGCTACAAGTGTGCGGACGCGAATCCCTGGATCAAGCGCTACGCGGGCACTTCGGGATTTCTGCCACCCGTCTTCCTCGACCCGGCCGAGGGCAACACGGCCACGCGCCAGGCCAAGACGGAGGTCGAGACGGACAATGAGCCGAGCTCGAGAAAACGCAAGGCCGACAAGGACGTCGAAGAAGCAGCAGAAGCCAAGCGCGTCAAGAGCGAAGAGCAGGACTCGCCCTCCAAGGCCGAGCCCGGCAAGGACAGCACGCCACGTGCCCCCGAAGCCGCGCAGACGGACAGCACCCAGCTGGGATGCAAGCTTCCGAACCTGCCCGCCGCGCCGCCGGGCCGGTTCTCGCTCTTCTTCAAGGAGGGCTTCCGGGACCAGTTGTGCCGCTGCACAGACTGCCACGGGCTCGTCAACGCGCACCCGCAACTCCTCGAGGAAGAGGAGGTGTACGAGCCGCCCATTTCGGAGGACGGCGGCTCGCGGCACGGCGGCTCCACGCACGGCAGCGGCAGTCTCCTCGAACGAGGCGAAAGCGCCCTGCGCAACGTGGACCGCGTCCGGGCAATCGAGGGCGTCATGGCCTACAACCACCTCAAGGAGCGGCTGAAGCCGTTCTTCCAGCAGTTTGCCGAGAGCGGCAAGGCCGTCGGCGCCGAGGACATCAAGGCCTACTTTGCAAAGCTGCGCGGCGACGAGCAGGGCATCAGGGAGGCCGGACAGGCGGCGGCCGATTCAAAGGACGGCGAGGGTGGCGGTGACGCCCGGCGTGAGCAGAGCGGCTATTGATTACTCTGGTGCCCACTTGTGTCCGGCAATCGGCGGCAGACGGACGGGGCAACGATGGATGGCATCAAGTCGAGTCCTTGTACAGTGGAGGGTTGACTTGGGCGGCATGCGAGTAGGGCATGGGGGCCAATGGGATGAGGGATGAATGAATGCCGGCTACCAGCCATGTGATTATATGATAAATACATAAAGGGGGTATTCGCTCCGTCTCGTCGTGATAATTCTCTACTGCCCCGTCGACCCGGTACTCGACGCGGCACTCAGCGGCCTCGGAGGCGGCAGCGGCAGCGGCAGCGCCATGGCCCTCGCCGACTCGTCCCTCTGCATGGCAATGCCGCCCATGACGCCCATGTGGTGGGCATCGCCGGCATCGCCGGCATCCTCGTCAATGTGCCCCTCCATCAGTTGCTCCTGGGCGGCCCTCTGCTCCAGCTCCCGAAGCCTCTCCTTCTCGGCCTCGTCGATGACGTCGTCGTCGCCGCTCCAGTACGAGTCGTCGTCGTCCAGCTCGGGCATGGCCATCCTCTTCCAGAAGCGCAGCTCCTGGCGCATGCGTGTCCCCTCGACCCTCTTCTCCCAGCGCTTCGCGTCCTCGTCGTACTTGCTGCGGAACAGCCTCAGGTTCTCGTTTGCGCGGCTCGCGTGCGTCTGCATCTCCCAAATCTGCTCGCGCAGACGGCTGTTCTCCTGGCGCGCCTCGTCGAGCTGCACTCTGTACGAGCGGTGCCACGCCGCCACGTCGGCGACGTGCTTGGCCTTGTAGTCGTGGAGCTGCTTGAGCATGAGGGCCAGCGCGTTGGCGTACTGCGTCAGCAGCGCTGCGTTGGCGTCGCGGCCGAAGTTGGCTTTTTCGAGCGACTCGGAGAGGATGGAGACGACGGTGTCTAGGTTCCGGGAGTCGGCTGCACACGACCGCGCGGTTAGCTGGGTTGTTTTTATTTGTGTTTTGCTTCGCGTTGCTTTGCTTTGCCTTGTCTCCTCCTCACCTTGTAGATGGGGCGCCGCGGCGGCGATCAGCTCGTCGTTGGAGAGGTTCTGGCTCTTGGCTCTGCTGCGCACCCTGCCCAGCCCGTTGACGATGTCTTCGGTCACTCTGCGGTTGTCGGCGAGCTGGCGGCTGAGTTCCTCGACCATGCCGTAGATGTAGTTTAGCTCGGCCTGGTGGCCGGCGGGCGTTGGGGCGGCTGGCATGGGAGGCGGCGCGGCGGCCATGTTGCCGTTGATGCCGTTCATGGCGAGCTGCTGGTGGTGATGCTGCGGCTGCTGGTACTGGGACGGGCGGACCTGGCCCTGGGCCTGGGCGTGGACTGGGACTTGGACTTGCTGGGGCTGCGAGGCGTACTGATGCTGCTGATACGGGTGGGACGTGGTCTGCGACTGGGACTGCGGCGGCTGATGCTGGGGTTGGGGTTGTGGTTGTGGTTGTGATTGTGGTTGAGGATGGTGCGGATGTTGCGGATGCTGTTGTTGATACTGGAGGCTGTCGGTCAGCTTGACGGACGATCCAGGAGGCATCTTCTGGGGAGAAAACGTCATGGTGGAGAGCGGCTTCCGGCCTGGCGTGGATTAGTTTGGAGCACTTGAGGTTTTGGCGCTGGTCCGGTCTGGTGACTCGGCGGACGGCGGATGGCGGGTGGCGGGTGGATGGTTGGGTGGTGGACGGCACAGCCCGTGGTCTTGGTCTTGGTCTGGTTGGAGCAGCGGTGCGTCTCGGGACGTTGTACGGGAGTTGTCTGCAGTGTTTTGTTGAGTCAAACCCCCGGGATCTGTCGTGGTTGCGGACGCGGACGAGCGTCGTCGGTGCATGTCAAGCGTGGTCCAAGGACCAAGGACCAAATGGCAAAGACGATGATGGTCCGTGCCTCGGGCTGTCGAGTTTGTTCCGACCGGACCAGCTGGCAGACAACCTTGTCGGGCCGTCGTCGACTGCGATCCAGATCATGTGCAACGAGGCGGCTTCAATTGCATTTTCCCAGCCCGACGACTTTTCCAACTTAGTGATCATTCACAGTACGGACTTGAGGGTGTTTTTACATCCTTGGCGGCGCATTCACCGATGCCACGTCACAAACACGACTCGACTCCAGGACGTACTCGGTACAAAAACACTGCCGAGGCGCCCACAGCATGTCAAGTACCCAGGGTGCTCTGCATTGGGGCATTTCAAGCGTGCCTCAGGAAGAAAATCGTCCCGCTCAACGGACCCATGTGAACCTCTTGGAGCGTCAACAAATGCAGCGACAACAATTAGTGTTGCGGGGCCTTTGATGAATGGCCATGCAAAGCCACGCCGCAGACAAGACGTACGCAGATCCTCACGTCTTCTGTTGCCATGCCTCATTGTAACGCGCTACATGTCCCTTTTTAGACGGACATTAGCAAGTCATCCACCTTTTTGAAGCCACGTTGAATCTGTTGGAAGCGAGTACTAATTACAGGTGGACAATATTGTGGAGAACTATACAAGGGCTGAAAGCGTGTTTATATTGAGGATATCCCCCAACCTACGTAGGCGAGTGTTCCTTCCAGTATCTTGACAAAATCTATCCTCGACAAAGTGTCACTAGCCCTTGCACGCATACAAAACTCGCGACAGGCGTGCTCGGATAGACTATCATACAGCTCAGCTTCAGATAGTAGCCCCACGGCAAAGGTTTCCTTTCACGAGTCCGGGCACCACTTCCCAGGACACGCTTCGATCCGAGCTGCATTACCGCCCGTATATGCTCTCCCGCCCTCCGCCCGCAGCTGCCACGGTGAATCAAATGTCGCGGCTGCACGGCGTGCATCCACGCCGCCCTCCCTCAAGACCCAGCCGCCGCAGCTGGCGTCTCGTGGTCGCAGACATCCGGTTGTGCACGGCACGCCAAGGGCACGGCACGGCCCGGACTCCGCTCCACCTGGTCCGGCTCCGGCCGGCTCCGGCTCTAGCTTCATGGTCGGCGGCCGACCCGGCGACACGCTCTCCTCGACTACACGCACGAACATGCCTCCGGCGGGGTGGCGCGCAAGCCGAGGCCAGCAGGCCAGGCCCCCGCGGGCAAGCAAGCATGGAGACCGCATCGTCGACACGTAGCCGCTCATTTGACGTGGACTGGTCGCATGACGGAGCTGCCACTCACACCGTCGGCAGGCGACCAACCCGTCCCGGATACAGATGGATGACTCGAATACCAGAACATGGCGTGAATGCCAAGCGCGACGTCGGGCCAAAAAGCGCTTGCCACGATGAGACTCGTCTCGCGGCAGCGCCCATGGCATGCATCTTCACAGAGGTCACGGAGCTGGATCCGACCATGTCAACATATCCCTCGCATTCCACCGATTCAAACACTCAGAAAACGCACACTTTGCTACCACCGCCCTCATTTCAGAGCCTAGGCCGACCATCACTTCTCCCCCTAGTGCTGCCGCTCCTATTATACACCATAGTTTCCCCCTTCATCTATCGCCACAACAGCCACGTCCAATGACTGGATAACAACAGCTCTTGCACCGCCTGGCCGGCCCGGCCCGCTTCGAGTCAAGGTCAAGATGAAAATGCAGAGCAAGCTATCGTGAGGAATAGCACTTCAAATAAATGACTCCCCGCCCCCGTCGGCTTTTAGTTTGACGCCGATGAACAGAACAGACGTCAATTGCAGCAAACCACCACTCCAAGTAGCAACAAGTTCAATTTCCCCCAAACCCCAGGTATGTCATGGCGTATGAAATAATAACTAGATGAGTCGTCGCTTCGTAACGTCGTTGGTCTGTCTTCAACATTGAATTGGATTTCTTTTTCCTTTTCATTCGGGCCTTTGCTTTCGCCCATGCATGCACATGTGCCGCTAACATCATCTGCCACACCAAAATTGAGCACGCCCTACACCGCGGTCACATGGCTCGCATCGACCTCGCCATCACCTGATTTCGAATCCTCCATCAACGTATCCTCAAGTTGCGATGAGTCCGTGGCAAACGACATAGTCATTGAGTCCTTTCGGTCTAGCACTGGCCCCGAGCTGCTTTGCGACGTCCCGAGCAGTCCGTTGGCGGCACATAATCGATAACCTCCATCGCCCTTGAGTTCGATGATTCCTTCGTCCAAAGCCCACTGCGCCAGTAGCCCATCCGCTCCAAGCACAGGCCCTTCTCCCTTTTCCATGTGGCGTCCAACGTGCTCTGTCCATTCATCCCATGCACTCGCCCCATCAAACTCCTTTCGGCAGTCTGGTTTGGGACATGATGCTCGCTGCGGTGGTTGGCGTCGTGTCACTAGGCAGGATTGTTGCATCTCCTTGACTTGCGCATCCCAATTTGATTGCAGCTGCCCGTCTCCCTGTGATACTGCTCGCCTGATTTGTAATGGGGCATGCATTCGACGCAAGTGTTGAGTAAAGAGGTCTTTCCGGTTGAATTCGTTGCCCTTGCCTTCTGCTGCCGTCTGCGGGCATGCAGAACAGCGGTAGTACTGCAAGCAGAGATGCTGGGAGGCGATATGCCGCTTCCACTCGTTCTTGGATCCAAATGTACTTGTACAGCCGGCAAAGGAAAACGCGCAAGGAAACGGCCTCGTGTGCGCAGCAGCAATATGCTTGCGAAGCGACGACGAATCTTTAAATGGGGCATGACTACAATGATTGCATCGATACTCTTGCTTAAAGACGGATCGCCGAGGACCCTTGGATTTTGAATTAGGTGTCAGTTTAATATCCATCAGCATTGCCGAATCATCAACCGCGACGTCGCTCGTGTCTTGAGGCAATCGATGTGTCTCGTTTGACAACCCATCCGGCAAGTTAGTTCGGGCTCTCTCCGCCACATTGTTCGCCTCGTCGCTTCGATGGCGCACATGGCTTAAAGCCTTTAGTTGCTCTGCTGCTTCCTGCATTTCCGCCGAGTCTTCCACTTCGTTCTTGGGCTTTTGGGTTCCCAGGCTGAACGTCGCCGGTGACGAGCTGCTTTGCGCCAGCGATCCCGGGTGTTCCCGAGTAGCAGAGGAGTGGAAAAGGTGATCATGGTGTTCGTCAGCGTCTCGCCGATGTGCCGCCCTCGCAGGTGTACCGGCTGCTAGTTCCCTCGCCTCCAACAGTATTCTGCCGTCCTCAACCTCCTTCGCAGACGGCCGAACGTCGGTCGGCCCAACCAGTCTTTCATACAGATGAAGCATATTGTGTGAGCTCACGTATCCAAGGAAGCAGCATACTTTGTCGTGCTGTACGACAGTCCATATCGAATGGGGCATGGAAATGAGAAGCATGGTTGGCGGACCCAGGAACATTCCCTCCACCGCAATCTTAGAAGCAAGCGGTGGCGTATCTTGGAGCCATTGATTGAAATATGACATGTCGGTACTGGCATCGCCAACGAATGTCGTACAAACCAGTACGCGAGCTTCGTCAAATCGGATGTCGGCTGCAGACTCCGGATCAATAAGCTGATCCTCGCGTACTCGAGCGACCTGGCCCTCGGACGCTTCACCGCCGTTTTGAGTCGGTCCAGTGAGCCGCCGCGACGGCAAAGGTGCCATGGTGAGATGCTGGCTTTTACCTGGCGTCAGGGTGAATAACAGTGGCAATCGGCTTTGCAGGGGCGCGCCTGGATTGGTGGTCTGAGTTCTGGCAACTTGTGCGTTTTGGGGCTGCCTCTGTGCCACGAGTTCCTCGTAGAGGCGATTGACGCTAAAGGGACGTCCGCAATGTAATTTCTGTAGGGCTTCAATTAAATTAGCCGTGAAAGAGTGACTGCCCTGTTCCCTTGAGCCATGTTCAGGGGTGGAGGCGGCGATGCCCTGTTTTATGCCATGGCTACCTGCGGTAGGAGGATCAGTTGTTGCACAGGAATCTAGGAGCAGAAGAATATCGGACTGCGCATCTTCGAACAAACACCTCACTCCATCCCACTTGAGCTTGGCGGCATCTTCACGGCCATTGCTACAAGTCAAACAGTCAGAAATTGTCACGGGGCCACGTTTGAGTCATGGTCAGCTCAATGAGACTCACCAAGCCCAGTACACATGGCCATCGACACCAACATAGCCGTGTCCCGCATAGTATATTATCAACAAGTGTTTCGGCCGGGCATTTTCAAGAAAAGATGCCATCTGTACGCCGAGCTTGATGCTTGGGTTTGGTACGGTGGGGATCTGCCATCGTTGCGTGGCGTAGTTGTATTTATCTTGCAGTAATTGTTCAAAGGCGGCTACGTCGTCATCCACAGAACGATCCTCCTCCCAGCTCAACAGCAAAACGGAAACATCAGCATATGGCGGCCTTTCGGTTTGACGCTGAATCAACATGGCAGCATCTTGAAGATGTCGGGCAAAGGATTCAAAGTCTTGACGTTCGGAAAGCGGCGCATCATGGGCCGGATAGAGCTGGCTCTGTGAAAGCTGATGGTGTTAGCTGGACGGTGCCGCAACAAGGCCATATATAAATCAGAGAAAAAAAAGTGAAACCAATGGGAAAAGGAAAAAGAAAAAGGAAAAAGAAAGGCCAAGAGCGCTGGGCAGCGTTCCAAAAATGACGGGGGTGTCTGGTCTGGTTCCATGGCTCACCGAAGGTTCGTTGGGGTGCTGGCCAGTAGTGGCAGCGACGGCGGCGGCAGCAGCAGCAGCTGCAGTAGCTGTGGTTTGTATTAGCTAAAACTGAAGGTGTAATGGCAGAGGCAGAGGCAGTACCAGGCACGGCAGGCGAGCAATTGGGGGTCGACGAAGCGTTGACCTTGGGAGCCAACTTCCTCTTTTTTGTAGTTGGTTCCATGGGCAGAGAAGCCCCAGAGACGGCGGCGATGGAATTGGCGTGGCGCAATGGACGACAAAGGGAAGGAATCAAGAGAGGGAAACGCACGACGGAGCTGTCGTCGAGACTCGAGAGGACGAAGCGCGGTGGGGCAGCAGGTCTGGTTGGTGGGTTGGCTGGTTGGTGCCGGGTGCGATGCGACGATGAGGCGGATGAATGGGTCAAACGGTGGCACTGCAAACTCTGGAGGCCAGCACAAGGCGGAGCGGAACTGGCCTTGGCCTGGCCAGCCACGCAAAAGACGGCACGATGCAGGGCAGCTCGGCAGCGGAGCAGAGGAGGAGCAGAGAGGCCGTCAGTCGTTCCATTGATTGGCCTTGAAGCCTGAGCGGGAGAACGGAAGGAGGGAGAGGAGAGTGGGTTCCCAGCTACAGACGAGGACGAGGTCGACAGGCTGTGGGCGAGGCTGCTACCAGAATAGCCAAGGGCATCTCGGCAGGAGCTGAGCGGACGGGCAGAGCGACGAAGGAACCAATCCTGGTGATGGAGCAGAAGAACCCGGCAGGGGAGGGCGTGAGCTGACGGCAGGAATCCAGAGTGGGTTCGACGAGGCTGCGTGGAGAGGAGAGCTGGCGTGGCCGTTTTGGTCTCTTTGACTCCGACAAGTTTTGGGCCTGCAAGGCTTGCTAGCTTGCTTGCTTGCCTGCTTGCCCGCTTGCTCGACGGAAGCTGCTTGCTTGCCCGCTTGCTCTGATTGATTGATTGCTCGCAAAGATTCGGCCTGGTGGCCCGCCTGACCTTGTCGTCGCCAAGGTTGGCTCGGCGAGTGTTGAAGCCAACACGGAGCGAGCCGGCGTACGCAACCCAGAAACCCGTCACCGAGCCAGGGTGGGCGCAGAGGGAGACAAGCTCGGAAGCAGAGGCAGACGCTCAGCCGGGTTCCAACCGGGCGGCAGCAGGGCGAGCAGTCAACCGGTGTCCTCTGGTGTATCCGCAAGCAGTGGCACAGCGACCCTCCCCCGAGTCCCCTCTGCGTGGTGCCGAATGTGGAGGGCCACGCGCTACCATTGGCCCGTAGCCGAGGCAGCTTCCACTGGTGCGCCGGGTCAGCTTTGCGGATTCAGCTGGCTTTTGTGCCATGGGAATCAATCTTGTCTGCGCGCTCCAGGCAATCAATGGTAGAAGCAGCGTTTGTGTGAACAGCTGTCGTGTAACTGTGGGCTGTACGCCGTAGTCTGGCACCAGCCGGCCGCAGCCGTGCAGCAACATGTATCGTGGAGATGCATGGAGCATACGGAGTATGCACATTCAATTTTAGGGCTCTGCGCGTTTGGTTCCTCGCCAACCTTTTAGGCTCGCAATGCCAAACGACTGGGTAAGCTGCCTTCACCGTCATTGGTTCAACATCAAACCGCCCCGAGGAAACGTCGGACTCTGTATCCGACGTCTTGCAATCCATGCGCTCCATCCGTCACACATTCTTGCTTCATCCAGAAGAAGCCCAGACTCGGGACGGTTGAGCTGGCCGTCAAGGCAACCAATTGCGAATACGCCTGGTACTCCTTATTAGCACTCCCTCCATGTTGCTTCAGTGGCCTTTACACGGAGCGGCCAGCCGAGACATTGGGCGCGGCAAGTTCAACAGGTGAATGGGTGCAGGAAGCTTCGACCAACTGTTTGAGCGCGCCATGCACGTAATGCATTTGCCTGCTACAGAGTGCTCCAAAGCCGAGTCGGCATTTCAAGTCGTTGTCCTTCCCAATAGCCACGGCCTCCATGACAGCCGCGTGCTGCCCAACTGGAAAGAATGCAGGAAGGAACCTGCAAGCCCAAGGCGGTGAGGTGAGCCTGCGTTTGGACAAGTAGCAGAGCAGAGCCTCCTACACGCCTTGTGTCGCGGAAAAATGAGAGAAAACCATTTGGCCAAAGGAACCAACTAAAGTAGGAGATTTGAAATACGTTGGAGCTGCCCAGAAGAAGTATGCAACAGTCGCAAACTGAGCTTGACATGGTGCTAGTGATGCTCCTTTTGTCATCCACTTTTCCAGAATAAGGCAACTTTATCCGTGCTCAAAAAACACCAACGTCAACCGCCCTGTGGCGAAGCACGGCCAAAACGACCAATGAAAATATCAAGTGCTCCGTACACCAAAGTTCAAACCAATTAGCACAAAAATGCCCACCCAGTTGCAGAGTACACTCTCAAACCACCTACTTAAGTACTTAATGTACTTAGGTACAGTAGATGGCGTTGAGAGCGTTGCGGTTCTAGTACATGCTACTTACCTAGGTACTTGATACCTGAATAGCGAGACTTACTGTTAGTCTAAAAGCAGACTAGCGTCAGAACGAACATGTTCCTCCAAGTAACTTACTCCCCAAACATGCAACGGAGGATTTTAGCCATACTTAAGTAGGTACTTAAGTAGGTGGCCGAAATCCTGTCTAAATAAGTATAAAAAGCTGTCACCGCCACCACTGCTTTTTATTTCGTTTCTGTAAAGAGCGCCAGGTCTAATGGGTTTGCCCTAATCATTTCCTCGCAGCTTTCAGGGTTCGCATTTCACGTCAAAATGGGTGGCTTGACCGAGTGTGCTCTACGCCATCATGGATACGTCCACTTCACCCGGAACAAACGTCTGAGAGAAGATTTCGGCACGCGTTTCTGTTCAAAATCTCGTTGACTGCTTCATTACCGAGACATTTGTGCGGGGCGCCCAGACCTCGGCACATGCAAATCAAATCGATGCATCAGATTACAGTGGAAGCTGAACCTGAAATGCCCTGTATGACTACTTGGGAGATCATGGGCCACTCCGAAAGTTACCCAAAAGCCAAGATGTAACTGACGGCATTAATTTCGAGCTCGTCACTTCACCTCTCACCATGGAAAGTGACCAAGAGTCCCCGTATTGTTTATTGCACTGTTTCACAGCAAGATGAAAACCTGTGTAATTGCTCATCACTGGGGATTCGATGTTTTGGCGCCCGGAAACGAGCAAAAGCGCCATCCAACAAAGCTCGCTGAACAAGGTTACCCAGCCAACCGAGCCGAGTCCGTTTGATAGATGCGGAAATATTTTCCCCGGATACGTAGATGTGTTTGACGGTGAATAATGTTCATTAGGAGGAAACCCTCCGTTGATTCTGACGAGGCGGGTCGCCCAGGTGCGTCCCACCCCTGGGCGCTACTGGGGACCAATGGGAGTCAGTTCCGGACGGTTGCGACGCCTTCTCGCCGGCTGAACAGGCAGCAGTGAGGCACCGTCAAGCGAAAGTGCTCGCTTTGCGTGGCAGGCAGCTTGTAAAGTCACCTCACACCAAATGTTTCGTTCTTTCAAGAAATTCTCGGATCTGTCTGGACTGGTCGTCGTCGACAAGTAGGCCTTGACTTCTGAGATATTCAGTGTAACGCGCAGATTTTTCAACCTGAACCTCAACTTGTTCTGCGAGCTTCTCATTATCGGGGTGATGAAAAAAGTCATGTATTACAGCATCCTGGCATGCTGTAGGTCCAAATGAACGTCGAAAAATAGACGAGTAGAATATATCTGCAAGACTGGAAGGGTGGCGCAGTATTTCAACGATGGAAGAAAGTCCCAAAAGAAACGCTCCATTTTGCTCAGGTTGCCCCTGTCGAAATGCCCAGTCTTGACAGAGTTGTGCACAGGTGTTCGATGTATTGCGCCGCTCTTCAAGAACTCCGCAGAACTCCAAAAATATCTTGTCTCGTGGAGTACCAGTAAAGATGCGCAGCATGTCGGGGTCGTGACCCGTAACCCATGACGGCGGGGTGAACATTCGCAGCGGAATAGAACTGGTGAACTCCCAGTCAATAACGCCGCGAATACTGAAGTCATCATCAACGATGATGTTACCACACCTCAAATCGGGATGGGCTAGTATGAACGGGTGGCGGTGTTCTTGTGGGTCTATGTAGGTGGGGAGCTCTTTGAGTATGCTTTCAAGCGCGAATATTTCCTCTTTCGCCTGTCTGTGGTCAAGTTCTTCGACAGGGAGCCGATATGTTTCCGTCAACATATGGCAATGGAAGTCGATGAAATGTTTCACAGATGTAAAATTCCCACTGACTACCGGCACCCCATAGCTTCTCTCAAACTCATTTGCAGTCATGGAAAGGAAGGGCCCCACGATAGGATTCGATTCATTGCCGTCTGGGTTTGGCATTAAAGATCCTGAAGACGTAAACTCAAGCTTGCGTAGTTGGGTCAAGATATCAATAAGGTCAATGAACAGCCTCTTGCGTTGGGTTTCCGTGGCGTGCATCATCGTTCTTGTATGGAGCTGTTGTCCTTTTATACAGTCCATGACCATAAATGGCGTTGACGCACCCTCTACCAACCTCTTGTTTCTGCCATATGTATGGATATGAGGAATGGGAATTGTGGTGTTACGTTCAATATATCTGCAAGGGTACATAAGAGACTTGTACTGTATTATCACAGATACAGACATAGCTTACCGCATTGCCGTCACCTCACTGACAAGCTTGTCCCAGGCATTATAAGTAACGGGATCGATTGGAATCCTCAACACCAATGTGACATCCACGACGTCACATCGAACAAAGAAACAGATGTTGAAACTACCATTTTTCTGATCAATGATCCTGCAAGGCTTGTCGCCATAGAGTTCAGAAACTGTTTCACAAACGGCAGTCTTATTCACGGAATCGATGAACGTGCATATTTTGTCGTCGATTTGCTGCGATGTTAGTGGGAAGGGTCTTGGCGTGTCGTGTTCCCGGTCGCTGGACGCATCTTTCTGTGCGAGGGTGGTGTGTACTTCCTTGAACGTCACGAGTTTCCATAAATCATAGAGTCCGCAAGTGATCCTGAACAGATAAAATCTCAACGATGCCCATTGCGCTTGAAAGAATCGAAGTGCGAGATGTTGCATGATTAGAATGGTAGCCAAAAGTGTAGGTTTAGTAAAGCGATTAATGACTCTAGGGCATGGGAGAAGGGGGCGTCTCGGATAAACACTGTTCCGGTAAAGAGCTTGCGGCCAAGGTCAACGCGTCTCGGTAATAACTAAGATCACGTGGACTTGTACATGGCTTCAACCCAACAAGCCGGTGAGAAGAGGCATCGACCTCGTATTTAGCTCGGGCCCAACCCGTCTGGACTTCCTTGCTGGGAAAATTTCCACCGAAAAGCGCACTTTGCCTGTCCCTAACGCAGCATCACCGGCCGCTGTGGCTGATACTATGAGGAGGCAATGCAGCCCTCTGCTGGTCAGCAGTGTACTTTGACGCTGCGGCCCCGTCAGAGAAAGTCTTGTGCCGAATGCTTGGTGTTGTCAACCTTCCAGGCATAAGTGCATTGCTACCTTCGGTCGCTTGCCTAGCTGGAGATTGACACAACATTAATAAGACGTGATATTGTGAAGCATCGCACTCGTTCGTGTTGAGGGATTGAATGCTCAGACGCTACCAAATCGTCTGTGGTGGGCCCGGCTTTATAGTGGATTTTGGCATGCATTGGAGGCGGTCAATGGTCCATGTCAGTAGCAGTAGCCATGGGCCGCTGGTCAAGAGCACTGGTTAGGAAAGTTGTTGCGAGGAACTGGAAGGAACATGTGGTGTTTTACGCTAAACTACACTCAGACTAGCGGCAGGTCTCGCTCTTTATCTTATGTACCTAGCCCGCGACGCTCGTAACGCCTTCTACTGTACAGAGTAGTTACTCCGTTAAGTACTCCGTACTCCGTTGGACAACGCAAGCCCAGCACGTCAGCCTCTTGCCAAGCCTCGCATGCTGCGTCACGCGCCGGGTTTGTCGGGTAGCTGTTGCCTGCGACGGGGTCCCGTCCCTGCCCAAAAGCGTCTGGTATGGTTGAATTTTGTCTCCTCCCATGGCCCTCATCCTCTGCCCATTCCCCCATCATCACATTGAACCCTTCTTGCAACATCTTCACGTCTCCCTGACTGTAGACAGCCTCGCCAGTTCTTCCAATCCACCAGCCAGGCTGCGTCACCACCCGTTGCATGGCCTAGTTGAGCGACAGGGGTCCATGAGAACGGACAGGTCCGTCCTTGTTCTTTGTTGGGTTTTGCCGAGTGGCGTTGCAGAAGCCGCCCCGCAGAGAAGCCCATCCAAGCCCCCCGCCTTTGCCCACAAGGCGGGAATCATCGTTGTGGCTCTGGCTATTTCTCTGGATTGCGTCACGGCACCTCTGCACTTTTTGCAGCGACTGTGGCCGCATCTTTGCGCTCCGGCCGACCTCGTTTATTTTCAGGACCTTTCTTTCATCTTACTACCAATAGCAGCACTACAGCTCTGTCGAACCTAAAGGATCAGATTCGCGGCCGTCGCCCAAGCGCTTTTTCCATTGCTCAACTTTTCAGTTAAGATCTGAGCCTCACAGCCCGGCATGGATGCTTGCGGCGTCCGTCGCAAGGATACCTCCAAGGGTCCGCCGCTGCGTGTGCTTTCTCTTGGTAAATTTTTCTTCTACTTTGACTTCAATATATCCCCCTCAAAGGATCATCTCGTACTAATTGCGCTGTAGATGGCGGAGGCGTGCGCGGTTACTCTATGCTCATTATTGTACAGGAACTCATGCACAGAACCTTTGTCGAAATTGAGGGCCGAGCCCCGCGACGTCACGAGATTCCAAAGCCTTGCGACCATTTTGACCTCATCGTTGGCACCGGAACTGGCGGCCTGATCGCCCTGATGCTTGGTCGACTGCGCCTAGACCTGGAAACTTGCAAGGAGCTATATGTGCGGATGACGAGGGTCGTCTTTGAGACCGACAAGACTATCGCTGGCATCCCCTACCGGTCGACGCTTTTCAAAGCTAGCAAGCTGGAGGAGGCGATACAGCAGGCTGTGCAAGAACACACCATCTACGAGAGGGAAGGAAATGATGGTCAAGAAGCACCCGATCTTGTCAGTCCTCTCAACGCTGCGCTATACTCGAGCGCTGCGCCTCGGCGTAACCTCAGTAACGCCAGTACCGTCAGCTTCAGTGCTCGTAGCCCATCGTCCCAAATGGCGTCGCGACCCGCCTTCAACTCACGATACGGAAACCCGCATGCAAGGCTATATGACGCGCGAGAAACGCGAACCAAAACGTGAGTTGTTGAAATCAACCCCCCGAATATGGGGGCCAGCTTACAGAATTAACTTTTCTTTAGTGCTGTAACTGCCGTCTACCAAGGATCTCCACGCAATGCACCACCAGCCATGTTGCGCTCATACGACTCACGACGCGAGCCGCCACCCGAATTCGATTGCAAGATTTGGCAAGCTGGTCGGGCGACCAGCGCCATTGGCTTGGCATTCAAACCCGTGCGCATTGGCCAATCTATTTTCCACGATGACGGCGCCGGAACCTTCAACCCAGCGCCTGACGCATTGGATGAAGCCGTGGTCAACGAGTGGCCAGGTCGCGAGGTTGGAGTCTTTGTTAGTGTTGGCACTGGGCGGCGGCCGAAGTCGAGTGACTCGAATCAAACCCTGTGGTATGAAGGGTTTCTCGGAGAGTTTGCGGAAGCACGAAGGCGACTCATTTCGAAAATCGAAGGATGCGAAAAGATTCACGAGTACATGGTACGGGAGCACCTTGCCAAGAGAGGTGTCAATGTCGAAAATTATTATCGCCTGAACGTTGAGGTGGGTGTCGGCGAATTTGGTATGAATGAATGGCACAGGCTAGGAGATATCAGCATTAGCACACGACGGTACATGGCTCGCGAAGCGGAGCAGAAGATGATCCATAGCATCACAAGCAAATTGGCCAAGATTTTCAAGGCGAAAATCAGATGGGAGCGAGCTCAGCAAGGCATTCCGGAAATTGTCAAGTCCACGTCGGCAATCAACTTCGACATGCCGCTTGCCATAGAGTTGCCCGGAGACGAACCGGCAGCTCCCCTCAGTCCGCCTAGCCGCTCATCCTTCGACTCTGTTCCTGACAGTCTGCAAGTTGGCTCGAATCAGCTAGGATCTCCACGTAGTTCACACGATCGAGTCCATCCGAGCACAGGCAGCACTCGACCAGGGCAAGCATCGCCTATTCCGGATGACCCTGATCGCCTCGTGCTATCATCGCCATCCCCGATTCAATACCAAAACGCCTCAGACTCGGACAAGATTGTCATTTTGAGTCCAGACGAGCATGCCCGACTTCTACCACAGCAATTCACCGTCCCTCTAACCCGAATTGAGCCTCCTCCTCTGCCGCCCAAGACTCCGCTGCCAGGTAGCAATAGGCATCATCCGCCACAGCCACCAATAGCGCGGATATCATCCGCGTCTATCCCACCATATCCCGTGGACGACGATGAACCACCGCCTCCTGTGAACATGGCTCGAAAACCTGAATACCGATCGCGCTAGTCGCACCGAAGAGCACAAAACATGAAACTGAATGCAGACTAAGAAAAGTCATGATATAAACACCTCTGTCCCTGTTGGCGCGCAGTTACATCGGCGTTTGGCGCAGCACTACTGGACTTGCTGCCGGGCTCTACATGTCTATTTTGTGCCTCGTCTTTGATCTTGCTCCCCATCGATACCACACAATTTTTTTAATTTCTTTTTTTTTTTTTTGGAAATTGTTACAATTTTTTTTCGTGTACATACGATCTGGGCATGGGCCGGCTGCGCAGAAGAATTATCAGATATTCAGGCTAATATGACGGAATCGTGTGCCAAAAGAAGCCCTCGGCGTGGACACGTAAATAAGATCACAATTGTTTATTTTGTTCACCGCATGATTGTGAGAAGTAGGCGGTTACACTAGGATGGAGCCTCGGAGGACTAATAAAATCCCCTACACCAAATGGGCCATGGCCAAATGGCCGTTTCAACTTTCAACAGAAACGGAAGCAGTTGCACGGCGCCAAACAAACGCTTCACGTGCCTTGGCGAGTTCGGATCCCGCACGCTAACTGAACCCTTAGGCGCCGGGCCGATCGTCGTCAATGCTCGTACGGGATGGATCTACGATTCTCTGCCGGGGCCGTTACGCAATATGGACGGCGCGGGTGCATGGTTATTTATTTTTTAGCAAGGGGGCGCTCCTGCTTATGTGAGTTGCCAATTTTACGTACGCCGTATGCAAGACAGCAAGCTGAATCTGTAGGATGCTTGCGGAGTTAACGCCGTGGAATAATCTGCAGCGTACGGAGTAGGGGTCATGTCCAACTATCGCGGTTCCGCACATGAGCATAAGCGTGGGCTAGTGCGTGTCTGATGGATGGCCTCGCAAAGAAATATTGGTTGAACCTTGGTCTTGCTTCTCATGGCGGGCACCAATGTTGGGCGGAGACCGCAGGCGTACTCCGTGGTTGCTTGATGCAAAACAGTCTGCATCAGGAGTATTGAATTTACCATTTGGTAATCGGGAACAAATCAAGGTCGAGCTCCGAGTCCGTACGCGGCCGTCGTTGATTGGTCCTGCCAGGGAAAAATGCATGTCTTTTGGCATGGGGAATTTTTTGAATTTTTTTTTTCTTCCTCTTTCGACACTCCTCAATCCCACCACTGTATTCGTGTAGTAACTTACCACTTGCTCCCTTTGTGCGACGCAGGGGAATGGGATTTCGAAAGGGTCGATATTCGGTGTCTCAAAGTACCGGAAGCCATTTCATCCTGTCAATACCTGATCGGCAGATTTGGAGTACTTGGAGGGAGCGGTATTACCGGTGGCTTCTTGATCAGCCGCTTCTTGATCAGCCGTCAGTGAAACCAGACCTGGTCAAATGGGGCAGGGAGATCTAGTCTGGCGTTCTCGAACCTCTGGGCCGTGTTATACATGATCCATCCACACGAGTTATCCCGAGGCTAATAAGTTTCGACTGAGCTTCGTAATGGCGGAATGAGTCCCTTGGCGTCGTCAGTGCAGATGATGACGCCGTCTTGGCCGATCGATTCCTGGTGAGAAAGCTTGTGGACGTAGCACCCCAGATTCCATGCTCGCAATTTGGCGCCATGCCAGATGCAGACGCCGCCACCTGATACATGGTCTGGTGGTGTCGTGATGCCACGCTGACTGGGGACGGGCGGGTTGGGTGTTGAAGAATAATCCATAGGTGGGATGAGGAATGGGCATTAGAAATCGGAGCAATTGATCAGAGTCATTGAGCCCTCAACGCCATTCGCGGCTCAAGGCACGGAGTACCTAGGTACTATATAACTAGACAGGCTGCCAGGGAAGGAGCTCGGAGGGCAGGAGCATCCTGAGTGGTTTGCCAACTCCTTCCCTATGCGCCCATTTAGTACTTGAGTACTCAGTACGCACGCATGGTTGAATCAATCACGTCCCCAAGTTCAAACAGCATGCCCTCATCTTCCTGACGTCCAACTCGCTTCGTTGCAATCAAGGGTCGACCGTTACTCGAACTAACAACTCCATACCTAGGCAGTCAAGGTCAACCGTTTGACTGATCCACTCGCCACTTCGATCCATCCATCACCAATTACGACTGACCCCTCACCCGTCATATTTCTCGGCCGCCTTCCCACTCGTTCGCTCCTCGGCTCGTTCTCCCATCGACGTGCAATCCTTGTCCCTTTGGCCTGGCCATGCAGCACAGCATGTGCGGGTGCATGGACCCGGCGCAAATTGGCAACAAAAACAGCCACTTGGTTTAGAACCTTGAGCCTCAACTGAAGACGAGTACGGGGTGCTCGATCCCTGGCGGTCCATGTGCTACCAGACTGGGTGCCCTTCTTGCCGCGATTTCTGCTTGGCCCTGTCCGTTGCTCAAGTCCCTTAAAGAGTCTCCACCAGCTGTTGTCTCTCTTGTGCCCTTTGAACTCAGCATATGCTCTTCTCCGCATCTTGCACTGAAGCATCTTGGCGTCCAGGAAATAAATTCGAAACCGAGCCTCCGGTTTTCATACGAGACAAGACTCCGTGCACCATCTGGCATCATTTGACGGCTTCTAGCCTGGTCGTATCCACCTCCTTCAGCCCTATCTACTTGCCTGGGCCGGACAGTAGTGTTTGCCTCAGCCGGTCGCGTGGCTGGGCGACTCATGCGACATCAACCCTCAGCCAGGGCTTCGGCAACGCTTGCAACTGGGGCCTCTCGCGTTTCTTTTCACGTCGCAGCGCCTTGGCGCGTTTCCGACAGTACGGTAAGCTGTGACTACTACATCTAGGTGGATAGAAAGCATGGCCTCGTCCGAAAGCTTGCAGATGCACGGGACTCAGCCGCACCCACACGCGCCATCCGGTTCACCTCCTACACAAGGTGAGGCTCGGCCCGTCTCTGGGACCCAAGAACGTGGCTCGATATTCAAGACCAGATACCCTTCGGCATGTAAAGAGTGTCGGCGGAGAAAGCAAAAGGTTAGTGTTATATGCTGACAAGTGACGAAGCCCTCACCCTTGGCTATGCTGCAACATCATGTATGTGATTGCCGTCTGCCTCCTGCTCCAGGTTTGACGACCCCTGGTTAGGGGCCACGATTGAATCCCTGGTTTCGGCATTGTCCACAACCTGACAAAGCCTCCGGCAGTTCAGCGGCTTGGCCTCAGCTCCAAGCCGAAAGCCAGCTACTGCAAGATTCAATGGAAGATGGAGGTGAACTATGTTTGATAATGCAAGCCCAAAATTATGCGATGGAAGCTACACCTTGGATCTGTTTTCCCCCCATGTTGCCGTTTCTTTTATCTTTACAAGGCGTCTCAACCACTGCCTCCAGCCACTGTGAGCCGATTCCGACTTTTAGTTTGGCAACATGGATATTTGACGGGCTCCTTTAGGCGTGCTTGTCTATCCATCAGAAATTCATCAATAGTAAAGCTGGATCAAAGATTCACTTTGGAGTACTAATCTCTTGTTCTGACAATAGTGCTCACTGACTCATCCTTGCACCAACTGTGCCCGCCGATTTCCCCAGCCCACCTGCGAATATGGCGTCGCCAAGATCAAAAGGTATGGATTTGAGGAGCCTGCCACGCCACCCGGCACGGCACGGTCTATGGCCGACAAAAATGCTCTCCGATACCCCTGTTCAGAGATACCACTCGTTCTAAGCCAGCTACTCCGTAGCTAGTCTGCCATTCTCACATTTATACGGTTCAAGTAAATGTTGAAAATAATCTTGTTACCTAGGGCATGGTCGAGTCCTCCGGGCTTGAAAGAGACTTCCTGGCAGGCCGGCGCTGGCTTATACTCTCACCTTGACATGGACTCGGTCCATGATGCTATTCTTGATGTTGAGGGTCGACTAGATTTGGGGGATGCGTATGATAACGCGTTTGGCATACAGACAAAGGCTCTGCCTCACGGATATCGTCTAATTTACCGGGAGCAACCGGTTTACTCCATGGAGAACGAACCGTGGTCTGGGGGCAAACCTTTTATGATGAAGTTTCGAGATAAGTCAGGGCTTTTGAAGGATCGGAACCTCATTGAGCTGGTCCAGTACATTATGCAAACTCGATTACGTGTTGCAAACCGCATTGTTCAGGATGAATGGGAGATAGATGGTAGGCAGTTGATCCGGGCATTACATGCAAGAGATCAACTGAGCAAGGACATCTCGAGCTTTGAGGACCAGATGCAGCATCTACCGATGGCGCCGACGAAAATGAACAAGGAGCTGGTCCGAACACGTAAGTCTCGTCACCAGACCACACGGGGGCAAGTATTGGTCAAGCTCACACGTCATGAATAGATCTTCAACTCTTGAGTCGATTCAAAGCGTCGCTGGATGGAAGTCCTCGACCAAAGAATCGATTCATGAAGCACTGGATTCCGTACTCGATCCAGGATCGACTTGTCTTGCATATAGTTCTTTGCACAACGGCAAGTTTCCTCCACGAGACTGGACGACTACCAAAAGTGCTTCTCCACATTCACCGGGCCACAGCAGCGCAGATGCTCAATGAATACATTAGCTCTCCAAATTTGTGCACGAGCGACTCTGCTATACTTGCAGTCAACCAGCTGATCCTGACGTCCTGGTACTGGAGCAGTACTGAGGAATTGCACGCTCACATGGCCGGCTTTAAAAAGATGATTCAACTTCGCGGCAGTTGTCAGAACCTCGGTATGGAAGGCTTCACCAGCAAGATTGCATTGCTGTGAGTCTCGCCAAGTCCTCGGAGAGAACTTCTACGCAAAATTGCAAGCTGGCGAATGCTAACACGTGTCTCAGGAACGATGCTGTGATTGCTCTATGTCACGACACGGAATGCGTCATCTTCGGGCAACCTGGATTCGAGTTCGAAGACCCCTTGCGAGTGCCACTTCAAGTAAACCTCAACTCGCCGTTCCTCTTTAATTGCCCGCCGTTTCTCATTCTGTCGTCTTCGCTGCGACTGCACAAAGATACTGCGGAAATCCTGGACGGCATGCGGCGTCTGCTGCAGGCAGTTGTTGAGTTGCCGGCTGATGCAGATGACACACAGCTAGGCACGGTTCACCTAATGGCATCATCCATGCTGGCTTACCTGGCGCAGTTGCCAGACCAAGTCATCCTCGAGTCGGACGGTGGTCGCGATCTTGCATCTGACATGTCCGCGGGCCAAAAGAGAAAGCGAGAGGAACTTGATGGTACAGCCCCGCCATCAAGGAGGTCGTCGGCGGCAGATTCGACTGGGGCAAAAACGTCTGATGATCCCCCCGACATGGTGTATCTCTGTGTCCGACTCACAGCCCTCATTTGGGCCCGTGCAGTCCATGAAAGGGTTCCCACTCGGGAAGTTTGTAGTGAAACGGAATTCATTCGCATATGGAGTTTTGCATGGGCGGCCGGGCTGGATAGGTGGTCGTCGTTGAGTGGCATCTATGCGTGGATGAACATTGCCATTGCGCCGCTGTGTCACGCCACCATCCATGCGAGAATGGTCAAGACCTTGACAGTAACGACGTTTACTTACATGGGCACTGAAAACTGGCATGTTGCGGCTGAAATTGCCTCTGCGGCGTTGAAGGTGCAGGCCTGGCTGCGAAAGGGCAAGGAATCCAAGCCTAGGGGGGCGGTAAGCGGTGCTTTCGGGGGGGAAAAGGCCATCGAAGATTTTGGATTTGCATTCAAAGAAAACATGCCGGATTTGCCGGATCACCGGTATGAAGACCAGGCTCAGGAAGCAAGCATCGAGGAATAGGTATTTGCACCAGCGGGGAGAGGACATCCATCTCAGCATTACGTAGTTGGCTACATTTGCATTTTGGGCGGCGTCTCGACTCACAGCCCTATGCTGATTTTGTAGCCTTGGCTGTTTCATCCATTGCTGTCTTCCCTGGGAACTTGGCCGTTGCACCGTGCCTCCCCTCCTGTCGGCTTCTGTCTAATGCGCCAGACGTTGTGGGTTCGTGCTGTCCGACATGCAAACTTTGTTGTGGAATTGGCTGGTAAACGAAATTCGGAGGGCAGTTCGTCATCACCTGCCATGTTGATCCGTATTTCTCCAATTTTTCAGCTGCAGAAGGGTGATGCCGCCACTCCCCGGCGATGAGGTTTGGAGCGCATATTCTCTCGATGCTGCCGGGTGGACAGAGTTGACGAGTTACACGGCAGCCAGGATCTTCAAGCAAGCCCGGGACAGCCACGCACGCAGACGAGGCCAAGGGCGAAGAGACGAGTGCCAAGGTTGGAGGCGGAAGCGAGATTAGACGGTGAGGCCACAGGTGTGTGATTTGCCGTGAGACAAGTCACAAAGGAGACGTCTTGTCTGAATGGCCCCCTTCCTTCGGGCCCGGGGCACAACTCCTAGCAGATGGGAAACATGAAGGCCGAGGGTTTCCTACATCATATCATGGCTTGGCCTGCTGGAGCAATTTGCACTCCGGACCGTAGTTAGTCCTCGGTAGCGATGGGCACACAGCTTTTGACACCAAGCGTTCATCATGGACCGCCGTCCACATAGCAACCGCCACGTAGACTCGGTCCTCGCATGGCCTCGAGAACACAGGGCGACTGCATAGAAGTGCGACCAAAGGAAGCTCTTGCTCGGCACTCAAAGCCATCGCCATTGGCCGCGCCAGCCCAAGCTGCATGCATGCGGTGCCACGCTGTCCAGTCCGGTCGGCCTCCATCAATCCATCAATCCATCAATCCATATCCATCCATCCGAAATGTGTAGCGCGTTGGCCTGTCACGCAAGGCGCCCGCGAGCGTTGTCTGAGGAGAAGAAAGAGTCACACCAACAGCTAACGTAGTCCCTTGACACTTTCTTCTCCCATTGCAACCAAAGACGAGTCAAACTATTTCATCGCGAGAGCCCAAGCGGTCGAATGGGGCGCGGAATAGTTGTGGGCTATCGATTCCAGGCTGGTACGCAATACTGCTGCGCCCAAATTCTCATTCTTGTTTTCATCTTCCCTCTTCATTGGGACAAACGACACTCAGCCGGCAGCGGCAGACGAAGATACGAGGGGAAAGCGTCGACGACTAATCAAGACGCTGACCCTGTTTCCCCTTGTGATGGCGCCGTTCACGCCGCGGACGAGGGCCGCTCCGGCGCTGCGTCGATGGAGGAGGCTTAGAAGGGAGACGACGACGACGACGACGACGACGACGACGATGGCGACGGAGACGGAGATGGAGATGGAGATGGAGATGGAGATGGAGGACGACGGGGTGACGGGGCGGCGGAGCGGCCGGGCCGGCAGGGTGTTGGGGAGACGGAGGGGCGCGGACATGGCGGGCGCGGTGAGCATGTGTGTCGAGCAGCTTTACCGGTTTGAGGAGCTGGCTTGATGGTGTTTCCCTGTGGTTGTCTGTTGATGGGGGGTTTTGATGTCGCTCCTGAGTCCTGACTGCGCGGGCGTCGGGGGGACATCCGGTTGTCCGCCTGACAGGGGAGAGTGGGAATCAACTCATGGATGGGATGGCATCTGGGGCGACACGCTGTGCCGAGCTACGATGTGGATGAATTACATGACCTTTTTGCGGCGAGGAAATGGGTTGTTGACTGGTTGACTTGTTCTTGCTGCGGCGGGCCGGTCTAGGGTAGCTGACGATGTTGGGGCAGGATAGGGAACTGCCAGGAACAAGATACGAGGCATGCTGCACGGATGTGTGGCACTTGCTGCTCGCTCGTGGGCGTTTTTCGGACCGGCGCAAGAGTCGAGACCACGCAGTATGCTGATGCTGTTGTTGGGGATTACGTGGTCCATAGGCGCTTTCGTGGTGGTCACGCTTCCCTGGCATTGGAGGACTTAGGGTTAGGGTTGGGATTGTCGGGGTGTGGACCGCGGATGTAGATACATTCGCGTTTTCTTGATCTGGCTAGAAAATTGCCCAGTTTGCCCGTCAACTTTGCGAGTTTAGGTTAGCGCCAGGCCAGGCTGGTAGGCATCACGACGGGACCAACAAAGCGTCAACTGGTGTTTAGGTCGACCGACACGAGGGATTACGGAGTACCCAGCCATTTGGTCGACGTCGGGGACGGGCGCGCGCACGCAACGGGTCATGAAGTTCCCGTGCGTCCTGGGGCGGACGACTCGAGGCTGACGACAGTCTTTGGTCAGGAATGAGCACATGGTGATGGGCCATGCGAGGTGAGTCGGCGGTCTTTCACTTCAGCCTTTGCGTGGCCACGCAGACCGTCTTCTGTCTGGAATGCACGGCCAGCTGAGACGGCGGGTTTCACCTATTTGTATATTATATCCCGCGCATGTCTTGAGGACGACGAGTGCGGGCGTCGAGGCCTTTCGTCTAGGTTCCCGAATGTGGGCGAAAGCAGTGGGCGAGGGCGGAGGTGACACGGCGCGAAGCAGGGACTCGGTGCAAGGTCGAGACGTCACGTCGGTGCCGTTGGGTGCGGCTGGCCGTGGCCCTTGACGGTCAGGGCGCAGGGCGCAGAGCAGAGTCAATCGTCTCGCATGTCGACGTCGATTTGCGCCTGAGATGTCGGGTCCTGGGGGGCGGGGAGAGAGCGGAAGGAGATGGCATGAAGCACTGCTAGTGGTGACGCTCCTGGAGTCTAGTACGTAGTAGGGAGTATCTTAACGGCTAGGTACTCCGCACCGAGGTACCCGAGTAGACTCCGCAAGTGACAACGGCATCCCTGCTCGGCAGTCGGCAGATGATGCAACAGCAGAGTGTGAACAAACAATGCGCACAATATTGATGCAGAGCACCAGCCCGGCGGCCTCGAGGCCAAGCCAACTGCTTCGCGTCCAGCTTCGCGTCCAGCATCGCGTCCAGCTTCGCGTCCTGCATCGCGTCCTGCACTGCAAACAAACAAACACCCAACACCCGCCGACCTCCCCCCAGGCACACGGTACAGGGTGCACGGTACACGTACACGGTACAGGGAACATGGGCCTGTCATCTGTCCCCGTCCCCGCTCCCGCTCTGCATTGCTGGGAAGGAGCGGCCCCAGGAAGTTGGCAGATGTAAGTTAATTTGGAACCTGCAACGTTTGCTGCTCGCTCCGCGGCAACCCACCCTCCTCGCAAACAACATCACCACATCATCTTTCTGTTCCCGTGCCCGTACGAGCCATCGTCGTCCCCCGCGGCCATCCTCAGTCAACAGTATCACGCTCAATCGCTGTCGCCTGTCTCGACTCCAAACGGCAGTGAGTCACATTGGCGTTATGCAGTGCAACTGTTGTCCTGGAGAAAAAAAGCCCCATGGACAGGCAGGAAGAAGAAAAAAAAAAGGGCAGAATATCCTACGACGTCCCGAGTGATGGCTCGGATAAACGCCCCCATGATCCGGACCACGACCACATACGGAGTACGACGGGTGCGTGTCAGACACAATGTTGATCAGCGACGCGATGAACCCTCCTCGCCTCCGTCCTATTGTCCGTCCTCGTCCGCCTTGATTTTTTCCCTTTCTTCTTCCGCTCACTTCTGACGGGCTCGCTACGACGTGCAATTCGCAACTAAGACATGGACCCTCTTGAGGCATGCTCTCGCAAATGATGCTCATGCAACCAGCCAATGGCACCGCGACGCGTCGGGACATCCTGGCCCATTTCTGCCCGCAACATGCGCCACCTGGTCGAATGCCTTTCCCTAAACAATCAATGTCGTCCACGGTGTACGGAGTAGGGACTCGGGACTCGGGAGCAGGGAGCAAGTTGGTAGCCGCGGATTGTGGGATGCCATGCTCGCCAGCAAACTCCAATTCAGCTCAACTGTCCCCCCCATAAACCCCACCGCCGTCTCGACCGACCCCCAAGACCTGTCTCACATCACTTTCCTCTGTTGAGCAGAAAAGGCGAAATCGGGCTCTACAACTCTCTTTTCTTGCCTCTGCCCGTTTCCTCTTTGGCAATGGGCCCTCCTCGCTTCTCCCGGTTTTCTCTACACCCGCCCATACCGACACGTCCATTCTTGTTTGCCCTCTTGGTTGGTCCAGGCCTTCTACGCCAACTAGCTCCCGTAATTACTCTCTCCCTTGCTTTCTTCTTTCTTCAATCTTGGCCCCCCTTTTGCTATGCCTTGTTGCGGAGTAAACCATTCTTGACAAGTTAATAATACCCCTACTCTACCCTGTCCTGCGTCCGTGGACAATCAATACCCATCATCCTCCACCCACGGCTGCTGGCCCCTGCCTGCCATGTATTGGTTACTCGGCCTCAGGTACGACGTTTTTCATCTATAAGCAGGCCGAATTGCCATTGTTATGACGGGTGCTCAATTATGGACTCTGGTCCACGCCGGAGTTTCGGGCTTCGTTATCATACCAGCCGCGTTGCTGGCTATATCGACATGGCTCCTGGCATGGAGTCGAGGAGATCCTGCTCGCCGAGCATTCACATGGCTAAAAGCCTGCCACCCATTTCTGGTCATGTAAGTCCATCTCGGTCACCACCTCGACTTCCTCTCCTCGCAGTGGGCATCTGAGTCGTCTGTAAACCCTGCCCACGTTGTTGTATTCGTTGGTTCAGGACAATTGGCAAACTGGGGCGCAATTACTGCAGACACTGCCTGCCATGAACAGCGCTGATGCCAAACAGCTCCCTCAGCTGTATCGTTGCAGCCGACGTTTTGAACTCCATCCTCGACTCTTGGCAAAACGCTGCCGGCTATTACGACACGGCCAACCACACGCACGATGAGATAAGTAGTGTTATTCGATCTGAGCGGTATCTTAGCTTCACCGGCAACTTGTTTGAGCATCTCGTCGACATTGTGTTTGTCATTCTTCTCGTCGAGCTCGGAAACGGACTTATGCACTCGCTGAATCGACATCCATCAAGATATCAAACCAGGTTACGGCGAGCGGCGTATGTTGCCTCCACCATCCTTCTCGCCTTTGCTCTTGCGTACTTTGGACAGCCAACGGCCTCTTGGGTCGCGTACTGGAACGGCTCTGAAAGCAACTCGAGCTACGCCCAGCTCTCTCTGTCATTGAAGGTTGTCGGCAAACTCGGGGCCTCGTTTTACATTCCCTCCTGGATCATCTCCCTCTTCCAGTTCGGATATGCCTCTTTTGTGATGCACAAGCACAAGGCTCGCGTGCTCACCCGCCAGGTAAGTAACTTGCTCTCCTCGCCGATGCGGCGCCCGAGGTGCAGCAAGCTAACCCAACAATGTCAGGCCGCAATCCTCTACCTAATCATTACTGTATTGGATCTTGTCCGGTGGACGTTCTTTCTCACCCTTTATGCGCAGTGGCTTCTTCCGACAAGCGCCAGCCCTCCATGGTGGAATCTCGTGGATGCTCTCGGCAACACATGGATCCGGCTCGTGCAGCTCACGATGCTTCTTATCATCGGCATGCGAAGGAGGAAAGGAATATGGACGACTCATCAGTCCTTCATGACGAGCAGTGAGTCGACAATGACGTCTACTATGGTATCGACAACCGCTGGACCTTCGCCAGTCCTGGCACCCGGCGATCCCGCTGCCTATGCGCACACGTTTTACCGACACAAGGAATATACACAAATGCCCCCCCAGATACTTCCAACCTGGTACGTCCCTCAGCAAGTACCGCCCTGGCAATACCACGAACTGGCGGCTCCACAGCCGGTTATCCTGGCTCCCAGAGAGCTCGACACCATGACGTACCAGTATGCGCCGCACCCGATGCTCGGGCCAGGTTATCTGGTTTTGCAGTCGACGGCGCAGATTCAACGGAATTACCAGCAGCAGCAGCAGCAGCAGCAATATCGTCAACAAGATGGTCATTTTCATCAACCGCCTCCCCCACCGCCACACCACACAATACCACAGGATTACCATTCTCTACCGATCCATCATCCACTGCAGCACCAGCCTTCATTTCAGCCTCATCAATACCACACACAATAGCTCCGGCGTAAAGGGAATTCCGCATATCATTCTGTGCTTAGGATGTTTGGCGTTGGGAATGGTTCCAGATACATTCGTCTTGAAAATAAAATATCAACCGTTTCTTTGACATGTGGAGTCGAGTGAGTTTTGAAGCGATTTTGAGATGAGCCACCGCCGACGCTTTTGCACGCCAACGTGAATTGTACATGACGGCACGCGGTTTCCGGACCTACCAGCGCAGGCAATTGGAACACCAATACGCACGACTTCCCGAGTATTGATGGTCAAGATTCATCATTCCCCTTGTACGTATGTACATACTTGACCTATACACATGGTGTATCGCGTAGGGGATACTCGTGTCTACCGAGGCAGTGGGTATTTGGTACTCATGAACCATGCACGACCCGTGTCACACCGACGTATCTGACGCCAGTCTTGAACCAGCAGCCGAGGCACGCAACTCTGCAATGCAGAGCGCGTCTCAAAGCCGCCGTCCTCTCTCTTGTCATGGCCAACTTCCACCTTGCATTCTCGTAGGGCTCGACGGACTGCCCGCTGTTGCGGAAACGCCAGGGCCAAGGCCATCCACTCGCGCGCCCGCGAGCCGGCTCAACAATCGGCTTCTCGAAATTCGAACAGACCCCAGCCGCCCTGAATTTCTGCTTCGGCCCTCTTGCTCGGGCTCCCGCTCGCCACACGTTGCCACGGAGCACATGGTGCCCTTTTTGAGTGTTTACAAACGAAGTTGACGGGATAGCAACCAGCTTGACCGGCAAAGGTGGAGGCCGACATCCTGGCAGGTCAGCCGATCTTGGCATGCACACCATCTCCCGTCTTGCACTCATCCCGGACAACGTGCACCGCACGAAGCACCCGGCTCGCGACTCGCTGGCTCGCGTCTAGGCTCGCATGTTTTCGGCCTCCGACCTCCTCCATCTTCGTCTTCCATCGCCATCGCCATCGCCATCGCCATCGCCATCGCCATCGCCATCTCCATCCATGGGCCGCAGCTCCGTCCGCTTGCTGGTCCCGTCTCGCAGCCCGCCCATAAGTCGAGCAATCGGAAGCATCCAAAAGCGAGGGCATGTCTGCAGAAACCGAGGCCGGCAAACGTTCCGCCGGTCAACCGTTTCCATGCCGTGCCAAGGGATTCCTGCGGCACCGCCCGCGACGCAAACCGCCAGCAGCGCCGCATTTGGTTTCTCTGCGCAGTACTCCGTATGCTTGCTCACGCCCATGCAATGCAACGGGGATGCTCCATTCCGGAGGTCCTTTTCTCCCCTGGCTCCTCCGCGGGGAATCCCTGGCCTTCCTTGTACACAGACCAAGAGAAAGGTGCATTTCCCACAGCCTCTGGGGACGGTTTTCTTGTTCAGAAAAGCCGCGTGGGCCACGTTGTCATGTGGCCGGAGAGCCATCTCATGCAGCTCGCAGAGTGGCATGATGGCCGTCGGGAAGTAACGAGCATATATACAGGCTCTTCTGGCGGCCCTCGCCCCGGGATCCCGACCAGACCAGCTGCCAAATATCCAGCACCAGGACCTGTCCCGCAGCTCTGGAGGGAAGGCTTCTTCACGGATATACCGCCGACGAGACTCGAGCTCCGGCCAACGCCTTCGTCGCGTCGGCGCGCCGCATCCACCACCCCGTCGGCCTCGCAAAGGGCTACAAGTTTGTTCTGTTTGTCGTGTTTGGCGGCGCGCTGCTGGGCTTCGCCCTCGCCGGCCTCATGTACCTTGGCGTCAGGGGCGTCTTTTGCAACCCCGTCTCGAGCGTGGGCCGCGCCCTCCCCGGCGGGTGCTACTACTACCTCCGCGGCGTCGAGAATGCCGGCATCATCATGCACCTTGGGGGCACGCTGCTCGCCGTGTTGTAGTTCGTCCCCGCCATCCGGCGCAAGTTCATCATTGTCCACCGCGCCAGCGGCTACCTGGTCTTGCTGCTGTCGCCGGTCAGCGTCGCGGGTGTCTTTATGATTGCACGGCACGGGCTCGGTGGCGGCCTGGATGTCCAGTCCGCCGCGGGCATGGCGTCGATTGTGTTTGTGGCGTGCAAGGCGATTGCTTTCTACAACATCAAGATGTTGCAGATTGAACAGCACCGGGCGTGGATGCTGCGCGCGTGGGTGCTCGTACGCTGTCTCCCCTTCCCGTCTCTATTTCTCTCGTGTGTGGCTCCAGTCTGTTGAAATGCTTGCCGTGCTGAAACATACAGGCTGGCTTCATCATCACAATGTGCGTCATCGCTGTCGTCATGACTGCCATCGTCGGGAAAAGCGCCCAGGACTACTACTCGGTCTGGCCGTGCTGTGTTATCGACTCCATCTACGGGGGCAACCAGACACAAGTCGAGCGGCTGTATCCGCCCTGCGCGGCCTTTTACTCAGGCGCCGATCCGGAGCAGCATGTCCCCGTTCCTGTTGGCGTGTTCGGCCAAGGGCCGGAGCGCGTCGTTTCCGCGGCCAATGTCAGCTTCGGGCCCAGTGCTTCGCTGGCTTTTGCCATCCACGCCGTCGCCGTCGAGGTATACCTGCGCCTGACGCCCGCCGAGACAGAGCGGCTGCGACGTGTCTCTTACCAGCGCCAGAGGGAGGCTGGCATGAAGAACCCCGGCAGTGCGGGCTTGACGGCTCAGAGACTTGGTGACGCGGACCCCTGGCACCCGCTCTGCGGGAGCGTCGGTCGACGACGAGGACTCGGCTTCCGCTGGGCATCATATGACCACCGAGAGGTTTGACTGCCAAGGTGGCTGACCAGGAGAGGAATGGACGCGTTTCTCCCGGTACGGCGTCTCGTAGCGTTCAGGGATCACGAGGTTGGATGACGGTCTGTGATGAACGCGGTTGATTTGGCTTAACCGTGACAGCGATACGCCATGGTGGCTTGGCTGATCTGAGGTTGGACAAGGGAGGAAAGGGGAGACGGTCCCTTTTCCGATACCGGTAGAGCTTACACGTCGCATAGCAATGAGTTGGTTGGGGGAGATTGTGAACTCCAAGTCGTAAAGCCACGGGCTCCTTTCGGCCGGAAGACGGTCTGTCGGCTATCATCTACAGAGGAATAAAGTGCACTCTCGAATCAGATCCCGTTCCACCAATACGACGCCGGCACATTGGACGAGCCCGCCCCGAACAGCCTTGTCCTCGCGAATCGCACTGCTATCGCTGATGACAGCTTCGTACTCGCCAGCTTCAAGCTCAACCCTGGCAAAGCCATGAAGTTCTTTGACGGGACGGTTGGTTGATCTTGGCAGCTTGCTTAGGCTGGATGTACATCTGGCAGTTTCGGCGCCCTTGGTGCGTCCGGTGTTCTTGACCTTAAGCGCGGCCGTCACCTTGCCTCGCTCGACGTCGCCGACAGATCGGAAAACGAGAAGCTGGTGTAGGACAAACCATGGCCGAAGGGGAAGTCAATAGCTCGATCGGCAGAGTATTGCTGTCGTTTTAAAGCAAGACAATGGTCTCGTTGCCGATTCTTCGGAGCAGAGCAGCCGTCTCGGGTGTATCAGCTTCCCTTTCCGGACCATGTTCCTTGATATCAAACCCTGAGACCTTCTTGACAAGCAGAGGCTTTCCTGCCAGCAGGTCGACCTTTTCAGCTAATTTGAGCTTCTTGAGCACCTCTTCGATATTTATGCAGGCCATTACCGGAAAGACTCTTGATCGACGAGAGCCCAAAAGGATAGGCGAGAACGAACACATGAGAGAGGGAAACAAGCTTGGCACCAAATCAAGATGACGGCAGCTGGTCAGATACATACGACGAGCTCGCAAACATCATTTCAGTGAAGCTAAAGTCACGCCTCGCCAGGCCGACAAATGTTTTGCGATGACGGAGAAACGTCGAAACCAGCGAGGCACGGTCCCAACGAAACAGGGGGGAAAAAGGAGGGACAGCTCGGGGTTCCCTTTGACATGTATTCTTGACATGCCATTCTGGTTGGGAAGAGATGATATGTTGGTGATTTCGGGCTACCTGATAAATAACATTTATCCAGTGCCAGCATCTATCGTTTCCCTTCCATCGATGCCTTTGATAGATCTCAGGCCTGAGGCACCAGGCCTGGGTGGTGGCTACCCCACTTTTTGCGAGATGCCACCGCACTTTACCCGAGCTCGATCCGTCTAGCCGAACAGCAGCCGATGTTCCTCGTGATGTTCTCCTTGTTTCGACAGACAAGACGGTGCACGTCGACACTCGACTGCCTACACTGGTCCATTGGATTGTAGTACGCATCTGCTCATGCTTTCACGACAACTGTGGCGTCTCTCTACTGACAATTGATTCTAGAATCCGGTAAAACCCCCGCCTGACCAAACCGTGCCGCCAAGCGACTTCCGAAGAATACGGCGCTGGTATGTGACCTCGACTGGATGGGGCAAAACAAATGCTCGCTGGTCGTTCTCCAAGGCTGGGTCGAGAGATGAACATGACATTTAGCAACCGCGTCTAGCCGCCATGTTTGCAAGAGGCCTTACTTGCCCACTTGAAACGAGTCATCGCGATGGAACCATTAGCATCACACCGTGGTCTTTCGGAGAATATCGACAACTAAGCGCTTGCGTGTGTCCTCGGCGGGTGCTGAGATCCTGGTACTCCCCCGCATTGAAGTACGTAGCCAAAAAAGTGAAACCCAACAGATTTCTGTGCCTCCTCTTCCCCCGGGACGACCAATCACCCTTGCGGCGCATGGACGCGGTAAAGAAGTCGATCTATGCAATGGAGCTGTCGTGTCATGCGAGACTCTGGGCGCTCTGTTTAGCAGTTGGACCATCTATTCACCCCTTACGCGCTTGGCACACAACTGATTGATACGTATCAGCGTGCCGAATGGAAAATTTGACCCGTTCTGTGTGGGTGGTCAGTCGAACCGATGGGGACATCGTCCTTGTAATACGTACGATTCATCCACGCGGAAATGTTCCCACGTCATTACGTACAAAAGTCACATATTCACACGCACCTTGTCGAACAGAGACTAGCGGATAGGAATTCTTTCTGAGATGCACAATGCTGTAACACGATTCGCAACAAACACCTGCTGTTGAGCAATCGACCAGCTCCTCTCTGTCAAAAGCAGCCTCTGCGGACAAGGCTCCCCCGTATATGCAACACCAGCTTTCCTCGTCAAGTTCGCATCTGCAACTTTACTCGCGCACGCCCCCTCCCTCCTTTCTTCATTTCGTCCTCCTAGTCATGTGTGCAGGTCAAAGTGGCTGAGTGAACGGGGATGAGACATTCATTTGCACACGAATATCCGCTAATTTTTCGTCTTCAAATTTCCGCCATATGAATGAATGAATGGATGGATGGATGTCATCCAGATACTATCAGTATAGCCCTGTCCTCATCGCCAGCAGGGTCATCCCATCTACGAAATCCTTGTTCGACAGGGCCCGCCGGCTGATGGGGGGGCAGGAAACGCAGGGACAGGCACACTTGCCGCCTTCGACACGTAATATTCAATATCCACATTCTTCGCCGTCAATTATTAAGTGCCGGCGCTCTTTGTGTCTTTCCGCCTCTCCACGGACCCCCCTGGTCCACCGTCACAGGCCTTGGCTTTTCCGCAACGTTTGACGCCGTCGTGACAGCAAGAACTGACTGAAGATAAGATTCCACAATACGGCCCGCTCGAACAATTGACCCCCAAGCCAAGGGAGCTAGCTAGAGATAAAGGACTCCTGGTCTCGCCGCTCAGTCAATGGGTATCGTTACATGGTTACATGGACCGGAAACGCGACTGTCATGACCAGTCCATCCCGCTTTAGGCTTCCCGAAGCTGGCCGGTTGTTGTTTGTCCAGAGTCTAGGGGCCAAGGGCACCTCGGCCAGAGAAAATCTATGTCGATGGCCCGAAGGGACGGTTGAGCCGCCGTTTCCTGCCCTGGGCGTTTGGCCCTTGGCCACCACGGCGTGGGTTCACACAGGAACAGTTGACGAACACATGCAGCCCAAAATAACATGCAGTCAATCCCTTGTTACGGCGGCGCTGCAAGGCTTGTCTCGAAATGCGGGTTGTCACATGATGCACGCGGGCGGCATACTAATTATACCTACCTGGCCATGAACCGAACCCACTCGAGGCTCACCGCTGTGGCCAGCGCCACAGTTCTTGACAGAACGTATTCGGTATTCGGTACGGAGTATTACGCGCCAAATTTTCATTTCACTCGTAAGTTGTCTCAGACATGGAGAGGATTGCCCTTGGAATCAGGGGCACCACTCGCAGCTTGGCAAGGCCCACGACGCCAAGCACAACTACGGCAGGACGTCTGTGGTTCCAAGGTACTCCGTACTGGCAGCAGGGAACGGCGATGGGGAGAAGCCTAGGCCCGACGTACACGACGTCCCGCCGGCTTTAGCACCTTAATTTGGACAAATATCCTGCCAACTCAACCTGGCGGGGGAGGGCAGTGTTTTTTGCCGACGGAACTGCTTTGGAGGGGCCCGAAATACACCAAGTAGTTGGTGGATTAGATGTAACAAGACCACGTACGGCCTACACGCGTGCCGAGTCGGAGCCCAAAACACAAGTACTAGCCTGCTGGCAAGTTGGACTGAACCGTCGTGGCCTTGCAGCCCATCAGGGCAGCCACGGGCCGAATATGACGACAAGCTTAGCGCACAATTGACCTCTGCCGGGCGCGCCAAGCGACTACGAGCAAGCTATGCGTTTCACGTCAAGGGTGGACGTGCATAAAACTTACCAAGGCCAGCAAACATGGCCTCATTGCGCATCAAAATTGTTCGCATCAGCGCCGTGGCAGGTCAAGAGTGGCACGGTTGAGCCTCGGGCTTCGGCCTCGTCGCGAGGCTCGGCAAGGCAGCTAGCTGGAAGGTGCCGGGGAACAGCTGCCATGCCGCCGATGGAGGTGTCAAAGTTGACACTTGGCGTGCCGAGGGTCGCAGGACTTGCTTGGGCTTGGCCGGCGCCGCCAACGAGATTGTTTGGGGTTGGGTTCGAAAATGACGCATTCACGTCGCCTATTGACGAGCGTCGTTGTGGGCGAGGGCGGCGGAACAGATGATTATTATCGCTACTGCGGCGCTGCGTTTGTCAGAGAGCAGGCGCGCTGCCACGGGAGGAGGAGGAGGAGGACCTAGAACTAGGGCTAGCACGCCTAGGTCGGCGGCGGTGTAGATGACATCTCGATCGATGCGTAGCCGCGACATCAAAGATGGAGATGCAACGCAAGAGAGATGGAGGGGGCGTAGCAGTCGACGTTTGTTTTGGGTGCCAAATAGTTACATGATACATGAGACACGAGGCACGAGGCACCAGGGCCCCCGGGTCCCCACCCAAGGTACGTACTCCACACCCATGTCACCTGCGAGGTGGTGGACTAACTTGGCACTAGCGCTCAACTGGGTGCTCAACGTAGCGCTCTGCCGCGAGAACCAAGGCCTCGGTGCTGCGTAGAATGCCTTCTGTTTCTGCTGTCGGGCCCCTTCCGCCGGGACGCTGGTTGCCGCAAGTTGCGTGGGGTCAACGGCGTGCGTGCACCACCATGCACGTCTACGCATGTTCTAGCGGGCTTCGATGGGTTTTTTTTTCAGTTGACCGCCCCTCTGTTGGCGCGGCATCCCTACACGGGGAGGAAGGACGGGGTGTGTGAGGATTTTCCTTGGATTGTCCGGCTTGGATTGCACGCACACGCACAATCTGTCTGCACTGCCGATGGCGTTGCGACTCCCCGGCACCTGCCATTGGGCACAATCCCACTCGGCCGGGTTTGCCAAGGCCGCGCATCTCGTCTGCCAAACGGCGCCTGGGGGGGCTGCTCTGCACCCACAGCCGCCTCCCCCGCCGCCCCGTGCCTGTCAGTGCCGCTTATTGCCATGTCCTCGGGAGCCCTGCAGCCGGCTCCAGCCTGCCTGCCCGCCTGCCTGCCCGCCTGCCACCGACGATCGCGGACGTGGCCCCGACCCCGTCAGACGACGACGCGTGCTTCTCCCCTTGGCAGTCGGCCGCCGACGGAGCCTCGGCCAGACCACCGGACAGCCGAGCGCGCCGGCACTGCCCACGCCTTCCGCCGAGAGGCAAGAGGGCGGTCTGTCTGGGGCTTCCATCCTCCCTTCCCTGGGATTGTTCCCAGAGGGGCGGCGGCGGCCAATCGCGCGCAGAGAGCCCTCCGCGGGCCTCTACGGAGTACCAAACCACACTACCAGATTAACTCGCCGAGCCCAGGACGCCCAGGGGACCGGGCCCCGAAGAGTCGCAAGTCGCACGCCCCCCCTCCGCAGGCCCTGGGCCAACCAGAGGCGCCCGGGTCCGCACGGGCTGTCCGCCTCGCCAGATCCAGATGCGCTGCACTCCGCACGCACAGGCGTACCGTGTACATGTGACGGCGCGGGTCTCGTCCTCCTCAAACAGCCATCTCTACCTAGCTGCGTGTCCGACGAGGACAGGGCAGGAACGAGGGTCTCGAGAAGGGCGAGCCAGCTGCCCGGCGCGCCCTCGCAGCATCGGCGCCAGACACGCCCCAAACCAAGCCGAAACAGAGGCCAGAAGCCAGAATCGAAGCCAGAATCGAAGCCCGGCAGAAGATTCCACCAGACCAAGACCAGCCGGCCCCCGTGTCCCCGTTCGTTGACGCCCATTAGCGGGAAGCAGAAACCACGTTTCAGGACGTCGGCGACGCGCGCGCCCGCACGCACGCTCGCAGACGAGGCCAGTCAGTCCCTGCCGGATCTCGCAGCGTCAGATCTTGGGAAGCGCGGGCCCGCCGAGCCCGTCGGCAGCGTGGGCGTCGCGTCGGCGCGCCGCCGTGCTCCTCGCAGAGAAGAGCCGACGGCGGCGCGCGGCGCAGGTAGGCGGTTCTGGCACGACTCCGGTTCTGGTTCCGGTTCCGGTTCCGGCCCCAGCTGCAGTTCCTCGACCGACGGGCGCAGCAGCAGCGACGGCATACACGTGCCGCCGTCGTGCCGTCGCCGTGCCCGTGCCCTCTCGGTCCGGAGCGGCAGCCGAGGCGGTCCCCGCCGGCTGTCGCTGCAGATTGGGCCCTGGTCCTGGTCCTGAGCCCTGGGGCTGGGGCCCGCATCGTGCTCGCGCAGAGCAGCTACTGAAGGAGGAAGAAGCAGAAGGACGAGCCACGGCAGCCGCGACATGCCAAGCGGCGTGGTGCGTGTCGGTCGGTCGGTCGGTCGGTTGTGCTCTGCGCCGAAACAAGGCGCCGCATCGACGCACGTGCACATGCCGCAGATGCCACCTCCTGGTCCGCCTCCTGGTCCCCTGTGCCGATGCGATGACGCTGTCGCAGGCTCGGTCCCAGGGCCCCGGCCGGCTGCAGGCCAACTCCGACTCCTCCAGCTCCAGCTCCAGCTCCAGCGTCCAGCCCGTCCGTCCGTCTACCTGCAACAGCCGCCATGCCGGTGCGGTACCTGCACCAGAGCCTCGAGGAAACCCGCGACCCGCCCCGTCCAGTGTCAACGTCCAACGTCCAACGTCCAGCATTGCATTGGCAGCGTCGCCCTCGGCCCCCGTCGCGGCTTGCACACGGACTGCCTGCGCGTGCGGACTGACAACAATCCAGACAATGCCCGCCAACGCCAGCGCAATCACGCGCCACACACCGGCCACACGCCACACTCGCCTCGATCCAGTCCGCGCTCCGCACTCCGCACTCCGCACTCCGCACAATAGCCAGGTGGCCGAGGCACAAACGTCTAACAATGACCAACTTGTTATTCCTAACCCGCCAGCTCACGCTGCCCCCGGGCATCTGTTGCCCGCTCTATGGTACTCTGCTTCTCCGTCTGGTATGTACAACTTTTTTTCTTCCATTTTATTTTGAACGTGCCCCCCCCAAAAAAAAAGTTAACCAGCGCCGCGTCGAGCAGTAAATTGCCATCGTCCGTGACAAGCAGCCACTCCACAATGAGCCGACAACACATACCTACCGTACACTGCAACACCTGTTGTGTTGTCCCTTCCCATTGCCCTTTGCTGCCTTGCCTTTGCTTTGCCAAAAGAAACACGGGAAAACAAAAAAAAAAACAAAAAAAAAGATAAATAGTTTCGCACCCTTGCATGACAAAAACACCCGGCTCGCGCGTCCCGTTGCCTGTACGCTTGCACATGAAAAAGAATCAAAACAAACAATCTCCACCCAAGAGGTATACAAAAAGTACATTGCATAGGTGTCGCTTCCCAAATGAACCCAATTCTAATCTATGCGTTGCTGCCTCGTCGCCGTGTTGCGGCTGCCGTCCCGAGATAGTTGGCCCGCCTACGCCGTGCCCTCGGCGCGAGCCGTCGTATCCTTTCTTCTTCTTCCATCCTTGACTCTTGGAATCCCTGATGAGTTGCCCTGCCAGACAGCTGCTAGACTTGCGTCTTGCGCCGAGGAGGGGGGGGGGTTGGCTTGCGCGAACTGCATGGCCCCTCGGCCGGGACAGAGTCGTACTCCACTTCCGGTTCCGTGTCGAGTCACTTGCCGGGCTTGTGACGTGGCAACGGCTTCATCTCGGGAGGACGCTGCATCGATATCGTGGCATCGTAGAAAACAAGAAATCACACACACACAAAAAAAAAAGAGCACCGGATGCGGCCAGTCTTCCCTCCCCTCTCGCCCCCCTTTCCAGTTCGGTCCTTGCTTTGTTGGCCGAATAAGTGGAGGCGTTGATAAAAGGGAAGGGCAAGGGGACTCGAGTTGTTGGACAAACTCCAGCCCAAGCCGAGGTGTGCCATGTTGACCGACTCGACACGCGTCAACGCGAGACGGCGGCGTTCTGGGAGCCTTCGTAGTACACACCAGGGTACATGTTCCAGCTCTGAGGTCGCTGATGCGGAGGGTTCTGCTGCATGTAGCTGGGGGCACTCATCATGTCGTGCAGGCTCTCATATTCCATCTTGACCTCCTTGCCGTCGACAGGTCCAATGCCGGCGGTACCCATCATGGAGTTGGGTACGCTGGTAGGGATGTAGCCGGAACCGGGGCCGTACTCTTCCGTCTGCACCGACGACGCAGGGCTGGGGACGCTGGAGGGGAGCGTCGAGGCCCAGGCCTCGCAGTTTGGCATGGGGACGTACGCCTGCGAAGTCGGGCCATAGTCTGACATGTAGTCGGCGCCTCCGGAGGGCAGGGGAGACATTCTGGGGCTCGGTATGGTGCCTCGGGTGTCATCATTGTAGACTGATGGGCACGGGGTTAGCGGTTGTCGCGGCGGTGATGATGGCGCGAGGCAGGTCCCGGCACGGTCGTCCAGGCGCACCAAGGTCGAGTAAGCCGTACCTGTTGTGGTCGAGTAAGGAGACGAGGTTATGGAAATGCCCATCGAATCCCTGAGCTGGCGAAGCTCATCCTCGAGGGCCTTGTTGCGGCGCAATAGTTCCTGAACCGTCTTGTCTCGGCCCCGGCTGCTTCGGAGGTCCTCAAGCTCTCTTTCCAACCTCTCAATGTGCTCTTTTGTTCTGGCACGGATGGCTCGCTGAGCTTCTCGGTCGTTGGCTCTCTTGCGAGCAAGCTGTGAGGGCGTCAGGGTGGAAACGCTTCGAGTGCCTAGTGTTGAGGAGTCGTTGCGTTAGCATGCGGAGGGCGGGCGACTTCTCCCTCCTGGGGGGAGTCTGGAGGGCGCGATCTGGCTCACCCTTTCTCTTGGAACAAGACGAGGGCTTGGCAGGCTCTGCTGATGATGATCGCGTCATGGCTGTGAAAGCGGCGTGCGCGACGATTGACGGTTGTAGCGTGACGACGCACAAGGCAACAGAGGTGGGTAGGTACTGGGCCGGCGGGCCGGGCAGACGCATACAAAGCGCGGAGCGGGAACAATGTATGAACGGCTATCGCGTGTTTGGAGAAAGAGACTTCAAGAAGCAGGAGAAGATGAGGCGGGATGTGTTGGATGTTTGTATGTTGAGTTGGAGAGAATGAGAGAAGGAGGTGCCACAAGGAAGAGCTTAAAGCAAGTCTCCCCATCGGTGGAGAGCGATAGGCCCTGGATGATATAGTAATGCCACCGGCACCGGCAGGTCGGAGACGCTCGCCTGGCTCTGTTGCGAACCAAAAGTGTACTTGGCACGGAGAACGAACGAACAAGTGAACTGACGATAGGATTTCCCCAAGCGTTGTGTGGCGCCTCCTCCATGCGGACTTGGCTTGCGCTTTGCCCAAGACCCTGATCCCGGACCACTGCCATGCGCTAAGCCCGAACCAGACGTCCTCACAAGCCTCCATGTGGTACACAGGTATCAGGGTACATCCCGCCTACGCCTTGATAGGACCACCCCGCCCCACCCGCTTGTTGGGCGCAAATGCCAGCGCCCCACTTGGGCGATTGGGGTTTGGGGCGTCCGCCTCTGGCCCAGACACCCCCTCCACTCCCCCTGCTTCTTTCCCCTCAAGTCAACCTAACCCTCCCTCCTTGGGAAAATGTGAAAAACTGGATCCCTTCTACTCCGTGGGACTTCTCAGGTCAGAGTCTGGCCAGGCTGCTGAGGTCGCCAAGCTATGTACGTATCGTAGATTATGGGCCCAGGGAGCACCATGGAAAATGGAGAATGGAGGATGGACATGGAGAATCTAGACGTATCCTGGGATGCGTACGGAGTACCTCATAGTGCTAGGATGCCTCTCGAGTCTCGGCCTCCTCTTCCTCTGCTCGAGGGCACGACGTCCTTCAGGTCCGTTCTCCTACACCTGACGCCAGACTCGACCTGTTGTTGCTCATGTCTGTGTCTGTCTGCCCCGTCTCCTTCCGTCTGTGCTGTCCACGACACCTGCTCCGTACCCAGGTCCTAGCACCCAGGTCGGCAGCTTGAGCAAACCTGCATGCGGTGTCGAATGCTTCCAAGCAGCTGGGCAGCTAGCTCCCTAGCATCTCCCGTGGCGTTACCGAGGAGCCGGAACCTTCAGCCCTCATCATCTCACTCACTCGCTCACTCGCTCACTCAGTCTTGCCTGTCTGCTTGCCTGCTGGCTTGCTGGTCTGGTCTTGCATGGAGTAGTGGTATCCTTGATGATACCTTGCCAACTAATCTGCCCTTGGCCCCGTCCTTGCGTAGGCTACGTTTCCTTGCCCTCCATCCAACAAACTTGCGCGGCCAGACCATGGTTTGCAAGCCAAAGCTAAAAAAAGGAAGAAAGGAAGAGGATTCAATCCCAAGATGCCGAGGCACGCACGGCGGACATGTTGCTTGGTCACCAGCCCATCTGCCGTGTTGCCAAGCGGCACGCGGCCTCAGTCAACGTTTCCAAGAGGAGCAAAGACGACAAGATTTTCAATAAAAACATCGAGACATTCTTCACTCTTGTTGCCTTCCCTTGATGCCGGGCCCCAAGGAACGTCGTACGAGCGACAATGACCCCATTTCGACTCAGGTTTGGCGTCTTCATCTCTTGGTATGCCAACCACACCATCCGGATGTCGAGCCGCGTCCGGCCAGGTCTCGTATGCTGTATAAAATATATTGCGCCGCAGGAGTACGCTGGACAGAGGGCAACTTACACAACCCGCCGTGGTGAGAGCGCCCAGAACAGAAGCCACCGGCTTTAGTCACCCTCATTGGTTGCCCAGGTGTGGCTGAGGACCCTGTGCGCAGCCGCGTCCTTGACCGTGGCTCCGTAGGCCGTGCACGCAGACTGCACCGCAGACCGTAGACCGTACGGAGTACCGTAGACCGAGAGACCGAAAACCGTATACCGTACTCCGTATAAGTTACCGTATACCGTATGCCGTGGACGGCGGACGGTACGGTGGACCGTACAGTTGACGTGCAGAGGCACGCCCACGTGCCAGCCGCTCGCTTGCCTCCATTGGGCTTCTGAGCTTCTGCGCGCCAGGCAGGCAAGGCAGACAGACAGTGGGATTTAATACGGTCCATCCACATTCGAAAACTGAAATCGACGGCCCTAAAACCTAATCGAAATGGTAAATCTCTCGTTTAGGTTTTTTTTCTGCAGCCTTCCCACACTGCGGTCCGCAGCCAGACTCGTCATTGGAAGATGGCGAGAGGCGGTGTTTTTTCGTCCCCAAGGGCGTCGTCGCCTGACCCGGCAGAGCTGGCGACCGCTGCCTGCGCCATGTCGCCGTTTGTCTGGACTCTGCGTGCCCGCCAGTGAGGCGGTAGACCAGCATCACTGTGGAATGCTGGTGATGGCATGGCTTGCGAACAATGCGCATCGCATCGATCGAGCTGAAATCAGCAAGTATTGGCGCCACCTATCTACCGTCTGAAGTGCCGAGAAATGCTGTGCAGGTCACAGTCCGTCGGGCGACCTTTGACCTTTGACCTAAGGTCCCATCGCGGACATGGACATCGCAGGAACGAGTATCCGTACCCGCGAGACCGACCGCGTTGAGTTAGCCGCAAGCCCGTATCAGCCCCAAAACTGTGTCCTTTGGCCTCAGGTTGGGTTGGAAAGTTCGTCTTGACACCCACTTGCACTTGCTCTTGTGCATACCACTTGAGCATTGAGCCCTTGAGAGGGCACGAAGACACGGACGTGATGATTACACCTGAGCCGGAGCTGGTGGCCGCGGCGGCAAAGCCCAAAGCCAACAAGTGCCATTTTTTTTAATTTTTTTTATAATTATTAGTACTTATTATTACTTATCATTTTCATTTCATTTTTTTAGGGGGGGAAACCAAAGACGAACCTTGAGCTCGTGCTGCCAAACGACGCATACACCTCACAGCCAGAGAGACCAGTGGCCGCTGCAAGGACCACGGACCGCCAACAAAACCAAAACATACTGGGTTCGGGTTGTTGTGAACAAGGAGCCTCGTGTCCTCGTGTCCTCGTGCCCCCTGGTGTCCCCCCACCGGTGCCCCCGTGTCCTCGTGTTCCCGGTAGTGGTACTCGTGGATTCGTCGTCGCTATAGCACTGGCTCAGAATGCTTGACCGCACCGGCTCCCAGTCGCCCGTGGCCAAAACATCCAGGTCATTCCCAAAACACTCATCGCCAGTAATATCAAGGACGGGGGTCGTAATCCGCCCTCACGAGGCAGGCCTCTGACCTGGACCCCTGCCGCTTCCAGAATAATGGGTTTTGCAATAAGACGAGGGAAGTCGGTTCCCGCATGAAATTCCATCTTGCATCCTGGCCAACAGGCGGACGCGCCAGTCACACCAAATCAACCAGGCAGTCGTCAGTAGTCAGTCCAGGCATCATTCTAGAAGTTCCCAGCAATCAGTCAGTCAGTTAGATGACACTATGGATCCGTTCTTTTGCCCCTGCCTCGTCATCTCAAGTCCATGGGAGGAAAGCTGTGTCATCAAGAACGGAGCACCTACCTGCCTGCCTGCCTGCTACGTACAGATATTGTGGTACGGAGTACGTACGGAGTACTGCTAGCAGCAATTCCATCCCAACGTCGCATCCCACCACTTGCGTTGCTGGTTGGCCGACTGACCGTCTACTATTTGCTAGGGTTGTGTAGCTATGATACACAGACAAGCCCAGCATGGGCTTCGGTAATCGCCGTTTGACACCATTTTCGGCAGCTGGCTGCAGCGGAATGCATACATCTACGTCTGATAACGCAAGGTCCTCGTCGTTCATTTGATTGAAACGTGAGTGTCTAGCTGTAAACACATGGCCTAGTGTCAACGCAAACAGCCCCAGCTACTGCTGTGCATCGTTGATGACGGGGTCGATACATGGTCGTCGACGCGGCTCCGTCAAAACAGGTGTGTCAGCTCAACTTGTGGTCGTCGCCCCTTGGGTCGTTGTGTTGTGTAGAGTCCAAGGAGCGGCAGGGAGGAAAATTGACCCAAGGCGTCGGTAGTGGTGGGCATCTTCGGCTGCTTGTGGCGGGACGTGCTGAATCCGCGTGAAATGCCCCGCCTAGTGGGCATGTGTGGCGTGTATCCAAGGCCATCATTTGACGGTTGCTCGACACCAAGTTGCGCGCTATAGAAGCAGTTAAATTAGCATAAAAAAAAGAAAATTGAGAAAAATTTAAAAAATTCACACGGCTCACTTGGAAGCCGTCCAAGGGCAGCCGTTCCATTCTCAGGCACTCGCAGGCGCTCGCAGGCGCTTGCACAGTACCGGCCCATGTACTTGTAGGCAGGGTGCGGGAGAAGGTGGCAGGATTAGAGCTATCGAGAGGAGAGCGGACCTGAGATTCGAGCCGGAATTGGCGGCCATCTTGGCTGGCAGCACAGATTCCCCTCGACGCACTTCAAAACGACTAGTAGTTACTTGGCAGCTGCAACACCGTTCAGCAGTTTCGGATCACCAAGCCAGGTCCTAGGGGAAGAGGACGTTGAGACGCTTGGATGCTATGTGGTCATCCCCCACAATCCTCCCAGATCAACGCTGCATTTGCTGCTTCGGTGTCTGCGGTGTCCGCGCTCATTGTCGTGGCGCAGGTGCAATGGGGCCGCCCTGTATCGAAGTTGAGGCAACAAAGGCTGGTTGCCGATTCGCCGACGCCAAGCCGAATTTGTCTCGTTCCTCGGTCTCACCTTTCAACTCTCTTCTGATACAAAACCGCAAACCCTTGGGCCAAGTGGCTGACGGGAACGTTGCCTGGCATCGCCCAATCATCATTTACGCCTGTGCGCTGCGAGTTTTTTCAACACACACACACACACACACACACACACACACACACACACACACACACACACACACACACACACACACACACACACACACACACACACACACACACACACACACACACACACACACACACACACACACACACACACACACACACACACACACACACACACACACACACACACACACACACACACACACACACACACACACACACACACACACACACACACACAAGGGAAGGGAAAAAAAAAGAGAGATGCCAACCCAAATTGTGACACTGGGGGTTGGTGCCAGAATGCAGCACAGCACAGCCATCCAGCCGGCTTTTTCAGCATCAGGCGATGCCAAGAGGACTGCGCAATCCATTCGTACATCAACCAGCATCTGCTTACCAAAGTTAATACGTAGATGGCGTATGCATCCTGCCCACGTTTTGCCCAGTCATTTAGCTTCATGGCCCCTGACCTTGTTCGTCCCATTTATTATTGATTGCGTATCGGCATTGGCAACTCGATGCGTCCGAGGGCGATGGGCGTTTTGCGTCTTAGATGCTAACCATGCCAACTCATCAGAGCTGCCGAGGCCGACAAGAACAGGAACGTTTGCCATTTCCGAAAGAAACATGGCACAGCAAGCGCAATTGTCGCGAGAGAGCGCTTTTGCACCCACTCGGCTCCGGTTTATCGCTGGTGAAACTGACCAAACACTATGCCCAAATCAATCTCTATGATAACTATAACCTTAATCGTTCGTAGCGCACGAGGCGTGCCATTCGGTCCCGAACCCGGTACCCTGTCGGTCAGGTCATTCACCTTGATAGTTTCTGCAAACTACTCATCTTGGTTAGCACTATCATGACAGAAACAACATGGATAAAAGTCCCTTGCATCCAACTCGTCCATGTATGAGGACGCTGCTTCTCCCGTGCAGCAATCAGTGGATGCGAGTACATATGAGGTTGGCATTGTTGCAGTCGTTCATGCGGACGTGGCGAAAGGTGTGCTGTGGTCGAAGCCGAGGCAGATCGTCCTCGGTAGAAGCAAGGTGGGTCGTCGTCGGCGTCGACGATAAAGGTGTGACACTGGAGGGAGGGAGGGTGAGGTCCAACGCCGGTTCGAGATTCAGGATTGCCTCGTTCTGTTTTCTGTTCCGAGCACAACTACTCTGTCTGCCGTCAAGGTTTTCCTGTGGTGTTTGATAGATCTCGAGGCTTGTAACAGCGATTGTCTCCAAGTTGAGCTGGGAAAGGCTAAATCTTCCGACGGGAATGTGGGCACTGAATCCTGATGGCGAGGGCTGAGGGTCGGAGACTGGAGACTCGACGGAAAGCCAGTCGGCTGCTCGGTCCCAAGACCAAGGTGACAGTTGCAGTTGCGTTGCAGTTCAAATGTTGCAGTTGGCGTGTGCAGCCAGCCAGCCTTGTGGCACCGCCGACGACTGCCACATGCCACATGCGCCTGCCTGCCTGCCCTGCCCCCTGGCCCCTGCCCCCGGCCACCTACTGCCATCTGCCATCTGCCATCTGCCGGCTGCGCGCCTGTCCTGCACCTACCTGCTACGGAGTACTCCGTAGCCAGAGCCCACCGAGCAGCTGTCGGTCAGTTGAGAGCATCATGGCGACGTTTTCCGTTTTCCCATCTCACGCGTCGACACAACCACCCGGCCCTTTTGCCGCACGCCGTAAGCTGCACATGCGCATCAGACATTTGCGGTGCAAACAAACGACAAACAGGCAGCCGCGTATTTCTCCCGACTGCGCATCCTGCATCTGCACCGGAGCTGGAGCTGGTCTCCTATTTCCAGTCCTATTCCCATTGCCAAGAAGTGGCACCCTCGCCCGCCGGTACCATCATTGTCTGTCGTCAAACTCGTCCCTGGGTTTCTACTGACTGACTGACAAGTCGCAGGACGAATTCTTCATCTTGGCCACGGCGTATTCGGATTTCCCGGCTGCCTCCTGCCGAACATTCCCCCGATCGCCTTCAGCTGCGCTGGCTCGTCGGGTCTCGAGGTTCGTCGTTTACTGCTGATGTCACAGTGCGCCGTCCAGCCGTTGCCTCTCGAGGCCTTGCCGACGCCACGCCACAACTCCCTCGTTCCGGCTCGCATACTCGGATGGCGTGCAGCCCAAGACAATAGCGCCCAGCGCCGAAAATGTCATTTGCCATCCAAACTGCGCAAAATTTTGGTCAACGTGCCACCGGACGGGCTGACTGCATTAGCTTGCGGGCTTGGGCTTTCAAGATGCAGCGTGTTGAAATGCACCACCAGCCCAGCAACGCCCGCCGCTGAAGGTGTGTGTGCGTACTCCGTGGTATTTTGATCCTGTTTCGCCTCCTCCTTCCGCCTCGTCCGGTGCCGTTCAAAACGGGTCTTGTACAGAGGTAGTAATGGGGGTTAACAATTCGTCACAAGCCTTACGGAGTTGAGTTCGTTGTCTTGAGGCGTTTGCGCCATAACTGGTTTGCCGTTGTTCAGCCGCGGCTAATGAATCAAGTAATATGTTGGTTGAGCACAGCTGCTTACTTTTGCCTAGTTTATCAGTATCAGAGCATTTACAACCAACGAAAACAGGAATGCTACGTTACATGCTAAGCTTGTAAGTCTGAAAAGTTGTTTTCCCACCTTTGGTTATTTCCTTCCGCATGTTTTCAATTATTCATCTTCTTTACACATGAGCCCCGTTTATCCCGTGGTCTCCGGCTTTTCATCCTTTACGGCTCCTACCAATTCATCCATGCCGCCGACTGTTGTAGGACCGGCCATGCCCTCTGGCGGAAGAGCCCATTTTGGTAAGGGACTCTTGTATGACCAGGCTCCACCAGCATCTTCGTACCGTAAGCTGTGTAGCCATAGTGACAGTTCATGCATTCCTGGGTCGGAGTATAACGGTGTAGCGCATACATCACACACTTCGCCCGTCATCTTTTCCGCCCTTCTCTTCTCGTACTTGTCGAGCATTTCGTCGTGGTACACCACGGCTTGTGCCACCTCCTCCTTGCCCATGCGGGACAGTCTGCTGATGACGTCCTCGTCCTTGCAGACAGTGCCATCAGCATCGTTGTGACCTAGGTTGAAGCCCCATACTCGCTGATTTGCGTATATCGGGTCGTTTTGAATGGGGTGCCCCAGATATTGCAGGTGCACTCGAATCTGGTGCGTCCTCCCTGTCACCGGAAGGCATCGAACAATCGAATATCCCCGTTTGTTGACCCAGGGCTTGCCGTTATTTTCGTCGCCCGCCTCCGCCGGCAGCCTGCACAGTTCCTCATCTGTAGGCCCTGCGAATCCCTCCTGCTGGCAGTTTGCCTTTGAATCGTCCTTTGGCGGGTAGTATGCCAAACGCTTGAACACTGTGCGTGCCGTTTTGCCTTCAGCCCGGACACGGTTGAGGCCGAGTTTCGGCGATATCGACAGGATGGGCTGGTCACAAACAATATCTCCCTCTGGAAACTCCCCCACAACCCGGGCCATGTATTCTTTCCTCACAGTCCGCGACTTGATCTGATTGCCCAGTGCTTCCGCGGCCGTGACGCTCTTTGCGACAAACATGATGCCACTGGTCAGTCGATCCAGCCTGTTACAGGGATGCGGCATAAACTCTGGCCCCCGCTCGGCCTTCATGATTTCCAATACTGAATTGAACTTGTACCGGCCCGCGGGGTGCACGGGAACCCCCGAGGGCTTATTGATGACAATCATGTCGTCGTCCTCGTACAGAATGCCAATGGGGTCGGACGTGACGGGCGGCTCGTGCCGATGCAAAGTATGAGAGACCAGGTCGCCATTTCGAAGAACGTAGTCGGGTCCGACCTTGGTCCCATTGACAAAGATGTCTCCCTTCTCCATGGAAGCTCTGTAGTACTCGACGGGCCGGTCTCGAAACTCGGACTCGAATACCTCGATCAAGCATCTCCCCCGCCATCTCTCTTTGCAGTAAGTGTTGTATGTCCAGTGGTAGGGCCGCACTCGTCGCAGGTCGTCTTCGAAATAGTACGGAGGCGGCCAAATCGGCTTGACCTGGGCTGTGGTTGGGCCGTTGGAACTCTGCGCAGCCTTTGGCGCAATGCCTCTAGCCTGGGCAGCAGCTCTACGCGACTCTTCTTTCTCTTGAGCGATTTGCGCGGCGGTGAGAGCCTTTGGTGACCCCGGATCTGGCGTTGGCGCGTCGACTGGTGTCGTAGACATGGCGGCGAGTATCTTTCGCAAAGCTCCAAAAGCTCTTGAGCCGGCTCCCTTGACGAGCATCAGCGGGCAAAGAGGTTTTAGCAGCCGGCGCCAACAATTGCCCCGAGCATCGCGGGAAAAGATGTGCCTGCGGTCAAACTCCCTGTGTTCTCGGTCGAGTTGCCGCGGTGCGGGCTTGCTCAGACGTCGCCGCGCACGGAGGAGTGCTGGAGGGAAAAAAGAGCGGTCAGTGACGGCAGAAATGCCAAACTTGGCCAATCGGTTTAGTTCCGCCCTGAGCTCGTCCGATTCAGCACCGAGATGATGAAAATGATTGCTTTGGTCTTTTGGTGTAAAAGAGTACACGTGTTGCTTGCTTGCATGGTATTCTGGCTCACGAATAGCCATGTATCATCTCATTCCTTAAATCCCATCGGCTTGCGGTTGAAAAAATGGTTCTGGCTATTGCGCCGTGTGGCTAGGCAGCCCAGCTAGTCCAGGCAGCTGGATATTGATACTCTCCGTGAGGCCTCCCATGACACTATTCCATCCCTACGGTTTGGAAAATTCTGATGCTCATGTACAGAATCTGTACTCGCTGTACTTGGCCGTCGACGCCATGACTGCCAATTTGACCGATGAGGGCATATCCCTCGCGAACATGTCAGACCCGGTGTTTCGCAAGATCAAGAGCGCTGGAGAACACGTCCTCCAGCTTTCGGGGGAAAGTCAAGTTGCTTGCGCCCCCCACAACGGACCGTCTACTTTGCGGACAATCATCATCTTGTTCAGTGGCGTCGTGAGCGTTGGAACAGCCCATGACGTCCCGGGGCCCGGTCGCAAACTCGTCGTTTATTGGATGCTCCCACGTTGGCGGGCAACGACAACACAAGCGCCCGGGACAGCAAGACATCTTGCCATGTGACTCTTGCAAGCTACAAGGACCATGCCAGGTACTTGAACTGGGCCAATTGGTTCTCCTTTGGACCGCCGACGCAGTTGGTTCCGTTCCGTCTTTTCCAGAGAGCCTTCCGCTCAGCTATTGCTTCCACGATGAAGGCGGAGGATGGCGCCAGGCAGTTTCTCCGGCAAACTCTGTTTGACGCGATGGACCATGACGAGAGAAGGGTCTGCGCGGAGTGGTTTCAGCGCAAGGAGCTGACAGAAGAAGTTTATCCCGTCGTAGGGCCCGCGGAGCGGTGACGAGGGGCCAAAACTGGGATGGCTTGTTGGAGGTTTCTGATGTCATTCATCCAGATTGGGGATTCGAACCAGCCAGGCTAGATCATGAGCTGAGCATACGTCGAAGCCCATGCTTGTAGTTGGCTCGGATAAAGACGATATTGGAGGAGCCATGAATGAGTGGCTGGTGGCCAACTACAAGAGCGCCAAGGCAAAGACTATTCCTGGCGGCCACATCTCGTCGCTGTATCACATGGATGGGATATGCCAGGATATACTGGGACCCATTTTCCCTCCACCTGTTCAATTCACGGCTGGCAACAAGTAAGCTTGTAGTAGTATTGGGTTTTGAGGTTGGTGGAAAGCTAGTGACGACGCCCGTCAACAATTTTCTTCCCGTATTCCAACTCGGATTTTTCTCATTCGCATTAAATTACCTGGTTTCAATCCGTGTGACGAGATCCAGCGGCCGAATTCCACCATGTCGTTCCCACATGGGGCAGGTAATCAGCAGCAATTAATAGCTAATCAATAATTGACATTATATTCATTCCGCTCGGGTCTCAACGGGTACCCTGTAGTTAGTTACCAACTCTGCGGGTCATTTGCGGGTAAAAGCGGCTTCCATACCTATCCCTTATTTAGGAACTCCCGCAGCGCTTCTTCCCCGGAGTCGAGGCGCACCAGGAACGGCACAGCATGCCAACCAAGGCAGGTGCAGCCAATTACCTCCTTCCTCTCTGGCAAGGCCGGCTCGTGGCCGCGCACAAGTTCAACCACCCGTGAGCTTCGTGCCTCGTCGATCAGCATTCACGAGACGTACAGTCGATACTTGCCTTTGCGTGGCTTGTCGACCGGGACTCGATCGCACATATCTTCTGATCACGCCCACGATCCTGCACAACCCAGTTGCATTCGAGCAGCCACTTGAAGCCTTGCCATCACGGACAGGGCTCTCGGCCCCAGGCTCTTTCTTCATTGACCCATCTGGCGCCGCGGTGCTTGCCAACGCGCCCGTCTCACGCTTCTTTGCTCCAAGACCTAGAAACCTTTGGCATCGCTGGTCTCGGATCAAGCGACTGGAACCACCAGGCTCTGCTCGGTCTCGCAGCATCCCCGTTTCGCGGTCGAAAATACTAGTTGCACCATGGCTCCTTCAACGGACAAGAGGGCTCGTACCAGACGAGACTATCCTTACATATTGGATTACCGGACACGATGGTAGGTTCGATCTCGCGCCGCGTGCATGCAACCCATTCTAGAACTATGCCATGAGATTGTACCTGTACAGAAGGATACATGCCATGGACACATTCCAGCCCTTGACTTTGCACCCCCCCCTTTTTACCATACCGCTCAAGGTTTCAGCCACTATACTCGTCTTATATTATATTATTCTTTTACTATCCCTCTTGGAGCTCGCAATTACATACGACGCATGAACTGGGCTTGCACAATCATTGTCGTTTCCGGACCCTCAGATGGACGGGCTGGACGTCGTCGTACTCAAATGATGGGGGCCCTGGGAAATGCTAACCGCCGTGCTATGCAGGAACGACAATGACATGTATGACCATATGAACAATTCCGTCTACAACTTCCTGTGAGCTCCCGCCGCCTCGCCCGGGCAACATTCCTTGCGATGCAAGCAGACAAGGCTCACAATGCTAGGTTCGACTCTGCCGCGAATGCATATCTCATGGAATACTGCGGCATTCACCCCCCGAGCTCGCCCTACCACCCCCTTGTTGCCCACACCAGCACCAACTTCTACTCGTCGATTGCGTATCCCGCAGTGGCCGAGGTAGGTGTCCGCGTGGCCAAGCTTGGCAACTCGAGTGTCGCCTTCGAGCTAGCTGTGTTTGAAAAAGGCGTCGAGGAAGTCAAGGCTGTCTGCGACTTTGTGCATGTGTTTGTCGAGAGATCGACAGGTAGACCCGCAAAGACGGGAATGGCCCCCGAACTGAGGAGGGGCCTGGAGAAGTTGTACAATGGCCATGAACAGCTGAAGTCGAACAGTAAGCTGTGAAGCTGGCTGCATTGCAAAGCAGAATCAAGTTTCTCATAGGGCGGAATCTGTGTACGAGTAACTGTTATGCATTCAACTTGTAGAAGATGCTGTTGAATACATTGCCAAGTTTCTTTTACCAGAACACATTGATAGCAACTGGACGGGCCAAGGGCGCCGAGAAAGCTGCTCCCCCTACACTGGAACGGTCTCATGAACTCGATCCCGATCCCTCTCCATGAGACGCCACTCGCAACCGGCCAGGCCTAGGCATGAAGTCGTCGGCATCCTCTAGCTGCCAGTTGCCGTCTCGCACGTCCGTTTCCGTTTACAGCTTGGTGGGCTGAAGCACTAAGCTCCGATACGAGCTAGTTAGAAAACCAAAATATCCCGGAGCCAACCTAGCACAACCAACCGACGAGTCATATTTGTGACAGGCCGTTGCGGTCACAGCCTGGTATATGAAAGGTTTCCTGCAGGTCAGCCTCGTATCAAGCCAAGCTCTTGACAGCTTGTTCTAACCCGTCGAGCATATAGCTGTACGAGCTCCAGCGAACAGCTCAGCCACCGAGACGAAGTATACCCTAGGCGGAGATGCGATTTTCGATCAACCCCGACATCTAGCACATGGTTGTGCGTGCATGCAAGCAGCGGAAGATGCTGGAGCTCTCTATGCGAAATGAGATGAGAGCATGAGCCACCTCCGAGGCCAGGTTCTGGCTGGCACTGAGTACTGCGAAAATGCCACCCTCGGAGGCCGGTTATTTGCCTCGGCCAGCGAGCTGACGTCCGAGGGCGGCGACTACGTCGAGGGCGTCGAATACACGTATCCGTGATGTATTTATTATATCCGAACGAAACCAGTCTGCCGCGAGAGACCAGGAGACAGTATTGTGGCTCTCAACTGTTGAGCATCAGTTTGTTTGAGGAACGCCTCTTGTGTTGTTCACTTCTCTCCACGTCCGGAACCAAACGCACGTGATGTGCAGCGGGCGTTCCGGCCGGTCTGCCTCGAGTCTCGACGACGCCTCCAGATGCCGCAGCTCCCTCCGGCCGCGCGTCCGGGCAGAGACGAGAAGGAGCAAGCCATGAAGACTCTCCTGCTCCTGGGCGGCATGACGCCAGATGCCACCATGCTCTACTACAAGACCATCAACGACGTGGCGCGCGGCCACGGCGGCGGGCGCACCAGCGCGCCGTTGCACATCTTCAGCGCCGACCTCGAGGTCATGATGCGGCACGTCGGCGCCGCGCGGTGGTCCGACCTGGCGCAGGCATACAGCGACCCGGTCGCCGCCCTGACGCGGCCCCCGGGACGAGTCGACGCCGTCGTCATCTGCGCCGTCCTCGCCCACAAGGCGGCCGGCCGCCTGTCGCGGGCGCTCGAGGGCTCGGGCGTGCCGCTGCTGCACGTCGCCGACATGCTCGCCCGCCACATCAAGGCGCGCCATCCGCACGTCCGGACGCTGGGCCTGCTGGGGCCCAGGGTGACCATGGCCGACGCCCACGACGCAGACTTCTTCATCGGCAGGCTGCAGAGCACGAGCCACGGGTTCCGCGTCGTGGTGCCGGGCACCCCCGCCGACGTCGACCTCGTCGACCGCGGCATCATGGACGAGGTGGTCAGGGGGAGCGCCGCCGTCACCGAGGCCATCGTGCTGGCCAGCACCGACCTGGGCTTTGTCTTGAAGCAGCGACACGTGGGCGATGGCGTTCCCCTGATCGACCCGGCGACTGTGCACGCGCGCGCCGTGGCCGAATGGGCCCTGCAGGCCTGAAGCGGCCGGGCTGGATGCTGGTCTGGTCATCTGCTCTGTCCGTGGAGGGACCAAAGGCGAGCGGTGTCGCGTATATGTAGTTATTCCTTTGTTCCCTTTGTCTTGCCTCTGTCACACCAGAAAACGGGCGTGGCCACACAGGCCACACCACACTATTTTGTGTGGCATGTCACCTCGTATCCAATGCGACGGCTTCCCGTCAGAAAGCTTCGAGGGCAGCTGGCTCCTGACCTAACAGCAGCATCGCGATGGGTGGCCTCGTCAAAGTGAGAGCTTGTCAAGCCACGAGTACAGCGTCTGAAAAATTCATTTACAAGACTGGTCGGTCAAACTAGAGACTGCGCTGTCTGTCACGGCGACTGCGGGTTGTGCTCGGCTTCCCGATCCCGTCCGATGCGGAAAACTGACTTGAAGGAGGCGGAGTCTGTCACTCCGGGGGACTTACACCGAGGGGCTGGCGCAGGGTTGCACAACATGAGAGCCAAGACGCCGACTAATCAGGTGCATCTGATGGTCTTGCACGTGGCCGTTGGCTTCACTGGAAACAGCCAGTTTGACGGGAAAGCCGGCACCCAAGCATTAGCCACTGCGAATCTCCAGCAACAAAGTAGCAACAAGGTGATGCTCAAAGCAAGACGACGCAGTGTAGCAAGGAAAAGTCGGGAGTGACGTGGTACTTGATTTAGTCATCGGTATAACGTGGACCAGGACGACCGGGGCTGAGGGAGGGTATAATGATGAATATATTTACATCAATGTTGATATATGCATGTATATTGGCGTCAAGACCTCAACGACAAACGGTGCGCATCATGACTTCAGATGATGAAGCATTGAATATTGAATATCTCTTACCTATACGGTAACACGTACATGACTCTACTCCGACTATCTGTCAATAATAGTTTACATGTCGAGGGCCGTTTTCCCCCGAGTCACTAGTTACTAGTGTAATAGCACGAGCTCGGATATACCAAAGGCACTCCGGCCTGGCCGTGCACATCTTTTGCGGTAGCCAAACACATCCGTCTGCCAGGACGTTTGGAGAACGACATCCGGACAAGGCCAGACAACACAAAGCACTTGCCATCTATTGGCTCTGCTTTCCCTGTGCCGGCCGTCCCATCAACGGCTAGCAATACCACGTCCCGCCTCTATCGTTGTTTCAGCCGACATCAAGCTTAACCAGTAGGGTCACGATCTCTTGGGAACCCCGTGAGGGACTGCGTATCACGCAGGACGACGGCAAAGAATGGGAACACGTCTCCACACATCATACGACTGCGCTGCCAATAAATCGCTCATCTCGCTCTTTACTGACGGATCCGTCTGGAATAAGAATCTCCTGCATCACATTCCCGCAGAGTAGCTTCAGCTGGCTGGTTTCAGGCCTCTCAGGTCTGTCGACGCGCACGACGGTCCGAGGAGATGATGGCGCGTGTAGAGTCCCCGCCACTTCGCCATTATCACGACGGACAATAATAGACAATGGTTCATTCCGCAGGCGGGTGTGGCGTGCTCGTTTATCGGGCCGCGCTGCAGCATACCCCGGCATGACGGACGGACGGGGTTGCGGAGTCGATGCCTTTCTGTCGGCCTTGTCGGGAGCAGCTCGTCTTGCCTGGGGACGGCGCGTTGCCTCGATTCGACCTGAGGTTTATATGCTCTTACACGGTGTCCGTTGTTGATTCTGTTTTTTCCCTTTTTTCCCTGTCTCATCGTTGTATTAGATACCCATCCGTGGCCCGGGACAGTCAATACGCGCCAGCATTCAACACCAGCCGTCAAGCACAAAGATGAAGGCGTCACTAGTTTGCCTTTTCGCCTCGGCGGCTTTGGGGGGTCTGGGAACCGCCAGCTCGGTCGTGGCGTCGCAAAGCCCTCGACCGGCAGGCGAGTCTCAACACGGAGCCGAGGACGTGTTGGTAAGCCCCGAGACTGCTGTCCTGGAACGACTCACGACGAAATCACAGCCCAGTGTAAGTCCCTGTAGCCACGCACGTTTATGTGTGTGTACTTGAAACCCACGGCAGACGCGCAGGCTCACAAGCGCAAAGCAGTTCAGTCCACACTGGCGAGGACGTCAACGCCGGAGACAGTTCGAAACGCGAGACAACAGGCAACTGAAAAGCTCCGAAGAGCTCGGCAAAGAAGCGTTCCTCAAGCTCCGCAACCTCTCGGGCGACCGGACGTCGCGGAAGCTCGTCACGTTTGACATTCTAATCCCGTTCGCGCAAGCAGCCCTCACCGAGCTCAAGAAATGGGACCACCCCATCGGGCACGCGGTCAACGCGTTCGAGGACGCCGTCGCGTTCGTACAGAAGGAAATCGGGGGCGAGCAGGTCCCCGAGATATACGGCAACAAGCTGAAGCTGCGAATGATTTGCTTCCTCAGCACCGAAGACCGGGACGACAGCGTGGGAAGGGCGTGCAGCCGACTCCGCGAGCACACGGAGCCGCAAGCCCTCGAGCAGGAACGCAAGATAGAGACTCTGTTCATGAAGATCTTTGAGGACTGCGTCGCGGCCTCGTCCGTCACCGACGGCGACGAGCAGAACGAGTTGATGCTCCGGCACTGCGAGGCGCTCAGCAGGCAGACGCTCGATCTCAAGGAGGCGACGGAGCAGCTCATTGCGTTTCGGGAGCTGGTGCAGCAGAGGGTCAAGCACGGCGGCCACGTGGACGTCAACGACGTCAACGAGGCCGCGAGGCTCATCGAGAAGGGCGGCTTCGGCACGCTCGACAAGTCGGACCCGAATTGGCCGACCAAAATGGCCACCTTCTATCTGGGCGACGTCTTGGCCTTGAGCGAGCCCAAGAAGGACGACCAGCCGGCGTGGCTTGGCCCGCCCATGGTGTACGCACGAGACATCCCGAAAAACCATCCGGCCGATGTGAAGGCGTCTCTTATCGTCTACGATGGAGTGTACAAGGGCCAGTTCACGGAGCACGACCTCGAGGGGGAGGAGTCGTGCTGGTCGGCTCTGGGCCTGGTGGAATTCAGGCCTTACAACTGGGATGAACGGTCTGCCGCGCTCACCTACGTCAACCTGATTATGCGGGCTTCCCAGCTTGAGTGCAAAGCCTGCGAGTCGCCCGAGACGCTGGGCTGGGAGCTCAGATGCGGTTCAATCGTGGCCTGAACGCTGCTTCGGGGGCTGCGGTGACGGCCATGAAGGCTCGTCGCGCCGGCTTGCTCGAGCATTGTATGCGGAGGGCGGGCGCTATTTGCCTGCCGCACGAGGCATTGGTTGTATCATAACTCAAGTCCGAGTCCATATACACGTTTTGTCCTTGAGCCTCCACATCCGGCGTGTGAGTTGCGTGTAGAGTAAAGATGTGCCTTCGTTCGTCGAGACATCACTATTCTCGGGAATCTCGTTCCAAGACTATGGAAGCACGCTGCGAGTCTGTGAGTTCTGAACACTGGTCCAGATGGAGGTAAAATGCTGGCGTCCATGGTCGTCGAGCTCGAGACGATTGAGCTGGGGGGGAGCGCCTGTTCATGTCGCTACACCGACAGAACGACAGGCCAAGCATCAGGCCTATCTTGCGAGTCTCACCAGAAGGCGGGTTGGAGCTGATTGCTCGCGACCCTTGTTTTCGCCTTGCTCGCACAGCAGACGTCATGTAGACTTCGGCCCTGATTGTCCTTTGGAAGGGGGGCTTTGAACCAGGAAACGTAACGTATTGTTTCTGGCTGCCTGCTCTCAAACCTCACCCCCTTGCTTTTATATCTTCTAAGCTCATGGGGTTCAACCCAGCCAAGGCAGGCGAGACTGAAAACATTACTAGGCGGTCTGCCTTGGGCTGGAGATGGGACTCGAGGCCTGTCTTTATACCTCGAGATTGCCTCGCAACTGACTCGCGGCTTGGAATAACAGTAAATGCCCCGTACTTAGGTGTGTGTGCAACTCACCCCTGGCTGGCTGGCTGGCTGCCTGACGGTTGGGATCAGGAAGTTGTTGCCGCGAGAGATAGAGAAAGGGTGTTGACGTGCGTCAAAAGGGGGCATTGGCTACGCCACATTTTTGCGACTGTGAATGACGCTATGCTTTGCACGATACATACCATGTGTGAGAATACGCGTCGTCTCCCCGGGGAGGGTTCCCTTCCTGGGTCTATAGGACCTGCCTACTATATGTACTATAGCTGTGTGTTATACCGAAATACGGGATGCCCGTAGCAAAAGAGAAGCCTGTCAGTCCCGAGTGGGCAACGATTACTCTCTGTAGAAAATCTGTTCCGGAAAGGCCGAGAAATAAAGCGGGAATCCGGCGGCAGTGTTGACCAGTCCCAGTGTTGGTTCTCGTGGCACGATTCATGGCGACACCACGAATGCCTAACACGACACCACGACACCGGTGAACAGGAACTGTGACATTGCCGCTTTGTAGCCGCTAGTCTCGACGCCCGAGTATGACTGCAGCATAACGGCAAAACGTGGAACGAGTCTTGATATTGGCAAGAGTTCGCCGAAGCAGCGGAGGAGGTGGACCGCTGCTTTATTGGAACTTTTCCCTCATCTCTGCACAATAGCACACATGATAAGTCCGCCATGACTAGGAGCATATGCGACCACACAATGGGAGCTAGGAGCCTCGTTTGGTCTGCCGTCAAGACGGGCTTGGGCCAAGTGAGTGTGTCGTCTATAAAACCAAAAAGGGCTTGCTTCCCAACTCCAAACTGTCTCTCCACAAGTGGTGTTTTACCTGTATTTGGCTTTAAGTCACCGCATGATTAGCACAATGGCACTTATGCACTGGTTGCTTTTCCTCGCGCCTTGCCTTCTCCAAGGGGCAGCGGCAGCGGCAGCTTCTAGGTCCTCTCAATGGGACACGGCCCGAGAACTAGGGTAATCGAATCAGTCTTCCTGGCCGGGACATGCTTCAGGCTGCTGCATAACTTCTGGTGCTGATCACTTCTCGACAGCCATATTGTGGTTCTACATCAAAACAGAACAGCAGATCACTTCAACGACCACCTCGACTGGGTTAAAAACATCCACAGGGAAAGCCTCACGAAGCGGGATGGCGTCGACGGCGACGACGGCGACGACCCAGGCGGTGTAGCACACGAGTATCACGGACACGAGTTTGGTTTCCAGGGCTACTCGGGTTTCTTCAAGCGCAGTGTGCTTAAACAGATTGAAGAAGACGAGCATGTATGTGTCGGCTTGTCTGCGGACATGTCTGGAGCTCTATTCGAGAGAGGCTGATGGTTTCACTTCACCCAGGTCGCCTTCATAGAAGCTGATAAGATCCATGCCGTCGAGTGCGATAAGTGGGAGGCAGCTGGGAAGGTCAAGTCCTCTGCAAACGTGCAGAACTTGAACGGCAACCCTGCGACTGGCCTCTTGACACCAGGACAGGGGTAACCGACCCTCTGCCCTAGTCGCCGAGGACTGTTTCACTTTATCTGACAGGGGAATTAGATATAATTCGTTCTTACAGAGAGGACTGGTGGTCGACGCCGTCATCTGGCCCGACAACAACGACAATGACCACGACGACGACACCTACTACAACAACTTCAACAAAAGGGAGTCGAGAGATGCCTCCTCTGCGCCGGAAGCACGTATAGCAGTCCAAACCTTCAATTTCACCTCACCTCGCGCAGGGCCGTGGAACTTCAGAAACGTAAACCTGACAGAGTGGCTCGAAATGCCCGACATGAGCGAGATTGAGGCCAGTGCCGACGCCTATGAGAGAGAACTGCTGGAAAAGTGGGAAAAGGACCGACAGACGAACGAAAGGAACAACAGCACGACTGCAACAAGCAAGCTGCACAGTCGTCACGCCGTGGAAGAGTGCACCAGCACCATGGACATAGACACGCATTTTGCAAAAGATCATCAGTACGTAGTTGGAGTTGGTTGAGACTTGAAGGACTCGGGCTGACATGATTTTGCTGCAGCTCGTATTTCAAGGCTCTCGACATAAGTCTCGGTTTGACACTCTCAGGTTGGGGCCAAAGCGCAGCTCTATCAGGCAATTATCTGGATCAAACAACGGTGAGGACTTTACAATGTAAAGCGACATGATGAGACTAACCCCGTTCAAAGTTCTCCAAGAAGAGCTTAACATATGTTGTCAGTTTTGTCCTTGGAAGACAGGTGCAAACGCCGGGTCGATTCAAGTTGAACATGGCAAGGTACAAGCCGGGAAACTTTACTCGCGACTTTGGCGACAGCTGGATCCACGGCAAGTAACTATTCCTTTCCCGTAGCTCTTTCTGACCTGTGTTGTTGACACGCTTAGGATTTCACACCGGCGGGAAAATGATTGCTCGCGTGACCTTTACTTCCAAGAATTCCGATGACGCGACTCACCTGACGTCACAGTAGGTTCTGCAGCTTGCTCAAGGCCTAGGATGTCCACGGCACAAGCTAACCGTCTACCGCTTCAGTGCTGAGGCCTACTTGTCGGGCTGGAGCGCTGACGGAGGGATCAACGCAGATACGCAGCGCAGCGTGTACCACCTCAACGACCACGCCAATGTCGAGGCACGGCTGTTTTTCCAAGGGCATCTGGGTGCATTCATGACCGAGAGGCAGAAACCACCCAAGAAAATCCCCGCCGGTTCCGCCGAGGAGATACTCAACAGAATCAACTCGTGGGCTGACAAGTTTGAGAAAACCGCCTGCCTGCACACATACCAATACGCGTAGGGAGTGACCGGGCCGACGAGGAGAATGTAGACAATAACGGCTTCGATAGGCCCTACCTCGATCGTTACGAAACAGTCCCCGGCTTCCGGGACTTGCCTGACAGTCCGCAGCCTCCCAACTACGCCGGCGCGATTGCATGGGTAAGCTGAGCCCCGGGATCGACCTCTGCAGCTGGACTAAAGACAAGACGCAGTCTCTCGAGGTTCTGACCATGATGGTCAAGATTACAGAGCAAAAGGACTTTGTACAGAAACGTAGAGTGCCCGGTGTCCCCAGCGACCTCATCAGTTTCCAATTGCCTGACCCTCCGTTGCAGTCCCGAGCATAAGCGAAGCCGACCAAGAAAAGAACAGGGTTGGCGTGTACGACGTGGAAGAACGAGTCAGAACCTGGGTATATTCCAAACGCAAAATCAGCACCAACTACTGCGAGACTCACTGCTGATGAATCCTCGCACTAGGCGGAATATGTTGCCGCGAACCCGACCACGGCAAAGAAGACAGCACAAGACCTTCTCCAAAAGCTGCGCGTTCACTTCAAGAAGTACGCCGACTTGCTGCGCGAAAATGGCATCTTTAACAAGTTCAGTGTCACGGAGAAGCACAAGATGGTCAAAGGCTTAACTGTGAGACGTAACCCCCCCCCCGGAATCCACGCATCCGCTTACCGAAGTATAATAGGTCAAGTACGGTGAACGACCTCGTGATGCGGTGACTGAACTCCTAGACGACTCGGATGACACGAATCACGACTTTTACGGCCCGTAAGATGCACCCTAACCGCCAGTCCATTATTCTATCCCACGTATTAACGCTCTCCAGATCTGTTTACCTTGTCCCAGAGTACACTTACGACCTCGAAGAGGCGTGCACCTCTTTTACGGCCATAGTCGACGACAACGAACACGAGGGTCTCCAAAATCTCTCCGAGGGCACCATGGCCCGCTACCGGTATTTTAAGTGTGAGAAGGCTCCGAACAAGGAGAAGATTAGGCATGTGATGCTCTTTAGGGGACAGATAGGAGAAGAACAGCAGAATGGCCTCATGCTTTTCGGATTTAACGGCTGGACAGGCGATATAAATGACGGCCGTTTTCTTGCGACTGGCAGAGATGAATTGCGTCTCATGTGGGCTTATGACGAGTTGGAGATTTACTGAACAGCATTACGAACAGCTTGAGAACGCGGCAGCAAGTCACGCCGTCGGTGCTTTCAGAGAGGCCGGGGGGTTCTTCTTGCAAAAGGCAATAGCTTGCAGCCTCGACGCAGCATTAGAGGGGGATACTGCCCTGTTGTTGCCGGTCCTCTCTGTTTTTACTTGGACTTGAAGCCTGATTGGGCATCAGAATAGAATAACATGGGATGAAACGCATTTGGAGGCTTTGCAGTACATCTTCACCTTTCTTCGTCTGGCGCGATGCAAAAGATACCGTGATGCTTCTCAGCCAAGTTTTGTAATAACCCAAACAGCGGAGGACCGCAAGACTACAAATTTCATGTGCTTAATCGATCAAAGTATTTGGCCCACAGAACAGACACTAACGTCAAAAAGCAAGACTTGCATCCGTGACAAGCCGTGTCTTGGTATCCCACCCCACGCCTTGGAATCTATAAGTGGCCTCGTCGGATGGAGTCGATAGTCTTGGGAGAGCCGGCAACCGCCGATGCTGGAACTTCAACTACAGCCTCGTGTGGCATGGTCATCTAGCGGACTCGGGATGCCACGTTTTCAACGGCGTGGCTTGTGACGGCGCCGTTTCTCAGACGCACATTGACAAGACATGTCAGCAGGAGAAGTCACGCTGATGAAGCGCTAGATATGCCCCCTCATACACCGTCGCCACGTCCAGTTGACTGAATGCCTGCTTCGGTTGGTCGACGATGGCACACTCTTTAGAGTAGGAACTAAGCTTGGGCGTCGTGCTGTGGTGACGGCTTTTCCCAGAGGCACAGAAGAAATAGTTGACAGTTCTTCTTGTTTATGCGGTTGTTCAAAAGGGCATTTCTGCTGTATTCGCTGCTTGGGCGGCCACGTAGACACACTGCAGTCTCTTCTCCACTCGGGACAGACATGACGGTTTTTTCAAAAGACAAGCCGAAATATAACCTCATTAGAAACGTCCACAGAAGATGCTAAGCAAGAATAAACTTGGGTGATCTTTGCCGTGCAACCACACGGTGAATCGGTTGGCAAAATGAACGGTAGGTATTATTTCTTTGGTTACAGGGGAAAAATATGTTTACGGTGCTGTCAAAGTGGACATGTCTCCGGCAGGCCATGTCACCATTTATAATTACACGATGCTAGTATTAATCGTGCCCGCCCCACTTTATGTGGTTCGGCTAGCAAAAGCCCTCACCACCAAAGGTGTGGTGAGGGCTTTTGCTAGCCGAACCACATAAAGTGGGGCGGGCACGATTACACGATGCTAGTTGGCACGGTCTTGAAACCCCCAACCCCAACCCTAACCCTACAGGACATCCGACCACAATTCATCCCCCACGACATGGCCGATCGAGGTACGCACAGCGCAATCTAAAATGCAATTTCAGCCACCTCAATAAGAAAGTGGCCAAGTAATAAAAAACATTCGAGACGCTGACATCGGGCCTCACACACTGCCCCCCCGAGTGGGTGGGGCGCCTCTCGCATCCCAACGCAAACTCCAAGCTCCCATCTTCACAAACCCCAGCCTCGACAAACGCGGTTCCCCCTCGGCCAAGCAGCCATGGCCGCGCCAACGCCGACCATCCCCTCCCTCAAAGAATCCTTCATCACGGCACAGACAAACCTCCTCTCACAACCGCTCGCGCCATCACGCATATGGCGCCGCAACAACAACGCGTCAAGCCAGCCGATCCCGACGCGCGTCCTCGACGACGCCCTCTTCAACCTCAACCAGACGATCCAGCTGCACTGCCGACGCGTGTACCCGCCCCAAGCAACCTACAACGTTGCCGAACAGATAAGCAATTCGTATGCGAGGGATGCCGAGGAAAGGGTCAGCAAGCTCAAGGAGTCGGAGAGCAGCATCGGGCGGGAACTGGACTTGGGCAAGTTTCTCCGCCTGCACTGGGTTGACGGAGGATCGTGTGCTGACTACCAGAAGCTGCGGACGATGCAATCGAAGAGTTGCCGCCGTCTTGGCCGATAGAGGCAGATCTCGACAAGTACCCCGAGCATGCAGAAGACTATGAGGCCATTGTCCTCCGCTTGACCCAACTATCCGAGGAGCGGAAGCAGATACGACTGCGGGTCGAACAGCTGCGTCGCATCGAAGCGGCCGTGAAGCCGTTGGCTACAACTGACGAGGCCAGCATCCAGACCAATTTAGTTACGCGTGACGGGCCCGTGGAAAAGGAGCTGGAGAAAATGAGACTTTTGCTTGCACGCGTGACGAGCCGCGTGGCTGCTTTGCCGGATTCTCCTGCCGACAATCGTTCAGGATCGAGAACCAGCTCGGTCGTGGACTTGGGTGGAATGACAAAGTCGAGGAAGAGGAATATCGACAGTTTTCTCGCGGACCCCCGCGTCTTTCCATCATGAATACAGAATCAGTGCGGCGGGTCGTCAACTTACGCACGGGATGCAAGACCGTGCTGCTACGATCACGGGACGCTATCCGCCCGTCGTCATTTCAACTCATCAATATTTAGGGGCGATCGACCACGAGAAGACCAACCTTGCGCTCCGGCGCCGTATCTGCACGCGCTCAGCCAGATGCCTCGGCTTTGAGGGCGAGTAGGAGCGCATCGAGAACAGCTGCCGACTATTCACTTGGAGGAATACGAAAAGCTCGCCGCCTTTCTATAATCAACATCTCCAGGAAGGGTGGGAGCCTATGCTGGATTCGGTTCAGACTGTCCGGACAGTCTAGGCATAGCCAATGGGGTCATTGCTACATTGAAGGTGCAGCCAGAGCCGATGGAAGCCCTTCTGGAATAAACGATGCTATCCACCGATGTCGCAGAGTGGTTGGTGAGAAAGGGAGGTCCGTTTAGAGAGGCTCACCACATCTCTGGACGCGTCGTTGCACAGTCTGAATAAACTGCAAGTTCCGATGGACAAGCTGACCCTCGAGCAACTGCAAGCTATTGATTCTCGGCTCACAGCAGCCGTTGCAGAGGCATTCGAATATGAAACGAGTGTCGAGGCGCAAACATCTAAAGGCGGTACCAGTCGAGCCTGTGCTGGAATGGGGGTTTGGTAGGTAGCCTGGTGCAGGGACATGACGAATGGCACGCTTCATTCTGTGCAATAACATAGGATTCAAGAGCGACCCTCCTGAGTGAAGCAAAAGGTTCTAAAGGAACATAATTTTATGAGAGAACTCGAACATGACGATCGCCGGGCGAGCCGGACATGGGAAGAGTCATTGTCGACCAATACACGTCTAGTCTTACACGCATCTTCCTATGGATGGTTGAGTTCTTGGAAATTTTTATTGCGTGATGAATACTATGCGGTGCGATTTGTCCAAAGGAATCTCTCTGTCTACAGCAACGGCCAAACTCCAGACACTTCCTATCCTTCCCCTTTTGCGATGTTCTTTCACCTGTGGGTGTAGACTATTGACGTCGCGCACACGTAAGCTAAGCGTGGTATAATGGAATCGGCGTCTATGGAAACTACGCGTCCATGGACTCGCCGTTGTTGTTGCTGTTGTGGTCTTTTTTGTTGAGGTTGTCGTCCGCGTTGGGATTGTCGAGGCCCGTGGTCCTTGGGCTTTCCTTTTGGTAATGTGGTCAACCGGTGAACCGGTGAACCGGTCAACTGGTCAGCAAGTTGACCAAGCCCCATGCAACAAAAATGTGCGACGGTACTCCCTAGGCGGTCGTGGGTTCGACGCGCGGCCTTCTCCAGGCCGATTTTGACCAATCATGGTGGCAGCGAAGCGAAGACCAGTACTCGGCGTCCAAAGCTGGCCCAAGAACTAGACATGGAGTTGGTTCAAATCGTACCGTTGTGATGAAAACTGAACGCTGTGGCTCACACGGGCCGCCACAGTGAAGTTCCATCCTGGCTTTTGTCTCCAAGCGTCGACGGTTGGCCGCGACGCGTCACGTCGTGGTGGAAGTACTAGTAAAAGTTTGTTAGACTTGTTGGGGACGGAAGGAGCCATGGGCCCAGGGCAGGCACGCGCCCTGCCACCTGCCCTGCCACCTGTCCCCGGAACCTGCCCGCTGATTAAACTGTTCGCTCCAGATCTCCGTCAGACAGACTTTTGAGCACACGAGAACCGCGAAGCCTTGTGTGCTACATGGCCGACGTCTTCCAGGAGCCGTCAGTCTGCCCCAGGGCATATTGAGCTCCAGTCTGGTTGTTGAACTCGGAAAAGACCGGCACCTGGCATGATCCGCAACCCAAGGCTACAATCGTCACACCTCGGAACTTCTGTTGGCTTATTCCACGGCCCTGCCATGGCTGTCTTCGACCTCGAACGTATTACTCATTAGAAAATCGTCCGACCTGATACCTGTCCAAATCTGAATGCGGGAAAACTCTTCTGCTGCATGTAGAGCAAATGGACAATGCTATGCATCCGACTATACTCGCTGTGAATCCCTCGACACAATCACAGCCTCTTCGAACGTGTCGCTTGGTCCCTCATCATGATGCCTACATGCGCACGTCCCCCATCCCACACGAGTTCGGAAAGCTGCCCTGACACCATCTTTCGATAACCTGGCTCAAAGGGATATCGTGCGCGGAACTTGGCGCCGCCAGAACTCATCGACGCACCTCTCTCGCACCTGCGTTGAGCTCGCTTGTCGACGACGCTATGTGGTGGACGTGTGGGCCATAAAGCTAGAGCCATTGCTGGTCTGCCACCACAAACGGCACAATCCTGGTCACTATACGAAGCCCCCCATGCGGCATGGGCGTTCGGCCTTGCCAATGACGACCCATCTAATACTCAGATTTTGGATGATCGGACTGCTTTCCCCAAGCAAGCCGAGTCTGATATATCGGAGACATCGGCCTTGGCTTTGGGTACAGCTCGAGTCCACCTCAGATACCACCGCGGTGGTATAAATCCCCGAGCGCTCGCCATCACTCTTGTTCATTAGATCTTTCCATTTCTGCGAGATGTGATGTGACAGCTCGAGGAAATCTACTGGCAATTACAAAATCTAGCAGAATCTCTATCGCGGGCATCGGAGCATATCCTTCTCGCCTACGCCACAATAATGAACACCGCCACCAACGGCCCTGGTGTCGTCCATCGTACGGCAAAAGACGAGGATGCAGACGCAAAAGAAGCATTGAAGAACTTTGACAATGAAAGATGGATGTCATGGCCGAATGAGGGGGCTGTAAGTTCGATCCTGAGCAGAAGAGCAAGTTTAATTTGTGTATTGACTGGTTTGTAGTTCGATGCTCTTGAGGAACATTATGACTCGGTTCATCTCAAGGTCAAAGGCGCCATACCCGTCTGGGCTGCCGGATCCTTATTCAGAACCGGACCTGGACAATCGGCGGTGAAAAACACGTCAAAAGGCACGCACTATGTCTCACATTGGTTTGATGGGCTCGCTCACACCCACCGATTCGACATTATACCACCCCATGATGGGCAGAAGGGAATGTCAGTTCTGTATTCTTCTCGCAGACAATCTGAAAAGTACGTTTCCATGATCAGGAAACATGGCTGGCAAACGAGTGTGTCCTTTGGCCAGAGGAGTGACCCCTGTGTCGGAATTTTCGCCAAGTTTATGAGCACTTTTCTTCCCCAGCGATTTAACAACAACGTGGCTGTGGTAGCGAACATGCCCGGACTCGACAGCAACAAAGCGCAGAACACTGGTCATCGAACTGCACCAGAAAACATGTATATTGCCACGGATAACTCCATCCTCGAGAAGATTGACCCGACCACACTGGAGCCCTTGGGATATGCGAAACAAGTGCAATTGCACCCGCAGCTGAAAGGCCCGCTCTCGTGCGCCCATGCTCAAAGGGATCCCGTCACCGGAGACTTGTTCAACTTCAACGTCGAGTTGGGCATAAGGGCAACATATCGTGTCTTTCGAGTCAATGCCCAGTCCGGCACGACTGACATTCTAGCCACAATCTCAGAAAAGGAGGTACCGGCCGCCTACATCCACAGCTTCTTCTTGACGGAGAATTACGTTGTGCTCTGTATCCCGACGTCGCATTTCGCTTGGAGTGGCCTCAGAATTCTTTGGGAGCGCAATGTACTCGACGCTATCCAACCATTTGATGAGGCAGCGAAATGCAAGTGGCTCGTTGTCGACAGGCGCCATGGCAGAGGCATTGTCGCTAGGTTCTCTACCCCAGCTTCCTTCTTTTTCCATTCAGTCAATTCGTTCGAGGACCAGGCGAAAGGCGACGACGGAGAGGAAATTACGAACATCTTTCTCGACATGGTTGAGTACGTAAACACAGATATTATGTACATGCTGTATTATGACGTCCTCATGAACCGAAACCAAGACGCGATCAAGGAATTGGAAAAACTTGGGAAGCACAAGACGTCGCAGCCAAAACTCGTTAGGTACAAGTTTGCATTGCCGAGCCTCTCACGAACGCACGCAGACGATTTTTCCCTTGCCGCCGAACGAGTTTTCACCATCCCCAGCCCGCACGCTGGGGAGCTCCCCGTTATCAATCCCACCCGATCCGGAAAGAGATATAGATATGTTTACGGCACCTGCAATCGTGGTTTAGGGTTCTGGATGGATGCTATTGTCAAGACAGATGTCGAGACGCGGGATGCTCTGATTTGGAGTGGACCGATTGGGCATACACCGGGTGAACCCATTTTTGTACCACGAGCAGGTGGTACTGACGAAGATGACGGTGTTATCCTTACCGTTGTCCTGGACGGTAGTGCGCAGACATCGTATCTGCTGTGTTTGGACGGCAAAACGCTACAGGAGGTAGGCAGAGCTGAGACCGATTTTCCAATCCCGATTGGCCTGCATGGCATGCATGCGCCTTTTGGCGAACAATCCACGCTGTGAAGATGCGGTAGACGATGTCGTATACATGGCATGTTTCATGCAAAATACTAGAGCTCACTTGGGTGAGTAGCACAGGATCTGCATATATCAATTGTTCGGACAAGATCAGTGCCGAGCCTAGGGGGGCTTGAAAACGTCTTCAAAACATTATGTTCAGACCACGATGAAGTACAGACTGATGATAACCAACCCCAATCACCTCAAGAAGTACTTGACCTGGTAGTTTCTATGTCCAAAGGTAAACCAGAGCGTGCAAAGGAAAATCGCAATCAATACCAAGACAACGGACACGTAAATCATCTCATCCGCTTTGGCAGACCTTCGGTATGGGAAGCAATAGAACACCATATTCACAAACATGGACGTAATGATCAGCATGCCAGAGATGAACCCCGCGACGACGCTCCACATCAGCGCCGTGGAAATATTCGTGCTGGGTGAAGGCATCTCCTCGGCAAGATGGGTCACCACGTCGAGACAGCAAAGGCTCCAATTGATGCCGCTCAGACCGGTCAAGAAGGCGATTCCGTCCTGCCATGGATGTCGAGAGGCATGTGGAGAGCGCCGTGGCCACTGCACCCAGCCAACTGATCATGGCCGTGCTGCAGGAGAGCCCGCGACGCATGCTTGGCGGCTCGAATATATTGACCTCCGGGATGGGGCATTGCCGAGGCCAGCTCGGCGAGAGAGATGGCCGTTGCCCAGGCGAGGACAGTCATGAACAGGAACCCCCAGAAGAACAACGGCGAGCCGCCCATGGGAACTGTGCTGCCCAGGACGAGAAGCAGCCCGACGGCCGGCCGTGTTGGTGGCTCCGTAGCCTGTTCCTATGGCGGAGCGGGTCGTGAAAGCCTTTTGTGTCTGGAAAGTCGCGCCCTTGTCGGCAAAGGAAGGCTCGCCAGCGTCATGACGCGCGCTGTCGCTAGTAATGGAGCTCTCGCGGTCCTCACTTGGGGCACCCATTGCGTGCTTGGGACGAAGCTTGGAGTCGCGACCGGACGACAGAGTGCAGACCAGAGCCGGAACAGACGTACTTACTTGCATGGCGCACGGCGAGATGATAAAGGACGACCCGACCCCCGGGCTCCAGGAGGAGCCTCTGCCTCGACTTTGGCAAACATCCGAGTGGTCATCCGTAACCTCTTTTCAAGATTCATAGGAGCTACTTGCGAGACAGGACCAGGGCGAAATTGTCTTGGTCAACGTAAATTTCTGGTATATTTACCTACACGGACGTAAACGCCGTCCTATTCCTCTTCTCCTCGCGATGCATCATCAAAGTCCGTGTCCGGCAGCTGCTCAATGGCCGAGCAAATCCTCGCAAAATGAGACGGCATCCATAACTTGTATAAATCCTTGGTGAATCGGTATGCCGTCCACTTGTTCTTCCATGAAGATCCGTCAAGTCAAACGCCCGGATTCGGTGGCGGTAGTACTTTATGTCCTTTCCCTCAAGCACTATAGTGGCCGTAAACACATATGTACTGTTATGGGACATGGAAAAGGCTAGATTTGCCTGTTGACTTCAACTTCACGCTGAACAGTACAGCAGAGCTCAGTGACGGCCCTTACAGCTAGAGTCATGCTGTGAGCATTCTGATTATCAGCTGCATCTAGCGCACCAACACCACGCTTAACTTCGCATGCTAAGAAAGAGATTAATAGTAAAATTAGAACAAACACACTTGCAAAATTCAGCCGCCCTTGCAGTAGCCTAGTAGGGTACTAGAGGCCGGACAAGGATCAAATGTAGAGTGACTAAGCATCAAGCGGCACCTTCTCAGCAACGACGCCATCCAAACCTCGCACACTAAACTCCTCACAGTAGTAATTCAGGAACTTCTACTCCGTGACGGAGCTGAAAATTGACATGGTGAGCATCTCGGCGGCTGATGACACGTTCTTTAGTACTGACTGGACATCCTTACTGAAGTGTTCGGAAAGCGGCACCTCCGCGCACTCGGGAGGGATAGAGAGTGCGGCTGAGCACATTCTGCACCGAGTGTGTCCGCAATGCTCATCTCTTGTCGGGACTCGTGACCCATGGGGAGCTTCTTGCGAGTTACGTCACCCTCAAGACGACTTGACTGGTGCCTGAAAAGCCAGACCCCGACGTAGTCAGTCCTGCGTCTGCTGTCGTGCCAACGTCGAAACCAGCCCGTCATTGCCCACTCACGGCGTCCACTCAAAGACCAAAGGGCCAAAGGGAAACTTGGCGCCCCGTCCAGCTCCGCGAGACACGTCGGGACTCAGGACCACATCCTGTTCTTGCTCAAGCGCCTGTAGGCGTCCAACTCCTTCTCCACGACGTCGCCCCCGGCCTTTCTGCCGGCCTTGGAGTACCTGCCCTTGAACGGCATGTCGCTCGCCTCTTGGAAAAAGTAGTGGTTCGCCGTCGGGGCGTACGCCACCTTCCAGGGAACGACAAAGTTTCTCTTTTTCGGACCGCCCCCGCAGCTTCCCTTGAACTGGGAGCTCGGCGGGCTGTTGATGGCCAGGGCGAAGAGGTTCTCCGTCTCGGTGAAGTCGGTGATGGTGTGTTTGTGGCACACCATGTACGAAAAGGAGAGGAGATTGAGCCCGACCACGAGGCCGAGGACAGGGAACCAGACCACGGCTTGCCAGGTCTGCGAGTAGCCCGACGTGTATTCCTGCGACCTGACCGTGGCGTTGAAGCCCTCCAGCGTCTTGACCTGCAGGATGTTGTCGGTGATGTCGTAGGCCCACCAGTGCTTGTACGGCGTGTCGATGGCGCTGATGACGAGCGTCGAGCCGAGGTATACCGCGAAGACTTCTGCCAGCGAGGGCTGGTACGGGACGAGGTCGGGCGTCCGCAGGGCCGTCTTGGTGAGGATGCGGCTGTTGGAGGCGTTGCTGTTTCGCTGGCCGCCATTCATATCCATGGATAGTTGCCAGCTGGTGCCTACGTGCTGATGTTTGGGGCGTACAGGTCAGCTTTGACGGTGTTCGGTCTGACGCGAGGCGCACGGGAGGAGGAGAAGACGTACCTTCCAGTCTCGAGACGGCAGGGCCCATTCCTTCTTGTCGTCGGAATGATGGTAGGCGTCCCCGTCGCCCTTGTCTTCGCAGTGCGCCTTCATTTTCCATCCAGCCGTGCCGGAGACGTCGAAATGCGTCGAGCACGCCGGCGAGACCCACGACCTGGCCTCGCAGATGGTGTAGTTGACCATGTCGGGATGCTTGGCGATGGTGTAAATGCCAGTCGAGTCGAACACGGTCGAGTTGGAAATGAAGTTGTAGTCGTACGGGTACTGTTCCGGGCGCCCCTGGTTAGCGAAAAGCCGCGTACGTGTCTGCAGAGCGAGCCCCCCCTCCCCTTCTGCTGCCGGAGAAGGAGGAGGAGGAGGAGGAGGACTCGACATCAAAGGAAAGAAGGCTTCCACCTACGGTTGAGAAGACCGGGGGATACCGGCTGTGCTCTGGCCCCCACAGGAATATGTCATCGAGGACTGTGCTGTTATAGTAGTAGGGCTTCCCGTCGGCCGCGGTGCGGGAGGGCACGTCGTTCACCCACAGCTTCTCCTCGACGGGAATCTCCTGGTGCCCTATGCCGGACCGCACCGACTTGCTGCCCGGCCACGTAGTGTACACCAGGGGCGCGAGCTCGTCCCTGCTCGCGCCGACACACATGACGTTGATGGCGGGCGACACCACGCCGGCGCGGATGGAGTACTGGCCGATGCCGGACAGGGCGTCCGGCTGCATGATGCGATTGACGGGAGACGTGGCGGCGGCGTAGACGCCGGGATGGGGCAGCGCCATGGTGACGTTGTTGACGATGCGGCCGTACTTGAGGTAGCTGGCCGTGATGTTGCTGTGCTGCGTCTCGATCCAGGCGCCCTCCAGGGTGACGTTGTTCCTCAGGAGGCTGGTGCCCGCCGGGCGAGCCGCCAGCTCCCTCGTCCCCTGCGTCGCGTTGTCGAAGCGGGCGGTCCACGTCTCCATGTAGGCCAGGAGGTTCCGGTACGACTGGCCGGAGAACTCGACGTTGATGCAGGCGTCGTCGGCCGAGGGGTCGGCCGCCCCGGCTGTGCCGCCGAACATGGACGGACACTCCCTCTTGGCGTACTTGACGTTGCCGTAGGACGTGGCCACGGGCCCCCGGAGCACCCGGGGCGTCCACTTGTCGAACCTCAACTTGGGGGAGACCATGGCGTCCGACGCGGCCGTGTACAGCGTGGCACCGACGGTCGCGAGGATCATGACGCACGTCAGGGGCGTCCAGACGGTGCGCCCCCCGACCCTGAGCCTGTCCCAGTTCTGGAACCAGGCCCCGGGCTCCTTGACCCAGTCGCGCATGCCTATCTCCGCGAGCGTCAGGCCCCGGCTCTTCCTGTAGGCCCGCCGTGTGAGTTCCTGGCCGACGCACCACGTGAAGGCAGCGACGGACGACAGCTCGATGCTCTTGGCGATGCCCGTGGCCAGCGTCGTGGCCGTCGCCGGGGTCAGCTTGCCTGTCGAGGACACCAAGTATCCCCAGCGCTGTTTCTTGCAGGCCAGCACCAGCCACGTGCCGCTCATGACGAGAGCGTAGATGGCGACGGCCGTGATGACCTTGTTGCGCTTCCGGCTCGGGTTCTCACGCGAAGAACAGTAAGTAGGTGGCTCGCCTGCTGACGAGTCAGTACCGGCGTGGACGCCGAGCCCAAGCCCAAGCACGACATGCGGGAGACGTACTGTAGATCTTGCGAAACGTCTCCTCATCGACGCCGTCGTCTCCTTGTTCGGGGTCACGGTCCGACGGAGCCTGCGTCGAGCCGTCGTCCGCGGCTCCCGGGGCCGGAGACGGACTCGAGGCCGCCGCCGAGCGCCGACTCCATGGCCAAACTCGCTTCCTGATGATCCGGTGCAGTCCGGGTCTTGATGAGGCAGTCGGCTTGGCCGATGTCCCGTCTGGAGTCTCTGGACCGCGGGAGGAATCGAGCAGGTGACTGGTCGAATCGAGCGACGTCACTTCAGAAGCACCAGGCGCGTCGAAAGCAGCCGAGCCGCCCGTCAACCGGCCCGGAAAGACACCAAGGGAGTTGGTCGTGCTTTCAGGGGAGACATGGGCATGGCCACGTTCCGGGCTGGTCACGTCATCGTCACCGCCGTCGCCGTCAACGTTCAGCCGCTCATACCCGCCCGAGTTGAACCCGTTCCTCACGGGGTTCGTGTTGGAAAGGCCCAGCGACGACGCGCCAAGGTGCCCGTCTCCCTCGAGCGAGTCGGACGACAGCCGGCTGCTGTCCATTTTTTCCAGCGTCCCAGCGATCAAGCTCAGTTCCCCTTGGACAATACAGACGGCACGGGCGATCTGCCTGCCGCGCGGCTGATACAAGTGACTCGACAAGGGCAACTACAGCTTCAGCGCTCAAAAGTCTTGGGCGACAGCATCAACGTCCGACGCTACGAACGAAGCTGGCGAGAGGGGCACGACCTTTAATACCCGGCAAGCAGGTCCAGCTTGAGCCTCGTCCAGACGCTACCCTGGGGAGGAGGCGAAGCATCCACGATGGACAAAGCAGCCTGGACTGCCGCCCGCAGAATGGCCCAGCAGCACAGGCTGACGGACGGGCGTGGAACAAGACGAGCCGGAGGCTGCGTCCTCACGCTCACTGAGGAGTTCTAAAAACAGCACCATCACTGCAGCACAAGACGAAAAGCCGGCACCCTTCTCGCGGACGACATGGCGGCATCCCCAGCACACCGGCTTCCGGGCAGTGGGCACAGTCCTGCCGTGCTCTCGCCACCGTGCCAAGGGTGCTTGGTCTCCGCCCAAGCCGTCGAGCCTCCTTGGGCTGGTGGTCCTCTGACACATGCGTCGGATGTCTTACCTGGTGAAGGGTTCTGCATAATATTGAGCCGGTACTCGTGTAGCAGCCTCGTCGGGGCGACGAGCAGACAATACCGTGGCGTCGCCCGCGTCACCTTCCTCTCCGAGACGCAGACTCGCGTGCTACGCTGGCGAGGACAAGGCAGCGAATAAAGGCAGCTACATGTTCAGCCCGGCCTACCGTCGAGGCATCCAAGAACAGAGTCGGTCGACGACTTGGGTTGAGACAAGTCGTCTGTCTGCACCGACATCAGCGTCTAGAATAGCTCGTCAGCTGCCAGAGGTGCAGCCTCGCCACGTCTCTCAGCCTGGATGGAGTCACTGCGACTTTGATCCATCACCACTCATCCATGGCCCTGTGATGGCCGGCTTGCTCCTTTTCATGTTGGATTTCCCTCTTTTGTCTTGTGTGTGGTTTTCTCGCAACGAAATCATCTAGGATTATCATCTATGTAGGAAGCGAAGTGTAGAATAGCCGCATGTAGAAAAATTACCACCATCTATAAGTTGCAGCCCTCGGCTTGGGTCCAAGGCATCCAAGGGGCTTGCTTATTACCGACCTCTGCCACCAGGTCATGCCAAGATCAGATCCTCCCGCTCACAGGGCTCGGCTCCTCTTGGGACCAACAAAGAAAGCAGCTAAATGGAAACCAGCCAAGGTCGACCTCGCAACAGGTCTCGCCAGTCGGCCAGGGCAATGCCTCCCCGGCGATCTGCTGAGCAACACGTCATCCAGTCTACGCCAGTGCCCGCTGCCCACACGGCCGGTTCACAACCTCAATCTGCTCGCGCTGAGCGCGTTGTAGCTGGCCCCGATGGCGTCCCCACCGGGGCCAGGAACCTGGAACGCCTGGCGGGAGTACCTCCCTCTCCACGGCCTGTTGTTGGCCTCCTCGAAGTAGAAGTGCTTCAGTTCGGGCTCGTACGACACCCTCCAGGGGACGACGAGGTCCCTGCCCGTCGGGCCGCTCCCGCAGCTCCCGTGGATCTGGACGCTGGGAGGGCTGTTGAGGGCCAGGGCAAAGAGCGTCTTCGGCTCGGTAAAGTCGGTGACGACGCCGCCGTTGTACCACATGTACAAGACGCAGAAGAGGCTCAGCGCCGGCACGATGAAGAGGACGCAGTACCAGACCTTCTGCCACTCCTCGGTGTGGCCCGCGGCATACTGCGTCGTCAGGATCTGGGCGAAGAACTGCTGCGTGCCCGGCTCGTCGAGCATCTTGTTTGGATAGTCCCAGCCGCGCTGGAACGGCGAGTCGATGGATGCCATGACGAGCGTCGAGGCCATGTACGCGGACAGGGCTTCGGCGATGCTGGGGAGGTAGGGGCTCAGCGTGGGCTCTCTCAGGATGAGTTGCGAGAGGATCCGGCCGTTGGAGGCGTTGCTGACGTGAAGCCCGCCGTTCATGTCCATGGACGTGGACCAGTTGCTGGCGATGACCTACCCCGGCGTCGTTGCCTCGTTAGCACGCGACGACATGTTTGGGGCGTTGCGTCGCGACCCCAAAAGAGGGGGGTCTGGCTTGACGGGCACGTCGGATCCCGGAGAGACGCCGCTGTAGGCAAAGGTGTTCGCGTCGCCTTCACAAACCGAACGCAGATACGAGGTGGAGGCGCCGGAGATGACGGCCTCGGTCGAGCACAGCGTCGACAACCACGACCTGGCCTCGCAGAGAGTGTAGTCCGCTATGTCCGGGTGCTTGGCAAGGATGTAGACGGCATCGGCGCCGCGGATGGTCAGGTTCGACACGACGTTGAGCGGAGGCGGATACTATTCATTCGCGTGGTTGCGACGTGTCAGCATCACGGACTCCCGGCCCAGGGGCAGCGTTTCTGGGAACAGGCGCGTCGTCACGTCACCTACCGCCGCGATCATGGGTGGCGTCCTCCCGTACTTCGGCCCCCATCGAAATATGTCGTCGACCACCGTCTTGTTCGGGACGCTGCCTTCTTTCCCGTCCTCGCCCCAAGGGGGGGAACGGAGAGCCCAGCCGTCCGCGGGGACCATGAGCCCCGGCGCCCGGGACTTGACGTTCTTGCTGTACGGCCAGGACGTGTAGACCAGAGGCCTCAGCTCCTCCTTCTTCATGTTGACGCACATGACGTTGAGGCTGGGCGACACGACTCTCGCGTTGACGACGACCTGCGCGAACGAGTTTTCCCGCACGTGCGGCATGTTGTTGCTCGGCAGCCCGACGGCTTTGTAGACGCCCGGGTGCGGCAGCGCCATGGTGACGTTGTCGATGATGCGTCCGTGCCTCTCGTACATGGCCGTGACGTTGCGCTGCGTGCTCCGGGTCTCGATCCACGACGCGAGCATGCTCTTGTTCCCGTCGAGCAGGCTTGTGACGTTGGGCCTCGACCGCTGGTCAAACGACTTTGAGGCGCGCCCCTTCTGCGTCTTCTCCCACCTCTGCATGAAGGCGAGCAGGTCGGTGTACGACGAGCCGCAGAACTCGACGCTCGTGCAGCCCCAGGCGTCGTCCTCGTTTCCCTTGCCGAACAGGACGGGGCACTTCTGCTTCCCGTAGTACACGTTTCCGTAGGAAGTCCAAAACTCGCCGTCCAGCATTCTGTGCTGGACGGGCATCTGCTTCAGCTTGGGAGCAACCATGGTGCCAATGGCAGTCGTGTAGAGAAACACGCCGAGCGAGGCGAAAAGCGTCGTCGCCCCGAGCAGAGACCGCACCGAGAACCACGACGACTTGTAATGGCTGATGATCATGCCCGGCGAGTACAGCCAGTTCCTCATGTTCATCTCCGACAGCGTGACGCCCATCGTCATGCGCGAAATGGATCGCAGGCTCAGCGCCTGGCCGAGGCAGAACAGAAACGCGCCGGCAAAGCTGACCTCTACGGATTTCGCAACAAACGAGACCACGCTCACCGCCGTCGACGCCTCGATCTGGTCCATCGGACCGACGAAGGGCAGGGCAGGCTGCCAGATGGCCACGGCGAGCAGGAAGCTGCCCACCACCAGGGGATACACGGCGAGGGCCATCATGATGCCGTCCTTTTTGCCGGTCCAGATGCCTTGTCTGGCCTTGCAGTAGCTCGGTGGTGCGCCTGATGAAACAGGCGTCAGTGACACGTCAGCCGCTTCTTTTCCTCCATGGCGTGCCGGGACTCACTGTATCTCTTTTTCCAAGCGTCCGTGTCCGAGTCGTCCCTGCCCGGCTCGGCATCTGACGACGGACTGTTGCGGTTGTTGATGGGCACGCCCATGGGCGTATTCGGCGCCGGGGAGTAGGAGAACGGCCCTGCGTTCTCTCTGAGCGACGCCGTCTCTTCGGTTCCCTTGCGTGGCATGAGTCTCTCGAATATACTCGTCGTCTTTGGGCCCGTCCAAGCTGACGACGACGTCGGTGACATGCCATTTGAGCCGGCTGGCGAATCGAGCAGGTGTCTGTTGGAAACCGGTGACGCCGCTTCCGCTTCCGCCTCCGCAGCACTTATTTCGGGCGACTTTTCCGCAGGAGACACCCTGTGAACACTGACGACGCGAGCTTCTTGGCCCGGGAAAATCCTCAGGCTGTTGACCGAGCTGTTCGGCGAGGACCGGCGGTTCGCACCCGCGCGGACCGAGATGCCGCCTCCGTCGTCGAGCTCCAAGTGTTCGTATCCGCTGGGATTGAGCCTGTCGGTCCAGGCTGACGCGCCGGGCGCCTGCAGAGGCGAGAGGGCGAATTCCTTGTCGTCCTGGAGGGAGTCGAACGGCACGTGGCTGTACGCCATTGTTGCCAGCGGCACGGAAGCCAACCTCTGTTGGTCGAACGAGAGAACGAGGAGCTGCCGTGATTCTGGTTCCCCGTCGACACTTTGGGCACTGCGACGAGGGCACGTCTTGCGGCCACGGGCCTCTATTTATGCAGCAGTCTCCGGCCCTAGGTCGCGTGATTAGAGCCTTGGAGCCCTTGTGTAACGGGTGACGGGCATCGACGACTGACGAAGCCCGGGGCTCTTGCGGAACGAGGCGGTCGATGGCCAGGGAGAAAAGGAGATTATACGGAGTACCCGCCGCCTCTGTGGTTCAACTTTGGCCGGCCTCTTTGAACTGAGATGTCTCCCGAGTCCTGGAGTCCTGGCAGGCTGGCCCCAGGACGGACTGATCTGGAACACGGGCCGGCTGGGAGCAGTGTTCCCCATCCCATCCGTGGGCTGGAAAACGCTGTAGAAGCTTGCAGCCTGTCACACACATGTAGTACACTTCCTGCGGCCACCAACAAGGGACAGCAAGCCCCGGCCAGTCGAGCGGAGCCGTGGTTGGCTGATAGTCCATCAAATGCACCAGGTGTCTGGTGAAGAAGTCAGTTCTCATTAGTACTACGTGCCCCCAGCCTCGTTTGGAGCCATGGAGAGAAGAGTGGCGGCAACAACTATCATTGCACAAGAGCAGGGCAGCGAATCAGGGCAGTCCGAGTTGTCTTCCCAGCCTGGTGCCTTGGAGGGACGGCGTGGACAAGCTCAACCATGAAGGGTTATCTCTGGGAAGGCGCGTGGAGTGATTCAAAGAACAGAAAAGACGCGAGGATCAAGTAGACTCGTGGCTCCTCACCTTGTTCCGGCGGCACTCCGTCTCGCCCAGCCCCGGCCCCCGAGCATCAGCTCCAGGACCGCAACTCGACGACGCCTCTTGACGGGGAGACGGCTGATTGGATGGATGACACGTTTCCAAATAAAGCGCTGGCCGCTGGGGGATCCGCCCGCAGCCTCAATTCGGTCCTCCATCCACAGCCGGGATACGCGGCTGCTGTACTCGGTGCCTCGTGGTGCCCCATTCTCCCTCGTCCGTCACGCCGGACGAATGACCAAGTTGCGTCCGGGGTTCAGGGTCCAGGGTCCAGGGCGACAGGTCATGCTGTGTTGCCGTCTCATTGCATACCAGCTGCCGTGTACCACGCCGGTGCCGGTGTCAAAGCCAGGGAGAGCCTCCCAACGTGCAGCCGTTTCAATGGGACTTGTTGGTCGTACAAGATCCGTCCGGTGCCGGTACCGGTTCCAACTCCTCTGAGCCCTCGTCCCACGCCAGAAGGGCATCCGTCGAAATACCCATGCCAACTCGCAAGCCAGTCATTCGCAGCAGCACAGCGGGTGCAGCTCCCCACGACCCAACGCACGAATGCGTAAATGAGACAGCTGCTAGCTGGCCATGCGTATCACGCGGCAGGCAGACGTCAAAACGCCATGCCCGCATCGCTGCGTGGTGTGTGGTGTGTGGTGTGTGGTGCGTGTTGCGTGTCCCGTGTTCGTTGGTCCCTCACAACTCGTCTACCGGCTTCGCCAAGCTGCTCGTTGTTCCAGAGGAAAGCGCCGGCGAGGATGATGGAACTCGCCTTGTTCCAAGACGGTGGAAAACATGGAGAAGAAACGCGCCGGCAGACGGCTCATCCTCCGATTCCAGAGACGACGACGACGACGACGACGACGACGACGAGGGCGGGCAGAGCCTCAACCGCAACAGTTGAAACACAGCAAAGGGTACTTGCTGCACTTACGGCGATGCCGTTCCCTGCTGCTCGGCACGACTCTGACGCGTCATCTGCAGTCGAGGTCCTCGCCATGCCGCATATGTTGCCGAGTTCGGGGAACACCGAGGTCCTATGCTCCGTCTGCCCTCTGCTCTCTGCTCCGACCTCGGCCCAAGCCTCCCGACATGGTCTTGTCTCGTCTCTGTTCGCCAAAGATACGTCGCCCGTGGAGGCAGCCGCGGCGGCGATGCTGCGGAGCGGAACGAGACCGTACCGGACGGCCACGTATCCCTCGCCTCGCCCGGTGGCATAGCCGTTCCCACGATGAGCTTCAAAGTACGACGGCCGCCGTGGGCCCTTGGTTGGTCGTGCGTGGCCTCGTGCCCAAGACGAATAGAGCTCGGTCTAAACTCTCCGAGATGGCCCCCAGGTACTCCGTGCTCGTGTGTACCAGACACATACACGAACGTAGTAACTGCATCCCGTGCCCTAGACGTGGTGCCAGGTCTGCCGGAGCAAGTTGACCCTCGTTGATACATGCCCAGCTCGTCCAGCAGTGAGTGAGTGCCGCGTGCTCTGGTCCCATTGCCAGCCGCAAGTTGGGACCCGAAACCTACCGAGCTTCTACAAACGGCATCCCAAAAACCTCCTCATGTCCGTGTCGTTGGCTGTACATTCACCCCCTTTGAACCGGGCGGCTCGGGAACCCAAGACACCGTCGAGTCCGCAACCTCGTCGCCACCCATTACGGAGTAGATGCTTCACTGGTCAATTCGCCGGCGCCGTCGTTGTCATTCACAAGCCATCAAGACGAAATTCGGTAGGCAAGCCTAATCAATTGCTTCTCGCGCCATCGCACTCAATTGCTCGATTCTTCATCCGCTTCTGTCTGTCCATTTTGCCACCTCGTCTCCCGCTCTTGCCCCCTCAACTCTTGTTCCTAGTTCTCGTTGCTTTGCCACTGCGTACACCAGTTCCCACGACTCATTGAGTGAGACCCCGACCGCACCATCAACTTCTGCCCCTTTCACTGCTTGTTTCTGAGTCCTTTCCGTTTCCTCTTCTTGTCCACGTTCCTCACTGGCGTGATGCGTCATCAAACACCAAAGTAAAAAAGGAGACAACTGTCGGTGCTTCGTCTTCAGCCGTGCCGGGATCCTGTCTTCCTTGCGGGTTCCAGATACTCTTTTCGTTTTCCACTCTTCTCCAACGTCCCTTTTCATCCCTTTCTTGCGTTCCCCACCACCAATGATCATACGCGTCTTTGTCGAAAGTTCCGGTTGCCAACTACTGCTGTTTTATGATTGCAGTCATTGCAAGTCCATGCTGCTTGAAAGTCGAAAACCCTCAGAGACAAAAAGAGCGCCCTTGGATAATGACTCAGCGTCCCAGACACCAAACTGTACAAGCAACAAAGACTCTTCGACACATGCCATCACCAAGCAAGTGCGCGCGCCGTTCCTATTCACAACAGCCACTCACAGCCTCGCGGGGTATATCCATCGCAGGTGCATTAAATCGTTTCGTCAAGAAGGGTACGTGACTGTGTCCGTTGGCCATTTCCAATGGTATAAAGGCGGTTCTGTTTTGAACCCGAATAAAACCGTTGAACTCAAAGTTCGTCATTTGCCAAGACAAGCACAACCCTGGTCTAGCGGACTAGAAAAACCACTGCCCAAAGTGAACATGAAGAGGGAGCGTGGCATGCCGTGAATGAAGGGATGCTCCGATAGAAAAATGTGCGGTTAGAAAAGAAAAGATAGAAAAGTGCACGACAATCTTGCACAACCCCTGCTTAAATCTGTCATCGCCGATTGAGGCGGACAGTATCGTAAGCGAGGAGCCATGTCAAGGCAATGTCCAATGGCTCCATTAACGCGCTTCCTGGCATTGAACGGGGTCAAGGTCGTCAATCCGTATTCAAAAAGAGGAAAAGAACAAGACCAATGGTTTATCCGTTCCCAGACGAGTCCCAAGGAAGGTAAAAATAAAAATAAAAGGGTGGGACGTGTAAAGTCCCCCTGCCTGAGGGTAAACAGTGTTAGATCAATACTGTGGTTGAAAAGAATAACCGTTTTCGAAGGTATTATCCAGGCAGTACCAAGTCAAGTGTTGATGAGCTCGAACAAAAAAAAACAAGACATAAATTTGCAAAACTGCAGCCAACATCGTTCCTCCAACCAAGAGCGCAGCAAAAACAGCTCGCGTGGCTATGCGAACGCCGGCGAGACGGTTCAAGACGCGCACATGGGAGGAGGCCGGGTGTCTGTCCTCTGGACACCCCATGTAGCCGGCCAAGTGCATGGCCATCAAAGATGAGAGGAGACAGACGAATTACGGATGTTGAATTTAAGCCACAGGGGCAATAGCAGCCACTGGAGCCTGAGCAGCGGGAACGCTACTCATGTCGACTTCAGGGGCGATCTCCCCGCTGGCGTTCTTCTGAGGGCAGTCGCGAGAAATATGGCCAGCCTCGCCGCATTGGTAGCAGGTCTTTCCGGCAGTGTTCAGAGGGCCGCCGTTGGGAGCGGTACAGTCGCGAGAAATATGACCGAGCTTACCGCAGGCGTAGCACTTCATGGCTTGAGCCTGGCAATCTCGAGCAAAATGGTTGGGGCCACCGCACTTGTAACAGGTAGCAGGACGGGGACCGCCAGGGAAACCACCCCGTCCAGCGAAGCCGCCAGCGAAGCCGCCACGCCCCATGGGAGCACCGCGGCCCATCGGGCCAACTGGATTAGGGCACGCGCGCTGGCTCACGTCATGTTAGCAGAAGTTTCGTAGACGTTTTCACGTTGGCGAGTACGCACCGCCAGATGACCAGGCTGGCCGCAGTTGTAGCAGCGTCCACTGGTAGCATTGCCGCTAAGGCGTAGAGTAGGGCAGTCAGCTTGAACGTGGCCAAGGCCCTGACAGTGATAGCACTGCTTTGCCTCAGTAGTCCGAGGGAGTGGGCAGCCGTTGGACTCATGGCCAGGCTGCTTGCCTGCATTCAGTTCGTCAGTACGGCCATCGGACAAGTCGGCGCCAAGGGAAATCGTACAGTTGTAGCAAAGGCGCTCGGACGAAGAACACACTTCGGCATAGTGACCAACGTTGCCACATTTGTAGCAGGCACGACGCGAGAGAGAAGACATAGTGTTGGATATTTTAGTGTCTGTGACAGTATTAGAGTTAGTAAGAGCACGCCCAAGTATGCCCGTGTGAATAGCTCGTTCGCCCAGTCCGGGATGCTTTTCGTATCCGCAGTTTTGACAGCCCCTAACCAAGTCATCAATGCTATTGGTACCGAGTCGATTCTAAGCAATGTTTTTGCGGCGTATGCGACGCTCTGCCGGACACCAAAATGACTCGAGTAATTTATCTGCATCTTCGGCTTCTTGTCGAGTCGGCGTATTGCGTGGATATATACGAGGCCACATGGAGCGGAAGATAACACATATATGTGTTTTCTGTTTCTGATTTTTTGGGTTTGCCTCGGTCTCATATGATTACACGTCGAAGCCAAGCAAAAAGCCACCACGCAAGTTTGACAGGCGGGTATGACCAATGCGTGAGTCGGCAGGTACACGCCAGGCTGGCACACGAGGAATGATACATTATAGTTCCAGTTGCGGTGGGTTCCTTTGGTCAAGGCATCATCGACAGTGTACTGTGTACGATGACCATCATGCCTGGCGAAAAGTGATCGCTTGCGCCGGTGGCGGCGTAGGTTGCGAGATAGTCGAGGTACAAATTTAACGACTTTGGAGTGGCTGAAAAAGTCCGACGACTAGGTTCATGACGGTGTGCTGCGGCTGCGAGATTGTCCAAATGGTTCGACTATTCTCGAGGCTGGCAGCGCGGAGCATGCGGGCAAAGGGTCTGTTGATTGAGGTTCCATACGTTTATCCCAGCAGGACGAACGACAGACGACGGGCGAAGGGCAAGGCGGAACGGAGACGGTTTGGCGCTGGCACACGAGTGCGCAAAGTTGAAAAGAGCATCGCGAAGGCATGTCGAGAAGAGCCAGGGATTGGAGAGGGAGGAGGATGGGGAGCGCACATAATAATCACACACCTTTGGTAGGACAAAAAAAATAGATGTTGGCGTTAAGCGACGTCAAAGGGAAAGAAAAAAAATTTGTCAATACGAGAGGAGAAAGTGAAAAGGATTTCGACTTCCAAGCGAGGCCACGACAACGTCGACAACCACCTACGATTACGTTCCGTCACAGGAAATGTTGTAGGGACGAAAGAAAATTTTGCGAGACGGGCGGATAAATTAATTACGATGGGGGTGTCCTGGCGGTGCTGCAGGAGCGGAAGGAAGCACCAGGCGGCGTCGGCTTGAGGGGCGATATCTGGCGAAAAGAAAAGTGGACCCTGACGAAAAAAACAGTTACGTACCAGGCAAAGCGCAGGGGTGCATGATGGATCTCATAAAACTGGACAGTGACGATCCGTCAACCCAGCTTCTAACGTTGCTGGCCAGGGATAGCAACGCAGCATGATTCTCCATTCAATTGGCGTAATTATGTCGAGACGAGCGCTCTCTGCAATACTAGCGCCTGACCTGCGCCCGCGCCTCAGATAGAACCAGGCATGACCCAGGCCCTCGGTGCTGGCCCACGGGTGCCGATACACTGAAGGTACGTGCCGCGTCCCAGAGTACCTAGGTACTTAAGTACCTTAGTAAGAACTTACTGTAAGTACCTAAGTTCATGAGCCTACGCGGTTACTTGAATTCAAACCACACGCAATGAAACTACGTCGACTTGTAAAGCTGTGCACGTAGAGTTTTGAACAAATTAACGCAGCCCCAATATCCAAAAATAAAAAATGCATCGTGGCCCTGATGGAAAACTTAGGCCTTCCGTGGATTGTGGTGCAAACACCCATCTCCTGACGCCGGTTTGCGCTACAACATTGACAAATAAGTCGTTCGTGGCCGTCTTTGCCGTTTTTGGCCTAGTGACAGGGCCGAGCCATTCAGGAGCCAGCCCCATATTGACTTTGCTTGCCGATGTTGCTGTCCAGTTCAGTACGGAGTACCGTTTTCTCTAGGAAGGAGGGAGTCAGCTTCCACAAGAATAATTTGAACTTGTCCACGTCTTTTTGATTCCAGTTTCAGCTGCTCATCTTCTGTCTGGCATCAGAATCCAAAACTCTCAACAGGCTCTCAACACTCGCCCCCTTGATCCTCGTCCACAGCAATAAATGTCCGGGTTGCGAGTGTACTCAAGCTGGGTCCGTCCTCGAATAGCTTGGCCTCAATATAACGCCGCTCGAGTACTGCTATTACCAAGTTTGCACGTGGTATTCCCTCCCGATCACCAGCTTAGTCCCATCATTAAACTCAAACGACCCGGGGCTAATGCTGTTTTTGAAGGAAAATTAAGTTTCAAAACTCTTCTCCGCTGCTAACTGCAAGGCGGGCTCTTTGGACCGTGAAAATGGGCTAGTCGAGCAACTTTGCCCCGCACAAAACAGCGATTTTCGGCTCAATAGAAATCTGATTCATGCCACCTCTGTCAAAGGTCTAATCGTGCCCGCCCCACTTTATGTGGTTCGGCTAGCAAAAGCCCTCACCACCAAAGGTGGTGCTCGACAGCAAGGCGGGCCGGACACCAAGGCGGGCCAATTTTCAACCTAATAACGCTATTAACCTCTTCGCCTATAATGTACACCCTTCTCGTCCCAAATTTCTAGTAGATCTAGTACAGAATCCAGACGCCATTTACGTGCCTTTTTAGCTGCTTCAAAAAACGTCCTCTTGGCGTGGTTGTGGCGCCTTTTGTCGGCATGCTCTTTATGCTTGCTGTTCGCCTGATGAACTCGAGAAAGGTCTTTGCAAAGGCGTGATTGGAAGGAGAAACGGCGAATGGTTGACGCGACAGGTATGCATTTGTTGGCGGTGACGGGAGGGGAGCCATATGAAGAGGTGCATTATCTGTTGACTGTTTTTCTAGACCGGGAAATAAAAATAGGACATGTATAGAAAACCAGATATTACAGCCCTTTTTAAAAAAAAAATCAAAAAAATCAAAGGTCGTCACTCATTCATTGGAAGCTTCAACGAAAAAAAAAACCCCGGATGTAATTACGCAGCTCATTAAAGATCCACCTGATCAATCGCCGGCCACCATTGAGACCAGGCCCCCTGCTCGTCGAGGTTATTGCTGACTTCCGCGAAAAGCTGGTTCAACAAGGTATTAGTGTCGAGCTCGTGCTCGTGCTCGTGCTCGTGCTCGTGCCCTTGAACCGGCCAAGTCGCCTGCGCCGAGGGCCGCTCCGCGCCCCGAATCTCCCGAGTATGCGCGTCGGATCTATCCACGACACGGAACTCGTGGACAGACTGGTGTAGAGTATCAAAGTCTGCTCGTGTGCGCCCCTGGTATCGTGTCCGGTCCTCGGTTGCTCGCTCGTAGAGCACGGATGCATGGTGTATCGTTTTGATCTTGCGCGTGCCGCCCTCTCAATGTTAGCGCAACGGTGGCCACGGTCGTGTCATGCTTGCGGGCGGCTTACCCATCCGTCGGCGATTTTCCAGACAAGTCGAAACTTTTCCAGGTAGTCGAGACACATTTTGAGACAGTCGCTTGCTCGCGGGCTGCGGCCCAGGTTCATTCGGGGGTATTTCGCCACGTAGAGGTTGAGGTAGCCGGCTGAGAATGCGCAGAACCCGGCAAAGGGCGTCATGAGATGCACGCCACACTCGGAGGCCTCGTGTAGAATGGCGGCGATGTGCTCTGCCGCGCCGAAGAGGAGTCGGGAGCTGTCGTCCCACCAGCCCTCGGGGGCGGGCGCCCCCAGCATGGGCTGGTCGACTGGACCCCGTGGCTCCGACTCCGGGGTCGGCAGGAAGGGGAAGTACTCGCGGTGAAGCATGAGGGTGCTGACAAGGCGTAAGCAGGGGCGGCGGCGGCAAGTTGGGAGCCCCGTCGACCGCTACCGCTGTGGGAAGGGGATTCTTACCTCACGTAGTACAGGAGATTGAGGTAGAGAGTTACGTTTAGATAACAATGGCGCCATTGGAGATTGAATCCGACTTACATGCAGCTCAAGGGATCAATCGAGAACTGTTTCCGACATCCCAACACACTCGCCATACCAGGACCAAAGGAAGATTTGATACTAGACCCGGCTATCCCATACCGTTTGCAGAGTCCTCAATGTATCGCTCTCGCCAGCCATCCTGACCTCACAATACAGTGTTTCACGCACAGTCTCGCCGAGCCCAACATCGTCATCCGCCCTTACAGAGACACTCGAACCTGTATGCCCCCAACGGATCAAAGGGAATTTGAATCTTGGGGAATATAATTGTCCAACTTGCCCAATCTCTCTATTTATGACGCTTTCACCTTCCCAAAGTATGACCGACAACAAAGTGAACGCCAGACTCAAATAATAACCAACAAAGTTGATACCCGCTGGACTCATTAAACACCGACGCCAGACCAAACACATGCATAACTTCGCCTGTTTCAGGGTCTATTACCGGCGACAGACGACGATGCAAACCCAAATTTGATACCCAACCCATTCAAGCAAGTTTCATCACAAATCCACCCGTAAACGGCGCATCACGCGCCATAATAGCTTCTTCCGGCTGCCTTCAATATTGCGACAACGTCATTCGTGTCATACGCACGAAGCTCGTGCCAGGCTCAAGCATGGCCAGCCTGGGACCAAGAAATGTCATTATAGCACGAGGTCATCACGCTGCGTCATTGCCTGAGGTAGTCTTGCAGCTAGTGAGGCATGGCCGACAATTGGTTAACCTCTTGTCAGAGCATACCCATATAGCTCATACCTTACCGCCACAACAAGGCTGATCTACCGACTTAGAGATGCTCTGCAAACACAATGAGGGTATGAGTCATGTACACCTCCTCACAGCAGAACGCAGCTGAAGTGATCGACGCCAAAGACTCACGAAAAGGAGCAAATGACCTCCGGCGGGAAATCTCAATAAAGTCAAGTCAATGATGTGTTCACAGGCTTGTGGAAATCATACTCGTTCATTGACCGATGCACGTGACGGAAAAATTCAAGACCTCGGCGCGGGGGCCACATCAGGCGTGGTGTGTGTCAGGGCCGAAGGCGCCACAGACCGCGGCCGTGCCTCAACGACGTACGAGACGCCATCATCGGAGGCATACGAGGGTGGCCTCGGACTAGCGGCAGTCTCCGGACGCCGTAGTGCGGGTTCTGCAGCCTCATTGCGTTGCCAGAACAGCCGGTTTGGATCAACACGCTGACGTCGCATTAGCAATCACTTGCAGAGTCTCACAGCGGCATAAAGTCTTGACCGGGACGGGGAACAGGATGAGAAATGACGGGACGGGGAACAGGATGAGAAATGACATGAACCTACCACGCTTTCTCTCCATAATCCATACGCAGGAGGCCTCCTGTTGACCGTCTCGCTCTCGATGCCGGCGGCCTCTTCGTCTCTTGCCAACACAACGGGTATGGGCTTGGGGGGCACGACGTAGCCCCCCAAGCCCATCATCTCCGGCAGGCGGCGTCGACGCGCCCTGTCGCCGCGCGAGACCATAACGCACAGCCGAACGACGCTGTAGCAGAAGAACATGGTGGCGGAGAGGATGATGAGTATGATCATGATGGTCACCTCCCCGCGGGCAATGTGGTTGGTCAAAGCCAGTCCTAGATCTGGGTCCCGGGGTTTCATTTTTGCCGTTAACGGAACTGTCTGCGTAATAGATGCGAAATGGATGATGACGAGATACTAATGCATGCACAAAAAAGGAAGAGGTAGGCCACTTACAGACGGCGAGGAGCATGGCCAGGAACAAGCCCGAGACAAAGCATGTCAGGACCTGGGAGCGGACGCGGCGGGACTTAACCCACGGGAAGCAGAAGAGGAAGTATTTGGGATGCGGCTTTCTGCCGTCTCGGCTGCGGGTATTTTGGGACGGCGGCAGCGTCTCCGGGCTGATCGCGGCAGCCACGGTCAATCGGTCGGGAGGGTTGTCGCCGTATCCCAGCGTAACGAGGGAGACTCTTGATCGTGCTGGAGTCGCTACCAACTCTGGGAGTACCGGCCTTTGCGGCTCCGACGAGGCCGTGGGGGCCATTGGAATAGGCGATGGCAAGGAACTCGGTGGGTTCCCAGGCTCGCTGTATCTCGACGAGGAGTGTGTAAATGGACGCGGGGGCTGTTGCGGTGATTTGGGACCGTCATCGCTCGTACATGGTCGGGAAACCCGGCGCGGAAAAGAAGGCAACCTATGCAAGAAGGCTCTCTGTTGGGGTGTTGATGCCTGCTCTGCCGACTCCATGACGGAATGCCCGGGTCTACTCATGGATGCCGCGCCGATATTCTGCTCAAGACGCCCTCTCGCTGCGTCATTTCGAGCACGGCGCAAGAGGTCAGCTCGCAGCCTCTCCATGGTACTGTCCGCTCGTGCCGTCATGTCGTCGGATAAAGACTGTGCAAACTCGAAGCAGTGTCAAGCAGCTGAAACCATGGTTTTCTCGCGCGAGCAGCAGATGATTCTTGGTTCCAATGCAAGCAAAAAATCACACCGGTCGTGTAGTCATTAAAAAGAAGAAGAAAGACAAATGAATGCTTTGTACCACGGCGTCGCCAAGCCGACAAAACGGGATGAATCACTTTCGCCTCGTTCAGAGGCTCGCTGACGCGGGCGCCAGATGAAAATGAGCGGTTTCGTCCCGTCTATAGGCACCAAAGCGGAAAAGCCCAGAGGCATAAAAGGACATAAGCTAATGCACAATCGCTCGAGCGAATGCTCCTTTAGGGAGGGGGGCCGCTGGCCGGGCTGGAGCAACCGTAATTGACGGCGAGTGTCTGACTTGTACGAACTAGAAAGGGATGGAGCTGGCCTATTCCGGTGCCAGGGACCAAATTCGACCAGACCGCTCTGGCCCCCGGATTTGGATCGCAGACCTTGACCCCCGGATGGCCGTGCAATGAGAGAAGAGGAAAACCAAAAAAAAAACTAAAAATAACCAAGGGGAGGAAAGCGACTGTCGGTGGGATTGCGCGGCTGAAATGAAAATCCGGGGAAATGGACGTCTACTGGTGGTGGAGAGAAACAAGACAAAGAAAAGAAAAGAGGAAACAGGGGAGACCGGACGGACAGGACAGACAGGGCGACGCTACGGAGTAGGTGGACTTCCAAATGCAAAGACAGACAGTCGGTGTTGACGAGACAAGCACGCAAACACACACGGCGGCGCTGCAGTACGCACAGAGCAAGCAGAGGAGAAGGCGATCGATTTGACAGCAATCAAGCCAGGTGACGGACACGGTGACACGAAACGCAAGGCACAGCACAGCAACCTGAGGCGGGGAGCTGGTGCAAAGGATGAAGCAGGGACCAACGGGCTCTCCACGTACAGCCCCCCTTTGCGCACGGAAAGAGAATCAAGTGAAAGGGAAAGGGTGTCAACGCGAACGAATGCGTTGCCAACCCCCTTGACCCCTGGCGACGTCCCTTGGAGCGGCTGGCGGCTCATCGAGGGGCCTCAAGTCATCAGGGGGCGCTCAGCTCGATCAGCCATCACTCAATGCCCTGGCCCATGCCAGTGGGCGGCAAAGGGCGTTGCATCTGCGACAATTGGCGTGTGGCCAGAGTTTCACCAGCAAAGGCTGCGCTGTCCCAGTCCAATCAACCCCGGAGCCGTCAGAGGCCATGTTTCATCTCGAACCTTGCCGTCATGGGCCAGGCGCTTGCGGTGCTCTGCCGTCCATTGAGCCTCTGACCTGAGCCTGGACATGCTGCCTGCTTTGCTTGCATTATGAGTTATCGCGGATACTCCGTAGTGAGTGAGTAGATGCAACCGAGAACAGCCATGTGCTCTACGTGACAAGCGCAAGCAGCGAAAGGAAAATCACGGCGCCTAGTTCCACGCACTGACGTCCCTGGCGCCTGGCTCAGCATACGACAAGATGCCATTGCAACTACGCATCTGGATGATGTCTCGTCCGAGTCAACACAGCTTCTCTGAGCCATACCGCAGCCCCGACACCAGGCACGCCCTCTCTCTCTCTCTCTCTCTCTGCCACAGCAACGCCTCAGCAACCGCCCGGTCGACATCTCGGCCCTGCCCAAGCACCGCGGCCGCGTCCTTGGCGATACGCACTGCATGGGCCCACCGGCGGAAGACAAGCTGCACTCGTGCGAAGGGAATACTTGAACCCCACAACGTGCTCATGACTACGAACTCTCGCCAAAGACCTCTCCCCGTTCAGCACAATGTACTCGTCTACTCGGGCGGTGTCGTCCATAATATTCACCTCGGCATGATTACGCATGCACGACGATGAGCTGCATCGGGACGGCGGCACCTAGTGTATGTTGGGCTTTCCGCGCCGCACGCACCACGAGGTCGTAGTTGGCGGCGTCACGCCGGGGACAACGGCGGCGTCGTACGACCTGCCCATGCCCAGCACCAAGACGCCGCCCGGCTTGCCTGACGCCCACGCTGCCTTGTTCAGCACCGAGCTGCACACCGTTGGCGACGGTCCGCTCTGACGCCTCGATGGCGACTGCGTCGTCAAAAAGTATATCGTCAGGAACCACTCTTGCCGCCGTACACCAGGAGCCTCGTTTGGCAGCGCCGTGGGCCCCCAAAGCACAGGATGCATGAGGACATTTCTGCCGCGCTCAGGCTCACGAAATTGTGCTGTTCAGTCGACGGGTCCGAGATGTTTTCGAGGATTTGCCACAAGTACGTAACTATTGGGGACCGGCTTGAAGATGTCTTGGGAAGGGATGGACGGTGGCGCCGCGCGTGAATGGCATGGCCTTGGGGGTTGGGATTGATAGATTGTATCTGTGACTGTATGTATCTATGCGATTTCAATCAAGCGCGCGGTTGCCTGGTCATCGTTTAAGCGATACGGTCCGGCATAACGAGGCGTGGGCGATTTGTCATCAGCAGCCATCAACCTCAACGCCATGCCCAATGTCAGCATGGTGGCACGCCAAAACACTGACATCTGGAAGCTGGCGAAGGGATTGCTACGGGAGCCCCTTGCGCCCATCCAAGACCAGACTTGATCCTGTCTGTGCCGGGGCACACAAAGAAGTCACGCGAGCCCGGGGACTACATGTTGTCTTCACCCGTGCCGCTGCCTTGTAAAGTACAGACTTGAGGAGCCTTGGGTCATGACTCGTTCGGGCCGCGGGAAGAATCCGACGACTTTTGATTATCGGGGCTGAATGGATATTCTTGCCTCCAAGCCCTGCTCTCACAGCCCCCGTCATGACGAGTCTCGAAAGCTGACCGGGTACTAGTACATGCGTCTCGGCACACAATTCCCCTGCACCAAGCGGATCATTCAAGTTGTAGCTAGAACAGGAGCGCACCAGGGAGCCAAAAACAGCGGCACAGCCAGACCATCAGGCATACAAGTCAAACCTCTCTACTGTAGAGCCCCAGACAGGGAGCTCGGCGTCACTCCGGGCCGCCCTGACGGTAGAACTAGTAACCCGGATATACAGGCCGTCGACAAGCTGGGGGTCCAGGCCGTTCTTGTCCCCGTCGACGACCCGGAACTGCAGCTTCTCCCGCAGCAGGGGCTCCACGTCCTCGGGATCCAGGCTCCCGATGTGGCCGGCTCGGACCATACGGAGCAGGGCCAGGGTGAGCGGCAGGCTGCTCGACGACTGTGCCGACGGACTGGTCGCGGCTCCGCGGTGCATGGCCGTGACGGCGACGCTGCCCACGTGGCTGGGTGCCGACTCCCACTCGTGCGAGTCGGCGGGGACGTGGCCGATGAAGAAGGGAATGGCGAAGGAGCCGTTGACGGCGGTGCGAGTGTCGACGCGGATGTCGACGATCCACTCGGTGTAGTGGGCGTCCCTGACGACGGCCGCGGTCTTGTCGTCGTCCCCCCTGGCGGCGAGGCCACTCGGCCGGCCGCCTCCCCACCACTGGTTGATGTTCCTCATCAGGTTGCTCTGGAGCTGGGGGAGCCCGATCTGGGAAGGGTCCGCGTCCTGGTAGGTGTAGCCGAAGAGCTCCCAGTTCCGGGCGGCGTCTGATGTCCAAAAGGTCCCGTCGGCCTGGTAGAAGGGCGTCAGGGGGCTGTTGGCGTACTGCCACGTCCCGACGGTGTAGGTGTAGCTGGTCTCGCCGGCGACCATGGGCTGCATCCACGCGTTGCCGTTGAGGATCTGCCACATGGCCGTGAGCCGGTCGACGTTGACGTGGTGGAGGAGGAAGAGCGGATCAAAGGCCGACGCGGGCACGAACTGCATGTTGCCGTTGAGCCCGCCGAAGAGGTGGATGGCGTCGTGGACCGACTCGAGCGAGTCCCAGCCCGGGGAGGGCTGCGAGGCCGCCCAGGCCCTGGTCGCGAACTGGTTGTAGTCGGTGTACCTCGAGAAGAGGATGTACAGGCGCTGCTGGAGGGAGCCCAGCTGGGCGAAGAGCGCGGCGTTGACTCTGGCATTGTCCGAGGGCGGGTTGGCCGGGTTCGCGGCGTTGTTGGGCCCTCTTTTGGTCTCTGGCCAGAATGTGAACTGAGAAGGGAAGTCGGTCAGCACTTTCAAGGCACAGCGTCATCATGTGGTGGAGTGAAGGTTGGTGTTGTTGTTGGCAGGAACTGAAGACGGGGGCGACGACGAACCGGAGGCCAAACCATGGCATCGCCCCCGACCGGATGGAACCGGTACGAGTACAACGGGTTGGCGATGACCTGGACGCCATTCGGTCCTCTCTGTCGGATGGTCGGGCTCCACAGGACGCTTGGGAGAAAGTCCTGTCCGGTAGGAGTCACACTCCAGTCCCAGTATGGGATCCGGAACTCTGCCGCTGCCTGTCGGTAGCCGGGGTCTGAAAAGGTGCCGGCGATGACATTGGCCAGGTTGTACAAGGCTTGCTACGAGGCAAACGGGCAACATGTCAGCTCGGCTCGTCGCAGATGCAAAGGGGGCGGCAGCATGTCACGGCGTACTTCCCACAGAGCCAGGTATGGACGGTGCCACATCAGGAAGAGGATCGAGGTGTGAGTGCAGTAGCCCGACTGCTCTGCTCCTCTGACTGGCTGGACCCCGTTCCACGGCACAAACGGAAGGCCGTGAATGCCTGACGACATCAGCTTCACGCCGTCGAGTGGTGTTTCCGCGCGCCTGTCACCAAGGGCAGGGTCTGTGTCAGCCCCGGGCAGGCAGACCTACCGGCAACTTGGTACCACGAAAGAGGGTCGTTCTGGTCGACTGCCTGCATGGCACTGAGGGCCAGGATGAACAAGTCCCACATGTATCCGTTGCTCTGCAGCTGCCGGAGCTCCTGTCTCGTGGGCAAGGAGCCATCTCCACGACGAGGAAGCTGGCCAACCGGGATGATTCCTCCACCTTGGCGTTTGGCGAGCGTCCCGTTTGCCATGAGAGCTTGAATATCAAACCCAAAGTCGTACGACTGGGCCACAGCGAGCATGGCCCCGAGCGTGCCAGCGATAATGGTAGAAAGCCGCATATCTCACGGCGAGAGTGTCTCGGACTCTGTTCTTCTCTTGGGACTGCGGCGGGTCGGCAGCAGTTCACACCCGGGGTTGCTCACGGACAGCACAGATGGGCGAGACGCAAACGAGAATCGTGGAATGGGCGAAGCCGGAACCACGACAGACTAGTCCGACGGAAGCTCCTCGTTATATAACCCTTTGATTAATTTCCGCCACGAGAGACCAGACATGGGGGACGGCATGACGGGCAACACGGCTCACCACGAGAGCTTCGAGAGCAAAGCATACAGCCATGATCCATGTCGTGCATTGGGTGCGTCAATTGGGGCACAGAAACCGAGCCAAGCTGCTACGAGTCGTCACGTCTGCGGAATGCAACCGAGTCTCTACCTCGGATGGCAAATGTGTGCTCTCGTTGAGGATCACCACCGTCCCGTGCCGTGCCAGGCGGTCCTAGTTGCCATTTCAGGCAACGCCTCAGAGCTAGAGGTATACCGAGGGAGGCACTTTTGTTAAGGAAGTGGAGAGTAAGCATTATATCCCGCTGGCCATGACTTGGACCGCACGTAGGCATGACGCCTGTGGCACACGTTTGCCAGGAATCGTGGACCATGCGAGGGAACGTGTAGTTTCTCCCTTTGTCTCCTTCCCTTTCACGCTGACATGCTGCTTGTCAGTCAAGCGTAGTAGACGTGTCGAATCGCGTTTCTGTCGAGCTTCATCATCACGTCAAGACGGCGTACGCTGTACATGCTCTTGTGGGCTATTGCGACGCTCCCTCACGTCCTCAACGCTCTGTTTGCATGTATTTCTGTCTTTGGTAGTGATTGGGTTGCCGCGGGAGGAGCAAGGGCTACACGGTATATTTATCGCCTTCAATGCCATTCAGCGTGGGTGGACGGCAACACCAACCAACGTCTCTTTGCGACAGTTGGACGGCTTGTCCGGCCCATCTTGTCCATGGAGTCGGCATCCGCCCTGAACTTGGACTCGTCAAGCCGACAAACTGCTCGCCATCACGTAGAGATGCCGCAATTCCACGTATCCGGAGTGGCCGTTCCCATACCAACCTGCGGGAGTAGTGGGTGATTCCCTGAGCCTGTCTGGATCTGAGGCTGCATCGCGACGGGCAGACGGCAAGCATGTCCCTCCCCTGCCGTGTGCTGCAAAGCTGACATGGTGTGGATGCTGGCCAAGCGGAAAGCCGGACATGTGTACGCCTGCAGCTCAGCCGGCCGGGCGAAGGATATTCATGGCAACTCAAGGCGCACGTCTCGGGCAGACGCTTCTATAGGCCGCCATGTACACTGCAACTTTTCATTACGAGTCGCTGGTCCCCTTCGGATACACTTGTTGGCAACCAAGTGCAAGTCTTGTCTGTCTGCAACGGCCTGGCGAGGATGGGATCCCATCCGTTGCAGTACGGGTTGCAAGGGGCTGTCGAGTTGAACACATAAAAGTTGGCCCCGGAAAACGCCACTCGTTGCTTGGGGTGCCACGTTTTCTGGACACTTTGAAGCCGAAGCCGAAGGGCCTTTGTCTGCTGCAACTGTGTTACTCAGTCCTCGCGTTGACTTGGTCGAGTACGGTCTTCTTTTTCTAGACAAGCCGGCTGAAGTTTAGATTTCGCAGGCTTTTGCTTCTTTCATTCCCCTTCCATACACATTTAGCCGCACTGCGGCCACGTGGTTGCCTACCTAAGCAGCGATTTCAGTTGCCAAAATATCGAGGCTTCATAAATAGTACGATGGTGCTGCCACTTGCCACTTGCACAGGCTCCAAGCATTGCTGCTCATTCCGATATCTGCCGTCAGCCGAGAACAACGGGTCCTTTCAAGAATGTCCTACTTCCAAACCAAAGTCGAAGAATGGCCAGAGATGACCGCACTCCTTGGGCCTGCCTGAACAGTGCATTTCGTACACGTGAGATGCATTACGTCTTGGGCAATATAATCCGACGTCTCAAGACGTGTATTTCAGGGCTTTGATATACCGTTAAAAATCTTTCAGTACTGACTAGTAATCAATAAAAGCGCCTCTTGTTCCGCTATCCAAGGAAATCGCCTAGATACTCCGCGCTGCCAACACCGGCTCTGGAGGACCCGCCCAAGTGAACTCCCAAAACACGCATCCTATAGATTTGTGAGTATCAGACTTTAATCTCCAAGTTCTGTATAGGGGCCCTCTCCCTGGTAGGCGGTGCTGTATGACAAAGCTGTCCTCGATCGTGCACATGTGGCGAGTTCGGTATCCCCAACGCAACAATTCGTCGGTGCCTCATACGCGTTTGATTTTGACGAGTTTCGCTCGGCCCCAGGAACTTGAAGGTCTTGACAAGACCTCACGAGCGTCCGTGCTTGGCCTTCTCTGCGGCCCCAGGCGAAGAAACACACACTTATTTGTGACTGGTATTTCTTGCCGCCTGGCACCAATCGCCTAACCTCTTCATTACCGTGTATCCGTTCAGGTCCCGCTCGTGGTATGGTGCATCACGGGCCGGTTGGACTTGGCCCATTGCTCTTGCTCAAGATGGTAGTCTTCTCTCTGGTATTGGGTGCCACCCGTCATCTCATTGTACTGACGAGGAGTTGAAAGGTTGCGCAAGAAGTTGTACGCCTCTAGTCCTAGATGCATATGAGAAGATTTCACGACGCGCCCCACTGGTTAACTTATCAGGTTGAGATCCATTAGTGACTCAGGTTAAGAATCACCATTGTACTCTCGGTTAGGTCGACGCCAAGGAGTCAAGTGTCGAAATCAAATCTATTCTCAGGGGCGAGCTCTACCGTTAACCCTGCTTAGCCGGGAGCGGGAGCGTGTTACGAACCAAGATATTAAACGCATTCCGAAAGAAGAACAAATAAAAGCTCTCCGGGAAAGGCTGATGCTTAGCAGCGGGTTGCGAGACCTCTATCCGGTGGCGTTATAGCTTGTCAGAATTCAACAATATAGTCTGTTGCTATGACTTGCCCGTGTTGCCGCCTGCCTTTCCCCAAGGTCCTTTCGAATATAGGCTCTATTTGTGCAGACGCCTTTTGCCTAGGTCCTTTCGAATACAGGCTCTATTTGTGCAGACGCCTTTTGCCTAGGTCTCTTGACTATAGCCCTTGCGTCACTGACGTCCGTGTGACGGGCGTTCTGTAAGTCACGACTGCACGCTCACCTACTAGCTTACCCAACCTTGGACCAAGGTACATGGTGTCAAGGTTGAAGGAAAAGCAAGTAACAATAAGGCAAGTACTTGGAGTGGTACATCTCGGGAATTACACCCCACGTGTGTGTGCATGTGGAACGTTGGCGACCATGCTGTACTTGAATTTCCTGCTACAGTTTCACGTGCCGCTTCTGCCCCTACCAAAGCTGAGGCGTTTCGAGGCGTCACTTTTAGGTCAACAGGCCCCATTCCTTAAAGTCAAACCTGCTATTAGTCATGTGTTTGTGTTTCTTGGGCTTGGGCAAAGGACTCCCTGACGCAGCCGACGAAGCGCTTTCGGGCTCTGACTCTGCCGTCAAAGTAAATATTCTTGGACGTGGCTGGCAAAGGCATTGCGGCCGAATACTGCCTATCCAAATGCCTCAAGATGGACTGCAGCATGCGCACTCCATTACATGGCCGCAGACGCTCATTCCCACCAGATCGACGCCGTCGAGGTATGCTGAAGGATGAAAAGGCTCTCATCGAGACAGTGTGTTGGTCAGGCGCAGACGCCGACACTGTCACACTCGAGTTCAAAGGTAAGTCGGGGTCGCTTGAGTTTCTGTTCCCTCAAGGCTCTGACAAGGAATAAGTGTTTGTGATAGTCGCGCTTGAGGGTACATTCCAACGAAGTTGATCTACACGGAGACGATTCCTTTATTGGAGCCGGATGAGGGTAAGAAGCCTGATAAGGACTCCGTTCAAAGACTCCCAAGGGCAGAGCCCCAAGGTTGAATGAGGAGCAGTAGATCTGTTGATTAATCGGTTGTACACTCAACACCGCACTTACGACTTCCGATGACAAGAAAATGGAACAGGACAAAGAGGACAGGTCCAGGCCGGGCCCTTAATCAAGACAGGTGTTGTTGTCTGCCTTGTGAAACCTTCCAGGCAGTTCTAAAGACATTTCTAGAACTAGTCTGACAGCCCGATGACAGCCAGGACCAAGACCAGGCCGATCAACATCAGTGCTTCACAAGACGTCATTGATCAGTTGGCAAGGGTGCATCGGGTCACAAGTCCGTGGTTGACACGGAGAGCCATCATTTCGTCTGGTGAGTGGCCAGCCGTGCCCTGGTTGAAAGTAAAAATATCCATCATTATGTAATCAAACACTGTGCTGGCTGACACGACCCGGTACGGCTGCGACCCACTTCCTTCGGTTTCCGGCCCTCCACTTTGTGGGCAGTGCGGGCGGCGAGGTTGAGCACGACAACATGAGTGGCTGTTTCCCAAGCCACCTCACGGTGCGCAGCGCAGTACCTCCACGGAGTAGGTACTCAAGTACTCCGCATCTCGTACCTGCTAGGGCAGCGACCGGGATACCCAGGTGATGGACGGGTGCACAAGGCCCCACGTGCGGTGTTCGGTACGGAGTACGGAGTACTACCTGACTCGAACCGGACCTGGTCTGACCTTCAGCGCAACCACCAAGTCAACCTTAATCGCCACCTTAATCGCCCTATGGCCTCTGGACTGGTTGCATCCTTCACGTACTTCCGTACTTCTGGCACAAGGTTTCCAACGTTGCCCACGCAAGTACTTGAGTATGTACCTACTTAGGTAGGCACCTACGCCGTACTGGGAAGTGGGCAAGTCAAAGTCGCGAGCGCCAAGGCCAGCCGCCATTCTCCGTTTGCCCTTGTCCTTGACACTTGCGCGCCGCGAGTCCAATCGAAGCAAGCACAGCCCCCGTCCTGCCCAACACCTTGGGCTTGGCATCTTGGCAACAATGCGCCATTCGATGCTCGAGCCCGCATCCATGCTACTTGTGAAATGTTATTGAGCAGCCACCGCACCGCTGCCTCCTCCGCCAAGAGTCTTGGTCCCCAGCCAAGCGCTTATGCACATGACACGTGCCGCGAGAGGGGGAGGGGATTGAAATCGGGGCTCCCGTCGTTCTCATCGTTGTAAACAAGACTGGGCAGTGGGCAGTACGTATGCTGATTCCGGCTGGGCAATTACAAACCGGTTCCCCGAGCCCTTTTTGCTCCGTAGTCCGTCTGGAGTTGGGATCTTGTCACATGGTGGCCTCTTTTCACCTCGATCCTTCCCGGAAGCCTTTCTCTCTTGTTCTCATCTTCACACCGTCCCGACTCTCGTCGCCATCCCCTCGACCGAATCTTCGTCTTCCGTCATTCGTTTTGCCATGACCGCTCGCTGCATCCATCTTTTACGTCGCAGATGATTATCTCCAACCATCTCTTCCTGTCCAACTGTGAATCGCCCGTCTAGTCCCGACGTGAATTGTCGATTGTTCTGCAAGTTTCGACCGCAAACATCTCTCTTTCCCCCCCCTCTCTCTTTGCGCTGCTCTACACAGTCCTTAACGCCAGGGCGGACGGTTGTGCGAAAGTAATTGGTCTCCGATTTAATCCCGACGCTCCCGATCTTGCCTTGCCATCATTCACTCCGATGTCATGTTGTCGTCGCTGGTTTCGCCATCATGGTTTGCCGTCACCGGCGCGCTACTGATTGGTCTGACGCATGCTCAATATTACAAGGTCGACTCAGAAGGTATGAGGCGCTCACTTGATGGACTGCTGTACAGCCTCGGGTAATCAGGCGCCGCTGCTAAATTCTGCTGTATGCTGACATGGTGCAGCCGCCATCAAAGAATCAGCTAGAACGCTAGCCTACGATTTAATGCTGTTGTACAAGGGAAACCAGTCGGGAGAAATTCCTGGTATTCTCCCCGGCCCTCCTGCTGACGGAAAGGGTCCGTACTACTGGTGGGAAGGCGGTGCCATGATGGGCACTTACATAGACTATTGGAAGTTGACTGGCGACTCGAGCTACAACAAGGTCGTCATGCAGGGCTTGTTGCACCAGGTCGGCGAGAACCAGAACTACATGCCCAAAAACCACACAATGTCCCTAGGGAACGACGATCAAGGCTTTTGGGGTCTGTCTGCCATGCTGGCTGCCGAAAACAAATTCCCCGATCCCCCGGCCGATAAGCCTCAGTGGTTAGCCCTTGCGCAGGCTGTTTGGAACACCCAAGCTGACCCTAGTCGATATGACGAGACATGCAACGGAGGGCTGAGATGGCAGATCCCCTTCTCAAATCAGGGCTACGGATACAAGAACAGTACGTCTCGTTGACTCTTCATGTGTCCTCAGCCGGTTGTACTGACTCCCGACAGCAATTTCCAACGGGATATTCTTCAACATGGGTGCTCGTCTTGCCCGCTACACCAGAAATGACACGTATGCAAAACGAGCAGAAAAGGCCTGGGACTGGATGTTGGGCGTGGGATATATAGACACCAAATCCTGGAGCGCCTACGACGGTGCCCACGTTGCGCAGAACTGCACCGATATCAACAAGGCCACCTTTTCCTATAACGCCGCTGTTTTGACCCAAGGAGCCGCCTTCATGTACAACTATGTAAGTGTCGTGGCCGAAATACAATCTGACGACATGGCACGGGCTGGAGCTGACTATATTAAAAGACGGATGGAGCCCAGAAATGGAAAACGGCTTTGGACGGACTCCTCGACTCTGTACTAAAGACGTTTTTCCCAAACAGCATTGCTTACGAGGTGGCCTGCGAGGGAAACAAGGGAAGTGGAACATGCACTCCTGACATGTTATCCTTCAAGGGATATGTTCACCGCTGGCTGGCAATGACAACACAGATCGCCCCATATACCAAAGACAAAATTCTACCTGTCCTCCGCAAATCTGCCGAAGCAGCCATCAAGCAGTGCACAGGCGGTCCGACTCAGCGCCAGTGCGGTTTTTACTGGAATTTGGGCCGCTTCGTCGATCCCAGTGTCGACAAAACGACGGGAGCCGGAGAGCAAATGAACGTGCTGGCTGCTGTGTCGAGCCTGCTCATTGAAGGGGCTGAACAGCCAGTGACGAAAGACACGGGCGGCACGTCCGTTGGAAACCCCAACGCCGGCGGCAGAGATAACGGGGAACGGCCCGAGAAATCTGTTACAGGAGCTGACAGGGCAGGCGCTGGTTTCTTAACATTTTTGCTATTGGGTGGTGCCGTGGGCACGTTTGTTTGGATGAGCGCCTTCGACTAACAAGGCGTGCTGGCTCTTGCGTGTGTGACTACAAGCGGCGTTTGGGTGTTGACTTTTTTTTTTCCTGGATGCTGTGGCTTGTGGAGCAGTCGTTGTATTTATCTTGATCTTACATTGGGCATGGGCTAAGCGTTGTCGGATGACAGTGACCAGGTGCACAAGCTGGTTGTGTATTTTATCGAGGCCGAAGTTCATGAGGGATACTCCAGAAGGCGACCGTGTATCATTACTCGTGGTATTGAATAGAGACAGAATTTTGAAAGACAATTATATTGATGTCGTGTATCGGTTCTAGTCAGCGGCCAGAGTAGTCTTGAGAGGCAACGACGGCCCTTCACACATGTGAATCGTTGACACGAGTTGAGAGAAACAGGGCGCGCGGTATGACTAGGAACGATGAGAGTTTGTATGCGCCACCCGGGACAGATTACGCCACGAAACTGTCCACGTGTCTGTCACTACTGTCGCCGCCGAAGGCTTTTCGGTCTACCGATAAGATGGTGTCGCAGACGAGTTCGAGTGCTGGTCTAACCCTAACCCAGACAAAATGGCCTGCTGAGTCAGCGCCACAAATGGATATAATTGGCTGCAGGACAGGGCAGATGACCTCTCAGTCAAACGAGGCCAAAACCGAGCATCAAAAGAACGGCATCGATGAAATTTTCCTTGTCTGGCAATTCACCATCATCTTGCGTACGGGAAGGCAATGACGTCCGACCATCACACATCAAGCGGAGACGAGTCCGCCGGCGATTCTGACGCGTCGTCCGATTCTGGCTCCGAAAACGGTGTTCGCCTCATCGACGACGAGGCCGACGAGTCGGGCGGCTCTCGTGCTTCCGAATCACCCGACTTTTCTTCGCCGCACCCGACGCACCTGACGTTCCCGCAGTTCATGAGTCTCCCTCCAGAGCTGAGACGGCGGGTGTGGGAGCTGTTTTGCCCGGACGCGCTTGCCCAGGCGCGCGTCTTGTGCTTCACCTTGTCGCCGAGCTCGGGGACGATGCGACGGCCCGGCGACTACTCGGTCAAGGATCACTGGTCGCTGGCCGACCAGACGGAGGGGGTGAGGGCCATGATGGCGACGCACCAGGAGTCGAGGGGCGTCGCGACGAGGCTGTTCCCCGACGAGCTGCGCATGGACGCGGGGTCGGGGGACGCAGTCGTGCGGTTCAGCAGGGAGAGGGACATGGTGGTCGTGTACGGGTTCAGGGCCGACAGGACATACTACCTGCCGGGGTTCGCGGGGGAGCCGAAGCACGTCGCGGTGTACACGGCGCGGGGGGGGCGGCCCGAGGACGGGAGGCTTCTGGATCGTGCGGCGGGCGTGCTGGGCGACCTGAGGAGGCTGTATGTGTGTGTGCCGCAATGCACGCTGAGGCGGAGCGCGAAGCGGTGGTGCGGCACGGACTGGGCGCGCCGGTATCTGGTGCGGACGTACGAGAAGGAGATTGGGCTGGGCGAGGATACGGAGGTGCTGTACTGCTGGCCGGACGAGGACCGGCATCCAGACTATGCCGGGCGCTCGGTGCCGAGGGGGACGACGGAGACGACGGAGACGACGGGGCGTGCTGGGGTGCGGTTGCTGCCCATGGTGGCGTTCGAGTATGAGCGTGGGATTGCCAAGTGGCGGGAGCTGCGGGCGATGAAGGACGGTCCCGTGCTGGACGACGAGAGCGACGAGGACAGCGACGAGGTTGAGTCGCGGGGGGGAGAGGAGACGGATGAGGACGAGTACGAGAGCGAGGGCATTGACGACTCGGAAATCGAAGAGCCGGATGATTCGTCCGAGGACGAGGGCGCTCCGACGGGTGACGTCGGTCAGTTTTCGAGTCCAGAGGTTTCCGACGATGACGTGGTCGAGGTTGCGCCGCCGGTGCAGAGACCGAGAAAGAGGAGGGTCGTGAGTGATTCTGGGGACGAAGAGCCGCGGACCAAGAGGGTGCGGCTACGGGCTGTGGTTTCTTCGGATGAAGACGAACAAGGCGCACAAGAAGCAGAGGAAACGGAAACGGATGCTCGAGGCCGTCGACAAGAACCAGAACCACGTGCCGTTGGTATCTCTGATGACGACGAAGGCGAGGGAGCACTACGGTATCGAAACGGCGCTGTATACGATGCCGTGAACCGGGACGAGCACGAGCACGAGGACAAGGAGGAGATTGTGTACGCCCGGTCGACGACAAGTTCAAGAAGAGTTGCTTTCGACTCTGAAAGTGACGGCGACTCCGACAGCTGCCTGGGACAGGCGGAGCAAGAAGAAGAGGGGGACGGGGACGGGGACGAGGACGAGGACGAGGACGAGGATGACGACGATGAGGAGCCGCAGCGCATGTCACTGGCGGAGAGACTACGAAGGGCAAGAGAGGAGCATCCCGTGTCGTCTGGCACCGAAGAAGAGGGGGATTCGCAGGATGACCACGACGACGAGGACGAAGAGGACGGAGAAGACGATGAAGAGAATGACCAAGAAGGCCTGTTGGACGTCATGGCTGGAGAGAGTGAGGACGACGACGAGGGCGATGACTGGTGATTTCCACTGCCGGTGTACCATATTGTGCAACGAGACCTAGCTAATCTGATACCAATGGCTCCGTCCACGGCTCAAGTGAGAGTCTTTTGCCTGACCGGTATTCCCACCAACATGTTGCTACATAACCCAGCCCCGACCAGGGAATTTTCGCAAAGCCGCACGGGACACGAAAGAGGTACGGGTACATGGGTCGTCATCGTCGTTGATCTACACAAGAAACGCTTTCGACGCCACCAGTCCGTCTGTCACTTCGCCCCAATACCGTCAAACGCGGCGTAGCACGACTGCTTCGCGTCGTCGTCGGTCCACCCGATGCATTTCCGACACTCGAGGACGTCGCCCGGATCGAGCTTTTTCTTGATACGCAGCAGCTTGTCATACGGGTCAGTGCCGTAGCACTCGCGTCTCAGTCAGGGGTAAAGGGTTTCGACAGTCGCGCGGATGCGCCTCTTGAACTTGGCGGCGAGGGCGGGAGTTGGAAAACACGGCGGCGGGCACAGGGCGCGCGTTGAGGATGATGAGGGTGCCGCCGCTGAAGGCGCCGCCGGGAACATTGTCCTCGAAGAAGCTGTAGAGGTCGACCAAGATGTCCATGAAACCGCAGACGCGGTCCCCCCCGGCGTCGTCGACGGCAACAGAGGCCACGACGCCGCCGCCTCCGCCGCGGAAAAGCCCAGAAGAGGCCCATGTTGACGCACTTGACGCACTTGTTGGCGATGCGAAGGAACCTCAACCCAGGAGGCACACGTTTTGACAGGCACAGGGAACATGGGTGGGATGGGGAAATGGCGTGGCCGGGCTACCCATTCCATTGTCGATCTTGCTCTCTCACCAGAGTCCGACCGGGCCGTAGACACGCGGAGACACCATGACAAGGCGAGCACCAAAGCCGAGACGAAATCGACCGTGGTTACTGGAGTTTCGTTCCGCGTCACGACGGGGACTCGGGTCTCTGGCACCGCCGCCGCCGCCGCCGCCATGCGCTCACGCGGCCGCCTTTTGCAGCACTTCCTCCATGTCCGCAGCCTCCCTGATGGCCGCTCGAGCAGAGCGCTTGGCGGCGTCGCTCGGCTCCTCGTAGGGGTGTCTGGGGCGGAACTTGGCCTCGGCGTCGTCGATGCCCGCCAGCCTGGCAGACACGAGGGTGGCGGCGAACTTGGTGGCGGCGATGCCGGCCTTGCAGGGGCTCTCGGCCAGCGCGGCGAGCTGTTGAAGCTCCGTGGCCCTCTGGCGCAAGCCCTCGGTGTACAGGCGGTATATCTCGGCCGTCAGCCTCGGGCACACGTTGGCAAAGGCGGCGATGCACCCGGCGCTGCCGGCAGCAAGGCCGCCGACGAGAAAGTCGGACTGCCCGCCGAAGATGGAAAAGGCGTCGGGGCGATGCTGCGCCGCCAGGCGGGTGATTTTGCCGACGGAGCCGCAGGTCAGCTTGACGCCGACGACCCTCGACACGCCGTGGTTGCGCGCGGCGCTGTCGCGGACGATGGCGGTGATGGTGTCCGAGTCCAGGTCCACGCCGTTGCAGACGCCGGGGAAGTTGTAGATGACGACGGGCAGCGCGGCGGCGGCGGCCACGGCGGCGAAGAAGCGTCTCGTCGTGGCCATGGTGGTCGCCTTGCCAAAGTAGGCCGGTGGCAGCACCAGCAGGTAGTCGGCACCCGCCTCGGCCGCGTCGTCGGCGAGCTGGAGGGTTTGCTTCGTGGAGTGCGCGCCAACGCCGGCCATGAGAGGGAACGCGGGCCCGACGGCGCGGCGAGCCGTGGCGATGAGCTGCGAGCGCTCTTCTCGCGTGAGCAGCATGGCCTCCGAGTTTGTGCCCATCACCACCAGGCCCGCCAGGCCCGACCTGGACAGGTGCGCAAAGTACTTGGCTTGCGCCTCGAGGTCGAGGTCATCGTCGTCGGTGAAGCACGTCACCGCCGGGCACCAAACGCCGGCCGGGGGCACGCCGGGCGCCGTGACCGACGCTGCCTGACGGACGGGCATGCTCGCGTCGGGACGAGGGCTGGTCGTGATTTCTGGATGGCTTGGTGCTGCGTCGCCGAGTTGCCCGTGACGGGGGCGACGAAGAGGCCGTCTCGAAACTTGTCTGCAAGCCGTGTGAGCCGAGGACCGGGACGAAAGCCGATGTGTTGGGGGTGACGCAGCGATGTCGGACTTGGTACCGACACCGAGACCGGACAACCAAGAGGGCAAGTGTCACATGATAGCAGGGGCACTATATTAAAAGAGCTCTAGCTTTATTAGCTATAGAGCGCTAAGATATAGAGAACCTATTAGTTTTCTACTTCTATAGATTAAAGTCTATATTTTTCTAAAGCTTTCTTACTGTATAATATTGATGTAGTTAATTATATTAATTCTATTAATTTAATAGAAATTAAAGTAGCTTCCTTAGAACTATAGTAAAGTATAGCTACTAGTAAATTATTAATTCGACATGTAGTAAGCTTAAAGTAGAGATAAAAAGTATATAATACATATAAAGAAAGCTTAATATTCTAGTAGAAATTTTAGAAGTTTAATAATACCTCTTGAGCTTATAACTATTATATAATAGTAGAGATACTAAAGCTAGATATTATATAGATAATACTAGAAAGCTTTAATTATACTATAAAAGAGAGAAATATGTATACTCTATAAAAAGGGGCGCTTAGGTCCACGCTTTATGTGCATATCACCCAAATTCCATGCGCTTACGTGGCCAAATACCCTACCTAGTGGGTATGCCGGGCCGTGCGACAGCAAGACACGACCACACAGTATGGATGCCTTGACAGGCCTCGCTGGATGTCGAGCATGTCACACCCAAGATGGCTACTGTTACTTGCGTCTCTTTGATCTTTATCTTTCAGATTGAATCCAACAACCATCTAGAACCAATTAAACGACGACAAATCGTAACAGCGGACATGGCAACCTCGGAAGAAGGCCCCTGGAAGCATCAACTGCCCCACGAAGCTGCCCCAAACAGTCGAAAACGACGGCAACGAAAGTTTCCAGACCCGTGTCCAACTCGCATCATGGCTCAGAGCGAGTCCTCCTCAGCCGTTGATTCCTCCACTGCATCCCCCACATCAACTCTACATACACCAGCGCCCCTACTCCCACGGTGAGAAGGCCCAGGCCCAAGAACATCGCCGCGCCCCCCAAGGCGCCCGGCATCGAATCTACCAAGGCAATCCCGAGGGCTCCCATTGCGCAGTGCACCAAGTTGCCAATCGCCGTGGCGCCTGCGCCCAGGTCCGGACACAGATCCGCAACCAGAGTCGCGTTGGTTGCAAAAATGGCATTCGACGTGGCGGCGATGAGGAACTGCAGAACAAGCGGCGCCGTGATCCATCCCGGCCGAGCGACAATGGAGAGCTGCGCGGCTGGAAGCACCGTCAATCCGTACAGCGCCGTGGCCGTGGTGAACAGGGCCGATATCCACGGCACGTGGCGAAGCCGAACGTGCTCAATCGGGAAGTTTGGCGGGAGGTCCTTGTCGTTTCGCGATGGAGACGCCGCCGATGGGTTCGCCTCCAGGTAGATTCTTTCGCATCTGGCAAAGTCCCTCGTCATGAGCTTTCCGGCCGCGGCGGAGCCCACGATGGCGCCGAAGCCTGGTGTGGAAGATGCGGGCGTGTCAGCACAAACGACCGCCGCCCTTGGTTGACTGAGACTCTATCAGTCGGGCAGGGACGATGACTCGAGTTTGAAACATCAGCGGGGGTCACATTACCGTTGGGAAGCAACGCTAGACCGAGAAGCAGGTCGTTCAGGTGAAAGAGGTCTCTGAATAGGCCGGTTGTGCTGGCGACAACCATGCTCCAAACCGTGTAGACGGTTCCGCCGAGGACGAGGCTGATCAGGACGTCCTTTTCGCCGACGAGTGCGAGCGGTTTGAGAAATGTCGCCACCGTCACTTTTGGCGTAGGGCCCCCGTGTCCAGGCTCCTCCGTTTCGCCTTTGTTCTGGACAAGGCGACGTATCAGAGGTTGGTGGATGCCGGAGAGCCATAATGAGCCGTTGCCAGAAATGATTCGAAGCGTCTCTGGGAGCAACGTGACGATTGTGGCCAGGACAAAGACGGACACGATGAGCAGGAAGACAAAGACGGAGCTGCAAACGTGTCAGCGACTGCGGCGGGCCGGGGCTGGGCTCTTGGAACCAAAGGCAAAGGCCATTGTCGTCGTCTCACCGGTACCCGAGAAAGTCGGTCAACAGGCCCCCAATGACGGGGCCGACGGCAATGCTGAAGTTGCGGACTTGCGACGGCAATTCATGTTAGTTCAACGCCATGAAAGCTGGGGCCGATGATACAGGGTGAATGAAATGCGGCAACGTACTCGCCTGGTACGAGCCGAGAAACGCACCCCTCTCGCCCGGGGAGGCAATGTCTTGAATAACGCCACTTCCTGGCAGGGCGCTCGGTCAGGGTCCGCTGATTTTGTTTGTTTTGCCAGTTGCGGCTTCAAGTGGGCTGGCAACACGCACCAATGCTCGTCGTTGATGCGCTTCCGGCCGCCTGCACGCCTCTGAAGACTAGCAGCACGGGGTAGTTGGGCGACAGACTTAGCACGATATTTGCGACAATGTTAATCGACAAGGAGTAAATGTATATCGGCCGACGACCCAAGGTATCGGAGAGACAGCCCCAGAGCAAGGGCGAGATGCTCTGGACAACAAGATACGACGTGGTGGTCGACGAAACGTCGCCGAGGCTCACTTTCAAGTCCTAACTCCCCATTCAGCATTTGAACATTGGATGCATTCGGCCAGGTGGAATGAGTCGCGCTGTACCTTGGCGATGGCAGACAGTGCTGGCAAGTATACGTTGGGCGACAAGCCGGAGCAGAGGCCGGCAACGCCGATGGTGACGATGATGAACCACTTTTGGCGGCTTGAGAGGACGCCAAATGGAGCGTCGTCGTCGTTCAGCAAGTGGCTCCCAAGCTCGGACAGGACCTCGAGTTCGTCCTCCTGCACGGCGCGCTCGTCCCTGGTAGCCGTCGAATCCGGCTGTTCGTCTGGGCCCAGCCCGTCTTGACCAGGACCGGTCTTTTCACCCGTGCCAAATCCATCAGCCGGCTTCAGTTGCGCCTTGGCCTGCCTCGATGGGTGCGGCTTCTCGTCGTGAACCGGCCATTCCGAGTCGTAGGTCGATCCGGCGGCGCTCGGCAGCACGTCTTGGGCCTCTCGCCATCCCCCAAGCGTGGCGAACCTTCTGGCTGCTCGGGCGTGGTCGTCGTTCGAGTCCCCCGGCCCGTCCATGGATTCGCTCCCGCCTTGTCGCGGAGCGGTGCCGGGCACAGCGAAGCAGGGGATGACGTCTTCAACAGCGGCCCAGCCAAGCTTGACCACGGGCGCAGTCTTGTTGCAAACGAGCCGTGAGAGGCTGCAGCTGATAATGTAGATGGTTGTACGAGATTCAGAACATGGTGTCCATCGAGTTCAACAGTTGCTACTGCAGCGAGTGGAAACGCGGGAGTCCCTCCCTCCACGTTTCCTCCCGAGGCGTGGTTGCGGCAGAGTCCGCTTTTCAGGGACTGCGATGGCAGAAACTGCGAGACAAAACGCCTCGTTTTGGTCGTCATGTCGCCGGCAACTGCACCGCGCGTGTTTCAACAGACTACTAAGAAGGGCCCAATACAACGAGCGGGCCGCAAACATGAAACCTTTTGATAAAGAGCTCTGACGTTACGGAGTCTTCGCCTTGTACGTTTTCCCGTCACTTCCAAAGAAGTAGGCTTCTCTGGCCGGGCGGCCTTGTTCTGCCGGGACTCGAGGCCACGAGAGCGAGCGCTCGCCTTCACAATATGATGCGTGTTGGATGTTGGAGCATGATGATGGTTATGGCAGCCACCACCCAGCTTTGGAATATGACAGGGACACGGAGGAAAGATGGAACAAAGTCAAGTAGAGGTCTGCTCTACGGCCAGCACCCACAGAGACGCGAGATATAATAGCACTTCCCTCGTTTGAGTTTGACCTGACGGGTGCCATTGATGGTGGTTACGGCTGCTGGGGCCGGATCTGGGACAGATACCGGACCGAGGGCGCAACGCATCTCTGACAAAAACGAATCCGTGTGGGGGGTCGTTCTGAACGCCGCAGTTATTGGTCGTTGTGTCACTATGAGAAATCATCTATGGCCGGGGTAATGCACGAGAAATGCGAACATTCAGCCTCACTGCAGGCAAGATGGGCTGGAGAACATTACGTAGTCACCGAGGGGCGGAGGCAGACAGACCAGTCGATATGGGACTGCCGGACAGACTGATGGCCCAGTTCTTCCGGGCACAATGGACAGAAACTCGCTCGTGTCACCCACCCTCCAGCTCACATCGGTTCCCCAGTCACCGCTGGGATCTCCTGGTCTCGGGGGTTTCCAGCGCCAAGTCTCTGTAGAAACCATCTTCGTACTCGGCCATGACAAACTTGTTCAGGTCGTTTGCGGCGGAATACCGGGGGGGGGGCACCGCCTCGGCCTTGTCGAGCACGGTTACGTCGGTGTATCCGGCTCTGGTGAGGTGCAGCGCGGCCGAGAGGCCAAAAGCGCCGGCGGCGACGATGACGACGGGATCCGACTTTGCCATCTCTCGTGGGCGGCTTCGCGTCGGCGCGGATGAATGAACTGGGCTAGATGCGAGACGGGGCGGCGAGACGCTAGACTGTTTGTTGGTGGCCTCGCGATCCAGAGCTTGGAACTGCATGCAAGAGCGTCGCCCAGAAATGGAGGGCCAGGCCTGGTGTAATGCGGCCTGCGGCACAGCAATCGCTGCGTCTGTCAGACGCCGTGTTTGGCTGCAGACATGCTGGGTTGCGTTGGGACCTGGATCCCGGTCACCCGGTCCGGGGTTAAAGAGAAGAACGCAGAATCTGAACACACTTGAGCACGTTCAATATGAGCTCGTCGCGGCAGCCATCCGGGGACCGGGCACGTTTTCCCGCTTCAACTGCCATTACGCCGCCCAACTACACGCCAGGCAGCAAGCTCGTGTCTGCTTCCAAGTCGGTCCGGTGTGGCGCGCTACGGCAGTCTTTCCGAAACTCGGCAGTCGCACGCACGACGCCTCATGTCAGTCATGATCTAAGCCGAGTGGTCCGGCAAAGATGAGGAACGCCTCCTGCCCCCCCTCCACGCCTACACGCAGCGTTCCTGGCACTTTGCCGGGCCGGGAGCAGTTCGAGTCTTGCGTCTTGTTTGTCGGGTGTCGCGTGTAAAGGCCTGCGCAGCGAGCGTCGAGCAATCGTCCAATCGTCTCGACATGCGGCATCTTATACGTAGCACACAGTTTCGGCTGGCCACCCGATAAGGACAGCCCAGAGCATGGCGGTGAACCGGCTGGGACACCGCCAAGAGGGCCCGGGGGTGTCTTATAAGCCAGCCGTGGTGCGCGCAGAAAGGCCGCCCTCGTCGCTGTCTGCCCTGCCCACCGGCGTTCTGTGCAGGTCTCTGCTCGTAAACGCCGTCTCGTCCAAGCCGTATCTCCTTGGCCCGGCCATCTCCTTCATGGGCTTCCTCTGCCGGCCCAACAGGCCCTTCCTCCTCGACATTGGCCGCAACAAGCTGCTTGCAGGCATCATGAGGAAAGCGGCGTACCGGCAGTTCTGCGCCGGCGAGTCGGCAAGCCAAGTCAGGACGACGCTGCGGCGCTTCAGAGGCATGGGATTCCGAGGCACCATTGTCACATATGCCAGGGAGACCGTGTTTGACTGCAACAAAAGCGCCATCCGGGACGTCGGCATCGAGACATTCACAGACGAGCCCGCAGGCGCGTCGTGTCCATACATCGGGGGATGGCGCCGCGGCGTGCTGGAGACCATCGATTTGCTCGGCGACGGCGACCATCTGGCAGTCAAGTACGCAAACACCACCCACCAGAAGCATCGCAGAACACGCAGGCTAACCAGGCGTGCGGCCGGTTCGCCAGGCTCACCAGCGCGCTGCGCAGACACGTTGGCGACGTTGGGGCCCCGGGCGGCCGCCGCTTCCCGTCCGTCCACCTGATGCTCTGCGGGCACAATAAGGAGAGCTCGTCGGCCGGATATATGCAGTGACGGCGAAGACGGAGCGCAAGGGGCGGTAGCAGCAAGGCTTGTTTATATACACATGTACACATATATGACGATTCTGGGCCGTCCAGCTCCAAACGTCATCGGATCGTAGACTGTAGTGCCCGTCACTCACCAAAACATGTCTAGGAGTCGCTGTACAGGCCAAGCATGCGTGTCTCGGTACCTTTCCACCACCGTCCTGATTGCACGGCGCTCGTACTGGTCCGTGAAGAAATCCCCGTACAGCCGGATGCCAAACGTGGCATGGACCAGAGCAGGCGGCGATGCCGGGTTGCAGAGGCCAATGCCGCACTGCTCGAGCACGAGCAGCCTCACCTCGTTTTCGACCTGCCGCCAGCTGGACCGGCAAGCTGATTGTGCCCTAGGGACGCCTCGTCAACAAGGGGGGCGGACGTTGGAGCCGTCACGTCAAGGCAGGCTCACCTCAGCTGGGGGTTCTCGGCGACCAGGACCGACTTGGCCAAGAGACCCAGCTGCATGCTCGTCACCTCAGTGTTGGACCGATACCAAACTGTGGGGAAGATTTCGCCCTTGGACTTGTCCGCCGGCCTCTTGTAAATGGGCTCGATGTCATGGAGAATGTCCTTCTCGAGCTTCTCGTGCTGATCCATCAGTCGCGCTGTCGAACCATCAGAGCTGCGCTGCACCGGGCGGGCGGCAAAGGCCAGTCAGTCAGTCGTGACACTCACCCCATTCGTGTTCAGAGCCGTCTCCCCATTTCCACTTTGCCACTTGGACGAGATGCATGACCGTCTTGTTTGCCCTGGAAGCCGAGTGCCAAAACTCCGGGGGCAGAATCAGCTGCGGCACTTGAAGACGCGTGAAGGAATGGTAGATCTCCTGCCTCAGGGCCATCCAGTACGCGGCCTGCATCAGGCTCCGGCGTCCAAAGGCCGATTGCGCCGGCGGGCTCCGCAGGACCGCATCTATGATGGCAAGGAAGTTGACTTGCTTCCCTGGCCGGGATAGCACGCCCCCGGGCTGTCCCGGCACGGGGGGCGAGTCGTCTTCGCCATCGATCTCCTCCAGCTGTCGGAGGATGACGGCGGTGGCAAGGATGCTATCGCGATAGTCGTCGTCTAGCCCGTCGTGGAACTGTCGGAGAGCAGGCATGCATTGGAGCATGTATTCCACGGCCGAGTGCTCATCCAGGTTGGGCAGGAGTTGGCCATGGTAGAATATGCCCTGTGGAGTCTTGTACTTTGGCAGACGGCTCAAGTGACGGGCGGCCACTGCAAAAATGGCATTGAGAAGATGAGGGTGATGCCTGGCTCTGGCAGGGACAACCAGGTGGAAGTGCCGGCTCTCGTCGCACAGGTCAAACTGCATCGTGTGAGCAAAGGGTGAAGAGAGGACTGAGTCTATAGAATGGAAACGGAGCCTACCCAGTGAGAGATTTCCTCGATGTAGTACCTGAGGAGACATGCCTCTCGCGCATCCTCCAACGGAAACGCTCGCGTAGCGTCATTCGAGGCTGGTGTGCATGGTATGCAGGACGGCTGAGGAGCGAAGGCGTTTTGGGGAACTGCCTGGCCGGCACTGGGTCCATGCTTGCTTACATGTCGGTATATGCCAGGATTGAGCTCTCTGATGGAGGGTAGGTACGGTAGCTGTGCGTTTGGAGAAGCTTGTTGCTCAAGGCGAGATCCTGGGTCGCTGCTGAGGCTGTCCGATGTGACGAGGTCGGGGGGGAGAACACGGTCATCGGCCAAGATGGGACGCAAGGCTGTGTCCTCGGGAGAGCGGGCGGATGAATGGGAAGGCGACGGTTGAACAGACTGGCCGGCTTCCGGGAGACACGGCTCTGCCGGCACTCTCCCGGAGCCGGAGCCGGAGCCGGAGCCGGCGATTGTTGACCAAGACGGCGATGATACTGATGAGTCCTGGCGCGGCGTCGACGAGTCCCCGGCAGCGGAGACGCCATCGTGAAAGCGGACTGAGCTAGTATCAGCGAGTTGCACCCGAGACCGAGACGAGCCACGCACGCACAGTGCTTGATTTCACTATTGACCCATTTCTGGTCTTTGGAGAAGTTTGCGGCCGATCCGTGCTTGAAGACAGTCTCCTTGACGGGACGTGAGCAAGGGAGCTCCTTGATCTGGCACCGGCGACACTTGGGACGCTCCTCGTCACCTACAGCAGCTGCGTCAGAACACGTCGTTGACAAGACAAAAACGGGGAACGACTAGAAACATGTAACGGAAGCTGTTTTGCCGGTCCGCCGGGTGCTCACATTTGACGTGCTTTTCTGTTTCTAGATCAGCATGGCGAGCACATTAGTGGCCGTAGGCCTTAGGCCTTGGCCCTTCAGCCTCGGTCGAGGAGAGGGGAATGGGGAAATCGGCTTGGCTTGGGATGTAGGCTTGAGCCAGGCGGCGCTCACCTTTGCATTGCAGACAAGGTTGCTTTACCGCGGGCATCTCCCGCCACAGACGACGCCGTCGCGCGCCGCTTTTGCACACAATGGACAATGGAGCAACAGGAGGATCACACAAAGACAGAAGCGGATTGGATCCCCCCGGGGCGGCGGCAAACAAAGGACGGGCACCGGGCCGCGCGGCGATGCTCAAAGGCGACGCGAAGGGCGAATCCGGGGAAGGATGAAAGAGGAAAGAGGCGGCGAGGGAGCGCCGAAATCGGCAATCAGATGTTGTAGCGAACGGGAAGCCGAGCATGCTGATTGGCGCATGCACGTGGACCTGGATGGCCGAGTGGAGGCGAGGGCAACGAGAGAAAGCCGCAGACGACGCCATCAGGTTGGAACTTGGGACGACGGGCAGGACCCGTTGTCGGATGATTCTCGACTTCAGGCGACGACCCATCGCGCGCCAACATGTGGCATTCGGCGGAAGCGCAGCTCGCCGCAACCAAGACAACACTGCCAAGCGTCACCGTCAAGACTACGCTGCCCGTCTATCCGTACCAACAACCCCCAAAAATCGACAGCCCATCCAGACAAAACGCCTGCTGATACGACCACTCCGCCGTTCAAGGGGACGGCCCGATACAGGACGAACGGCTTGTCGCTACAACGACGAGTAGCAACCTCGCAAGCCAGAAAGTCATCTCAGCCAAACTCGGGAGGAAGACGATCGGTCTAGGCCCGGTATGAAGGCGACAATGCACGGCTTTGTTGCGAAGCCGCCAGTCAAGAGCGTCGAGACTGGATGACAACACGTCAAAGCATGGGACGCATCATTCCGTCTGATGAATGCCATGCTTCTTGCAGCTGACGACTAGGGCCCCGGAACACCGTCACCGTCCTGCTCCGCCAAGTCTGCCAGAGTGCATCGCGGCATCAACTGGCCAAGAGAGACATGGCAGCCTTACCTACGACAGTCAACGCGCGTCACTCGTCAACAGTGAAAGAGGGAGAGGGGGTCCTTGTGCGCAAGACGTGACGTGACGCGGTACTAGTATTGAAAGCCAAGCCAAAACTCGTGTCAAATCCAAACTGCCAGCCAAGGTGATTTCAATTTAATACAAGGTCAAGTCTATGGATACCGTGATCGAAGAAGAAAGCGAGGCACACATTAGGTGTACTGTTCCTACCTGCGCCGAGAGACTCCTATCCCAGGAGCTGCATCAGCTCACCGAGGGTCCACTGGGTGTGGTTTTGCCGATGTCGAGTATAATACAACACAGGATCCATTCTGTCGAGCCAGCCACACGAGGCCATGAACCGCTTCGGCGCTCACCCCTTGTGGCGACGATTGCGAACAAAGTTGATGATTGAAGAGCCTTTCTCTGCGCAGGAACCCACGTCAATGGACACCCGACGATCTTTGACAAACTTTGGCCAGGTGTTGGTGAGGACCAGGTACTTGATGTGCTTCTCGGATTCGTCGAATACCGTCTCGTCAAAGGACTCGGGGATCTCGCCCCAGAACTTGACACCCTCGCAGTAAGACGTCGCGGCAGGATTGCCCTTTTCAAAGTCATGAGACGACGTCTCGATAGATGTCTTGAGCGAGGACTCGGGAAAGTCGAAAGGGGTGGCGGGATCGACGTCGACCTTTTCGCCATACAAGATGCGAGCAGAGGCCTCAAACACAGCCTCCAGCCTCTTGAGCTCCGTCGACGAAATGTTGATGGGGAACTCGGCGTCTTTGATGCTGATAAACTCGGCGTAGATGCGGAGAGCGCTGTTGAACCGCTCGCGGATCAGCTCCCTCGTCGTGCTGTCCTTGACCCCCTGGCGGACGAGATGGGGCAGATATGCTTTCCATTCGGAAACGCTCGTCAGGAAGGCAATGTTTTCGCCGGAGAAATCGCGCAGGGATGAGAATTCCTGAAGCGGAGTAGGGTTACGCTCCAGGACATACTCGAGCGCGCTCATGGTAAGGATACTCTCCTGCGAATCGGTGGACTTGACGGATCCCGTCGTGGACTTTCGGCCACTCATCAACGTGTCGACGGCGGTCGAGGCGGTATTGACCGACTTGGCGCCGGAGCCGGCCTTTTTGTTCTTGCGCTCCCACTGCGCGATAGAGTCCAGCGTCTCTTGACGGAGCGTCGTGGCCTGCATGACTTCCCAGCAGGGCAGGAAAACCGTCAGCATCTCCAAGACGAGGATGGATATGCAGATCCTGCAGCTGCGTTAGTTGCCGCAACCCCGAGAACGGCAGAGCGAGAAGGAGAGGAAATGTCCCACCACTGAGGAGGCAAGAAGTATTTGTTGATGGGCTGCATGGCAGGGACGTAAAGCGCAACGAGCCACATGGGGGTCGCGTGTAGGCTAAGAAAAGGCCCAGCGTCAGCATCTTCGCCAAAAGCGTCAACGAGGGATGGATGGGATGGGAGATGACGACGAGATTGAACCTACCCAGCCAAGGCACACCCAATGGTCTGAAACCTCCAGCCGTGGGTGTCGTTGATGTTGCGAGACTTCCACAGGACACAAGGAGCGACGATCCAGGCCCAGACAAACTGCCAAAAGATGCCGGGCCACCACTCCCAGCCTCGGCCCATTTCCATCTTCTGCTCCATTTCCGTGCCGTAGACTTGGGTGCCGGGGATCCCCCAGCCGCTGTGCCACTTCCGCGACATCAACCACATGAGGAGGGTGAGGAACAACTGTTCACGTCAACATTTAGGAACAAGGTTGGGCGAGGGCCACCATGCCGCCGTCCGACATCATCGTTGTTCTCCTGGACTGACCTGAAAGCTCATTCCCAGACCGACGACAATGACCATCTTGGTGGTGTAGTTCAGGCCCCTGAAGCGATGCCTGAGTCCCATCCTCCGTCGCGGACTGGTCAGCCCGTCGCCCTGGCGGCTGAGGAACTTCTTCTGCACCTTGGCGACGTAGAGGAAGCGGCTGTTGGAGGCGTGGAACAGGGCGATCCCGAGCGGCAGATAGGTCCCCATGATCCAGTACTCGCAGTCGCCGGGGGTCAGAGCGCCGACAACGTAGCCGAGCTGGACGGAGAAGTAGTACAAGTGAAGCAAGACGACGGCGGCGAGCGACAGGCCGATGCCGCGCATACGGAGAATGGGCGTGTTGCGGCGGCGGATCAGGAAGGCCATGCCGCCGAGCAGCGCAAGCGTCCACACGCCCGCCCATGTCGTCCACCAGATGCCGACGCCGTCGAAGTTGGGTTTCCTGCTGGAACCGGCCGTGACCCCGAATTCGGATCCCATGATGACTGCGACTTGTCGGCGGGCCCGATGCCGCGTTGCAGGGGCGACGGACGAGTGGTGAAGCAAAGACGGCTCAGTCTGCTCCGCGTGGGTTATGCGGAACCCTCAGACGACACCCGATACTGACAATGCGCAGCGTCTTGTTTGGCAACTCGTCAGACCGCGTCAATGGACTCCGGCGCTCGAGCTCTGTGCTGCTGGTCTGGTGACTGGTCTATACAGCGACGGCGCAGCAGCGGAGGCGATTCAGCAACCGGCGGGGGGAGGCGACTCTAGTCATCAATAAAGAGGGACAGCAGGAGAGATGGACCCGAGTAGACTTTGCTGTCGGCGTGGGAATGGACCCCGGACAAGAACAGCAGGCATGGACAATATATGTTCAAGCCGGACCGGTGGGCAAAAAAAGCAAAGTCGGGACGGATGGATTAGGAAATGGGAAAAATGTCAAACGGCCGAGACGGCAGAGTGAGTACAAACAACACCACGACTTGTCCACCCCAGCACTCGTCCGTACGTACATCTCATATCCGGTCGTCTTTCGATACGGCGCCGAGGGTCCAGAGGCCACCCACCCCTGGTCAAGCACCAGAGACACTCACCTTGGCCCTCGTCCTCCCTTTGTCTCTCTTGTCTGCGACCGCGCCGCTCCCTTGGGACAGACGGGACGTCGGGATACGGGATACGGGATACGGGACGGACAAGGCGGGCAAAGCCCATCCCGCCCTCGCCCTGCTGGCACTGGGCAGGCAGGCCACTGCTCGACCCGCAACCTGCCTGGTTGATCGATCGCCCTTTGGGTCTGTGAATCTGTGGCGTGTGTCGCGGTGTGCGTGTCTCTCGCAGTCGCAGGTTCTGTTCTGGGCGACAGACATGCCCTACGCCTACGCGATGGGCGAGACAGCCAGCCCGAATCCCGGGCGTGTCCTCTTGGGTTGGGAGAAGACATGCGACGAATGCATTCCGTCCAGTCTCCAGGACGAGTCCAAACCGCTGCGGCCGGCACGACAGACGCTGGCCGACGCCCTGGCGGACAGGCACGACGACCACCAGGCGCCTCACGTCAAATGTGCGCCTGCTCGGTGCCGAAGAAGCTGTTGGTCGAGGCGGTATTCCCACCGGCACCAACAGGTGAGATGAGTGGCAGTGAGGAGCCAGGGGACCCCTGTGCGAGGGATCGCGGCGGTGGAATCCATCGTCAACATGGATGGCCTCGCTGAGTTTCGATGGAGTCGAAACCACGTCGACCCGCCGCAGCAACGGGCTGATGTTTCCGCCTTTCTTTAGAAACAAGCTTGACAGGTGTGGTGGGGTCGGAACGAGACCTCGAGATAAAGTTTCCGTCATCGCCAAGGAAGGCTGGCCTACGTACGGTACGGTCCACGGGGGACTGGTAGTACTAGTAGTAGTCTGGTACCAAGGCCATGGGATGGGCTGAGATTGCGGGGAACGGGACATGCATGCGCCTGGCGCAGGATCCAAGAACCTGGAGCCAACTGTGCTCGCGCTGTGCTTGTGCTTTGTGCGTTGTGGTTGCGGCAACGGAGGAGGGTTTGTTGCAGACACGATGCCAGCAACGTCTACCAAGCAGGCTTTGGCACGGCATCAAGTCACTCTCTGACGAATCACTCAAGTAACGTAGATGCATGAATAAAATAAAACAGACTTGCTCGCGAGTGCCAGAGCGCACAGCAGAAAGGTCCATTGTCTCTTGTTTCTCCTCTCCAGTTCAGCCGAACCCCCTTGCATACTTTGGCTCAGCTGGAGTGGCGTGTGAGGAGATTCCAATGAATCCAACCATGTCCTGCGACGAAAAACACGCAGCCAACACAGGCATCGGGCTCCTGCTCTCGTTTGTTTTATTACCATTGACATGCTCGTGCTCGTGCTCGTGCTCGCCAGTGTCATCAACCCCGTCCCGACTCCCGAGATGATGGGATTGGCAGTGCCAGCAACAGGTCGGGGACGGAAATTGAATGCCCACGTTTTGGCCCGAGCGTGCTGTGCTGTGCAGCAGTTCTGTCGACGAATACAGTAAACCAGGTCTATAACGATAACCTTCGTGAGGCTTTTTTCATCGTAGTATAGCGACTATCGTTAAGATGCAACTATTATAGGGTTGTACCTTCCCTTAGAAATTACTAGTAGAAAGTATATATTAAGGGATTATTAGCAAAATTTGCCCCACTAAAAGGAAATTCAGCCCCACTATAAGGAATTTAGCTCTTAAAGTAGGGCTGTATAACGATAAAATGCATAGTAACTAAGCAAAAAGTCAACAATATTGTCAGTAACGCGACTATTAACGATTTACTAGGGAAAAACCTTAGATGACTGTGAATTATCGTAAAAACCTAAATATCGCAAATATCGCTAAGATACAGGATCGTTATAGACATAGTTTACTGTACTTACTGCCGGTCAAGGCTCTGGTGCTTCGGGAAGCAAACTACCCCGACGACGATGGTTCCCGACTCCCCGTGATGAGCCCCTATCCACGGACTACTGATGCCACTACTCCGTACTCCTAACTACTCCTCCTTGCTGCCCTATGCCGTGCGCCGTGCGCCGTGCAGCAGACAAAAGGCGAAAGGGACAACCAGGGGGTCAATACGTGTCAGACATGGTGGCAAAAGCAGCCGAAGCGGTGGTCTGAAAGACTGTAGAGTTGACAAGTGCCTCCCTCACGATGCTTTTCCACGGCTGGGCAACCGACCACCGATCCCAACGTGCACTCTGCGGGAACAGGAATAGTACTCCGAGTGAAAGCTCCAACCTCACTCGGGGCGGTGTTCTTTGGCAACGAGAGAAACGGCCGATTGCTGGACAGCGTTCACTACGGCAAACGTGCCGCCGTCACATCCGGGGCTTCTCGCCGACGATGCTACGCCGGCGTTGCCGCTGGCCCGCTGGTGCAATACTTGCCCCGAAAGAAGCCGTGTCGTGCCTACACTACCTACGGAGCATGTACGGAGGAGTGAGGAGTGCTTTGCCCATTCCTACAGCGCCAGGGTCATCCAAACCGTTGGTGTGACTCCATGCTCGGCATGACGACTCCGTCAACGTCCCGTCAGAGTGCAGCGACAATCACCCCAAACTCGGGCTCCAGTCAAAGCCAATCTGTGATCAATTGACGATGATGCAAAGGGCAATCGTGCCCATCTGCCCAAACCATGTACGTACGCTTGACGCAGCAACGCAGGAACACGGAGAAGCAGGGAGCAAAAAAGCGGGCAGATGGGAAATTGGTCAACACATTTTTGGCTGCCTTGCATCTGGTCTGATGCAGGACAGACGACGGCCCATCAGGTACAGTCCGCTTTCGCAAACGTACATGTGTATATCGCTCTAGCCGCGACGAAGCCACGACTGGCGCTTTGCCCTTTGGCAGCCGGCGCACCCCTGACTGAGCTACGTACTTACTTACTGTCTGTCTCTGACGCCCTGGGGATCGAGACATTCGGCGTCCCCCGGGCGACTTGGAACCGTCTGGTTGAAGTGTCGTCACCAAGGCGAAGACCGTTGAGACGTCACGCGCCTCGGGCCTAGGTGCCAACAATAGCCTGGACAGGACAGGACCCTTGCCGCCAACAAGGCGGGTAAACTGCCATTCTGAAAGGGGGAAAGGGGGGAGTATTGTGCGGAGTGTTTTACCTAGTACAAAGTACAAGAAGCTCGTTTCTCAAACGTGCGCTTGGCGTTCCGTGGACCGTGATGCCGGTTGATTGAGGCTGCGCTCGAGCTCAAGACAGGAGTCGATTGTGTGTTGATACATTGATACATTGTCCAGACTCCATACGGCCGGCTTGATGGCTGGGTCGTGGATTCTACGAGATATCTGTCCCTTGTGAGTTTCGATTATAAGGGGCGAAAAGTGCGTTAAGCTGGTTGTGATGACGCTCCATGGCCAACCCTTTTTTCTGGTTTTTCCCCCTCCTCCTCGAGAAGACCGGGAACAATGCTGCTCTTCAAACTAGTAGTTGGTAACTAATCGTGCCCGCCCCACTTTATGTGGTTCGGCTAGCAAAAGCCCTCACCATCCCGAAGCCAGCTCGAGGCCTGGAGGGCAGGCCAGCATCGGAAGCTCCATTACCCCAGCAACTCGGTGGCCGTCCACATGACGCTCGGCTTCGGCGAGACGTTCGTCTACCTCAATCTCCTGTACTACGTGAGGTAAGAATCCCCTTCCCACAGCGGTAGCGGTCGACGGGGCTCCCAACTTGCCGCCGCCGCCCCTGCTTACGCCTTGTCAGCACCCTCATGCTTCACCGCGAGTACTTCCCCTTCCTGCCGACCCCGGAGTCGGAGCCACGGGGTCCAGTCGACCAGCCCATGCTGGGGGCGCCCGCCCCCGAGGGCTGGTGGGACGACAGCTCCCGACTCCTCTTCGGCGCGGCAGAGCACATCGCCGCCATTCTACACGAGGCCTCCGAGTGTGGCGTGCATCTCATGACGCCCTTTGCCGGGTTCTGCGCATTCTCAGCCGGCTACCTCAACCTCTACGTGGCGAAATACCCCCGAATGAACCTGGGCCGCAGCCCGCGAGCAAGCGACTGTCTCAAAATGTGTCTCGACTACCTGGAAAAGTTTCGACTTGTCTGGAAAATCGCCGACGGATGGGTAAGCCGCCCGCAAGCATGACACGACCGTGGCCACCGTTGCGCTAACATTGAGAGGGCGGCACGCGCAAGATCAAAACGATACACCATGCATCCGTGCTCTACGAGCGAGCAACCGAGGACCGGACACGATACCAGGGGCGCACACGAGCAGACTTTGATACTCTACACCAGTCTGTCCACGAGTTCCGTGTCGTGGATAGATCCGACGCGCATACTCGGGAGATTCGGGGCGCGGAGCGGCCCTCGGCGCAGGCGACTTGGCCGGTTCAAGGGCACGAGCACGAGCACGAGCACGAGCACGAGCTCGACACTAATACCTTGTTGAACCAGCTTTTCGCGGAAGTCAGCAATAACCTCGACGAGCAGGGGGCCTGGTCTCAATGGTGGCCGGCGATTGATCAGGTGGATCTTTAATGAGCTGCGTAATTACATCCGGGGTTTTTTTTTTCGTTGAAGCTTCCAATGAATGAGTGACGACCTTTGATTTTTTTGATTTTTTTTTTAAAAAGGGCTGTAATATCTGGTTTTCTATACATGTCCTATTTTTATTTCCCGGTCTAGAAAAACAGTCAACAGATAATGCACCTCTTCATATGGCTCCCCTCCCGTCACCGCCAACAAATGCATACCTGTCGCGTCAACCATTCGCCGTTTCTCCTTCCAATCACGCCTTTGCAAAGACCTTTCTCGAGTTCATCAGGCGAACAGCAAGCATAAAGAGCATGCCGACAAAAGGCGCCACAACCACGCCAAGAGGACGTTTTTTGAAGCAGCTAAAAAGGCACGTAAATGGCGTCTGGATTCTGTACTAGATCTACTAGAAATTTGGGACGAGAAGGGTGTACATTATAGGCGAAGAGGTTAATAGCGTTATTAGGTTGAAAATTGGCCCGCCTTGGTGTCCGGCCCGCCTTGCTGTCGAGCACCACCTTTGGTGGTGAGGGCTTTTGCTAGCCGAACCACATAAAGTGGGGCGGGCACGATTAGCTGCCTGCCCCCGAGCAAATCCCCTTGACACAGCCTCAGAAGCGACAGGTCTGAGGTCGCAGACGTCAACCCGGCCAACCACGGCCAGAGGTCATTTCTCACTTGCAGATTCATAACAAGACGGCTCCTCCTAACAACCATGACAAATACTTTGTCACCACTGGGGCGCCTTGCGGATCCCTGGCCACGGTCGGGTGAACACATGGGGTGACGCGGACGATCTTTGCCGCGCCTGGACATGTAAGTCAGTCCCTCGAGCCTGGCTTCGGCAATGGCAGTCCAGATGGCCGTCCAACTTGTCTCGGCGCTTCAGATGAAGGGCGACTTGGGGGGGGGTTGAAGACGAGGAACGGCGGCGCGTGGTAAACAGGAATATCCTGGACGTTGCAGAAACCTACAGCCGCGCTGCGTACTCGGTACAGATCAGTCGACTTTGTCATGATCCAGTCTGCGCTGGTGACGGGGCCGCGATACGGGGTGGTTTTGGGAACTGCCCATGCTGTGCGGTATTCAACGACGGTGAATCATTGCTCAGTGACTCGGCGCACGGTACGGGTCAACAGGGAGGATATCCGTGATGAGCTCGATCGGGGGACTTGACAAGACCTGAACCGTTGACTACCCTGTACACTTGCGCTGAGTCGTTAGAACAAGAACAGGAGAACCGGCGACAGTCGCAAGGCCGTGGGACGCTAGATTTGTCCTGTCCATGCCAGCACGTCGTGTGCCATGATGAGCCTTCCTTTGGACGCGGAAGTCGTGACGGCCGCCGCATCAGGCTACGCTCACATGGTGGTGACGGACAACGGGGTCTGCTACATTGGCTGTGACGAATATGCTTCGGCGTCCCGAAGACGAGAAGAATAGAATGGAATTCACTTCGTGCATCCGAGCAAGGGTGTCCTTTTGTGAGAATCGTCATCGTGGTAGTTGGATGATGCACCGGATGTGCGTCCATGGTCGGATCGATTACAGGAGCCAGCAGAGTGCAGATGCAGAGCATCCCGACCCAACAAGATGGAGATGAAGCAACATGCGTCGGGTTCTCTTCCGTCGTCAAACAATGGTGACGCCAGCGCGCCGTCCGTGAGGTTGGTGTAGATTCAATTCACGGGCCGCCTCAGGCATCATCACCAACTTGGACGTCCAAACGCGCATGTCGCACATTTTGACCACGCATGACCCCGTCAATCGCAATGCGCCACCCCGCAATGGGCGACAAAGCTCCCTTTGTTCCTTTCGCCCATTCATCGATGCTCCAGCCCCCTTATGCAGAGGCTGTTGATGCGCACGACGCATAACGAGCCAGCAAGAAATGCAATTTCAGGTCTTGGAGATAGGCATAATTCCCAATAAAAAGAACAAGTGGAGTGTCTGCCTGGATTGAGACTAGCGCGGCACCCGCATTCATGCAGTGCGCTATGCGTATTTGGCGTCCCCTTCAAATTGGGGCCGTGATGCTGGCCGAGGGGCCGATTTTGGCTGCGCGCTAACTCTAAATGGGCAAGATCACGCTTGAGCAGACTTGCTTGACGTCGGTTCGACCTCGGCGTCGTTTCGTCGGCGATGCAGTTCAACCCCATGGACGCCGCCCTCATGGCGAGTTCACGTTCCCCCATCTTGCATCATCCAAGCGGCCTTGACGAGAGGCACACGCGGCGCAGAGTCGACGCAGAACACTTCAGTCCCGAGTCACGAAAGCTGGCGCCATCACAACCCAGCCATGGGCCTCGTGTCCAAAGCCATCTTCTCGTCCCTCCTGGGGACGACGACCGTTGCGGCCTACCTGGCCGTCAAGAACCCCGTCATCTCGCCCCTTGCGGCTTCCGACCCCATCTGGACATCCAAGCTATTCAAGCGGTACAACCCATCCGCCAACCCGGCGACCCAGGACATATGCATCAGACGCATACCGCTCGACAGGATACGACCCGAACTTGTCAAGAACCCCCGTCATCTTGTGCTGGAATACTGCCGCGGCATTTGGTCGGGATACGGTAAGCCTCTGGCTGCGCGACGGCATCGAGATGCAGGGCCACGTGTCCAGGAGCTAAGTTCGGGTGCCAGGCTTCCGGGCTCAGCGCCGCTATCTTCAGTGGAAGCACCAGGGTCCGGACACGAGCACGCAGTTGTGGACCACCGAGCAGCTTTCGGAGAGCAAGTATGAGAGGGGGACCTGCTTCGTCGACCACTTCGAGGTGGTGGAAAAGACACCCACGTCCATCACGGTCCGGTGCGGCGACTCCCCGCGGACCCAGGCCTTGCGAGAGAGCGACGGCCTGTTTGTCATCGGCGCCGTCGTGGACGACGCGCGCGGCGAGGTCGAACTCACCTTGAAGAGTTGCCTGTTCTCGAGCCAGGGCAAGGTGCTGGGGGTGAAGGGGCCGATGCCGCCGTGGATGGATACATTGCATCAGTGGTATGCGCGGATTTGGTCCGAGACTGGATCGTGGCGGCTGTTGAAGTAGCGGACGCGTCTGTGCGAGGCGGCATGCGGCTTCAAGCTTGGGCGGCAACAGTGTCCTTGGTCGTTCTGCATCATCATCTTGACGGCAAAAATCACGCTTTACTGCGCTTGAAGTAGACGCTCCGCGGAGTGCCGGTTTCGGGGGTCTGCCGGAAAAGACCAGCCAGGGCCACACCCAAGTCGTTCGGGGGCGTTGACCCGGCGTGCTCTTGGTCCTTCATGAAGCTACAGTCAGGCCGCGGATAATCACGAGAACATGCGCAATTTGTGTGGTCACCATGACAGTATTTGCTACGTGCCCTTTGCATCCTGTAGCATCATGAAAAAGAGACTTTCAAGACCCCGTCGTTAGTGCTAGCGGTGACCAGAAAATCAAAACAATGAAACCTTGAAAACGAGCGTCGTGTTAGTGCGCCGCGAGGCAACACTGACTTGGTTCGATCCGCCTGTCCATCCGCGTCCTATCCACAGGCGACGACAGGACGGCTCTCCTACGGGACATTTCTATAAAAAGCCCTGAGGACACACTCACCTCGACTGGCCATAGTCTGGGGATCAACTGCTGTGCTCTTGCACCAGTGGTCATTGTATGATTGTTCCTGTGCCAAGTTACGCTGACCTGACGCCCAAGAGGGATGTTGATTACATGCCCTGAAAGTTTCTTTCTGCCTTAGTTCTCAACTTCTTCCAATATCCTTACAATTTCATCTAAGCCACTCTCGGCCGCATATTGTGCCGGTGTCTTTCCCGCATCGTCTCTAGCCTCCTTATTCACGCCGGCCTCAGTTACAAGATACCGCACAATATCCTCACTCACAGAAGAGGCCGCCAAGTGCAGTGGCGTACGCCCATCATTTTCTTTAGCCTCCTTATCCACGCCAGCCTCGCCTACAAGATACCGCACGACAGCTTCATGTCTATAACAAGCTGCTATGTGTAGTGGCGTACACCCCAGACTATCCCGAGCTTCTATGTTCACGCCGGCCTCACCTACAAGATACCGCACGACAGCTTTATGCCCAGAACCAGCTGCTCTGTGTAGTGGCGTATCTCTGCGGTAATCTCTAGCCTCCTTATCGACGCCGGCCTCGCCTAGAAGATATCGCACGATAGCTTCGTGCCCAGAATCGGCTGCAATGTGTAGTGGCGTACGCGCCTGACAATCCTGAGCTTCTATGTTCACGCCGGACTTACCTACAAGATACCGCAAAATAGCTTCGTGCCCAGAATAAGCTGCAGCGTGTAGTAGCGTGCTCCTATTAATATCTCTAGCCTCTGTGTTCACGCCAGCCTCGCCTATAAGATACTGCACGATAGCTTCATGCCCAGAATAAGCTGCTTCATGTAGGGGCGTGCTCCCACGGCTATCCCTGGCTTCTGTATTCACGCCGGCTTCGCCTACAAGATACTGCACGACACCCTCGTGTCCCTTCGCGGCGGCCATGTGTAGCGGCGTCATTCCATCGAAGTCCCCCGCTTCCACATCGACAAGGCGCCGTCGCGCCGCTTTGGCTACGGTGTCGATGTTGACGTTGTTCTGCTCGTAGGGGGAGGGAGCGAGCAAGCGTACTACATCCTCCTTTCCCGCCATCGCCGCCAGATGCAAGGCAGTCCTACCTTGTTTATTTCGCAGCTGTTTGGCGCCGTCTTCGTATAGGTATTCAACGACAGATACGTGCCCCTTGAGTGCAGCCCAGTGCAGAGCCGCATTTCCCATGGGGTCTTGTATATCAGGAGCCGCACCTGCGCCAACGAGTCATTGAACCATGGTAACATTCCCAGTCATGGCGGCGCAATGCAGTGGAGTTACTCCATCTACTCCTCGGACATCGACTTGTGGTCTTCCCTTAAGGAGCTGCCGTAACGTTTTAAAACCGTCGGGCGTGTTACAGGCGTAATGGAGAGGAGTCCAGCCGCCCAGATCTCGCGCGTTCATGTATGGTTGAAGGCAGAGAATCAGCCAATATCGATGGCAAGTCGTCGCGTAATGGAGGGGCGTCCAGTCATGAATGTCTTTCTGATTCACCACTTCGTGGGTCATCCTGGACCTTATGCAAAGGTCTAAAAAACCAGGTCTCCTGCCTTCGTCATGCAAGGGCATGAAGTTGAACGTTTCTGGAAACTCGACGTGTTCGTCTCTAGTAGGAGTAGTCCCAATATCTTGGAGAATGTCGCATTGCCACAGTCGTCGCTGCTTTCTGTATAACTCCTTGAAAGATAACAATGTCGTTTGATCAACATGTTTTAGTATTAATTCTTTTATTTTCAACCTTCTCTGGTCAAATTCTGAAATTTCCGCTGGCTTGTAACCTTGAGACTCCCACATTGAAAAAGTCAGAGAAGCCCTCCTCAAGATCTCGAATAACAGTGCTACAGCCTTGATAGCAACGCTGCTCGTTCTCGGAAATGTGCTGGCCGTTTCGAAAAGCCACAAGTACATATCGGACACTGCGACAAAATGTTGGAGCTGCTCCTGCGGCGTAGCATGTTCTTGCACTTTTGTAATAATGTTGTCTGGCTCCGGGAGCTTGTTCTCTGCGCCCAGTGGTTGAATAATGCTTAAATAGCTCTGCTGGAGGTTTCCAAGTCCAGAGTTGCAGATGTCTTGAGCCATCCTCGAAAGTTTATCGTTGTGAAGCGTGAACCGTTTCCAGGCATGGATGCCAGAGTCTTTGAGCCGCACGTCAGAGCCGCCCTCAAGGGCTGCCGTCATTTGCCTTGCCGCGGACTGCATGAATGCCGTGAACATGTCTTGAGCGTACAGAAGCTCTATGGAGCCGTACGACTCAGACGCCAAGAGTGTATCCTCTTCAATCTCGCCATTACGTATGTCTTCCAGGTTGAAGTTGGCGGCCTCGCCGTTATACCGAGCTGTATCGATACCTTGCTGAGAGGTGCTGCCGGCGCCGCAACCTCGTCTGTCGCTGTCTCCCGCTTTCTCCTTCACACGGCCGACAATGCGATGCCTTTTGACCTTGATGGTTCCGTTCTCGGCTTCTTTGATCTCCAAAACTCTTCCCACATCAGGGGGCATCCACCATCCGAGATCCCGCCTCAGGGCTCGTGTGCCTGGGCCTATGATGTGTAGATTTCGATCTGCGGGTTGTTTTCCGGCCGGCTTTCGCGCATTCAACGTGCTGTCTTGGGCGTGAGTAGAGTTTGGATGACCAGTCGGCTGCAATTGCGAGTGGACCAGATGTAAACGTAAAGAAAGCGCAACCTCAATGTCCTTCTGAATGGTCTCTACGTTGACGTCTCGTGCCCAGCGGATCTCCGGTGGCTTGTCCCCCTGACGCCCTGACGAGAGGGCTTGGAGAGACCAGATGAAGTCATCTTGAGGAAGACAACTGGATAGAGAGTCAAGCGTGGTCCTGATGGCTCTTGCAAGGGTCACCGCAACCGAGGAAATAGGGCCCTGCCAGGCAGTGAGGCCCCCGAGAGTTTTTCTGATCACCATCAGATCGTGTGCTGTCAAGCTGCTCCCTTTCGCCCTCTTCAAGTCGGTGCCTGGTTGCGCCGCTTGCTCTCGCTCTGTGTGTTCTTTGTTCCCCATGGAGCTATTATCCCGTGGCCGTGCTGCTCTGTCAAAATCTCCCAGCGTCGTCACAAACCATTCCAGCTCATATCCCGGCGCCAGACGAATCCAGTCGATAGACCGTACGAGCCCTCGACGGACCCATGCCCTGACAGCGGCCATGGCAAGGACTGCACCGAGTTGAGCGATTGACGCGGACCAATGCATTCCACGCAGGCCGATGAATTGTACGACAAACCCGCAGGAGCTGACCGCGGTGCCAGCCACAGTCTTCTTGATGGCATGGCTTTGCTTGTCCGCCCGGCGAGACGTGGTGATGAAAGCCTGATTATCCCCGGTAGATAATGCAAACGACTGGAACCACTGCTCGCCCACGCTTTCCGTCTGCTGTAGCCAAATCAATCGGGCTGCTGTCTCCTTGGCTGGCTGATACATCTTCTCCTCGGTGCTACTCTCGACGACATGGGCACACAGCAACAGGCCAGCTATCAGCACGATCGTTCCACCCGCAGTGCAGGGGAACGCGTAGCCGGCCACCGCATTGTCGCCCTTGGGAAACGTCAGCCGCGGGTGGTAGGTGGCAAGCCCGGAATAAGCCAGGACCCCTAGTTGGAGGAGAGTCCCGAGGACGGCCACGGCGCGCAATTCGCCTCGCTTGAAGTGGTTGTGTGAGTTGAGAGAGATGTTGGGCGCGGCAGCATGCTGGCTCCGGACGATGGTGATTCTGGAGACGGGTATCGCGGCGGATGCCCGAGACGGCGTCCCCTCCTCTACCTCCGAGTTGATCAACGGTTGAGCGGCCTTCTTGAGACCGATCCGGCGCCGGATGTTGTCCCAGAAGTCGGCCCAGCTGTCGGGAACTAGATCAAGGCGTAAGCTTGGGTCTTCACCAAGGCCGACTGACACGGGGAACGGGCGGGCCACTTACCGACTTCGCAGAGATATCTTTTTTCCAGCGCCTCCTTCAGCTCGATTATGTCCGGGACCTGCTGCGCACAGTCCTCTGCCTCCTTCGCGTCCGCGGGTCGCAGGCAGATAAACTCCGTCGTGGACGGTGACCCTATGCATCTCACGATCCCTTGGCCGTTCCACAGCTCGCAGACCTCGTGAGAGGTAGACGACATGAGCTCGGCCTCGGCGACTGCCAGGTTCTCCCTGGCTCTTCCGATGATGGCCTTGAGCCACGAAGGGCCGCCTACCCTGATGGCGCTGGTGATGATGGTAATGATACCCAAGGGAGCCATGGCGAGAATAAAGTTATCCGCCCATCCTGTCGATTGGCTCATGAACTGCATGGTAACCCGTTCTCCGAAAAGAGCCAGCAGCCTACGTATAATCAAATATCAGTAACCAGCTCCGCTCACAGACTTACACGAATGGGACGAATACTCACGGCGCGAGGTCCGAGAACAAATTGTTGGAGAAGTCATCTCCAGCATCAGCAGCGCACATCGCCGCAAACCCCGCGAGGATGAGCGCGGCAAGCTTCCATGGAGCTGGCATCTTGCTTGTCGAGAGTGAGAGTTGTTACGCAACCAGGTAGGTCAAGCCGAAGGAAAAAAACCACACGCAAAGCACAAAACTGTTGCTGAAAAACTAGCAGAAGATCGAACACGGCTTCTATGGCAGTGAAGTGAGCACTTGAAGTGATGGCAAGGCAAAAGCTGTGAAATGGCTTTGCGAGCTCAGCAAGGGGAAAGGGTGAAGGGGCGTCTGGTGCCGCGAACTGCGAAAGCGACGACCTGGACAAGTCGTGACGGCACTTTGCTATGCCGTAAGAGCCTCGTTATCCTCGACGAGGTAGGCGGCAATGTCTGCACCCATTCGATGGAGGTCAAGCCATCATGCACCACGCTGCAAGCCGTGCCCGACGTCGTAACCTTGTACAAATATTTGGAAAAGGCTCCAGGCTGCAGCATGCAGGTGTGCCTAACTTGAGAGATAGAGTTTCCGGAGATTAGTTGTCCATCCAAACCATAACCCATCCAAACCGTAGCTCCAGCCAAGGCGGCAGGTGATGAGGATTCGGGCTCTAAGCTCCATCTCTGTATACCGTTGCGCTCTATTCTTCAGTTCTACTCTAGTCCAGCATTTTCAAATTCGTCCCCCAGTTGCTGGTTGTTTCCTGCCTGCTTACACATTGACCGAGCTGGTCAGGGGAATGCGGCCGGCGTGTGCTTCCAACCAACTCGCCACTTGGAATGGGCCGAATGGACTCCGTGAGAGCAGGGATCCACCGAATCAATGATAGCAAAGGGATGTAGAATCATGTTGATGCTGTAATGCACCACAAACGTAGTGTGCCAGCCCTCTGTGGCGTCTGAAGCCCCGGCGTGGCGCCCTCCTGGCCTGGCAATGCTTTTGATTGACATGATATGCCAAAGCAGCCGTTGCCGAGAGAACCTTTCAGCCTCGACATAGCCCAGCACGAGCCATGTGGATGCTAAGCGTCGTCGTGAGACATACATTGTAGCTGACGAACACACCTTGAGTCACCCTGGGGTGGTACTGGCGGCAAAGCAGAAGACAGGCCACATAATGGCCAAACAAAAGCTATCATGCTGCAAGCATGCAAAAAAAAAAGGAGCGGGCTGTGCTGTACAAGGTGTGATGAAAGGTGCCTTGTTCGATTTAGAGCCGTCACTTGCCATAAGCTGTGCCACATGAGCGCTTCGACGTCAAATTAACTTAATTTCCAATCACTCCTAATGTCACGTAACTACTACTGCCAGGTCTAGATACTGACATGGCGTCTCCGCAAGGCATCAACCAATACATGAGCCATACCTGTAGCATTTAGAAGAGGACGAATAGAAACAAAGATACTGTGGTGGTAACACGGCGCGGCCTGGAAGAGCCTACTGCCGTAAGACCCTCTGTTACGTTGGGCAGGGTATCGGCCTCTCCCCAACCGGCTTAAGTGAAGGCTTCAAGTGATGGTCAGTACAAAGGGCTTAGATGGTACTCCCTGGAACAGTTGGTCTTGCCTATCTCAAACCCTCCTGATACTTTAGTTGTTGTTTGGTATTGAAAATAGCTGGGGTTACAATGGTTTGCTTCTTGTAAAAATCGAGATGGAATTGAATGATCTACCGACAGGGCACGAAAGGCCTCTCGACAAGCCCTACGTGTAGCCCGTGAATATTACTTCACCTATCCTCGACTCCACCCCCAACGTAGTTGTTGCGTGTTCCCCAGACGACCATGTTTCCCATAAAGACGGACAAGAAAGAGGTGAGTCTAGGAGAAGTCGTAGGTCTACTACACATCAGCTCGTCATCCTGGAACCGAAGATCTAACAAGACTTACCAGATCGTACCACGAAACGCCGGCGTACGTAGCCGCGCTCTTGCCGTGATTCTTGAACCCCAGCTTCTCATAGTAAGGGACCAGCCTATCGTAGGTCAAGATGGCAATCCTCTCGACTCCTTCTATCCGCTTCACTTGCTCAATATACTTCCCCATCAGAAGCTTCCCCAGCCCTCGCCTTTGGTGGTCCGGCGAAACGGCCAGTGAGTGCAACGCGACACTTGTCCCGGACGGCTGGTGGCCAACGCCGGCCACAGCTCTCGGGTTGGCCTTCCAATCCTTGGGGTAGTCCATGTCCTGGTCGACAATGAGCGTGGACTTGGCCCTGGTGGCAATCGTGTGAGCAACCAATGTGCCGTCATTGACGCTCGCTGCCTGGGCGGATGAGAGGACCTGGACTGTGCTGAGATCAGGCGCAGTCCCATCCGAGCTCTTCAGAAACAGCCCGTAGCAAAGCCCCGGGCAGACAGACAGTCGGTAACCAATCTTGATTGAGACGACGTTAGCCGCTGGCACATGGCAGCGTCATTTGGCGGGAGCCGCGGTACCTTTTCGTACGTTGCCGCCTGTGACGGCGGAAAGGCAGCAGACTCTAGTGCTGCGCAGCGATCCAGGTCTCTGGAGGACAAAGGACGAATGTACGCCGTCATGGTGGGAGATGTGAGAAGAATCAGTATCTGTGCCTGCCTAGGGATCCTTGGAGCAGCGGTGATGGGATGTAGGTCATACACCAGTTGACCTGACCGCCTTTTAAGCATGGAGTTTTGGAGTCGCAGAGGACGATGACTACACAAGTGACACGCACGACATCCGAGACCGCAGCCGTACTCCAGTCTCCATCCACGGCTAGCTCCGCAAGAATCCGGGAGAAATATAATGGCTGATCAAGCTAGATGAGACCCACAGTCTGAAACTTGAGACGACGCCCGGCTCAGTCGAGGACTCGAGCGATTATGGAAGCTTCCCATGTTCGAATGGTGGCGATGAAGACGCAATGAGTTGACTGCACTTGGTCTTCGCTCTAGCTGGGAACGTGGCCTAGATATTTGATTATATGCGAGTGAATGCTTTCCATGAGGCTGCAAATGCTTCTGGCGATAAAGATCCTTAGCGTTCGATCCATTTGCACTGCAAACTAATTGCTGTACTTGCTATACCGGATAGCTTGAAGTAGCTGGAATCCTCCACTCACTCGTTAGGCATCTTGGATCGCAACTGACGTGACTATAGATGGCGTCTTTTTTACGCACCATCAACAGTGGCCTGCCAAAGACCTCAAGTCGCCGGCTCCAATAACCCCCCAAGGTGGTCACAGCTACTACCACCAGCCTCATAGTTATCAGGATTGCATCGGAAACATCCAGTCTTCAATCAGCTTCTAGTCCCCGTGTGGTAGAATATCCTGGGAGGACACACCATTGGCACAGCGACAGATGATGGTCGCGTAGCCGAGGGGAGCAGCAGTGCAGGTATTCAGACTTTGGAAACAACCGTTCGTTGAGTATCGCTTCCTACTCACTGCAAAACTGCAGATCTTGCGCTGAGCCATTGCACCATTTGGTCAATGTAGGCGGTCAATTGTTGGGCGGAGCATATTGAGTTGCGTCTTGAGTGCCAGAGCCATCCCGGAGTACTTGCTATGAATGACCACAACACATGCCGATGACGTTAATTATCAAGGGCTTCGGGGGATCGTCCGATTGTCAAAAATATAGGATTGAAGACGGGAAGTTTTCGTCCCTCCCAGCATCAACGAAATGACAACAATAACAACTCCATGACTCGACCGATTCAGACTACACTAAAGACGTACTGTCGACTGAGTGACAAGCCAAGATATGCTCAGACTGCGACGAGTACTTTACGGCTCAGCCTAACACCTGTACAACCGTTTGTTCCAGCGTCGTCGGATATGACACGAAAGGTGACTCGATAGCGTCGATCTTTCGGTGGTGCCCGGATGGCTCGTTCGGTAGCAAAAAATAAAAGAGCGTTAGGTTGAGCACGATGTGAAACTCTGCTTTCCTCCGTCCCCATGAAGAGATATCTCTCACAGATTCACCCAGCCCTTCTGATGAGTATCTAAGGACATGGTCTTGTCGCCTCCTCTTGCTCGGTTCACATTCTATCATGCAAATGATTCAGAGATGATCCCCGGACTCCGGAGTAGCGCAGGAGAAAGACCAACACTTGGGTGGTGAGGCAGCCGTGTTTCTCGTTGGACCCAGGAGAGTTTCACATATTTGCAGGGTGCGAGAGTCTGTTCACAATTGCAGTAGTATTTTGCGACAGTGTGGAAGCTCAAAGACGCAATTGTCAACTGGCTCCAAGTTAATTTACAGGGGATGCGTGTTTCGGTTTACGTGCATATCACGGTCCTGACAGCCCCGGTATTTACATACTGGCAATAACGCCGCTGAGGTTCCCAAAGCTCCAATCCGGTCCTGGGCATTTCCTCCCATCTTTCTTTTTCTTTTTCTTTTTCTTTTTTACCCGTTCAGGTTGTAGCGCTCCAACTCCCTTCCCACCTGAAGTTTTTCTCGCGTTCCAACGCTCTCACATTCCCTCCATGACTTTCATGGCAATGGAGTGCCTTGCGAGGAAATTGCGCCGCTGGCGTTGGCGTATCGAGTTCTACGCGACGCCGCTCGAACTGCGATACTCTGTGAGGGTCCTCTCTCGGGTCTATCGACACCCGTTTTTAAAACTTTTAGGGCTGTTCTTGAGGTTTCCTCGACATTTCTACTGCCATCTACCGCCCGGACCACGCTATATCATGGCCTACGACCCTGAGGCATACATGGATGAGACACACCCTGATATCTTCGAGTTGCGCCTCCTGCCGGTCTGGCGATGGCGTGATACCATGCAGCGCTCCTTCTATCGCCTCTACGAAGCAGTATGCGCCTATGACGAAGCACTGATTGGGTATGAGACGGAGTATTTTTGGAAGCGGCAGCCTAGTTGGAATCCTGAGCTTCTCCGCGACCCACACGAAGATGGCTGTACGGATCCTGAGCAACTTGCCGTTTTTGCTTCACTGGCCGAGGCTCTTGTCTGGTCCTTTAACTGGCGGCTCTCCTTGGGTCTGCGGCGAAACGGTCGTCATGTCGAGAGCGGTAGCCCTGTCGACTATTTCTCTGCGCCGAGTTGGACACACCATGTCCCCGCACTAGACGAAAGATTGATTCTGCACAAATATCATGACCCCAATGATAAGAGTTCGGATCCTGATTTCGACAAAAGGAATATACAAGCATCCTCAGCCTCGTTAAGGACGGTCTGAACAATGAGTCCTTCACACCGTGCAATTGGCACTCATCTACACCCGCATCCACTCGCCTTCCAGGTTGGTATATTTCCAGCCCTGGTACGTTTCGTCCCACACCATGTCAACTATCCCTTGGGTAGAGTACACCCTCACGTACTCAATAGCGGTCGCTTGGATAGCAGCATCGCCAACCTTCACCCCCAGGCCGTTTTCATCCAACCCTTGGACGTACTTCCAGCTGAGAGGATGGCCGTCGCCTTTAATGTAATGGACTAGCGTCACGGCGTCGGAGAGGTCAAGCTCACGCGACCTGTTGCTACTCCTCTCGTCGACACGGCGAAGTTTGCGCTCCAGAGCGAAGTCTAGACGGCCGGCATACACGATGAGGTTCTGGCCTTGATAGACGATGATACCTTGCTCGACGGATTGCAAGAAGAGGTTGAGCCTGTTAGAGCTTTGAATGAAGATTTTCAGCTCGTCGTTCATCCAATCGCTATTGAAGCCCCTCATCCTGGCGACGCCCTGGATTACCCTCAAGACTTCGTCTCGATACTCAACTACGGCATCTATATTAGGATCAAGGAGAAAGTCGATGTCTTTAGTCACCATGCGATTTTGGAAGAGCGAAACAGCCAGCATGCCCCCAATTGTGACGAAGCGGATTGGAGTCACACTCATGAGCAGTTCTGCTGCCTCGAAAGCTACATCCAGCTCGGATAACCCTGTGACCGTGAGCGTTTCATTGACGACAGACAGGCTTCTGAGCAAGGCCACGCCACTTACCGTCCATGATGTCATTTTTCGTGAGCATACGCCCTTGTCGATCTGTAGGCATGGTTGCGAGGCTAGAAGTGGAAGCAAAAGAGGAACGAGCGACAAAGCAAAGTTGGGAGCCGCGTAGATGGCGTCGCAAAAAACTTGTGGAGTTGCTCATATGACAAGTTCCGAGGCGAACCTCTGCACCATCCCCTCGGTCTTCTCAAACGTTGCCAAGGGCTCCCTCCTCCCAAGCAAAAATTAAATGATTTAGTAACTGCTAACGGTGCTACTTCTTGATGAGCAAAATGCTGCATCAAGGCCAGACCCCCTGTCAAAGTCATCGGCTGCTACTAAACAAAGCGGACCGCTTCAGAGTGACAATAGAGGCGTTATTTATGGTGTCCTGCAAGATGACGGGACACTGACCTCAACGTCAGGCTCGTTCGAGCGTCAGCTGGAGGCTTCAATCAGGATGCGTAAGAAACTGAGGTGGGGTGCACAACAGCCTCATTTCCTCGGGAACAATATCAACCATTCATTAGCCGCCGACACGGGATGCCTGGTTCGATGGTCTACACTTATCCAGCTTTGTTTTCAGCCATATGCTGCACCTGGAGGCGGTGCCACTGGACGCTGGATACGGCTCGTGGTAGTCCTCATCGTCAGGCCATACGTTATATTTGCATACAAGTGGACAAGATGAAGGAATGGATATAAGAATTTACGCTATTAAGCTTCTCCGCATTTTGTGGACAATGTGACTGCAGAGACGAGACTGTTACTTTAGGTAAGCAGAGTAGAACAGTAAACCCGAGGAATCGACTGGAAACACTGCCATCACGAGAGCATTGCTGTTAGGGCGACTTCCTTCTTCTAGGCGTCGTGAAGGAACTTGCACCAATTGCATCATGAATGTTCTTATTTACTGCAGCATTGAAATACCTAAATGACACGCTTGTATCTTGCTTTTTTTACATGTCATTATTACCTTTTCAGATGAGACATGAACCTAGTACTCAATTTGTCATTACCCAGACACCATGGCATCGACGGGGCCCTGAACGACATAGATCAAGAGTAAAACAAATCGCCACTGCTGCTGCCGTCCTCACGGGGCAAGCATTGGCAAGTATCCACGACCCTCTTGCCACCTCATCGCGTAGGCGAGTCTCGACTCTACAAATAGTGCGAGGGAAGGAAGGTCCAGGTATAAACCCGAGTACAGCTCCACTTTTCGCCAAGTCTCAACCATAGCCATTTGCACCTTGACCTCCGGCCCAGGCCAGGCCATGGTCTTTACAGATTTCTTAGATTTCTTCCAGCACTTTATTTGATCAGGCTATACTCCCGAAATAACAAATACGCTTGCCCACCCCGATCCCAATCAGACGAGGGCACCCACGAGAGCCAAGACATTAACCGGCGGTTCTCATCGTCCCGCCCACAGACGCGAAAGGAAACGAGATGTGGAAACGCGCAGCAAGCACAGCCGCGCTGACAGGACCAAAACCGCGACTTGATTACCGAATGAGAACACCATGATTACACTACCCTCTGCCTACAGAGCTACTCTGCTGAACGGGGCAGTTTTTTTTAAAAAAGCCACATTCCGACCTGACCTGGGGTGCAACGAGGGAAGGAAAAAATGGAGATCAAAAATATAACCGAGACAGGGATTGAACCTGCGACCTTCTGGTCACATGATAAGAATACTGTAGGATAGTGATCAGACGCTCTACCAACTGAGCTACCCGGTTATTGGGACGAGATGTAGAATAAGTTATAAGCCCATGAATGCCGGTGCGCAGGGTGAGGGTGTGTCGCTGGTCAGGCAAAGCGAATGCCGCAGACGCAAAGGTGCATTCCTCAACAGCATTCCCTTTCGGCAAGAGCAGGCATCGACGTGCCGTGTCGGAGTAGTTGCACGCTTGGCAACGCGGCACATGCGACATTCCTGGTCAAGAGCTGACATGGATGCGTCGGAAAAGAAATGTCCGCGGCACACGATTGACATGCACACGCCATTCCAAGCACGCGCACAATTGTTCTTCTACAGTTCAGATGTGGCATCTGACCCGTGTACATTCGAGGTATTAAAAGTAACAAAAGAACAAGCCGCCGTTCGGCAAGGGTATCTACTTCGCCAATGATAATGCAGTACACCCAATACAAAAATGTCAGTCTTCCAACGCCGTAGAAGAAAACGTACCCTCTCATTCCTTCGTCATCCAAGAGCTGTATGTAAACTGCGTCTCCTCTTCCTTTGCGTCACCCAACTTCCCGAGATAAGTCGCTTAGAGTCAAGTGTATTGAGCCAATGCTCTAGATGGCAGTCACTGCGTTTTGCCAAGGAGTCAAAATGTCTATTCCTGCAGCACTTCTATCAGGGCTTCGCGATCGACTGTTGTGGCCGTGACTTGCGCCGGAGCTCCTTTGCGCTTCTGCAGAGACCAATACTGCTGGAATCCGGGTATCGCGCCGGGTTGGTTGATTCCGGGCGATCGATGCAACTCCTTGTCCTTGTCCTTGTCCGCGTTGCCAAGGTTCTCGGGCTGCAGCACAGGCGACGAGTTTGGGCTAGGACTGCTGCCGGCCCAGGGACGCCATCCGACCCATTTGCCCAGCTTGCCTTGGGGTGTTGCCGGACTGTAGGACAATCGGGCAGCGTTTGGACTGGAAGCCGACCTCGATGTTTGGAATCCAGCAAAGTGGTCTCGTAATGCTGCGTCACTGCGTTTCGTCGTCGACTTTGAGAGAGTAGGCCGAGCAATCACGCCCGTCACCACGGCTTCAACCCCTCCTAGCGGCCGCAGTGTCATTTGGCTGGGTCTTGACTTGAGGGTATGAATGTCAAGACCGCCTGAAAGGGACATTATGGATTCGTGCGATGACGCGCGATGCAGCCGAGGACGCGGCATCATCTCATCCGGGCAAAAATCGGCCTCTTCGGCAAGTGACGAGTCTTCCGTAGGCGTTGCAGCCTCCAGCGTGAGAGCCGGGGTCCGCGTAGGCATCTTGAGCGGAGGAAGCTTCGACTCCTCCTCGTCTTCCTCCTCAATAGTCTCTTTTGGGCAGTGCGGATAAGTCACCGGACCACAGGGAGGAGTGTCCGGTACAGAGTCCATCAGTGACATTGCAAGTGACTGGAAGCTGACCGTCGACGAGAGGGATGGTCTCTTGGAATGGGCAGCTCGCCAGGTCGGCGACATGGGATCGAAGCTTGATGTTGGTGAGTTGGGGGGGTCCGAATCGGTAAAGGTCGAGTCGAAGACTCGATTCTGCTGCAACTGTGGCGAACTTGGCAACGATGACGAGATTTCAGACGCTGGTCGAGAATGTCCATCCCAGACCTGAGCGGGCTTCGACACGGTAGGGGACGTGTCGCTATCAGGGACACGAGAGAGCAGAGCGGGCGCAGTCGGAGAAGAGGTGAGGCCCCCCCAATTCCCAGAGATTCGCGGTGATGACGGAGCGGACGCAGCTGGGGGTGTGAAAACGCCTGGGAAAAGTCCCTGCCGCTTCTTTTTGAGTTTTCGGGTTTCGTGCTTCTGTGATACGTGGTAGTGGTGGTGGATATGGAGCTCTTGGGATACGGAGGGGGGTTCGAGTAGAGTTTCTAGCTCGGCTCTCAGAGTCGATGCTCTGCTGGAGTCGGGGGCCATTGGCTGATGATGCATGAGTTGGTCCCGCAAGGACTGGATCTCGTCGTTGGAGTTGATGAGCATTTCCCGCAACTCGGCCATTCCAAGCTGCAAGTTGGCGTTGTCCTGCAGCAGATCCTTGACGAAGTGGCCCACAATCTTGCTGCTATTCTTTTGCTCTTGTAGAGATTTGGTGGCAGCAGCACCCTTCAGCCGGCCGGCAGCCGTGTCAAGTTGTTTCTCGATTTCGCGCTGTCGCTCCATTCTTTCGATGACTTGGGCGTGTCGTTGGCGTTCCTGCCGGGCTTCCTCTTCGATACGATCCAGCTGGTCCTGCATATTCAGAATGCCACGTTGCGCCTCCTTGAAGCGCTGGGAATGAGATCTAGCATCCTCCTTGGAGCTGCGAAGTTCATTGAGCAACTTCTCTTGCTCGTCCTCTAGAATGGCGATGTGTCGTTCGAAATCGGCGGCGCGGCCGGCTGAAGATTCGAGGAGGCGGACAGACTGCTGTGATGAGAGCAGGGTAGACTCGAGACTTTTGATTTTGACATCGGAATCGCTCAGGGTGCTGTTGAGGGCTTCTAGTTGTTCAAGCAAATCACGGTTCTGGTTGATGGTGCTCTCATTTTCCGCCTCGAGCCCGCGCTTGTCCATTTCCAGCTTTTCTATGCGGGCATTGAGTTCGAGTCGCTCTCGCTCGGCATCGGCCATGTAGGCTTCATGCCGTGCTAATAAAGCCTGCAGAGCAAATATCAGTGACGAACTCATGGGATTATCGTGACACAAAGAGCCATGCTGGCAAACACAGCAACAAAACGCACGAGACTAGCGAGGCAAGAAAGGACGGGGGAGGACGGTAAAACCATTGTTTGCAAAGAAGAAGTGTGATATAGGCGGCCCTGCGCGTTGTTGTTTTCCCCTGCTGGTTTGTCCAAGTCGAAAAAGGGGTAAAGGCCTTGACCATGGAACGTGGCCGAGGATTGGAATGCTCCAGGCCGGCCAAGGCGAGACCGGCCGCCACTCCCCGTCAGACGCGCAACTCGCGTGTCTCGGGGGAAGAAAGACGTCTGGCACGGGGTACTCCGCACTCGTCAAGTCGTACAAAGCCACAGGCGTACAGACAAACGTACCTGGCCAAGCTGAGCGGCGGTGTGGGCATCCTTTTCGACGGATTCGAGGATTGAGCAATTGCGGCGCAACAGCACACACTCATCGCTCCCGCAGCAACAGAGAAGAGACAAAGATGCATCGCGACGTCGTTGGCGCGGGCATGGGCGAATGCCTGGGTCGGGGGTGGCAGCTCGAGACCGTGAAGCCATGATCACTCGCATCAGCGGCGCCGAGGCCGGGCGTCATGAGGTGAAGTCGACGGCGCAGGCAGTCGCGGTCACCATGGTCCAGGGAAAGGGAGCCGGACCCGCAGTTGAAATTCTGGGACGCGGGTTGATGTTGAAAAGGTTAGATGCGGTCGGTCGAGGACAGAGCAGACAGGGAGAAGCCGCCGGTGCTGGTGCCGGCGCCTATACTATCAACAAGTCAATCAAGAGCAGATTGATCCGTCGATGTCTGCGTGTCGAGGGCCAGTCGAGGCTGGCGGGTTAGCCCGAGAGAGAGGAATGGGGGGGGGGAATGAGCACGGTGGAGATGTAGGATTTCAACAGCCAACAAGAGGAATAGAGGACAGGCAAGCTGCGGCAGTCGAAGATATGCAGCGATACTAGGTGAAAGTCGACGAGAGGTTGGACGGGCCGGGGACGGGGACGGGGACGGGTTAGATGGATCATGGATGGCTGGACGTCTGGACATCTGAACGCATCTTGGGCATCAGAGTTACGGCATGGCTTGGCTTGGCTGGAGGAGTGGAGAGCGTTTGTTTGTGTTTGTGCGTCGCGGGCGGGCGGGCGGACAGCTGGGCAGCCGGGGCGCGTGGGCGCGTGGGCGCGCGCATGACGAGCCACGGCTAAGACTGGACCTAAGACTGGCCCGGCCCTCGGCAAGGGCACAGACAGCCGACAGCCTGGGCATTGCAAAATCATCCGCTGTCGAACAAACTTGACGGCTCTCATCAATGCCTGAGGCGCCGAGTCAGTCGAGAGACGACGACAACGACGCAACGGCAAACGAACAACCTCCCTTCGGAACAACTCGAATCGTCTCGACACGTCACTCCTCACCACGCCCCGCCACCGCTTTTCCCTGGTCTTTGCGCCTCGCCCCGTCGGGAATGCTGCTTGTCTCGGTTCGTCCCCGACAAGCTGCGGGTCGTGTTCCGCCCATTAACCGGTCTAAAAGTCACGGAAAGTGTGGTGCGTAGAACCGGTTGGTGGATGGTTGTGAACATCAACTTGGCAGAACCGATGCTTCCTCACCGACGTCTTTGCGTCGCTCACGAGTTAAAGAGGCTGGCGGCCACCTTGCCGTGCGTCATGGGCCGCGGCCAGCGTTGCAAACCGATGACGGTCAAGCCACAACGTGCTCGTCGGCGGAATGGTCGACACGACAGACAGAGGCCAAAGAGCACGTCATGCGCCTTGTGTCACTATTCGTCGCGAGATATAGTGCTACCAAGATTTCCCACCCATGCGTGAGGTGTTCAATCTGCCTATCTTCTGTGACACCCATGTTCTGCCAAAACTGCACAGGTCGGCAATCACGACCAAGTCTTCTACACAATCCAAAGAAGAATGTCTTGTTGAGGATTGGATGAGCCCTTTTCACAAAATCAGCACGTATGCTGCCGATAACCGTGTCCGTTACGACTTCCTCGCCTTAGACACGGAAGTTGTGGTTGTCAAATTGACACGCATGAAAATAGGGGACGGTACAGCTGGTATCCCAAGCTCGACAGCTGGAGGGCATTAAAGGCAGATGGAGGAGAAATGCTACAAAATACAGACATGATACATCATGGGGAAACGGAAGCGTCGCCTTGTCGACTACGAAGATGACGAGGACGACCGATCAGGCCGATTCGGCCGTGTTCGAGTCAAACAAAGGTTCCGCTCGCGTGGGGTTTTGCTTTTTTTGCAAGATTTTCGCCCCGAACATTTTGTTTTCTACGTCTGAATCGGGGAAATTTTGTCACCAAAAAAAAAAACGGGCGTGGCCACACCGCACTGTGCGGTATGCCCACCCTACATCCCATGCGACACACCCCCTAGCTCGAACACAATGGGCTTCGAACGTGAACGCACAAAGTAACTCTCTGGCAGTTTGGAAGTTACAAGGCTGATAACTCACACGATAGCGGAGGCACCGAAGCCAGATATCACGTAGACGATACGTAAAATCCTCGACGTCAAGGTTATCGTCTTTTATGACGGTTTCGGGACCCAGGAAGTCTAATTCAGCATGGGCCACCAGGGGTATGGATGAGGACCATCTGTCGAGGAGTCTGTCTTGCCTTCTGATATCGTCGAATATCTTTATTTATACTACAATAAACCATACCGCCCGACCTTGATCTTTGTACAAGTGCTTACAGATGCAGCCGTGTTGTCGATTCATTTTTTATTTTGCTCCCCAGATACACTTGGTAGGAAGGGTTCTTTGCGCCACACGGCCAGTTCATAACCTGTACGATACCGCTTCGAATTGTTCATGCAGCGACACCCTTCAACGTGACATGCGTCTCTGCCTGTGATCTGATATTCAAGGCCAGTGCGTAGAATATTTGATTTTTGTTAGGCTTGATTCTCACTTGTGCACCATGTGTGTATTGTCTTTGGATCACTCCGGCCGCAATCTCCCTGTTTGTTCCTTGGAGGCCCCTAACAATGGCCGAGGAACAGACAACAAACTTGGGAGAACCATCACCTTCTGCCGCGGCCGACCATTGCTACTTACCTAATAGACCAGTTGGACAGACCATGGGTAGCACGCATGCTGTTGCATAGTCGATTCTTCAATCCCGGCTTTATGGACTCTTTACCTATAAGTTGCTCACGGAACGATTTAAGAGACCACTTCTCCGGCGACGCCCCTTTGACCTAGACTCTGTCATATTTGTTGGGCGTATCAATCAGGATCCCGAAGCAAGGTACAGCGCGAGACTCGATCGCGGAGCCGATGGTTTCAATTGGAGAACACACTCGAAACAGGACAGTACACTATACGTGTTTAGAGTAGAAAGAGGCTGGCAGAACTTCTAATAGAGACTGAGCAACATCGTACCAAGTCCCTGATTAGCTTTGGGATTCTTAGTCTTGTGGTTTTCAATACTATTTGGCCGCCCAGCGAGAGTGCCAGAATGCCGCCCTGTTCCAAAGAGGATGGGCGTCTGTGTTCGAACCGCAAAAGGGCCATATTTTACTCGACCCAAATCCCACAACTCGCCAGCAGGCTAAAGCCAATCTACGTGCTTTTTCAGGAAAAGTCTGCCAGAGACAGAAGGACGTAGATCCAGGGTTAACTGACCTGCTGCATACAACGCAAGTCCCACGACTGCAGAGATGTTACGGCTGGTTGCAATTCGCCTTTGACGACTTGCAGTCCCGTCTGCCTAGAAGGTTGCGAGCAACGCCGTCGTATGACGATGGCAGGAATCAGGGCTACTTTGAGCAAGGAAAGAAATACACTGCAGTCGTTTACGAGGATACTGAGGACGGTGCGAACGATCCCGAGGCAGTGCAAGTACAGTTGGTGCTGGACCTCCTCTGGCAGGCTGGCTTCTGTCCTGCTGAAATATGGGCAAAAGCGGATAATTGGAAGAGCGCCGTTCTACTTGGCCTTTCGGATTTTATACAGCCACGAGGATAGGCATGGAATACTTTGTATTATGGAGGCAGTGGATCGGCAGATTGCATCCTCAAAGGATCGTGACCTGAAGGTCAACGTGGGCCGAAGCGAGATGATACTAGAGAAGCAAACGCAAAACCTGCGACTGTACATCTACAAATCAGGTCTGTTCAAGGGAATGCATGCATTGAAAAAAAGAGCTCGATATGATATATAATGTCTGTGACATAACGGCCAAACTTAGCAAGATATTCATTCACACGGGTCAGTCTTTGCTGCGGAACATTCTGAACAGAAACTGTGTCCGCACACGACGGTACTCGATGCAACCCTCGGATAATATAGGCAGCATGTCTAAGGAAGCGCCTAACGCAGACAAATGATGTGTGCGTGTAATAGTTCACCTATACTACATACCTGCCTACTGTACGGAGTACTCTGTACGCTGCAGTCTAGAAACTGCCGGCTGCTGCAGGTATGATCAGTATGCGGCACTCCTGCATCATGTGATAACCTACATTTGGGAAAAGCCTTAGGTCGCTGCTATACTAAAAGACAACTGTATTGTTGTTGGTTTCGGAAGAGGAAAACAGCGTAGCATGCCACAGGGTAAATCAAATATATTGAATAATCGCGAAGTGAAGAAGAAAAGAAGTAGCTATCTTGCCATGGCTCGTTGTCACGATATTAATACGTGATATTGACGGCCCCCTTTTGCGGGCGTTGGTTCTAAGGTCAACGCCTCGATGACCAAGGACTCCTATTTTGGCAGCCAGCATTATGCTATAGGTCTCGTCCCATAATCTTGGTCCCCCCAAGAACCTGTCAAACAATTCAGAAACCCTGTAACAAGCTCCTTGGTAGAAGTAACTACTCAGGGCGAGTTGCGCAGGGCCCTTGGTATTCGCTCCTGGGCACAGCCCGTGGCTGGCTGAGCATGTATCTCTCTCTCTTGAAGACAAAATAAACAGACCAGATTCAAGTCGTCATCTTCTCCGGAAAAGACACCACGGAAGGTCGAATACATATAGAACTCCGTGACTCATTCACGTCAGGGATAATGTCAGCTGCCCCTCGAAGAATGGATGCCAAGAGGCGCCAAGGGCCAAAGCCAGCGTGATTGTAGTCATGAGAACATGCAAATATTGGGGCTGCAATTATTCCACAAAATGAAATTGAGACAAATGGGCCGCCAAGTCTGCAAAAAATTGTAAAGCAGAAAGGCAAGGGACCCTATCCATCCCATCAGATGTCACTTCTGTGCTCATCAAACACTCGTAACGATCACCTTTTTTAGAGATGCGGCTAGTACAACACGGGAGTACGTAACGTTACCTGAGACCTACACATTCTTGAACAACGACATGTTAGCACTCATCTCCCCATTTCACGTGTACAATATCTGAACGAACGAGTAAATATCGTCGTACGATTTCAACTTCACCCGAGAGGTTGGTATAGAGAAGCACTTGCCCGCGGGGCATCGCCCTGAATTCCACGGCTTGAGCCGCTGAATCAACAACTCCCAGTCTCTTTTTGAGAACTTTTTGAATGTACAAGCCAAGCCAAAGATATGTCACAAAAAACTACACCAAGTGCCCGGTACACTGAGACGTGTAGCCGGATAAACATCCTTTGCCCGAGGAGTGTAGCCTGACAATTTGTTGGCCGCGAAGGAACAAGTCCAAAAATTACTCTATTTTTGGCAGCCGCCCACGCAGCACGAGAGGCCTTGACCCAGACCCAAACTAGACCTGCTACGGCCGTGGAAGTGATTCGACTAGCCACCCGCTGTGCCGGTGAGTCTACTTGGAAGTTGGCACAAACCTCGGTATTAAAAAGTGGCTCTAGTTTCTGGCACAGCAATATAATGACATTGTCCCCACCCGACGTTGCAAGCGTTCGTGTCTTCGCCACCGTCTTATATTGAAAGGGAATTGCTACACGGGCATGACACTTTGGCTACACGGGCATGACTCTTACACGGGCATGACTTTTACCACTTCTGATTGGTCGCATACTTTCTTGGCCCCACAGATACTTCCTCGGAAAGGCGGTGTAGCCAACTTCACTAACAAGCTCCTACATCACCATGAATTGCAGTCACTTATCGTTGTGGGCGCGATTGGTCTTCTGCTATCTTGCAAGCCTGCATTTCGGATTAAACTACCGTCCTTGTACTGTTAGCCAGTAACTGTCAAATACTGGCAAAAGACGTGATGTGGTCTACTTAATTTATTGCCTCACAACGATACAATCTGGATCTTCGTCATCACTCTTAGCCAGTTCCCATTGACTCCTTGTCCTGCGAATGTTTCGTTGCGTCCTCCGTCCACTGTACCGCACGCCTGTCGTATTCCCAGCATTTAGGACTTTAGAAGGTCTACCTGGCCCTTGCTGGGCTGAGATGCCAATTTGGCCACCAGTTTGTGTGATGGTTTCTCGAGTAGCTTTATGCACTCTCCTAGCAAGAGTTGGCTTATTGAGACTTCCTGGCGGTCGACCTCGTCGCCCACTTGGTTGATTATCAGATCGGCTACTTGATGTAATAGCTAGGCTTTCTGGGATAACCTGCGCTGTATTCTTTGGCCTTCCACGTAGTGCAGTGGCAACTTTCGGGTCAAGAATTCGTCGGTATGGATCTTGAGATGCCGATTCCCGTAGTCGCCAGCGTGGGTGGACCTCCCATTTAGTGAAACGTGTGTCAGAATCTAGCTTTGCGTAGACTTTATGATAGCATGGGATTCCCAGCTCAATAGAGACCGTACAGTCGTCGTCGCAAAGTCCAATAGAGTCGGGGAAGGGATTCTTCCCCGTCGGCAGAAATTTGCGAGCAATACAGTATTGCTTGTTGATTAACCCAAGTCCTTTCGATGACATGGTTGTTCGTAGTTCACCAAGATAGTTTCCCATCGAACCTAGGTATTGTGGAGCAGTCAGGACATCATCCTGTCCACAGGCATCCTTAAAGGCACGTTCTTGGTCATGTATCATATCCTGCATTGCCTCGACGAGTCGGTAGAGGTGGCTCATGCCATTTAATAGATAGCTTTTGATATTATTGTTGCTTGCTTCTGTGCCGGACGTAACTCGGATTCCGAAGTTACGATAACGACGGATAAAGCAACGTGCCCATTGAGCACTAACAGGCATATAAGTCGAGTAGAGGTATTGTAAGATCGCTCGTTGGTCGTCGAACTCTTTACAAAGATCTCTCCATGCCTGCTCAAACGCTTCCTCAGTCTCGGCATAGAGAACCTTTTTCCACATTAAAACAACGCCTTGGTAAGTATGAGGAATCTTATCACTACTCGACCGATCTTCGATCAGATGCTTATCTGTAGTGCTCAACCCGCCATCCGCCTGTGAGGGAATGTCTTCACTGTCACTAGCGCTAGGGCTAGTAGTACTGTCCTCACGTTGGCCCGTCCACCTAGTCTTCGATTTAAGCAAAACGTTTGAAAGGATATGATGAATACAAAGCTGTTGCTGTGCATTTGGAAACTGATCATTAACGGCAGCTTTCATAGCCTTGTCGAAGTCTGTGATGATGACATCTGGTTCCCTGAGTGAGTGTTTTGTAATGAGCTTGCGAACACTCTCTGCAAGGAATTGGAACCCCTCCCTCCTCTCGTTATCTATTAAGCCAAATGCAGCATTGAACACAGTTCCAAGACAGGTTTGGCCAGTAGCCTGGAATAAAGGAAGCTTGAAGCGATTAGTGTTATATGTGTTATCAAAGCTAATAACCTCGGGGAAGCGCTTCCACATCTGTAGACAGTACGGAAAGGTCCAGACAAGACCAAGCAGTCTATCTGGATCATCATCGGCCCATTTCGCGATGTATGGGATCTTCTTCTCATCAAAGAGTTTGATCAATGCCGCAGTAGGTGTATAGCCATTTAGCTTCTCTCGGTTAATGAACGAACGGGCATTATAGATATCCTTCCGCAGGAGTGTTGTATCGGGGAATTGCTCCTCAACCATAGCAGCTACATCACTGGCTCGAATACCCGCGCGACGGCTTGCTGACTCGATGGTTGCTTTAACTGGTGTAGTAAGGCGGCGGTGGGAAACATGCGCAGATGGCGTAATACTCCGTTCATGGTTATGCTGGTGATGTTTCGGGTCTCTATGTTGTCGAAGAAGCCACTTGCCTTCCTCTAGGGCTTCAGCAATTATCATCCATTTGCAATCACACTTCCGAGACCTTCGGGTTCGAAGACCAGAACCCCCCGAGGCCCGAGATTGTCCAAACCGGTCGCATTGAATGGAGTACCTAATCAACCGTCCCTTATAGGAATATTTATTCCGCCGAATAATACCAAATCCGTTCTCCTTTGCAAATGCGTTGGTTGTTTTAAAAAGAACTTCGGCCGAGGGCGCTGGGTCGCCAGGGATTATTGGGTTCGGAATTGGCTCCGGGGCGGGAGATAGAGACTGTCGCATAGGCGAGGAACTAATATTTTCGGGCGTCGGTGATATTCGAGGAGGTTGTGTGGGTGACCTACGAGGTGGAGAGTACGGTGGAGGAGAGTCATATGCTTCGAAACTTAATGGTGACCATCCCCATCTCTCTCGCCAAGCTTGTACACGTTCGTATGATCGAGCAAGGTCTACAGTTAGCCTTCGACCTTCGCCGGTAACCTCTCGTACTATGCGCATTGCGGACTCGAACTCGGCTCTTGTCCTTGTTGGGAGATGCTGGGCGGATGGGGGTGATTCGGGAGGTTCAGAGGCGAATGGATCAAATTCTGGGCCTGGTATAAGCGCTCTGACTCGCTGGCTCCATCTTTTTCCACGGAAGAAGTCATTTTGAAGATATATCTCATAGTCAGATCGAAGGCCCCATGCAGGCTCATGGCGGCCCTGTGAACCATGGGGGTGTGGGAGACTTGAAAGTGTTTGCGGGAAAGAGGCGAACAGGTTATCGAGTGCATTTTCGTCCCCGAGGCCGTAGAACTGACCGATACTCGTAGCAGAGCTACTCGCGGATTGTGGTCGGTCTTCAACTGTGGAAGGACTAGATCTGCGTCGCCGACTGGATTTGTGTCGCTTTCCTCTTTGTGATTGATCACTGGGACTAGGGCTCCGCGACCTGCGAGGAGGTGTGCGAGGCAAAGACATTGACGTCTTGAGAAGAGAACAAGATTGTAGTGAAAGAATTGGTCGCTATCTCTACAGCATAGGGTGCCGTATTATGGTTTATTAAAAGCTACGAAAATGAAGAAAGCAAGCTCGAGGGGGTCGCCCCGACTGCGCGACCACTGGGTTGCTGCGTAGTAGCTTAGCCGAAATGAAGTAATTTACACAGAAGCAAGGTTAAAATGGCCCAGGTACTTGCGGCTGAGGTGGCAGAATCCAGCGTCGTTAACAGAGACAATGCGACCAATCAGAAGTGGTAAAAGTCATGCCCGTGTAAGAGTCATGCCCGTGTAGCCAAAGTGTCATGCCCGTGTAGCAATTCCCTATTGAAAATGGGCCGGGCCCTAGACTACAAACCCAACGCGTGCCTGGCTGTGTCAAAGTCAAGTGTTCGAGTCAGCTGGAGGAATGGAGACGTGGGAAATAGGCCTACGGGGTCGAGCAAAACACCACTCTGCCGGAAGTTTTGATGAAATTTGATATCCATTCAGCTGCGGTGTACACGACAAAACGTCTTGGCACAAGGGGGTTGATTGTGTGTCGAAAATGCACACAGACGTCTTGCAGGCAGCATGCCGGCACCCACGGCCTGACAAGTCGACAGGAACAAAAGAAGATGTATAAATTTGCGCCACCCTCTTCAAGCATTCTAAGCTTCTTGCCTTCTCTTCAAGTTGAGTTTGCTACATCTTGTTCTTTGTCTCTTCACTCTAACAATACTTGACCTTTTTGACAATGCTCCCGTCACTTGGACTTGTTCTTTTCGCAACTGGTGCCCTTGCCAGGCCACTTGGAGCGCGACAAAGCATGGACAAGCCGTACATGCAGCCTGGTCTGACCGATGAGACTTGTGGGCACCCCCTGATGCCCTCTAAGACGTCTAGGTCAGAAGAATGCGTTGGGACTAAGAGGTATTGCACGAAGGGGTTCTATAAGGACTTTGGCGAGCAATTCGACAGCGTGGAAGCGTGTCTTCAATCCCGAACCACAGAACCAGAACCCGCTTTGGTCGGGCCATCCGAGTCCGATGAAGCCTTTTGCCCTGAGTCTCCTGCAGAGTCTGCGTCTTCTGTTGCGTCTATCAACTCTACGCTTCCCAGTGAGCCTGCGTCTCCTGGTGAGCCCGCGTCTCCCAGTGAGCCCGCGTCTCCCAGTGAGCCCGCCTCTTCTGGTGAGCCTGCGTCCTCCGGTGAGCCTGCGTCTGAGCCTGCGTCTTCTGTCGCGTCTGTCGACTCTACGCTTCCCAGTGAGCCTGCGTCTTCTGTCGCGTCTATCAACTCTACGCTTCCCAGTGAGCCTGCGTCTCCTGGTGAGCCTGCGTCTCCTGGTGAGCCTGCGTCTCCCGGTGAGCTTGCCTCTTCTGTTGCGTCTATCAACGCTACGCTTCCTGTTGAGCCTGCGCCTCCCGTCGAGCCTGCGCCTCCCGCCGCCTCTGCCACGCAGTCCGGGCAGGCTGCTCACCCTGCTGCAGTAGGATGTTCGAGTCGTCTTAAGAAACGGGGCAAGCGATCCGCGGCTACGCTTTGGAAGAGGTGAATGAGGCCGTGGCCTCTCGGCCGGACAGTCGACACAGCCGCGGAGAATAGAAGGAACTTATAAAACGCTGGCAGCCGTTAACGTGCCGGTGCGAGTCTACGCGGTAACCCGACTGGTGCTATGTGGTGGAGCTACTACCTTCGGAACTTGTCAGAAAAGTGTCACTGGACTGTTGGGACATGTGTTGAGTGCAATTCGGTTGATGTTGGCTGTAGACGACCATGATTTCGTTGGTTCAAGCTTATTTTGTTGTCTTGGCTTTTAGATGGACGAGAGAATCGATCAACGTGGCCGGCCGTCTGCCTGATAATAAATCTGCATCTGCCTTGCCACACATGTGCTCTTGCGTGCCACACAAGCTCAACCCCTGCGAGATGCTTGTGGCTGATGATGTGACTGATCCGGTTTGGTCCGATCGGCACGGGCCCCCTTCGCGCCATCGGCCAGTCAGCGTCGCGCCATTGTCATCACATCATGAGTGGGTGCGGGGAGCCGGTCCCCACAGTGCACAGTAGTGACTCTGCCGCGTGCAGCAAGAATCTACGTAGATGCACTTGAAAGTCGTCCCCGCCAGCAAACCAAGGTCGATGACGAAGCCAAGGTCATGGCCCGACATGGAAGCTGTCTGGTCTTTACCACCAGTGCACCAGACACCCCTTGGACTGCTTTACCGAGTAGCCTGTCCCGATCCTCATCGCGCATCCTGAGCAATTCCATCTCACCACCGGCCAGATCTCCTCGCACACACTGCACAGTACACAGACGTACATGTTTCGCAGCAGCCCTCGCATCGTTGCTCTGCTGCGGTCCAGTCGCGCCCGTCTCGACACCCCCAACAGACCATCATTACGCTTCTCGACCTTCCCCGGAGCTATGGCCTCCGAATTCAAACTCAAGGACTTGACGTCCATCTCCCTGTCCCCCGGTTCCAAACAGGAGGTCGAGGTCGAGGGCGTGGACGGCGGCAAAGTCCTACTCGTCAACGCTGGAGGCAAGATTCAAGCAATTGGCGCCAAATGTACACACTACGGGGCGCCCCTTGCCAACGGTGTCCTTACTGCTGACGGGCGAGTCAAATGTCCGTGGCATGGAGGTAGGTCATCTTCCTCACATCGAACCGGCGCCTCTCCACGCGTCATCCTCACTGACCGCATCTGTTCTTGGTCGTAGCCTGCTTCAGCACGAGCACCGGCGACGTCGAAGAAGCGCCCGCCCTTGATGCCCTGCCCGTTTTCAAGCTCATTGAGCGCAATGGCGCCGTCTATGTCGTGGGCGACGAATCCGCAATCAAAAGTTCCAAAAGACAGCCCAGCTTGAGCTGCGCCGGCTCTTCTCCTGCAGGCGACAAGGTCGTCGTTGTCGGCGGAGGGTCTGGCGCCCTGGGCACTGTTGAGGGCTTGCGAGAGAAGGGCTTCACCGGTGGCATCACCGTCATTTCAAACGAGGGCTATTTCCCCATAGATCGACCGAAACTGAGCAAGGCTCTCATGACTGACCTCTCCAGATTGCAATGGAGGGACAGGAGCTGGTTCGATAGCGGCAACGTCGAGTGGGTGGATGGCGAAGCTACTGCCGTCGACTTTGGAGACCGTACAGTTAGCACCAAGAACGGCCGAAACATTTCCTACACGAAATTGATCCTCGCCACGGGTGGCACTGCTCGTAAATTGCCTGTCAATGGATTTTCCGTCCTGGGCAATATTTTTACCTTGCGCAACGTGCATGACGTCAAAGCCATCGTCGACGCCATTGGCGAAAAAGGCAAAAAGATAGTCATTATCGGCGCGTCCTTCATTGGCATGGAAGTCGCCAATGCCACCTGCAAGGACAACACCGTCGCAGTTGCAGACGTGAGCAAAGTTCCATTGGAGCGTGTACTTGGCAAAAAGGTCGGCGCCGGCATACAAAAGGCGATTGAAGCCAAGGGCGTCACCTTCTACCTAGGGGGCGGCATCGAGAGGGCAGAGCCATCCACGTCGGATCCCTCCAAAGTTGGTGCCGTCGTTCTTAAAGACGGCACGAAACTAGAAGCCGACCTCGTTATCCTGGGAGTTGGCGTCATGCCTGCTACAGAGTATCTGCGCGACAATTCTATTCTACGCCTCGAGGAGGATGGATCGGTCAAGACGGATGACAACTTTCAGGTATCCGGCCTCAAGGACGTCTACGCAATTGGCGACATTGCTACGCATCCGTACTCAGGACCCGGAGGCGAGGGCAAGCCAGTGCGCATCGAACACTGGAATGTCGCCCAGAACTCGGGCCGCCACGTCGCCAACCATATCGTGAACCCGACTCAGAAGCGACCTCTGGACATTCCCATATTTTGGTCAGCGCTTGGTGCTCAGTTGCGATATTGCGGAAACACCGCCAACGGATGGGATGACGTGATTGTCAACGGCGATCCCGCTGAAGCCAAGTTCGTCGCATACTACACCAAAGGGGAAACGGTTGTGGCCATGGCCAGTATGGGCAGGGATCCGCTCATGTCGCAGAGCGCTGAGTTGATGAGGTTGAATAAGATGCCGTCCAAGAAGCACATTCAAGATGGCGTCGATGTCATGTCTATTGCTCCATGATGGGGCGGTGAGGATTTGTTTTTGACCGCACGTACGTGTCTAGTGCAGAAGATGTCCAGCTAGGTTCGAGGGCGGGCAGTTGATCTGTTTTCCAGTAATGAAACAAGCTTCTCTAGAGTCGGTGGTCTACATCTCGACACCTGTGTACTTTTTGACACGTTTGACTACCCGCGTGATCGATGGCCGCGTACTTCGAACAGCATGGGCTCTGGCTCACCATGAACTAGAATAACCGCCGAGGCTGCGACTCACACCGTAGTTACTACACACGCTACAGTCGGCATTCTATCGTGGCCCTCGCGCTCTCAACGCTCTCTTGATATCAGCTATTAACCACTGCCGCGTGAATGTTGACAACAATGATTCGTACGGTGCGGAGAAGCTACATGGCAGCCAAGGGCTGAATGAATGGCAATCTTTAACCACGAGGTAAGAAGGGCTGGATCACGATGGCGACGAATATCAAGGCTGCGACGAGAAAAGCCGATGTGCGTGGCCCATCCGACAAACCGGCTTCGTCGCTGTTGTTGGGCTGGGTTTGCTACCAACTGGGATAGAGACGCTCAAACTTGAAGAAAGCAAAGGGAGCAACAAAAGGCGACGCAGGTCAGCAGGTTCTTCGTAAATATGCCATGTGTCCTCCTAGCCTTTCCCGGCTGAACAAGGCGAGATTCGGACGGCTTGATAAACAAGCCTCTTGAGATGCTTTGTTAGGTTTGCAGGCCCCTGAGTTATCACGATTACGTGCTCGGCTTTTATGCCCCCGGATAAGCTGGGCGGTGGTTTGGTAGTTCAGGGTCCAAGTGCACCAAGACGATGAAATACATGACAGCTTCAAAGGGCACCAAATCAGCACCTACGTTGAACAAGAAGTGAGTACAGGACAGTTCTTGCACATATCAAAGGTAGCCGGGCGCTCACTGCCCTTGGGCTACCTCTGAGCTGACGAGCAAATTGGTCATGTTAGGTTTCTCGCGGCTAGACAGTTTAATGAAATATTATATGCCATTCCTCTCGGCGGAGCATCTTGTGTCGCCATCCATGCCAATGTTGAGGGCAAAAGCATCGATGCCTGCGTCCTCGGCACGCATCATGTCATCTTCGCAGGTAGACAAAGTGCCTCGATGCCATACAATGCCAATCTGCATATAGGTCTTTATCATATGCCGAAAAGGCATCGATACATGTCAGCAACTGACATGGAGTGGCGGAACACGAGACGGTCGGCAGATGCACCTCGAAGCCGTATCGACACATTCGTCATTGGGGAAGGTTTTGAAATGGGTCGCAAAGCCGCTAGAAAGCCATCCCACTTCGACACGGCGGAGGGCCGCGGAGACGGAGAGCATGGTGGCTGATGCGCCATCCAGATTGATCGAAAAACTGGTCATCTTGATAATTTGACATGTCCTTTGATGAGAGTGAATTGTCAACGGCCGCCTGCTCCTGTCTCCAGACAATCTTGCCCGGACCGCTACTGCTTTGGACAATAAGTTCACGAGAAACAAGCAATGAGCGCGGGACAGACACGACGTTGGTCTATTCGTACAGTGTTTTGACTGATGCTCTCTAGCAGGCCACAATACCCCTGATGACTGGTCAGGCGCGTAGCATTTCGGCCCCTGGCCGGATAAGGTCGGCGGAAAAGGAGGCATAGCCTTTCGTCAACCATCGGGACTAATGCGTCCCTTGATGGAGTCAAGTCGTCACCACAAGATGGTTGAAGTGAGGTGACAACGACGCGGCGACTCAGGAGTCGGTCCACGCGAATCAGAACTGTTGTTTATTCAGCTAGCTGCACTCTGTCGGCTGCAACAAGTCACTTGGGCAAGAATCCAGTGAGGAATATCAGTTTTGATGATAGAGTCTACCGGATGCTCGGAAGTCATCTAGACGCGCGTGCGGCAGCGATACTTGACAAATGTGACAAGCGGAGGGGAGGTCGAATTCACCGCACCGCCGCGTATTTCCGGCCGTCCAAGGGCGTCACTGTACCGAGCAGTTCTACATTTTCCGGGCTAGACAACATTGCAATGGCACCAGTGTCCACCGAGTTGCGCAAAGTCACTGCGATATGCTGTTCGTTATGCCTGTGGTATAGACATGCTAGGTCGAAGTTTCGGTCACTCACGGTGACGTAATGGACATTGTGAACGCACTGGATTGGTGCCAGAAAGGCTTCCATGATATCAGGGAGCATGTGGGCTGCTTTGGAAAGATACAGGAGCTCTTTGTGCGCTGCAAGGGACTCTATTGATATATATAAACGACAGCTGCACCAAGTTGAAAGGGTATGTAGAGATGTATAATGCTAATCTAAGAGGCTCACAAGTTACATAATAAATTACCCGCCATCATCGTGTCACGCGCGCGCTCGGTAATTGCACCAGTGGGAATGACAAAGGGAGGCCCCTGTGATCAAAGAGTCCATTGGGCTCTGCGCACAACCGACTGGACTAGTAGTTGTAAAATATTACTGACGGTCGAGTTCACATGTCCGAAGATCCTGGAGGACTCGCACAGGGGTGATTGAGACGGAACCTACGCTTTCCAGGTTAGGCACAGTGATTGGAATAACACGAAGACTTCCTTCGGAGCAGAGGCTTGCGAGGAATCATACCAACACGCTTTACTGATAATAGACTTGGACCACTAATTCAGTTGACAAGCGGAACACGCGCGTAGCAGTGCATTCCACGCGTCTCTTGGGAGCTCGCCTGGCAAACTCGACCGCTACGGAGGTTTGCTCGCATCGTCTTGATAAGCCCCAAAGTACCATCTCGCTACCCACAGGATACAGGACAGGTAGTATGGTATATTCATTGCGATGGAGGCTTCTCACGTCGGGCCCATTCAACCTAGTGACCTCTCAGCAGAGTAGACAGAGCCTCGACACGACAGCAAGCATGAATCATTGTCAATCTGATTCGCGAAACGCACTCGCGTTGGAACTAGTTGAAACTCGACACCAGAAAATTTAAATTCCGCCAGTCCCAAATAGCTCCAAGTGAATCCTCGTCAGATCTACACCATGGTCCGCCAGCCAGGCCCGGGTCTGAACCATCCATTCGGGCGGGCCGCAAGCAAAGTATTCTGCCTTTGCGCTGTCAAGGCGCAAGTGCGCGTTCCGATCCAGGCTATCGAGGTTCATTCTCCCTGGAAAGGTGTACTCGTCGCCCTCTTTGGTGTTTTTGATAAACAGGACCGACGTGACGCCGCCGTGGTCCTTGGAGATGGAACGAATGTGCTTCCCGAAACACACAGCCCCGGAATGCCGCGCGCCGTGGATATAGCTCACGGGGCGAGATGGATAGGACGACTTGACAATCGAGTCCAGGATCGCGACCACGGGTGTTGCACCGACACCGAGACTGAGCAGGACGACGGGCACGTCAGGGTCCGCCGCCTCGGCATCAAACGAGAACACGCCACGGGGAGGGCTGAGCTCTACCTCGTCCCCGACGTTGTACCTCTCGAAGAGAGTGTTGGAGATGAGTCCCGGTACCTTGCCTTCCGAGACGTCCTGGCTGCTCGCGTTGAGAACTGTGCTGCCTCTCTTGACCGTCACTCGCAGCAGACGACGGGAGTCGATGGGCGCCGAGCTGATGCTGAATTGACGGCTTTGCAGGAGCCCCTCTGCTTCAGGGACGGGGATCTGGAGAGACACGTATTGCCCGGCGCGGAACGGCGGCAAGGGCGTCCCGTCGGTGGGTTGGAGATGGAGGTGGAAGACGTCCTCGGAGTCTTGTTCCTTGTCGACGATGGCGAACTTGCGCCACGACTGCCAGTCCGGGCCGTGCTCGCCGTAGAGCTGTGCCTCGCGCTGAATAAAGACGTTTGCGAGCTGCTGGTACGCCGCGATCCACGCGTCCTTGACCTCGTCCGTCACGGCGCTCCCGAGGACTTGGACAAACGCCTCGACGAGGAACTGTCCCACGATGGGATAGTGCTCGGGCTTGACGAAAAGGGACGCATGCTTCTGGGCTATCCGCTCCACGGCATCGCTCAGTTTCCCCAGATCGTCGATGTACGCGGCGTAGGCAAAGACGGCGTTGGCCAAGACCAGCTGCTGCGCCCCAGTCTGCTGATTGCGCAGGGAGAAGTAGTTTTTAAGTCCCGGGTGAGCAGACAGCAGGTTCTTGTAGAAGGCGTCTGTGATGGCCCTGCCGTGCTCCTTGATTATGGGCGCCGTGGACTTGACAATGGCGATCTGTTCGGGGGTAGGGGCGGCGGCCATGTTGAACGACCGAGACAACAAGCTCCTCTGAGTCTGGTGGTTTCCCAAACCTGGCTCGCTCGCCGCACGGGCCGGCTTTGGTTTATCTAGATCCCAGAGTAGGCACTCGTGATGTCTACACTTTGTCCCGCGTCTCATCGATGCCAGAACCTGGAGTCGCTCGACAACGGGCGTGACCACGCAGCATTCAGCAGTTCACGTTGCAAGCGATTGGCCGGTGTATTCATGACAAATCCCGAGACAGGGCGTAGCTACGTGTCATAATCTTGGCTCGTCCGGGATCGACTTCCCCTTCCGCCCGGTGCCCGTCCTGCCCGCCGCCTTGGCGAATTGTGGCCGCAGAAGGTTGTGTAAGATTGGGCCGCGACAACGTCACATCCCCGACTTGCTGGAGACGGGAATGGGCTCGTCTTGCGTTTCGGGCGAGTGGAGTCTTGCTCTTTTGCCAGCGAGAGCTAGTTTTCGCGCTTGGTCGTACTTGGTCGCCGGTGTCATGCGCAACATCACCGCGTTACACTGCATCGACCCCCTTTGAAGCGACGGCCAACTTGCTCCCTCCAGTGCAGATGTTGCTCTTGTCACAAGCAAAGTGGCTTCGGCAAGAGGGGCAGAGGCAGAGCGGCCGGCGAAAAGGGCACGAGTCTCGGCGTGGGATGTGCATACAAAAGACTGCCATGGCGGAAGCAACTCGCGTCAGGACTCAGGATTATCGTCATTGTTTGAGTCAACGACGCCCGGCGCACCCAGACCACGTCAGCCATGAGCGCCCTTCTTCGGATCGAATGCAAGCAAGCTCTTGCCAAGAGCCTCCCCTGGACAACGTCGCCTCTGATTGTCAGCGCGCCGATGCGCGTCATGACGGGCCCGAGCCTCGCCGTCGCCGTCTCTTCTGCCGGCGGCCTCGGGTTTCTTGGGCCGACTCTCAAGCCGGAGGACGTGTTCGGCGACCTTGACCAGGCGGCTGAGCTCATCGGATCGTCGTCCATCCGAGGCGCCGCTGGCCCGTCGCTGCTCCCCGTCGGCGTCGGGTTCCAGACTTGGAACGGCAATCTCGAGGTGGCCGTGTCTGCGGTGACCAAGCACCGCCCTTGCGCGGTGTGGTTGTTCGCACCGCGCCACGGCCAGGGCGAGTTTGACGAATGGACAACGGCCATCAAGCGAGCCTCGCCAGACACAAGGGTCTGGCTGCAGATCGGCTCCCTCGGCGAGGCTGTCGATGCCGCCGGCAGCGCGACACCACCCGACGTCCTCGTCCTGCAAGGAGCCGAGGCCGGCGGCCACGGCAGGCACAAGGACGCCCAGGGAACGATTGCCCTGGTCCCAGAGGTCTCGGACGCCTTGAGGGACAGCACCATCCCCCTGGTTGCTGCCGGAGGCATCGTCGACGGCCGCGGAGCCGCTGCCGCACTCGCACTGGGCGCCGCCGGCGTGGCCATGGGCACGCGCTTCCTGGCGTCCAAGGAGGCTCGCATCAGCAAGGGATACCAGGACGAAGTAGTTCGAGCATCGGATGGCGCCAGGAACACTGTGCGCACGCAGTTGTACAACCACCTACGTGGCACGTTTGGCTGGCCGGAGCAATTCTCCCCTCGCACAATCATCAACAAAAGCTGGACCGATCACGAGTCCGGCGTCCCCTTTGACAGGCTCAAGGAGCTGCATGACGAGTCTGCCAAGACGGGAGACGCAGGCTGGGGTCCCCAGGGCAGACTGGCAACGTATGCTGGCGCCGCCGTGGGACTTGTCCGCCATGTGCAGGATGCCGCCGTCATCGTGCGCGAGACGCGAGACCAAGCAAGGGCGATTCTTACATGCGTCGTGGCTCACTTGTAGCCGGGGGCCAGCAATCCAGTCTCGTAGCTAGTATTCACACGGCACGTCGATGGGAATACGACAGCTACCCGAGCATGTTGCTGGGTCCTACATTGGGCAGAGGCCATGTCAGAAGCTCAGAAGCTGGCCATGGTAACACGATGACACATTGCTTCTCCAATAGACTGCATTGTACGTAAAGGAATTGTCACCAAATGACAAAAAAACCCTCTCACTCGTGGACTTCCATGTGGCTACGCCCCGTTGTGGTAGGGGTCCTGTCCATTGTCCCGTCTCTACCGTCTGCCATCCAGGCAACGCTCCCTGTTCAAGTTGCCGTTGACGCGACGGCTCGAGACATTGTGCTTGTCGCACTCAACAAGGTTTCTCTGCATGCACAACTGCTCCGTTTTCTTGCAGCACACGGCGCCCAGCACTGACTGTTGAGGTGCAACCTCGGACCGGTCACTGTGCTACGCCGTACTCTGTAAAACGTGAATTTCTGAAAGGCAAATGCATTGCTCCATCATCTCCATCATTCTCCATCATTCTCCATCAATCTGATACACTTGTGCGCCATAGGTTGGGCAATGGCTCCGAATCCTGTCCGACACGAAAGCAGGCGCTACTGCGGTTGCTCCCACCAGACAGAATCAGAGAGTCCAAGAAGATAGTCACGCCCAATATTCTCCGATGGGTTGGACAAACAAGCCGTGATGTGCGTCTAGAACGCCGTCTCCAAACTCTGGTGTCTATTTTTTTTTTGTTTTGCACGTCTAGATGGATTCCACAACGTCAAACCTGCAACCAGGATGTTGCCCCGGATCTCCAAGTTTCCACATGCATGCTCGGGCAGAGCGGATAAAGCGGTCCACTACGGTCGTCCACGGCGGCTGGGATCTGCGTGGCGAACTCGGGTCAAGATGATCGATCCATCCACGACCCGGCCAAGGTAGCATGCTACCAACTCATATGGGCTGCCAAGCACGGTTTCTGCCTCCCCTCAACAAGTGGACATGGACTCGTGTCGACGCGGCAGTGGTCTGGGGAAACTCGACCGAGGGGCTCCAATGGGAGAAATGCTTTCTGTCCCATGTAGATGCGAGTTAAATAGGCGTTTCTAACTCCGGTACTTTGGTCACATCCGCGCGCTCTCATCCACAATCGGGGACATATCAAACCCAGACCTCGGACGCAAACGACACAACGCTGACTCGGCCGCGAACCACTAGTCACAGGTCCTCAGAGAGAGAGAAATCCGGCGGATGTCCAGTGACGGCTGTTCTTGCTGACCCATCATGTCTCCGGATCCAGTCATCGATGAACTGCACCGCAGGCTGTTTGACGAGGGACTCAAGGTTCGCAGGCAAGTCCTCGGGGCAGAGCATGTGGAAAGGTCGTTGAGAAACGCCACGCCATATACTCGGCCCGGGGAGGAGCTCGTCACCGAGTGGGCATGGGGCAATATCTGGCAGCGGCCCGGACTCGACCGAAAGCAGCGGAGCCTCCTGAGTAAGTGGACGTTGCTGGAGATGGGAGACTCGGACATGGAGGAAACCTAGATTCGCTGACAGTTGCCGCGGGCGAATGTGATAGCCCTGGGCTTGATCATTGGCCAGAAAGCCTGGCCTCAACTTGCTCTGCATACTCGCGGCGCTATTACCAATGGCGTGAGCGAGCTCGAGATCAGGGAGGCGGCCTTGCAAGCCACCATCTACTGCGGAGCTCCCTCTGGTATGGAGGCGCTGGCGGTTACCCAGAGGACTATAAATGACATGGTTGAGAAGGGAGAGTACAAGAGACCAGAGTAATAGCCGCCGCCGAGTCTGTCACCAGGGGGTCAAAGTTCAGAGGCAAGGAGGGACTTTGGCCAGGATGCGTCGCGTCGGACGAGAAATAATGATGATGCTTCTTGGAATCTTAGAATCGTCACATAATTCACTCCCCCCCCCCGAATTCTGTAGCCGGAGCCGCCACTGCCGGTCAAAGCATCGTTCAACGACCTCATACGCATTACTGCCCTGGGCTAGCACTGTGTAGGATTGTCATCATCAAGCGTAAACGACGACAATGACCACGTGGTCACCCAAGTATGGTCCTTATTGCAATTTGTGCTCACTATTCTATGAATGCAAACATCACCATGTCCCATCGTCTACCCATGCTTGTCCGTGTTCACCGATTATGACAGTCTGTTGTAAGGCTGCAGAGCTACAGTCTATTGTCGTCCTTGCAGTCGTCTCGCACAAGTTCCTCCCTTGCCGCTTCCACCTATGCCACAATGGCCATTGGTAACGAACTAGTCTGCAGAGCAGGTTCGCAGCCCTTGTCCATCTCGGATCGGGCTGCATGCAGCGCGGCCCGGGCTACGGCGTCAGTATCCGTCAGAGTGACCGAGTTGACTCCAGGACGAGCTCCCGCAGCCGTGACCCAATGGACCCCTTCTGTAGGCACGCCAACGGCAAATCGTCTGGGATGCGCTCGCCCCTGGGCATCCACGAGCCGGTAGGGGCTGCCTGTGATGTCGATGCCCCCCGTCTCGTAGCCATCGAGGACGTGCGGCCGGCACTGGCCCGTCTTGAGCAGATGAGACAAGAGCTCGTCGGCAGTGTGCCGCAGGTTGGGCTCCGGCAGCCTGGCCTCGATGAGCGTCGTGCCTCGCACCGTCCAGCCCGGGATCTCAGGCGAGGAGGCTATCCAGACGCCATCCCCGGCCTGTACGCGCATCCGCGGCCCCAGGACGTCCAGCACGCCGGCCTCCATGAGGGCAACCATCTGCTCGATGCGCTGACGAGGCGGCCCGATGGACAGGAAGGCGTTGAGCGGCGTGTACCAACGGTCCAGGTGGTCCCTGTACGATGACCCCTTTACACCGTTGTGGTCCACAACGAGGCGCAGCTCGTTGCGTATATCACGCATGACGTCGAGGGCCGCTTTCAGGGGCCCGTCGACGTTGCCCAGGGACGCCTCCTTGGCGTCCTGTCTCAGGTACTCGAGCAGCCATGTCTTCCATGCACCGGCAGTGGAGAATACGCGGTTGCCCTGAGGCCGCTGGATGCGTTCCCAGGACCATCTCTCCGTCTTGGCAATTCCAAACTCCTCGAGGAGCTGCGCTTCCTGGCGGCTTTCGTGAGGAACAGCCAGAAAGCGTTGGCGGAATTTGAACGGCGCACTCGCCATGGAAACTCCCTTCTGCCGTGCCCGCAGCACCGCCTCATAGTACACCACTTCCACCTCCTTGGCCGCGAGGGGCCAGACTTCTTTCAAAAAGTCCGGGGCGTCGCCGGCATGTGCGCGCTTGTGGAAGTTGGCGATGACGTCTTCCGTCAAGACGAGAGGCACATGACGGCCGAATGCACCTTTGGCATTGTCGCCGCGGGCGTGATACGGAATCCCACGACGTGAGCCAGCATACATGTGCGGCTCATCGCCCGAGGGAAGATAGACGAGTCCGCCTTTGGACGAGGTGACGAAGCGTCCGCCGCGTCCGGTGGTCAGCAAGGCCATGTGATCAAAGAAGTTGAGCCCCAGACCGCGGAGCAAGACCGACTCCCCCGGCTGGATGACCGAGAGATCAAGATCGGCCGGGTTGTTGGGGGCGAAGTGGCGCAGCTTATTCTCGGCCGCATAGCTGGTCAGCCTCTGCAGCTCAGGGTCCATACGGAGAGGAAGATGACCCTGGGCCAGGACAACCGCCGCAAGGCCTGACAGGACGTCACCGTTGGACAGGGCAAGGGTCTGAGTGCCGTCAATGGCATCGTTCAGGCGGACGGCCAGCGTAGCGTGTACCTCGACCCTGACGTTGGGGGGTGCTCTCCGAACCACTTCGCCAAAGACCCATTCCAGGTAACCGCCATACTGTGAACGGGTGGCGTAGTCGTCCGGTCCCAGGTCCGGCTCAGCCTTCCTTGCCCAGTCATGCAGACTTGGGCCGGGGCGAATGGGGCCGGCACAGACGACACTATCATCCGTGAACAGCGTCACCTGGGAGGTGACTGTGTTCATCAGGAGTTGGGCTGACTGGTCTCTGCGCCATACCATGCCCGGGCCTGGAGGGGACGGGTCTATAACGTGGACGGTGAGCCGTCCGGACGCTCCGAGGAACTCGGATGCCGACGAGCATAGACGTTCTAGCGAACTGGTTCCACGGGGGCCGGCGCCGACTATGGCCACATGGACCTGGTTCACCGACTCAACATTGCCAAAGTCCAGGGCAGTGATGCTCACTGTGGGCGGGCCCAGAGCAGCCGAGCTGGTCTTCATGGCGAGGAAGGACTGAAAAAAGGAGAGATGGAGGGGTTCTATTGAGAAGAGAAGAAGAGAGGGGACAGTGTTCAGGCAGCTTGCTCGGACGGGTCGTGATGCTGCCGCAGAAGAAGTCACTTGCGGCTACATATATATATACCTTGACATCGAGCATCGAAATGCGAGTGTCCAAGCAAGGAATGCCTTGCCGATGAGTTGCTTGCTGAATCCCTCTCACTTACACTCGGTCAAGGCCAACGCAACGCGAGGATGCCAACGGAACCTCGCATATTCGTTTGCTTGGCTGCCCAAGGAGATTTCTGTTCTAGTGGACTAGCGGCTTCGGTCGAGAAGCGCATGCGTGGTTCACTCGTGGTACACGACAAGCCAAAGGGCTAATACGCTCGAAATTGTGGCCTCCGAGTATTTCAACCTGCAAGGAATACTTGTCATCTCCGATTCTTTGCGACAAGGACGCTTTCTTACGAATCAGCCGGGACGAATCCCCGTATGCACCACGTACGGCATCATATACAAAGATCTGCAAACATAGGAGTCAAGCAAAGTCGTGTAACCAAATCGAGCTTACGGCGAGCCTTCAAAGGCGGATCCGGACCTTTTTAGCAAAGAGAATTGCCACATTGAGGTCTCCCAGACGGCACCGTACAGAGCCAGAGGTCGGGTACAAACGAGCACGAGTGTGGACACTAACGACTCACACGCAGGCGGAGCTATGGGTCCGTCCAAACGTGTTTGAGCAATACTCGAACGTGATGTTGACGATGGCTCGCGTTCGTGACCGCTGCAGCCTCGTCACCTGAAGTGTGTCGGAAGAAAGGGGCCTTCTTTCTTGCTTGTGACATGAAGATCCGACTTCACCCGGTCTGAGAAGCAGTCACGATCTACATCCAGAACCGTGAAAATATCAAATCACGATACAGATAGCGTAGCAGTCCTAGTGGTCTTGTTGCCATTCAGAGACGCTCGTGTGTGCCACTGCTTGTGAGCACATGCAGAGCCGGGGACCTATGATAGGAAGCCAGAAACCTAATTCCATGCTGTACGCGGTTGCATTCCGCAATTTCAAAGGCTCGGTATCCACCTGTGCAAACACGTTTCGTTTATCCCCAAGTTTGACATGCCAACGCAGCTCCCAAGTCCGAACGAGGAGACGGAGCGTCGATTCACGGAATATTGCCTCGGCCGACCTGCCCGTGTCTTTCATGGAGACGAGGATCAAAACGAGGGAAAGTTGCGTCATGAGCTCGTAGACGGAGCGACGTAGAAAGGGAGAAGAGGGGAGCAGGAACCAGCCTCGGCAATGTGAAGTTAATGCGGCTTGCTGTCAGCAAACATCTCCTCTGGTCTGTGATGTGTCGAAGCAACTTCCCCATAGATTGCACAGCCAGGATGCAATAAAACTGACACATCTGCAGTGCTAGCAACCCAATAGGTTAAACTTTTTATGCCAGCTGCTTGTGACGAATCAAACCTGTCCAAAGTCGAGCCTTGGGTGGCACAGCAGCTACACAAAGTCGCAGTTGAACTGTCTTGGCAACTTTTGTGACCCAACACGACACACGAGTGGGGTGGCGACGGTAATAAAGTTAACAGACAAGCTTCTCTCGCCACTGCTCGCTTGGAGGAGGATGCTATGTGGACGGGAGCATGTGCCAATGAGACACGCTGATCAGCAGTACCACAATGCAGCGCGTAAATCTTGTACATCGACTGCAACCATTGTTTCCATGCCCGCGTCTTGGCAAGTCTGGCAAACAAGTCCTGTGCCAATACTCCGTATTGCCTGACCAAAGCAGCACCGTCCACCGTGTGGGGTAAAAGCGTCTGGGACGGACGTAGTGACTGCGAGGCGGGTTGAAAAGGGGCCATGACAGCACATGCATATGAGGATCACTCCTGGTCATGGGACATGATTTGGCTTGTCCAAGAAGATGACAAAGTCACTTGCATTGTATCCATGCATGATTGGGTAAGAACTATGCTTGTTCAAGCGTCTAGTGGCGGAAAATGTCGTTGTAATGCGTAAATGGAAGCACACGGATTTTGCAAAAGAAGCATGGTTTTTGCATGGAACTTCGACAAGCGGAGTGCACACGAAACCAAAGAACACACTCTATGCTACGGGTCAACATTCAAGAGAAATCAAGCAAAATTATGTGATTTGAGATTCCAGGTAGCCGAACACGGCCGTGCTCGACACGAGCTGTGGCCTTCAGGATGGCCATTGACAAGTGAGAGCTCCAAGCTTGAGTTGGGCCTAGTCTTCCAGGACCACTGATTGTTCTACTCTGCAAGAGTGTCTCAGAACTTTTCGCGATTCGTTTGCAGGTCAAGACTGACAATTGAAACAGTCTTGCGTACGCAGCCTCCTTCAACAACTCGGTAGTCTCTCATACCTATTTTGATCGTTGCTCGTATATGTGATCAATGCCGTTGCCTGTTAAGTGGACTGGGTGACGAGAGATCTGGTTGATTGCCGTCTCCGTGCCCACAAAAAGGCCCTGATGCTGGTTTTCTAGACGACTTCAGTTGGACTTTGATTATTAGTAAAGATTGTAGTTCAGTACGGCACGGCAACTGTATGATTCCGGCTGTGAGATGCTCGTCTGCGATGCATTAATTCAATGAAACATCAATGGCATTTTGCGCTTCAAATCTCTAATGGATAATTAAGTTGTGGCTAAGTGACTAAAATATCTATATCTGCCGTACAAACAGAGAGGGGATTCTCAGAATTGAGTGAGGCCAAAGTTTCTTTCGACTTCTAACCCGGCACGAACGCCTCCTGGACGAGCACGACGCCGGAAGGCCATTCCGACATGTTCATGTCGCCGTCGTCGTGGCATTAACCTGTACTTAATGGGCAATTTCCTCCCACGGGAAGCCAGTGTATCACGTGAGACGCAAACAGGAATAGAATATCTCTTTCTTATTGGAGTAGTAGCACCCTCGTACATGCCAACCTCTGGCCGTGCCCGTGAGTTCTTAAACACGAGACGTTGCTGCCTTGGGATCCAATAAATACCAGCGGACGAATTTGGGCCACTCTCTTGTTTTGGTGTTTTATTGACGTCGGACAAAGAAACCCCGCCAAGTTTACATATAAAGCTATATTTTTGCCCTTGCTAAATACATGACAGTTACAGCCCACTGTGGGCAACTCTAGTACGGACTTGATGTCATTATACTTGCGCTCTAGGCTCTAATCTTGCTACTATTGCCCTCTTTAAGCGAACGTAGACATTCACGTTGGCACTCCTCCCCCTCGCCAAAAAAACGGATTTCTTTCACTACGTCTCACACCTAGTAGTGTCACAGGAGCATAAAAAGCACTTGAAATACAACTCTTGCTGGCTAGGAGTAGAGTTCTGTCTTGGTAGTAAGAAGTTCTCAGCTATCAGGATCTGCCACCGTTACATGTTTGTGTACCTTTCCGATCAATCAGCGAAGCAAACTGGGGGCACCCTTGTGCATCTTTAATTCGAGGAACCCAGCCTTTCGCCATCTTCATGGAGGCCACGTAAGCTTATACTATGCATTGCTCTGCATTCCAGGGACCCTGGTAGAGCCCTCAAAACCAGCTCCAGCAGCAAAGAAGATTTTGTTTCGTAGATAGGAACTAAGAAACTGGGTACGTAAGCCAGGCCCGACGATAGATTGCTTGCTCCAGCGGTCTCGTGTACAGCTATTGATTGCATCAAAGCTAATGTATCAGTCGTGGAGGCGGACATGACTGCAAGAAATTCTTCATCTTGGATATTACAGGCCATAATCTCCATCCCGAAAGGGACTCTGCGGATGGCGGGATAAAATCAGCGTCGGCTGGATCTAAGCACCTCGGTGCGCCGCCTCGTGTACACTGAAGAAGATGGCTCAACCACCTCTGGGACTACGCACCCTTCATGTCATCTCTTCAGTTCATTCTCCAAAATCTTCCGGCTGGGGTATCTCTAACTTCTAAGTCGGGCGCGGCGAAACACGCCCACAAAGCGTTGCAACCCTCCAGCACACTGGGTCATGACCGAGAACTTGACTGCGCGGCTGCCCCAGACTAATGACGAAGCAAATACGAGGATGCTGGCTCGCGAGAAACACGCGCTACGTCTTTGACTCGACTTACAGGAGCCTCAAGGGCTCATCAGGGAGCGATATCACAGGGGTCAAATGGCCACATGTGGAATCATTCAATTTCATGCGAGGGACGGACGATGACGAGTCATGCCAGAGCTTACGTGGAGAGTCGTGCATCGCCAAAGACTTTACAGTGCATCTAGACGTTCCTGTCAAGACGGATGTAATACAAAAAGGCCACAGGAAGCTATCTCTTCACCTAGTTGAGAAATTGCTCACAATACCATTCCATTCTCACAATTTGTACAATGTTCTCTCTCAAGGTGGCTCGCGCAGCTGCGGCTATGTTGGCTTTGCAAACTGCGGCTGGAGTGCCCATCCTGAACGGAGAAGATGCTAAACCGGAAGAATTTCCTTCAGTCGTTGGATTTGCACCCGGTTGCGCAGGCACGTTAGTGAACGGGGATACTGTCCTTACCGCTGCTCATTGTGTTTTTCGGACAATGGACTACTATAACAGTACCGATTTGTGGCCATCTCTAGTTATAGTGGGAGCCACAGTAAGTTTTCCTTTTTTTTTTTGGAAGGAAAAACTCATATATATACATGTATATTGTACCATGTTTTGTGATGAAACCCTTCTTAACTACAGAGCTTTTAAACTACAAGCACTCCAGGATAGCTCCAAATCCTTTCATGTTCATCTCTCTCCTAGTAGAGAAAGTCTATATCTAATAAAAATGTCACAGGATAGAAAGCAACAAGGACCTGGGGTCTTGACCTTTAAAATATCGTCCTTTTACACGCACCCAGGTTATGATAGAGAGACGCCTCATTCTGAGCACGACATCGCCATTTTAAAGCTGTCCAGACCGGTTCCGGAGACGGCGAATATTTCTTATCCCGAATTGTCCGGCGGGGTGTCCGACCCTCAGCCAGGCTCTTACACGACTGCAGTCGGTTGGTACGTATCAAGGAAAAATAAAATACCACTTCGCCTTCTGCCAAGGTATACTAGGGGTTCTAATGGCTTAATGTAGGGGACATCAGGGCCCTAAAAAGAGCACGACGGTGTTGCAAAAAGTTGCGCTTCCGATTGTAGGCCGCGACGAGTGCGGGCGCATGTTTCAATTGACTGTGCCGGACAGTTCGTTCTGCGCCGGTTACAGGGACGGAAGAAAGGATACGTGCTCTGGAGACAGCGGTGGCCCAACTTATGACGCGGAGGGAACTGTGATTGGGGTTACCATGTATGGTACTACGCCGTGCGGGCTTGGTTATGCGTTTTACGCTAGAGTAGACGCGCATCTCGACTTTATTCAGCAGCATTTGTAGATTTCAACAATCCTCGGGCCAACAAGATTAAACGACCTAGTTAGTTGCGTTGTGGAATTCATAGTCATTCGCTTCCTGAGAAAGTTCAGCTCCACTAGACTGGGCACCCCTTGATATATATTCCTTCTCGTCCCTGTACCTTTCCGAGCCTGTGAGTTATCCGAACATGATCTCCCCGACGTTCTCTTGCCTGCCCGTCGCATTACAGCATCAAGACTGGGGAGTTAGGGTTAGGATGTGGCAGCCTAATGCCCAGCCGGACACGTCTAGTCAACCTGTCTGTGCCAGCAAGTGTCATCGGCCCTGCTGGCCAAATTTCGTCCCGGGCACAAGTGAGTGTATTGCCTTGCCTTGGGGCACATTCCACGTAACGGACGCTGAGACCAAGGGTAGAATACCAAGTGCGTGCCGGCCATTGCTGATACGTCGCCTAGTCTGTGTTGAAGCGCAGCCAAAGCGTATCAAAAGTTTTGTAGTAGGTCGTTCACCTGACCAACAATTACGTGGTCGCCCAGACGCTTCACCGCTGCGTGGCTGGGTGCTCATATCTGCCTAAATGGCGCGACATGAGCAGATGGTATGAAGCCGGAGTCTGGAGGCTGGCCGGAGGCGCCACGGCACGGAGCTCACACCCGTCCGGACGGCCGGCTTGCTCACATCATGCTCGAGATGACGGATTTCCGTTATATGCGGACACTCGTACTTCTCTCACATCAGATAGATCCTTCATAAGGCAAGTATGACAGAATGAGTGTTGAAAGCGCATTATGTGACGGCATGAATACAAGTCCGCAGTGGACGAGGTCGCAGGCTCTTTAGACTGATTTCTTTGATGGACCATTATAGGCAGAGGGCAAGTTGTTGTGACCATCATATTCGAAACGGGATCCAGAGTTTCGGGTATTCTGATGGGTAATTACGAGGTAGCCTCATCAGCGGACCGCTTTTGTATCACAGTGCCAGTCGGGTAAGCTTCTTCACCAGTAGACAAAGAGACGAAGTGTGGCACGAGGCAATGATGTCGCCTAATGACGATGCACCAAATAACCCATTGCCAGTGCTGCACTATCGACGAGTGTTGCCTCCAGATGCTGCCCCAGACGCAGTCAGAGTTCCTGTCCGCGAGCACTTGGGAGAAAAGAGTATGCGACAGAGACGAGTGGCTCATGCGTTGTTCTATTACGTGCTACCGCTAATGCTTGCCGACCAAGGAGCCCGCGGCCACAATGGTATTCGCCGTTTCCATCCAACTCTCACGAGTGTTATGGTAAGATCATGGTCAAGCGGACCGTCACGCAGCGAAACTTGTCAACTACTCTCAGCAGGAATCGTCAGCGGCCGCTCCACAATGCTCATTGGCAATACAAAGAACGGCACAGGAGTGAATATCCAAGTGCAAAGGGGAGACGCCATCGTGCTTCCTGCCAGAGCCGCACATTCTAGCATTGAGAGCACACCAGATTACTTTGATATCGGGGTCTATCCACGAGCGACATCCGCTGCGCAGCCGGCGTAACCATGAATCGCGTCCACTAATCACCTTGAAAGCGTCATCCGAGGTGGGTAAACGAGCACGGCAGGAGCCCACGTCCCAGTTTACATCCACCATCAGGGCTGTCGAGGGGCCTGAAGGGGACCCGGCTGAGGGGAAGGACGGGCCCCTGTTGAAGTTGTGGCATCCGCGGAGCCTTGCGAGGCTGTAGTCCTGCCAACGACGGACGGATTGTTGGTCATGAGACATGTTGTGAAGCAAGCTTATTCTTCATTACTCATACCATTCCATTGCCGCCAGCGTTCCAAAAGAAGCCTGGGTTGAGAAACTGTTCAATGTTAAAGTATTGAAGGTTGGAAAAGTCCATCGAAAACCCGTCCATCCATTCTGTTCCATCTGACAACGGCGGAGAGGTCGTTTCCGAGGCTTCTACCGGGTCTGCCGGACACACTTTCAAGATGTCGTTCAAGGCGGAGGCGAACATCTCTTTGCCCCTTTGATGCAGCATGACCAGTGAGCGAGCCGTTTTTAAAGCATCCGCGGTGGCCTTGGTGTTGTATACGGAGAAGATGTCTTTCAGGCACTGCATTGCATCTCGGAGTTGAGAAATCGAGGACACCGTATCTATGGCCAGCAAAACACAGACAATCTGAAACGGGACGTACGCCATGTGGTGCCAGGGCGCGCGGGCGGCCAGAATGGCCTGCGCAGCTTGAATTCCATTTGTCGTCAAGATCAATATCTTTTGTAGAATGGACTCGGTAAGCGAGACCTCGAGTGATCGTAGTCTGCGACAGAGACACAATGCCAAGTTGCATTGGGCAAGAATCGTCGGCGGGATCGAGTGGGCACGATTCAGCACCGTATGCAGTGCCGTCTCGAGTTCCAGTGCGGTCGGCTTTCTGTCTGGATCTAACTCTATGGAGAATGGTAGGAGCTCGCATATTTCGTACGTGTAGTCGCCTGGCCGTGGTGTGGGCAGCGTCATTGGCGATGTATTTGAAAAGGCAACTCGACTCAACCCCATGTCAAACGACATCCAGATGTTGAGGTGCTGTGCGACGCGCACGATTCGTCGCGCAATGTCCGAGTCGACCTCTTGCCGCGTGGAGGGAAGGGCAGACTCGCTTGACGATTCGGTGGTCAGACCGGCTGCCTCAATCATATGCATCACCATGCTGCTTGCCATCCAGGCCTCATAGTGTGTCCCGGCGAGCCTGAGGTAAACGACGCGAAGCAACCAAGCGGTGATACTCGTGACGGTTGCTGGCGTGGACATGGACTGCTCGAGGAGTATTCTTGCTGACTCTACCAAATCCAGCTCCACCTGGTCCGAGTAGACTTGGGAGAATAGACACGCAAGCGCCGCCATGCCGCACAGGACCGCATCGGGAGCTTGCCGGACTATCTGCGTAGTCCATCTAAGTTGGATGTTCCGTGTCACCTCGTTGCGGTCTATGAATCCATAGGTTGGGTCCACCTGCTGGAAGTAGACGGCTGCCAGTTGCTGCATCTTTGGCAGAGATACCAGGTCTGTGATGGGCCGATAGGCTGCTATTCCCTTTGCCTGGCGGGATCCGAGAAAGGCATTCCAGGCAAAAGTGTGCATCCGGGGGTTCTTCTTGGGGTCCAGCCTCAAGGCGAGCTTTCGGACAAAAGCAGATCCAGAATTGGCTTCAAGTGAACGAGTCTGATTGTGTGGGGTTCTTACCAGGGATGTCGAGGGCACCGCATCATGAGGAGAAGGTTGTGCAGTTGATAGACGCGCCGGCACCGGCACCGGCGTTGCGGGTTTGACGGCCGGCCCGGCGTGCTCCAGACTCTGCGGCCTGCGCGTCTTTCTTGTCTTTCCTTGCTGATATATACACTCGTACTCAAATCGTACACACGTGCCACAGGGACGGGCGCCGTCACACCTGCGTTTGAGATCGCGGCATGTCTGACATGCAAGCCTGGAGCGCTTGCGCCCGGCGGCCGACGCCGTTGTGGACGGAGTCATGAGAGCCAAGGAAGCTTCGGCCCTTGTCCGAATGAGGAGATATAAGTGGCGCAATGGCCCGATGATATGGGACGGGGTTCAACGGACAATGTGAACAGCATCGGAGACGACCAGGAGTGGCCGGCGCCGAGGCAGCAAGGATGCGTCGATACCGTCGGGCCAAACGTTGGAAGACGGAACGTCGGATCGGATGAGGAAGGGCGACGGCGCCGCGCGTAAAATCGAGCTGAGCGCCGAGTTCGGTTTAGCGTGGGGCGGCAAGAGCGGCAAGAGCGGCAAGAGCGGCAAGAGCGGCAAGAGCGGGCCAGGGGAAAACTAGACTTCTCATCAAGTTTGCTGAGGCACGGAAAGACGGCAACCAGACGAGATGAACAGCGGCGGGCGGCTTTCTCCTGTGATGGACAGGTTCGTATAACGATGGACGGTCGTATATTGCGGTTTAAAAAGCCAGGCACCCGCACCACTCACCCCCTTCCCTTCCCCTTCCCCTTCCCAGTGCAACATAACACGACGCCATCGCACAACGTATTATTGGTGACGCAACCACTGCGAGACCGACTAGAGCGTCGCATCTACGCTGTCGCCGCCTGTCGGTACCAACCAGAGGCCTTTGCCAGGGTCACACGATGCAGCCACAGAAAGAGACGTCCGATGTAGATGCGACCGATGGCGGCTTCGATCGTCAGGATTCGCCTGGCATTGGGTCCGCAGCGCCAGACGGAGGCGTCCTTGCCTGGCTTCATGTCGTGTTGATGCACATTGTCTTCTTCAACACATGGGGTGTGGCCAATGGCTACGGCGTCTTTCAGGAATACTACACGCGCACCCTGGGAGAGACACAAGCCGCAATTGCTTGGGTCGGGAGCGTCCAAGTCTTCTTCCTGTTTGGCATCGGTGCGGTTGCCGGACGTGTCACGGACGCTGGCTATTTCCGCATCACCTTTACGATTGGTGTGTTTCTTCAGCTGCTGGGACTGTACATGACCTCGTTATGCAGGACGTACTGGCAGATCTTGCTTGCCCAAGGTGTCTGCCTCGGCGTGGGCAACGGTTTCACATTTTGCCCGGCGCTGTCGATTCTGTCGCAGTACTTTGAAAAATACCGCGCCTTCGCTGTCGGCCTGGCAGCCGCTGGGGCCGCAGTCGGGGGGCTCGTGTATCCCGTCCTGATTCAATGGCTCATCTTCCGCCATGACTTTGGCTTCCCCTGGACGTTGCGAGTTATGGGCTTCATCATGCTGGCGACATACCTACCCTGCATATTCCTGTTCAAACCCCGTCTGCCTCCGAGGAAGTCGGGCGATTGGACGGACAAGTCGGCATTCTCCGACGTCCCATTTATATTCTTCTCCTTGAGCATGTTTTTGAATTTTTGGGGTCTGTATTTCGCCTTCTTTTTCCTCGGCACCTTTGCACGCGACAAGATTGGCTTCACCGACCCCATCCATTTGCTCATGGTTCTCAACGGCGTCGGCGTCGTCGGGCGCGGTGCACTCCCCGTCGTTGCCGATAAATGGGTTGGCATGCTGAACATGGTAATCCCATTGAGCCTTGCCGCCAGCTTGCTCGTCTACTGTTGGGCCGCCGTAGCCTCAGTTGCCGGACTTTACACCTTCGCAGTAATATACGGCCTGCTCGCCGCAGCATTGCAGGCCCTCCTCCCGGCCGTTGCCACAACCATGACCCCGGACCCTAGTCGAACCGGGACGAGAGTGGGCATGATTCTCAGTTTCGTCAGTCTCGCCAACCTGACGGGGCCGGCCATTTGCGGTGCCATCATCCAACAAGAAGGGGGGGGTTATATGGGTGCGCAAATGTTCGCGGCGTCCTCCATTTTCCTTGGCAGTGCTATGGCCTTGGCTGCGAGAATTGCCAGGGCTGGGAGCGATTTGAAACGAAGAGTCTAGATGCATGAGGAGCAAAACCGTCTTGTCTAGCGGTAACTTAATTTCAACGTTGCGGACAAGCTCTTTTTCCTTGCCAGTACGTGTTTTGAATCTCAAGCACAGGAACGTTGTGAGCTCGGCGGTTTTTGAGAATACGCCCTGCTGTAGCACGGAGACAACTGCGTCGAATTCACATCCATGTTACATGGCTGCAGAAACATCCCACACGGGAAATATAGCCCCCTTGACGAGTATTCAGCCGGAGTAATTCTTATTAGGTCAAAGTCACGACTCGAATGAATCGTGGCTGACTACCTTATATTGCTGAAATAGTAATGTAAAGGGTCTGAAAGTCATGAGACGACCACATTATTGTCCCTACAAGTACTCGCACCATCGTGGCTCAGAAATTGGAATCTTTATTCTCAACATATGAGGCTTATAACACATGAGGCTTATGACATGGCTGAATGGCTACACTCTTGTTACCCCGAAGACATTACACAGAGAAAACAAGTCCAGAGACGATACGCCAGAGAGATCTGTATACCTTTTTTTCAATAGCAGGGCTAGGAAAGCTCTTGATGTTGACATTCCAGAGGTGTCACACGGAACTTGCAGTCAACAAAGCCTCAACCACATGACTAGCTGCAATGCAAAAAGGTTGCCGCTATCACGATGCCCTCATTGGGCTCAGGCAGGCCCCGGGACCCAGGCACAAAGGCCCAACGATGCCCAACAAAGGCATGAGGCACCAAGTCCCTGATACCTCAGTCATTCCAGTCAGGTTACACACACAGGCATCTTCTTGTATATGGCTCAGATTGAGGAACTAAGGACCCTAAGACCATACGATATTACATGATGATATCGGTCATTTGCCCCCAGCCCTGACTATTTTCCAGTCCTGGTCATTGTTCCAGTCCTGGTCATTGTTCCAGTCCTGGTCATTGTTCCAGCACTGGTCAGTTTGTATTTGCTCCAAGCCCTGATCCTTGTGACCAGCCCTTGTTACATGAGGTCCCATTTGCTCTTGAATCTGTCGCACGGCAACGGCATGCCCAACGCGCCCTAGCATACCCACCTAGGGCTAATAGACACGCACGCGCACGGGATTAAGTTAATGCGCACCTAGAGCGTAGAGCTAGGCGCACTTATTTAAAGAGTGTATATAATTCTCTCTTTTATAGATTAATTTAAGGCTTTTAACTATTATCTAAGTAATATCTAGCTTAGTGCTACTACTATTATATAATAGTTATAAGCCTAGAAGGTATTAATTAACTTCTGCAACTTCTACTAGTATATTAAGCATTCTTTATATATATTATATACTTATTATTTTTGTTCTAAGCTAACTATAAGCTAATTTACTAAGCTAACTATACTAGTAGGCGCTATTTTAGCGCTAGTAAAGCTTCTTTATTTCTCTATAAATTAAAAGAATTAGTATAATATAATATATAGTTATTATAAAATATAGAAGATTTAGAACTATATAGACTAATTTAGAGCTATATAGACTTTAATTAACTAGAGCAGAAGTCTAATAGTTTCTCTAAGCCTAAGCGCTTAATAATAGCAAAGGCTAAGGTTCTTTATAAAGTATATTATTACTTTAATTTAACTTATATAGTTACTAAGGCATATAACTAAATATAAAAGAACTATAAGTATTAGCATGCTAACTAGCTATATAAAGAGAAGAGCATAACTTATATATATACTTAGTTTGCTGTTTTAATTAAACTAAGTATATATTAAGTAATTATAGTTAAGCTAGAGAAAATAAATTTGAAATTTACTCTTAAGCAGCTAGTTAAGGCGCTAAAGGTGCAGCTTGCTCTAAATAATTTAAGTATCTATATAGAAGCTTATAGAGTCTATAGAGTAGTTCTTAAAGATGCTTAATGCGTAAATTAGAATTCTAAGAATTAGTATCTCTAATAAAGCAAGGCCTTTACCTATACTACTATAGAAAAAATTGCTAAGATTTAGAGTATTATTACTATCTATAATTTCCTTAAGGCAGCTAGATCTTACTATAATTCTAGCTAGGCTAAAACTTTAATTAATATAATAAGAAACAATAAAAGTATTAAAATACTAAAGACTTATATACTTAAGGATTTTAGCAATATATTTAATAGCTACTTTACTTAGAATAAGTATAGTAAGTTAAAAGCTAAGAGCATTTATACTACTTTAGGCAAACACTTAAATTATAAAGATAATAAAAATAACGCTAATAATAACGCTTAAGGCAATAGCAGTAATAATTAAAATAACGCTTAAAATAACGCTAAGAAGAAGAGGTGCTTTTATATGCCTAAGGATTTATCTCTCCTCTATCTCTAGAGCGCTTAGAAATATAGAAGACTATACTATATACTTACAGAAGACTAGAGTCTTAAACTTTATATATACCTAACTAAGGAAGAAATTATATAGATAAAGAACTACTATAATAGCAATAAATAAAAGAACTTATACTTAAAGCTATTAGCAGAAAGCATAGAACTAAGCTTATAAAATAACTAGAGCTTTAATAAGAAACTATACTTTTTTAATAAGGAATTTAATAGCGCTATTATAGATCTCTAGATTACTTAATTTTATAGGCAATACTTTAGAATCTATATAGCGCTTAGATAAGCTAAATATCTACTCTTCTTAAGCATGCTATTAAATAACTATAGTGCTATATATTTTGTTAATAATATTAATCTACTTAAGCTAGGCTTATTTAGAAAGACAATAGAAGAATATATAGAGGCAGGAGCAATAAGCTATTTAATTATTAAAAGAGGTATATATATACTTAGAAAGATTCTATATAGTAATAATAGCACTAAAACAGCAGACCTTACTCTTAGCAATATAGCTATTATTAAGAACTTCTATATTAATATTATCTTAGCAAATCTTCTATATAAGAAGAGAGCTTAGCTTTATAGTTATAATTATATATTATGCTATAAACTATTAGAAAGAAGTATAGTACTAGCTTAGCTTATTAAGAAGTTTAGTCTAACCTTTCTTAAATATAAGCTTCTTAACAACTATATAAAGAACTCTTAAGGAAATACTATAATTTTAAGCTCTTCTACTATTATTACTGCAAGTAGTTACGCTTAAAATATATATATATAAAGCTCTTAGCGCTAGAGGCCTAGTAAGAACTCTTTAAAGCTAAGAGAAAATACCTCTAAATTATAGCATTTATAAGCTAGCTATCTTAGTAAAGCTGCGCTTAAGAAGCTCTACTTAAATACTAGAAATATATATATAAAGAGAATTAAGTATAAAGACTATAATATCTATACTTAAGTGCTTATACACTAAGTTATATCTAGGCGCTCTAGAGAATATATATTACTATATTTATTTTAGTATATATATTAAGACCTCTAAGATTACTTACCTAGTTATAATAGTATAAATTAGCTCCTAGTATTTAAGAATAAATACTCTAAGATAATATAAGTATATCTGCTCTCTAATAAAGCATGGAAAATAGTATTTAATATGCTCTTTTACTATAAGCACTAGGTTATATAGCAATTTAAGCTATTAATATATAAGTTTATGCAGAATAATAAGAGTGCTATAATTTAGCAAGTAGGTAAATCTATATTTTAACGCTAGGCATATACGCAAGGAATTAAGCTTAAAAACTCTCCCTCTTATATATATAAATTTAATAGTAGTATTAAAAGAGCAGGCTAATTAATTATACTATACTTAATTAAAATGCTTATAAGCGCAGGCCTACTTATAAACCTATAGTTAGAGAGTATATAAGCTATAGTATATCTTTACAATATAAGCTCTTGCTAAACTATTAGTTAGAAATTACTATAGCAAACTCTAAACACTTAGTTCTATAATAATACTTAATTGCTAATAAGAGAGTATATAGTAGACTTAAGACTTAATTAAGATAGAGTCTATATATATAGCTGCTATATATATCTACTTAAAAGAGATTATAAAGCAGGTTATAATAGATAGTACTATAAAATAAGCCCTAGAGGCTATATTAAGTATTTAGTTAAATACTCTGCCTTTAATATATACTAAATATAAATTCCTTGCCTTAATAAAGTTATAATAATAAGAAATATAATGTTTAATAAGTCTATCTTTTATAATATATATATAGAAAGTATAGTTAAACTTTCTATACTAGAATTAAAAGCTTAATTTATAGCTCTTTAAATTAATACCAAACTAGATAAAGAAGTAAACTACTTACTTTTCTTTACAGAAGATAATACTATAGTAGAACTTAATATATATTCTACCTTAAAGATAGAAGCTTAAATAATTCCTAAAGATAAAGAGCTAAGTATAGTAAACCTAGAAATATATATAGAACTTTCTACTCTATATTAAACGCTTAATTATATATTTAATATAGATAATAATACTAGTAGCAAGCCTAAGCAGCTAACTAGTATGCTATAAGCTTAACTAAGCATTAAGTTATAACCTTCTTAGATATAAATACTAGCCTAGACTAGGGATAAAACTTAAGTAATCTTACTAACTAATACACAATAAGAGCAGAGTATATTAGCGCTAGAGGCTTACTAAGCTCTAAATAAGTTAGCTACTTGCTTAGATATACTGCAGAGAGCCTAAGTCTTAATAGAGGCATCTGCTGTTAATAACTATAGAATAAAGAGCTTATAAAGTATAGAAGCTCTACGCTATAGCGTAAGGCTAGCTAATAAGAAGCGCTAAGATTAAAGTGCTTTATGCAGAAGACATCTTAATATATATTTAATGCAGTATTTATAGCAACTACTAGAGAATATTCTGCTTAATTAGCAGGATATAAATAGAAAAGCTATATAGAGCTTTATAATAATATATATAGTAATTAATACAATATATAATAAGGAAAATAGAGCTTAGCTTTAGCAACAGCTTAATTTAAGAAAGGTTTACTTAACTAACCTAGTTAAAGCGCTTAGGTTCTAGAAGAAGATATAAAACTACTTATTAAAAGCTTA